GTCTCCACTGATTTGTTAGTCAATGCGAGGGCAGGAAGGTCATTTTTCAATGCAGCTGGTCCTGAGGGACTCTATGGGATCACTGCTCTGGTTTTGCTGCTTTTCTGGCCCTGGAGCTGAAATACAACTGAGATATAGATGTTACCTCTAAGGAAGAAACGGGAGGGGGTCCAAATCTACCTACCAGTGATATGCTAAGAGGAAAAGTTACCCTGGGGGTGATGTCCCCCCTACAATAGATTGTTGCCAGGCACCTAGGGCTTTCCATCCTGATGCCCTTCTGTACCTGGCCCATTGTCCTTGCTCTGTTCATGTCCTATATGGTTACTTTAGGTTTCTGGATTTGTAAGGTCACCGTGCAGGCCTTCTGCAGGCTTGTCTGAGTTTAATAAGTGACCCCTTTTCATCCAAAAGTACCTTATTAAATTAAAAATCAGGACAAAATATGGGCATTTTCAACAATTCTGTGTTGAAAAATAATTCAAAAGAATTGAACAAAAACTTCAAGGAGCCCTAAGAATTAAACTGACTTACTCATACTTTACTTTTGATATATACATATTGTAATAGTGAAATGATTAAAATCTACATGTAGATCTAAAGAGTCGTTTCAAAGAGTATAAAACAAAAATTCTAAGTAATTAGGAAGAATTATGTATTAAAAGTAAACATTTTACTTCGCTGGTGTGGACAAAAAGTGGCCACATGCTAACCTGAAAGCTGAGGGAAGGCCTGTATGGCGGACATGCAAACACAGAGAATGGTCTAGTCACCACAAAGAATGGTCTGAAAATGTAACTTTTTTAAACAACCCAGATAAAAGCTCAGTACCTTTTGTTTTTTATGTTTTTTAATATATTTTTTTTAATTTTTTACAGAGAGGAAGGGAGAGAGATAGAGAGCTAGAAACATAGACCAGCTGCCTCCTGCACACTTCCTACTGGGGATGTGCCCGCAACCAATGTACACGCCCTTGACAGGAATTGAACCTGGCACCCTTTTCCAGGCCGATGCTCTATCCACTGAACCAAACCGGCTTAGGCTGAAATTATAACTTTTTAATGAAAAGCAATTCCTGGCAGATAGTCAATCTTCTGACAAAAGTCAATCCTTACCTTAACTAAGTTTGTCTATTGTCTTTCGCATTTATGATGACATTCCTTGGGAATGTCAGGGTAATTTCCCTTTCCCCAGACCTCTCAGGGCACAACCAATGCACCAGGGCAGAAAACCATTATTCCCCTCCTTGTCCTTATCATGTTAATTGTTGACTTTACCCTGTACCCACCTATGTAAAAGTTGTGTCTATCTTGTTACTTTTCATCCAAACCCAGAGATTTCCCCCATTTTCTTTCTTCCACCTCCCTAATATATCACCAAAGGATTTCAGGTAACTCATTTAGGTCTTCTCTTTTGATGGTAATGTATAAAATAAGGTGCAAAACTGACATTCTCTGAAACATTATCTCAATTTGTTGAGATTTTGATTCTAGGCAATTGTCAACAGCTTAGCTCAAATAAACTCACAAAAATTCTCTATAGGTTTTTAAAAAAATATATTTTTATTGTTTTTTTACAGAGAAAGGGAGAGAGATAGAGAGGTAGAAACGTCGATGATTCGGCTCTCTATAGGTTTAAATGTTTTTATGTTGATGTTAATTTTCACTCTAGCAACACAGTAGAAATGTTATCATTGTAGATGGAAGAAACATCCAAACCTGCAGAAAAATTTTATGAGTTTACGTGAGCCAAAGTGACAATTGCTGGGAAGCAAAATCTCAACAGATTGAAAACATGCTGCAGGACACTGTAGTATTACCATTTATTTTATACTTCACAATCAAAGAAGACGAGATCCAAGATGGCTGTGCCCAGGTAAACACCTAGCCGCAGCCGCACACAACAATTTCAATAAAATACAACTAAAATATAAAATGGACATTACCCAGAACTACAGGAAAGTCAACTGACTGGCAATTCTACAATGAGAAGCAAGGAGAAAACCAGAAGGAAGCGCGGAGGAGCTGTAAAAGCCCAAGGTACGGAGACACACAATGCGTGGAGAGGACGGAGCCGGAGAGGAGGGAGACAGAGTGCCTGACTGGCGTTCCCTAGCGGGAAGGAGATAAAACTCCGACTGTGTTGGGCCCCAGTTCTGACTACTCTGATCCCCAGTCCTAGGCCAGACCCCGGGGACCCAGGCTCATCCACAGGGAGCTGAGCTGTAAGGCGGAACCCGGGGGAGCGGCGAAAGGGGGTCCCGGCGGCACACATTGTGTGCAAAGAAGGGACGGTTGGCTGTGCCGCAGGATTGCCTGGTGGGAAGGAGACAGGGGCTCCAGACGGCTCTGAACGCCACCTCCAATCCCACTTCCAACTGAACTGAACCCCAATACTGGGCTCATTGGGGGAGAGCATAGACTGTTTGCTAGCAGGCGAAAAGCGAGGGCACCTTTCTCTCAGAGGTGCTTTGCAGCTAGAACTGAAGGACCAGCATAGGGCGGAGCTGATGGAAGCCAAGGCTGCAGGCTCCACCCTGAAACCCCGCCCCAGCTGTAGCTGCGAAATGCGACAACGAAATAGACCACAAACGAAAGAAATGGAGGACAAAAAGCGACTGGATATAGAGTTCAAATCTACGCTTATAAGGTTTTTCAAGAATTTCCTAGAAAAGATGGATAAGACCTATGAGGATATGAAAAGAGATCAACTAGAATAAATAAGGAGTCAACAAGAAATGATAATGGACCAACAAGAAATAAAGAATACATTGTCTGAAATAAAAAATATTATACAGAGTCCTAAAAACAGAATGGAAGATCGCAAGAATCAGGTCAAAGATTTGAAACATAAAAAGCCAGAAGACACTCCTCCGCAGAAGCTAGAAGTAAAGAGAATCCAGAAAATTGAAGATAATGTAAGAAACCTCTGGGACAACTTCAAGCGAACCAACATCAGAATTATGGGGGTCCCAGAAGATGAGAGAGAGCAAGATATCGAAAACATACTGAAAGAAATAGTGACAGAAAACTTCCCCCACTTGGTGAAAGAATTAGACTTACAAGTCCAGGAAGCGCACAGAACTCCAAACAAAAAGAATCCAAAGAGGACCACACCAAGACACATCATAATTAAAATTCCAAGAGCAAAAGACAAAGAGAGAATATTAAAAGCAGCAAGAGCAAAGAAGGTAGTTACCTATAAAGGAGCACAATACGATTGTCAGCTGACTTCTCAACAGAAACCATGCAGGCCAGATGGGAATGGCAAGAAATATTCAAGGTGATGAATAGTAAGAACCTACAGCCAAAGATAATCTATCCAGCAAAGCTATCACTCAGAATCAAAAGCCCGATAAAGAGCTTCACTAATAAAAAAAAGCTAAAGGAGTTCATCACCACCAAACCAGAATTATATGAATTGCTGAAGGGGGTTCTTTCAGAAGAGAAAGTAAATAAAGATAAAAATTATGAACAACAAATACGTAACTATCAACAAGAGAACCTAAAAACCAAGGAAATTTTTTAAAAATTGGATGAACAATATTAACTGTTGAATATAATAGAATCAGAGGTATGGAAGGGTACGATTCTTGGGGAAAATGGGACGAGAGGGATGTGGGAAGAGACTGAACATAAACTGTGCACCTATGGATGAGGACAATGGGGGGGGGGTGGGGGCAGAGGGTGGGGTGGGAACCTGGTGGAGGAGAGCAATGGTGGGGGGGAGAAGGAACATTTGTAATAATATGAACAATAAAGACTTATTAAAAAAAAAACAACAATCCAGAATCAAAGAAGACATAGAGGGTTACATGAAATCCACTGGTGGTAGATTAGGGAGGCAGGAAAAGCAGCGTGGGAAAATCTCTGAGATTGTGTTAGCAGTGGGGAGCTAGCTCTCCAGGGCCCCACCTGTTGCTGGTGGGAGTGATTTTTTTTTTTTTTAACATTTTTTTATTGATTTCAGAGAAAGGGAGAGGGAGAGATAAAAACAATAAGAGAGAATCATTGATCGGCTGCCTCCCACCTCCTACTGGGGATCAAGCCTGCAACCCAAGCATGCGCCCTTGACCAGAATCAAACCTGTGACCCTTCAGCCCACAGGCTGACGCTCTATCCACTGAGCCAAACCAGCTAGGGTGGGAATGGCTTCTTGTAATGTCACAAGAAAAAAAAATGTTTTTGAGACTTGCACAAGAGAATGAGTGACATTTCTTTGCATGGATTTAAATCCCTGAGTTTCCAAGGTCCCATTTCCCTCCGTCTCCCCACAAAAGAAGCCCATTCAGGCCTTAGTGGGGCTAGGATTAAAGCTATTGCCCAGAGCTTCTGTTGCATGTTGGAGCACAGTCCAATCTGGCATCATGCTAAGCGAGTTTGTGTCCCAGCGACAGGCCGTCAGTCCATTGGGTGTGGTCAGCAGGGCCATACGGCTTGGGAGGCAACCCTGGTAGGGAGGAAAGCGGAACAAGAGAGATACAGGAGTGCCAGGAGAGCAAGCTCCTTTGTCTTGGGGACTATGTATTCCCAAATTTTCACAGGCTTGTATGGCCTACCCACTATGGCCAATGAGAGTCATGAGTTCAATTCCAGTCAAGGGCAGGTACCTGGGTTGCAGGTTCAATTCCCAGCCCCATAGTAAGGGCGAATGCGGGAGGCAATCAATCCATGTCTGTCTGTCACTTCCCCTCCTTTTACTCTTTCCTTTTTTCTTTAATATATTTTATTGATTTTTTAGAGAGGAAGAGAGAGGGATAGAGTTAGAAACATCAATGAGAGAGAATCATCAATCAGCTGCCTCTTGCACACCCCCTACTGGAAATGTGCCTGCAACCAAGGTACATGCCATTGATTGGAATCAAACCCGGGACCTTTCAGTCTGCAGGCCAACATTCTATCCACTGAGCCAAACCAGTTTCGTCTCCTTTTACTCTTTCTAAAAATCAGTGGAGGTGTGTGTGTGGAGGGGGGGTACAGGGTCTGTGGGAGCCGGCCTTCATGCTGCTCTTTTGCCAGGGCTGTGGGAATGGGCTCATTGTGGAGGAGGGACAGCACTGCTGCTGTTTTGCCTGCAACACCTGCCTCTACCTGCACAGCATCCCTGGTGAGGTAACAAACGGGAAGTATCCAAAGCTGGAAGAAGTGGATGACTTGCTTGGTGGAGCAGCTGCCCGGGAGAACGTGGACTCTGCTGCAGAGCCGTGTCCCAGATGTGAACATCCTCGTGCCTTCTGCATGCAGCTTCAGACCCGCGCTGCAGACGAGCCAATGACTACCTTCCATGAGTGCTGCAATGCGCGGTGTGGACACTGCTGGAGGGACTAGAGCAGACTGGTCCAGCTGTGTGGCATCTGTTTACCTTATTCCCTAGAGTGGATTTCCAGCGGGAGCCAGGTCTTGTGTCCTGAGGGTCTCTGCTGGCATTGGTGGAAACAATGGTTTTAGGTTGTTGGTCAGAGTGTCAGGAAATGGAAAGCCCATCTATTAGTCCGTGGATGAGCTCATTAATGTCAAGGGAGATTGTGTGTGTAGGGAAGATTATCCACAATTAATTATAAGGACCTGTTCGTTCACCTTTCACATTTATTGGGCAATTGACATCCTTTTCCCATTAACCAACACTCTTAAATATTTATATTGTTTGCATAAAGTAAAACTTATTAACTTAGTACATTGATTTCAGAGAGAAGAAGGGAGGAGAGATAAAACAGAGAGAATTATTGTTTCTAAATATTTAACTGTTAAGTGCAAACTTATTTAATCAACATTTATTCTGAATATTTAATTAAAATGAAAAGTTTAATAAAATAAAAATCAATGAAAAAAATATCCTCAGGTGAGTACTAACCGAAAAATGAACAATAATAAAAAAAATAAAGAGGCCTCTCTTGGCATGCCACTTTTTCAGTGCTGGTGGCCCCACTGGGTGGGGCCTCCTCCCAGGCTGACCAGGCCAAATGTCTGATTCCTTGCACTTCTAGGACGAGGTGCAGGTGCAGACTTCCAGCCCGCTCAGAGCCTTTCCCCTTTGCCTCAGGTCACTGCAGGGTCAGGCAGAACCAGCCCTCCCACAGGGTGTGGAAAGGTGTCTCCCCTGCTCTTGAGGTGGGCCTCACTGTCCAGCTCCTAGCTGGTTCTTTTGGAAGTTCCCCTGAGAGTAAAGGGACCCTTAGGGTCACTGAACAGAGTACCTGTCTGACCCCTCCACTGACCCTGAGGTCCAATGGGCGGTGCCGTCCAACAGAATTAGATTGGGCTAACTTCCCAGCTGGGATGCTGGTGGGTTGCTCGCCATGCTCCTGCCAATAAGTCTCAGCCTTAGACTCCTGCAACAGCACTCACCACACCCGCTCTCCCTCCCTGCAATCAGTGCTGTCCTGTCAACTCCCAGCGCTCCTGGCTCTGTGGCCCATCCAGTTTACTCACTTTTCATACAATCTGCAGACCCAGCAGGGCCCAGGGCTGGGCAGTCAACTGCCACCTGTGACTAACTGCAGCTCCTGGACCCCTGGCTGAAAGGCCCTTCAGTTTGCAGGCTGATGCTCTGACCACTGAACCACCGGCTAGGGCTCAAGCACCATTATCGATATTAATCTCACTTCTGCTAGTTGTGCAATTGGAAGCTATAACCTTCAGGTTTAATTGAGGCCAAGGCTGTAAGAACACAATGGTGTAAATTACAATTACCATATAAAAACTTCCTGAGACAGAAGGCGTTTCTTAAGTAAATTTCCTGTGCATTAGCAGCAATTATAGAGAATCATATATTAATAGTTACCTCAACTTTCATCTGAATTATATTTAGTAGTCCTTGTTGGGAAGGGAGTAAGCACATTCTCATAATTAGATTCTTGAATCCTATATAATAAAAGGGAAATATGCAAATTGACCAAATGCTGGAATGACCAGTTGCTATGACATGCACTGGCCACCAGGGAAAGACACTCAACGCAGCAGCTGCCCCCTGGTGATCAGCGTGCTCCCACAGGGGGTGCCCTGCTCAATCAGAAGCCAGGCTGACGGCTCATGAGTGCAGTGGCGGTGGCGGGAGCCTCTTCTACCACCTCTGCAGCAGTTGGACATCCCCTGAGGACTCCCAAACTGCAAAAGGGCACAGGCTGGGCTGAGGGATCCCCTCTCCAGTGCATGAATGTCATGCACCGGGCCTCTAGTCTTATATAATAAAAGCATAATATGCAAATTGAAAGAACAGCAGAATGACAGGGGGGTAGGGCCAGGCCACTGGACAGAGGGAGGGGATGGTGATGGATCGTGACAACCAGCAGCGGTAGAGGGTGATGGCGGGGGGCTAGCCACTTATGCCGGTGCCTCTCCTGATCAGCCCGCTGGTTACCTCCTGCACAGACCAGGGAGCAGGCCAAAGCCTCAGTTGGATATCCCCTGAGGGCTTGCAGATTGCAAGAGGACACAGGCTGAGCTGAGGGCTCCCCCCACTGCCAATGTGCATGAATTTTTATGCACTGGGCCTCTAATTTATACATAAAATTCATTTCTCAATATCCTTTTTTCACTAGCCTTCTACAAATTCTATGGTTCTTCTTAATTGGTCTCTTTTTATTAATTCAGAAATAACCAAATTATCAGAACAAATTATTTCAACTTCTCTTAAAAACATACACATTCCTTTCCTTCCTTTTGTTTTTTTAATATATTTTATTGATTTATTATAATAAAGAGAGGGAGGAAGAGAGATATAGAGACAACGATGAGAGTCATCGATCAGCTGTCCCCTCACGTCCCCCACTGGGGATGTGCCCGCAACCAAGGTACATGGCTTTACCACGTACCTTCGTACGGTACTGGAAATGAACCTGGGACCCCTCAGTCCACAGGCTGATGCTCTATCCACTGAGCTAAACCGGTCTTGGCCCTTTCTTCCCTTTTGAAATAACATTCCTTCTATACTTCAAGAGAAACCATAAAAAGTGTATTATTGATAAGGCAAAAGTTATTGTAAACACCTTTAGCAATTATTAACAGTTGTGCTATATACAGGTTTAAGAAAAACCCAAATAACAAATATAATTATTATGACTAGTATTATTAGCAGACAGATAAAGAAAATTGAACAAAATTTTATTGTATTTGTGTGTTTCTGGCTCTACTGTAAACAACAATCTGCCCATCTACATGGGGTTTTATACCTGGGCTCTCAATTCTGTTCTATTGATTTGTATGTCTGTTTTTCTGCTAATACCATGCTGTTTATTTTTTTAAAGAAATATTTTATTGATTTTTTACAGAGAGGAAGTGAGAGGGACAGAGAGCTAGAAACATTAATGAGAGAGAAACATCAATTAGCTGCCTCCTGCACACCCCCCACTGGGGTCATGCTCGCAACCAAGGTACATGCCCTTGACTGAAATTGAACCTGGGACCCTTCAGTTCACAGGCCAATGCTCTATCCACTGAGCCAAACCAGTTACGGCAATATCATGCTGTTTTAATTATTATAGTCTGTGATATAATTTTTTAAAATATTTATATATTTTATTGATTTTTTAAAAAATATATATATTTTGATTTTATACAGAGAAGAAGGGAGAGACAGAGAGTTAGAAACATCAATGAGAGTCATCGATCAGCTGCCTCTTCCACACCCCCTACTGGGGATGTGTCCGCAACCAAGGTACATGCCCTTGACCGGAATTGAACCCGGGACCCTTCAGTCCCTAAGCTGATGCTCTATCCATTGAGCCAAACTGGTCTCGGCTATTTTATTGATTTTTTTTTTTACAGAGAGAAGATGCTCTAGTCCAAGGCAGCTTTTTTTAAATCTATACTGTTGAAAGTATTACAGTTGTGAATAAAACTTATTTCAGGTCTGAAAGCCATGTGGTCACAAGAACTCAGTTCAACAAATTAAGACTTCTCTCCTCAATGGGACATTTATAGAATAACCACCATGTGACAAGTACCAAGGAACTTCTCTGCATGCTTTTGGAAGTGTCAACAGTGTGTCCAGCATGGTTAAGTTCTAAAGTCAGAAGACACACTGGTTTAATTTCAGCTTTATGTCTGCTGTTGGGTCTTTAGGCAAGAGATGAAACTTCTTGCCTCCTTCATCTACAAAGAGAGAACTGGTCCTCCAGAGTAGCTGAGGATGGTGTAAAAGCATCTCCTATCAGTGAATTCACTGAGGAAACCGTGGTAAAGCCTGTCTGCCTTGCATCCTTCGGTGACACACCAACCTAACAACTGCCTCCTCCAAACAGTAAGATGTTTTTGCAAACCTATCAAAGACAACAAAGAATGATGATTCATAAAAATGAAAGTTTGGTCAAATGAGTTCTCTCATTCCAATATTAACATTTTAATGCTGTTTAAATATTCAATTAGATATATCATTTTTATGAATAGCTTATTAATCAATTTTAGAGTCTATTTAAATAGGCCTAACTCATAAAATTACTTAAATGTTTCAGGGATTATTTATTACAGCAGTATTTCCATGTAAGATTTCAGATTATGATAGTTTTATAAGAATAATGACTGCTGGAATTAAATAATTTTTGAGTAAAATTCATATTAGTTTCTTTGAAGATTTATAAAGTACTTATCATCATGAATTTTCATGAATGTAGTATTTATAAATACATACAATACATACTTTTTTTAAAAATTGATTTCAGAGAAAAAGAGATAGAAACATCAGTGATGAGAAAGAATCATTGATTGACTGCCTCCTGTATACACAAAACGGGGGTTGAGCCTGCAACCTGGGCATGAGTCCTGACCAGGAATCAAACCACGACCTCCTGGTTCATAGGCTGACGCTCAAGCACTGAGCCATGAATGTAGTATTTATTAAAGCTTTTTTTCTTAATTAAAAATAATGCCAGATAAACAATTATTACTTAAATCTTTCATTTATTTAGGAAAAAGTTTTACACATTAGGATAAAATAGTAAAGACGTTAACATAGAACCTAATGCTTTTCAACCATCCATTTTTTATTTATAGTAGCCATGAGAACTAGCCATTAGAAGTAATTACACCTGAGAGTAGTATCAGGGAGAAAGGCTCTGATCTTTTATTATCTTATTTAGAATGATATGCCCTGGCTAAATCTTATCTCATACTACAAAAACCTCTAGCATATGGATGATTGCCTTTACAATGCTTAGCACCAAAATTATTACCCCGACTACCATCTTTAAAAGTCTGACATCCTGCCATCTGAATATAAATACAGATTTAAAGTCCTGGTATTAAAGAAATGGCAGTTAAAAAAGAGAGGGAGGGGGGAAAGAAATGGCTGTTCAAGAAAATAATCTTTATTGTGAGCTGGCATAGTATTTTTACTTAGTATTAGAAAAATGAAAACACATTCCTCTACAAAAACTGAACCAAGGTTAGCTAAATGTTTTGGAGCTAAGTAATGACTTTAATAGTGCATTTGCAGTAAAGGCAGCAGTGGCAGCTGACTGGTCCATATGTCTGCAAGCAAGTGCAGAGAAGCAGAACACACAAGTACTGCTCACAAGTACTTCAGAGCAAGCGAACAGTTTTTCCAGTTACTGTCAAGAAGTCATCATCAGCCAGGGCACGCAATGCTTCTTCAAACATATCTTTGGTAATTGCCTTTGGGGAAAAAAGGAGAGACAAATACTTTATACATATCAAATACTCCTTTACCTGTTACAGAGATATGATGCTTTCAATGTTAAAGAACCACCAATTGTTTTCTTTTTTGGTGGTTATATACATTTCTATGTCCCAACTCAGGAGTGGCAAACATTTTGTGTAAAAAGCCAGATGATAAATACCGCAGACTTGGCATCTGTCATTAACTACTCAACTGTGCCCCCAACTTACCAATGTGGCCACAGATAATACATAAGTGAAGGGGAATTTTGATAGCAGGCAAAGGGCTGGTTTTGACCCTCAAAGTTCTTTTCACTAAACAACTCAATTTTACTTATTCAGAGAAGGGCACTTGAGTATTTCATTCCCCCAAAAAATTTATCTGATAAATTTGATAGTTATTACTACTTAAAATAGCAAAAACCCGCAAATATCCTGAATGTGCAACAAGTGATTAAGAAAACGATGAAATATGCACGTAAAAGAATGTTACCAACCAGTACGATTAATATTATGAAATCTATTTGCCTTCACAGATGGTTAATGTTAATTTGTTACTTAAAAGAAACAGCAAGTTACAAAGCAGCAAAAATATAATCAACTATGTTTTTTCAAAGAAAAGACCACATGTGAATATATATACACATAGAAAAGTTATAAAAGGAGCAAATAAAATTTTAATTGTGATTATTTCTTGATAAAGGGTTTATGGGTGATATTACTTTTCTCCATTATCCTTAATACTTAATACTTACTAAAGAAAAAGATTCGGGTTTTTTAGCCAATAATAAGAGAAAAAACTCTTATTACACATAAAATACATATGAACACTTACTATGTCAGATTGTCCTCGAATATCTTCAAACAGTTGCTGGTATTTTAGAGCTGGCGTTTTCCCTTTAGATAAAATAAGTTTTCTCAATGCTTCAGCTAACTCTTCTTTCCGTTTACGTGAGGTGGCACTCATTCCTAATTGAAAAGAAATGAATGAAATATTTCTTCTATAAGAACGTGAAATGTCTCAAATTTCCATTAAGGTTAGGGAATAGTAGCTGAATGCTAGAATAATAGCTATCACATTTAACATCAATTACATAATTTTCGTGTGCTTTTACGTTTAATGCCAATAACAAACCTGTAGTAAGAATAGATATGTCCACAATGCCAGTCCGGGGATCAGTGGCAGACTGCTTTAGAGCCTCACGATGCAGGCGCTTTGCCTCTTCCACATCAATTGCTTCAACTTTGCTTGAAAACCGCACTTTAGCATGGGCTTCTGATAAGCGAATCAAAGATTCCAGCTGTCGGGGGTATGCAGAGACCATTCCTCGGCTACTGCCAATCTTCCTCATGTCTACATAAGCCTAGTGTAGACAGAAAAAGCCAAGATTCCTTGTTAACAATAACCTTAGTTTTGTGGTCGAACTTTAAACATTTAGGATTCTATTAAATAAACAAAACTACTGCTAGGTTGCCATGAGCAGATACTGAGGGGAATGAAAAGTGAGATCAAGCTTTGTGCCTCAAAGCCAAGAAGGCGGTATTCGATGTGACTTTGGAGGATGGGAGTGAAAGCACGTGAGCCCAGTACTCAAAAGAACTAAGGGGCAGGCTGTAGTCAGAGCAGAAGACAACCAGGATGCCTATCTGTAAATGCTCCTCAGGCACCGACTCCAAATTATATACTTGCTGAGGAGCAATTTAATAAGGCACAGAAAAGAATACTGAGATGTTACAAAGGTAAGTTGTAGTAAACTTATATACAGATGAGATAATTTTATTTTTGAGCAACATCAAGAATACAAATGGGCCCTAACTGGTTTGGCTCAGTGGATAGAGCATCAACCTAGGGACAGAAAGGTCCCAAGTTTGATTCCAGTCAAGGGCATGTACTGGTTGCAGCTTGATGGCCAGCCCTGGTCAGGGAGCATGAATGAGGCAACTAATCTATGTGTCTCTGTCTCTACCCCTCCTTTCCACTATCTCTAAAAATCAATGGAAAAATATCCTCTCTTGAGGATTAACAATAACAAACAAGGATAATACATATGGAAATCTAATATTATCTGCAACTTCTGAATAGTTTGGAAGCTTCATTAGGATGCACAGCCCATAAAAATCCTCTTCCTACGACAAAATCCTCTTCCTATTTGAATAACCTAATGTGTCATAATGCACTGCTGCCTATGTAAGCAATACTGAAAAGTGAATATAAAATATTTTTTAGAAATAAAAAATGGAAGCTCAGAGAAATGGGATTACTTGTCCAGACTTACAAAGTCGCTAAGTAGAATGACCTATACTTCCACTCCTATATTCTGATCTTAACTCCACTACACTTAGTACTTAAATGTAAGAAGTGTGTACAACTTATATAAATTAACCCTCTTTTTACATTTGGAAAAATCACTTTGCAACAAAGGAGAAAAAAAAGTTGTAGCGAGACTTTTTTTTTTTTCAGGCTTTAAACGTGGATATGTGTTACCTCAATGAGAGCTTGGCTGGCTTCCTGGCTTAGCCGAGGGGTGACCATGCTGTGAGCGTACGCAATGTAATCCTTTAGCACTGCCATGTCCATGAACTCCTCCTCCATTTGCTCCTCAGTCTGGTAGTAAAGAGCGACAAGGTGGTGAGCCAGACGCCTGTCGTAGGCTTCATCCTGAGGATCCAGCATGAGGAAGATCAAATCAAACCTGAGGAAATATTGTAAAAGCAATGTGTTCAATATACCTACAAGCATAATTTAAAAATTGCTCTTGCTGAAACCGGTTTGGCTGAGTGGATAGAGCATCAGCCTGCAGACTGATGGGTCCTGGGTTCGATTCCAGCCAAGGACACATGCCTGGGTTGTAGGCTCAATCCCCAGTAGGGGATGTGCAAGAGGCAGCCGGTCGATGATTCTCTCTCATCACTCATGTTTCTATCTCTCTCTCTCCCTCTTCCTTCCTCTCTGAAATCAATAAAGAAATATATATATATATATAAAAGAGCAGTGAATGAAGGGCTTCTGAAATAGGTGCCAAGATGAAATGTCCTAATTGCTTCAAATATCAAATGAATATGAAGTGGACCAGTAGTTTTATTGCTAGCTTTACCTAGTGGCCAGATAAGTTTCTATTGAACAAGTACAAAAAACGTTTTGCATAAATGTTAAAGGAATGCTTTAAAATTAAATCCCATTGCATTTTGAAGTTATTTATTACATATTCTTACAAGTTAGAGTCTTTTTAAAGAACTCTCGTGATTGGCCACAAGCCTTAGAACAGAAAACAGGAGCATTCTTGTGATCCGTCGGCAGTGCTGCCCATAGCTGAGTAGAGAAACACATAGTCATTGCCATGAAAACCCTTCACCAACCAAATTTGAAAACTTCTGCATTCAAGAGTTTGTGATATTAACAGTTGTTGATTAATATTTTCTTTCCTTAACCCCACCCTGAAAATTCTTCAAATAAGCAAAGAATAAGTATCTATTAAATAAAAATGTTTTCATACCTTGATAATAACGTGTGCGGTAGCTGGATATTTTCAATGGTAGTTTTTTTAGGATTCCATTGAGACTCAATAGGATTTGCTGCTGCCAGGATAGAAGTGCGTGCATTAAGCTGACAAATAATCCCAGCCTACCAGAGAAAACAGTGCAGTTAGAGGTCTCACCGGAATGATGGCTGGAACTGTGTGAGACATCTTTGCCTAGCATGGCCTCTACCATGTCTCCAAGAGCCAGGCCGCCTTGTGGTCCCACTTGGGACAATACCCTGTCCTTGGATTCATGTAAAGGCCTGAGTTTTAGATAACTGTATATGCTATCACTGCATCTTTCTCAGAAACTAAACCTCTTGCACGAGCTTTAGGACAAAAATCATTAATTAGTACAACAAAAATAATAAGACGATCCTATAAAAAATACTCAAGAGATTTAGCTGCAATCTAATAGTAAACGTGTTTACCAGTGTCCCAGAGTTTAGAACTAAGGAAACACTGCAGTTCCATGGATGCTTTGTTTCAAGTATCTACACATTGCAAATGTGTCCACATTTATGGGAGGAGAATGTGACATACCTTTGCAATGGAAAGGGTCTGCTGTTCCATGACTTCATGCAATACTGATCTTGTACTTTCATTCATCTTGTCAAACTCATCAATACAGCAGATCCCATTATCACTGAGGACAAGGGCACCAGTCTGCAGCACAAGCTGCCTCGTCTCGGGGTCTTTCATTACATACGCAGTGAGACCCACAGCACTGGAACCCTTTCCAGACGTGTACTGGCCCCTGGGGACCAGGTTGTACACATACTGCAGCAGCTGGGACTTGCTGGTCCCAGGGTCACCGCACAGCAGAATGTTGATCTCAGCACGAAATTTGCCCCTTCCTGTGTGACTGAAATCCTTTCTTGTTCCACCAAAGAGCTGAAGCAAGATCCCCTAAACAAAGAAACATGTGTCAACACTCATTTACTATAGAATAACCGAGATATAGTTTAAATGTTAGAGGCACTTTTCTACTCCATAAATTATAATTAAGAAATTTAAATAAAGGTACAGAGAAATGAACGTGACACTACTTCAAGTTCTCAATAACCAATTTATACATTAGCACAACCATGTCAGAATGGTGGTCGTGTAAATCCCTCTTCTGACTCTGCCTTTTTTTTTTTTTTTTTTTTTAAAAAGGTATTTTTATTGATTTCACAGAGAAAGGGAGATAGAAATATCAACAATGAGAATCATCGGTTAGCTGCCTCCTGCACGCCCTACACTGGGGATTGAGCCCCCAACCTGGGCATGTGCCTTGACTGGGAATAGAACCACGACCTTCTAGTTCTTAGGTTGATGCTCAACCACAGAGCCACGCAAGTTGGGCCCATGTGCCTTTTCTTAGATATGGTAACATGTTTGGTGTAGAGCAAGCATATCAAACTCAAAGGCTAACAACGGATCAAATAAATGAGGCATGCTGCTGAGGGCCGCGAGTTTGCTTGGTGTGGAGATAAAGAAATGGACAATGCTGTGATTCTCCTCAACCTATGGTATATTCAAGTCAGCTTGTGAGCTCCCTGCTCTGCCCAATAGGCAGTAGCTCTTATCCTTTATGGTGGGGAGGGGCGGAAGAGATGATATTTATACCAAGCATATCAAACGTGTGGCTGGCATGTTTGACATGCTTGGTTTACACTATTTGATCACAAAGAACTTTCTCTAACCACAAATTAAAAATCCACCGACACTGCTCTGGCCAATGTGGCCGAGGTGGGCATCATCCCATGTACCAAAAGATTGCTGGTTTTATTCCCAGTCAGGGCACATGCCCGGGCTGCGGGCTTGATCCCTGGTAGGGGGTGTTAAAGAGGCAGTCAATTGCTGTTCTGCTCTCATACTGTTATTTCTCTCTTCCCCTCTCATTTATCTAACTATAATATATATACATACATACATACATATACACACACACACACACACACACACACACACACACACACATATATTAGATCTCTTTTGTTACCTTCTTTATATCTTCATGTTCATAAATGCTTGGTGCCAAGGCTGAAGCAAGTCTCTCATAAATGTCTGGTTTTTTGGAAAGTTCCTTAAGCAATTCCACACGCTTTTCTGAGAAAAGCTTCTGCTCTGCTTCTTCATCAAGGCCATGCAGACGTTTTGCATCAGTTTTTCGATAATGAATGACATCGATGTGGGTTTTGTAGACAGACTTCACATTACTCACTCTTGGATTGACTCGAATAGGCACAGCTCGGTAAATGCCTGAGGACACAACCACGAGACATACATACTTTTACCTTTCACCAACGGGCTCAGTTAAGCAGTGCAGACAACAGGCAGCACTGAGAGCTGACAGCTGGCACTGGCTTCCCAGCTCACTGCCTTCATGGGCCACCCAGGGTGTAGGTTCAGGGTTACACTGTAAAGCTCTCCGCCAAAGGGGATAGGATAGAGTTGGAAAGAACACAGGTTTCTGCAAATGGGTTTCATCTGTGACCACTTATGTGACCTTGGGCCCCTATATGAGCATAACTACACTACATATAATTATTCTTACATGTAAATGAAATTACTTTGTTTCTACAACAATGCTTGGCTCATGGCAGTGTTCAATAAATACCAGTAGTATTTTCGTTTTCCTTAAGTTGGCAATCTGCTTAGTAATTATTTGATCAGAACTAAATACTAAAATCCTGTACCAAAAAATTGGAAAGGAAACTCAAGTCTTTTAAAAATCATTCACAAATTATTTCAAACACTAAGACAATCTACTGAGTAAAATGTGAAAATACGATTAGAAAAAATGACTGTAGCCAAAACCGGTTTGGCTCAGTAGTAGAGCGTTGGTCTGCGGACTGAAGGGTCCCAGGTTCGATTCCGGTCAAAGGCATGTACTGAGTTGGGGGTATATCCCCAGTAGGGGGTGTGCAAGAGGCAGCTAGTTGATGTTTCTCTCTCATCGCCGTTTCTAGCTCTCTATATCTCTCCCTTTCTCTCTGTAAAAAAAACAATATATTAAAAAAAAGAAAAAATGACTATTTTGTTAATAGGACATACTTCTAGATGAATGGTTGTGCCCCAGACTGCTTTCTAAAGAATACAACTTGAGGAGAAACCAAGATGGCAGCATCAATACCAAAACTGCTGCCTCGCACAACAATTTCAAAACTAAAGGGGTCTCGGGTTTGATACCTGGATAGTGGGTCGGTCCCTGCTCCCCTGCCCACTGTTTTCCCGCCCCTCCCCCCTCCTTAAGGGAGAGTGCAGGAGGCTACCAATCGATGTGTCTGTCACATTGATCTCTTTGTTTCATTGTTTTTCTCTGTCTCCCCTTTCTTTCCTCCCTCCCACTCTCTCTTTCTGAAAAACAATGAAAAAAATACCCTCAGAAGAGGATTAACAAAAAACAACAAATCAATGGGAGAAAAAAAAAAGGCAAGACAGGCTTATAACATTAATACAGCCTACATTCTTACCTGTAACATTCACTCTGTCCCCAGGTTGAACCTTGTCAACAAGATCATTGTGAGCAAAAAGGATGACGGTGTGAGGAGTCTGGCCTGCAGGCATATCTTCAGGAGACTCTTGAAGCTTGATCTGAAAAGAGCAGTGAAAACAGAAAGTCAGCAAATGAAGGAAGCATAATGAGAAAAAGAGCAAGTCTTTATATCACTTGATAAAGAACTACTACTGATGTCCAGAATCTTTACTTTTTAAAACCCTGTTTTTTATTTTAATCTCTAGGTAGTTAAGATTTTAAAAAAGCTTTTACTGTGACATGTTATTTACTTAATTGTTGTATCACAAATCAGTGAGCTGGACAAGATGCCTTAATGAACCAATTACCGTGTTTCCCCGAAAATAAGACCTACTTACAGGTTTCCTTCTGAGTGAAATATAAGGCATCCCCCTGAAAATAAGGCCCCCTAGGCTAAACATGAGAGATTTGGTCCACTGATTCTGAAAGAAATGGAGTCACAAGAAATTCACCAGGAAATTCAGGAATTGGATTGTTATGATGATGTTCCAGAAGGTGATGACATGATTGTCATTGAATAAATGAGTAAATTCTTGATACTGTAGGATTCACGGTTTGTCTGGTTTGTGTTGAAAACTACCGTACTACCGTACCGTATACAGGTAATAAATTTCCTTTATTTTCATTTAACAATAAATGTGTACCGTATTCTTCATGGAAAAATAAGACACCCCCTGAAAATAAGACCTAGCGCATCTTTGGGAGCAAAAATTAATATAAGACACTGTTTTATTTTCGGGGAAACAGGGTAGGAGTCATCATTATTGCACGCAGGTTCAGAGCAGATTACCTGTCAAATTCTGAACCCCCCAAAAAGGAAGCTTCTCTTTTTTAAAAATCTTTTTTAGGTCCTTGTTTAAGTTATTTTTATAGACAATTTGTAACCTTGAGTATGTATCATATCTAACAAACACCTGTCATATCTATACAGACAACTTGTAACTCTGAGTACGTATTGTATCTAACAAACACCTATAACCTTGAATATCATATCTATACAGGCACCTGGCATCAATATCAGCGTTATCAGTTAGATGACTAGCTTGCAAGGTCAGACAATTAAGTTTATCTTTTCTATTCAAGCAAAAAGCAAAGTTACTTTACAGTCTAAAAATAACAGAGTTGACATACAGAATAAGAGACTAAGAATAACAGAATAGTTCAAACAGCAGTTTTCCAAAGGAGGGATTACTATGCCTCAAAATATTCCACTATTTGGGGGAACTGGAAGGCAGCAATTTAGGTGACTATTTTTTTTTTTTATTATTTTTTTTAACCATTTTAAGGATTAGTGGGTATCCCTTTGCAAAAATGTTTGTCTATATTTCTAATTAAATTTTTAGAAGCTACTTCTAGTAGATTTCCTAGGTGGAAAGGCCTTTCTCAAATCAGGTGACCTCTGGGCAGAGGTTAAGGATATTAGGGAGGAAGTATGTGCTCTCAATGTAAAGAACAGCAAGTGCAGCCATGGCAGATGTGGCTCCGTTTGTGGAGCATAGTTCCATGCACCAAGAGGCCACCAGTTTGTATGCCCGGGTTGCAGGCTCATTCTCCAATAGGGGTGTGCAGGAGGCAGCTGATTGATGTCTCTCTCTCCTTTCCTTTCTCTAAAATAAATAAAAACATGCTAAAAAAAAAAAAAAAAAAAAAAAAAAAAAAAAAAAAGCAGCTAATGCAAAGGTCCTGCAGCAGGCTTGAGCCTGGTTGATGATCTAGGTGAGACACTGTCAGCAATGAAGTCTATGGGTACAAAGGTGTGCTGTGGCTGATGATGAGTTTAAGACATTAGGTTTTATTCTAAGTTGGTTTGGGAATCTTTGAAACATTCTACGAATATACAAAAAGCTCTTTGGGAGCCCCTTTATTCCATCTTTGTACCTCTAGCTCTTAACACCATGCTGGTGTGAGCTGAGGTACATTTGCTCCAATAATTTGTACCAATATTAGATACAATTTACAACTTAATCTTCCATTATTTGATAATTATTTTTCACATTTATTATTTTTTATTATTCTCAATAAGGGAATTACCTTTTGTAGTATTTTGAACACATTCTCTTAACATTACAATTAAACACTGCAACAAAATAAAACTTGTGCATACTTTTACACCATTACAATAATAGTAAACAAATATATTTTCTGCATTGCCCCTCTAATTTTTGTCATTTTAAAAACTTCATCTTAAAAATTTCATGATTAGAGAGGTAAAAGGTCAAACTTCTTATATAATAAAATCTGTGAGAGCTTTAGAGAAATTTCTCAACCCATTTTTTTTATCAGTGGAACACTTGCAAAAATGACAGAATTTGCCGGGACCGGTTTGGCTCAGTGGCCTACGGACTGAAAAGTCCCGGGTTCGATTCCGGGCAAGGGCATGTACCTTGGTTGCGGGCACATCCCCAGTAGGGGATGTGCAAGAGGCAGCTGATCGATGATTCTCTCTCATCGATGTTTCTAACTCTCTATCCCTCTCTCTTCCTCTCTGTGAAAAATCAATAAATTAAAAAAAAAAAAATGACAGAATTTAACCAAATAATTTTTACTAATCTTAAATATTTTATTTAAAACACTAAAAATATTTTATAATCTTAAATAGTTCCCATAGAAATGTCTCGTTATATTTAATACATCAAAGAGATTAAATTTAAGATGTGTATGGTGGAAGAATGCACTCTATCTCTTGTTATAAAGTATTTTATGGATGAGAATGTGAGATATATAATGAACGGATGCTCACTGGCAATAGAGCAGAGACACTGCCATCCCAAAGTAGAAGCCTTACACATGCTCCAAGTACCCAGCCCACAACCCTGTAACAAATCCCACAGGGAGAGAGAACTGAAGTAGCTGAACTCCTGAGAAGCAGGGTTTTAAGGCTTCACTTTAGGTGTTTTGAGGATCCGGATCAAAGCAGACAAAAAAGACAAAACATGCCAAAGGGAGGGCCACCCAGAGCACCCAGGAAGCCACGCACCATCTGCTTGTCGGAGAACACGGAGCGGTTGTGGATCAGCGCCATGCTGTGGGTGGTGTGGCAGCGCTCGCACACGCAGGGCTCAGCGATACGGCCGCGGTCCATCTCCACCTGGGCGGTGTGGGCACACACCTGGCACTGGAAGAAGGCCTCCTGCATCTCCGGAATGAGCTGGGATGTTCTGATGACCATGCCACTGATGGCGATGAGCTGGTCGATGTCTGCAAGAAGGAGAGACCGGCTTGTCCATTAGCCACTGCCCTCAGCTCCATCAGCTGTGGTGTCTCCCCTGGCTGGATTCCTGCCCAGACAGGTCTGTCTCTGTTAAGCACAAAAGATTCCTGTCTGGAGGTGCAGAGGGACCTGGTGATGGCTGGGGTAGCAGGTAGGCACTGTGGCCAGGACACGGACATCTCACTGACTACCGTCAGGTCTGGCCTAGAATGCCCATCCTGTGTCTAGTCTGCCTTCCTCTCAACCCCAACGAATCTCTGGCTCTTTCTTCTCGAGTCCCCTATCCAATAGGCATCTGACCACCCTTTTCTCAGCTGCCTCCTGTCTGATTCCACTTTCGAGTTTCATGAGAAACTACGCTTTGGCCTATTCTGGCCCTCGGCCTTCCTCTCACACATTGTGCCACACACAAGTCCTGCTGCCTCTGTGTACGGACAAAGCATGGGCTTTAGAGCCACCTGGCCTGGACCTTGGGGACACATATAGCTCATAAAGTTGTTGAGGATTAAGAGTTGGTTCATATAATACAAGCCTAAAGAACAGCACCTGACAGAGATAAGCACTATATATCTTAGCCAATCTTAAGGCCCTCTATAGATTACTTCGCACTCTACAATTTGGACCTTCCCCGACAACTTTTTCCTCAACTATTTCCCACTGCTGGCTCTAATCGAGATACACTGTCATTTCTAGTCAACAAAATAGCGTAGCCAGCTACTGCTGGTTTTATAGATTGTCCTATCCCTTAAGCCTTCCAATGTCCCACCAGAATTCTGATCAGAGATGCCAGGTGCTGATTTCATAAGTAGTGAAGTCCAACACTTGCTCATGTTCATTGCTGTCTTATTTTCTTTGACTGAAATTTATGTCTTTTGTATTTTACTTGAAGCAGTATTCATTAATTGCCAATAACTTTTATACCTCAATCTTTATACATGGCAAATATGTTTGTCCTGTATTTTTACTCTGATGGCCACTGTCCAGTTTAGGATCCGGATGCCTTATATATAAGCTACTGTTCACCTCCTAATCGAACCTCAACATACTTTGTACACTGGACTGACCATGAACTTGTAAAGAGTGATCAATCTTTCTCCTTAATGGCTCCCTATAGACTTTGGAATAAAAATCTCAGCTAAGCTCTTCAGGGCCTAAGCTTTCCAACCTCCATGCAAACACTGCCAGCCAAACTCCCTGCTTCAGCCATCACTTACTGTGCACACAGCTGTTTTGCTTCCTTGTGTCTGGCTATATCCCCGTTTTCTGCTGTCAAGAGAGAATTCCTTCATGTCTGCTTTCCAAATCCTCGCTATAATCCCAATTTCTATATCACTGTGAGTTCTTCTTACTTGAGCCCAGTACTTTCCTTCTCTCCCCGGGCTGAGACATCTCCCGGACTGTTCTTCAGTTACTCTACCTCTTCTTTCATTTACTTTCCCAACTAGATTTATTTTTTAAGCTCTAGGGCAGGGATCATATTTGTACTTGTTTTCTACAGTGTTTCTGAGAAAGTATAAAATTATAGTATTTGGATAAGTTCACCTTAAGATAGAGAACAGTTACATAATCTTTTCTATAATTTCAGTTAAGTTAGAAAAGGTTCGGTGGGTTCATAATCATATAGGTTAGCTGAATCTGATATTATTTTATCAATTTGGAATCTATCACCACCAATTGTTTTAAAGTTCCTTAATAAAATAAGGTTTTGTTTATTTTCATGTAAGGTATTTTCCTGCTATTTAAAATATTACCTTCTGGCTCTGGCTGGGTAGCTCTCAGGTGGTTAGAGCATTGTCCTGATACACTAAGGTTGCGGGTTTCATCTCCAGTCAGAGCATACAAAAGTCAACCAATAAACATATAAATAACTCTCACTCTAAAATCAATTAAAAAATTACCTTCTGGGTTCAGGTTCCTCATATTCTTAGTCTTCAATGGATTGAATGGTCTTACTTGAATCTGATGTTCTAAGATTGAGTCAGGGTAACGGTCAAAAAAGATCTCATTGACAGCCATATCAAAAGTTGGGATAACCTCCTATAAAAAATGAGAGGATACCAAGTTGTGCTTGTATTTCTATCTTACGGTTAGACTTAAAGCACTTCATATTAGCAAAGGGTAAATGCAAAAACACATGGCATAGTCCAAAAGCATTATTTTAGTCACACTCATACCATTTATTAATCGTGGGTTCACCTGCTTGCTCTCATTGGGGTTAAATGTGGTCATATATAAACAGTGCCTTCAGTATGCACTGGCATATTTTAGGCTCTTACTTAGTAACAAAATGAATTCAAATTTGTCAACACTTGTCCCCCATTCTGCAGATGAGGAAATAGCCTTTTGGGCGGGCAGGTGGGGTGGGAATGGGGATTGAGGGGGCTAAGCTACTGGACCCAGGTCACATAGCTATTAGGCAGAAAACATCAATATTTAAAACTGAGTCTGCTTGCCTCCAAAGTCTATAGCTATAGTCAATATAGTTAACATAGTGTCATTTAAAAGATAATGTGCCACTGACAGTAATACACATTCCAATTCAGAAATGTTAAAGGTATGAAAAGGGCTTATCTTAAAGGAGACTAAACATTGCTTTCTAAAGAAAGTTCTTCTGCCTTGGAGGCATATTCTCCGTTACCCCGGAGGAAGTTCTGCTATTCAGAAACTCTTAAGATATTCTGGATGTTTATTGTAATTCATCAAGGTCAAAGACAAATTCTTACCTGTGGGTAGCAGATGAGCTGTCTGTATAGGTTTTTGTCAAATGATTTTATGTGTTCACAGTTTACATTTAAAAATGGCTCCCCAATAACATTAATCTACAAGATCAAATGAACAAGTTATAGTCTGATCATTTTGAAATGCATAATTTGAATTTGTAAGTAAGGATATATAATTACCTCCCCAAGTCGTTGCATGTACAGAGGTTCAGTAATATCTATACCAACATTTTCTTCTTCTTTAGCCAGAGGGTCAATAAAACGTTGAAGAAATCTCTTGATGTGGAGAGAAAAATATTAAGCTTAATGCACTGAGGAATAAGCAAGTATTCAAAATACAAAGTTATGAGTATGTCACTATGACAAAGCAGGAAAACATCAACAATTCTAAGGCGCATAAAAATCTAACAGGAGGGCCTGGCACCAGGGGCTCAGTGGGTGAGCATGATCGGTGAACCAGAAGGTCACGGCTCCATCCCCAGTGGGGGCAGGGGTGAGGGTGGACAGGAGGTAGCCCATCCATGATTCTCTCTGAAATTAGTAAAAACATATTTTAAAAAAATCTACCACTAGAAATTATGGCTACTTAAATATGTCATTAACACTATTCCACAGCATTTTCAGCTTTAAGAGGAATTTGAACACGTATAGCTCACCTGAAAATTTTCTTTGCATGTCGCCACATTTACATCTGTTCCCCAAATCACAAGTTTTTGGCCTAGAGACTGCTCACTTGCTACTGTATCTTCTGCTGCTGGCTACACAGAAAAATATGACAAAACCCCGTTAATGAACCATGTTATCTTCCCAAACCAGGCTATCAGAAGACTGTACGGTGTACTCACCCCATCGGAATGCAAATCCACCTGCAGTCCCTTCCGGGCAGACCCTAGGTCAGGCCTCTGCCTCAGGGGTGTGCCCCTCACACCACTCCTGGGGGTTCCCTCCACTCGAGAGCTGGGAGTGCCATATGTCAGTGGTGAACTCACATCAAAGTCAAGGGGAATAGCTAGAAAAATAACATGTGGATGTTTACAATGAACGTCTGGTAGCATATTGGGAAATACATCATGTTCTCTCTGTTGATCAAGTCATTTAAGTGCATTAGCAAACCTCAGAGGGAGTGTAGGGGAGGGAGGAGATAAAGGGGAGAGATCGGATCAACCGAAGGACTTAAGTGCATACATATGAGACTTATGTATGCACTTAAGGGGGGGGAGGGGGCATGCGTAGGAAAGGGTGTGGGATGGGGATGGGGGGGAATGAGGATAAATATGTGACACCTTAATAAAGAAATACAAAAGCAAACTGGCTGTTTATTGTAACCTCTCCTGGTTAAGATTCTGAGGTCCACCGAAGATTCTATAAAAAGCACCACGCTTAGCCCTGGCTGGGTTGCTCAGTGGATAGAGCGTGGGCCTGCAGAGGGAAGGGTCCAGGTTCCATTCCGGTGGTCAGGGTCGCCCCAAGGTGCAGGAGGCAGCCGATCAATGATTCCTTCTCATCACTGAATTTTCTACCACTCTCTTCCTCTCCCTTCCTCTCTGAAATCAGTCATTAAAAAAAATGCACCACTTTCTTTCTCTGCTCACTAAGCCCTGGCGCGGACCACCCCACGTGGAAGCTTCATTGTGCATGAGCCACAGGACAGCGTAGGGCAAGGACCCACCAGAAGCGTGCAGCGGCGGCGGGCTGGAGAACAGCGTGTCCTGGGCGGCAGGGCTCTGCAGGTCGGCTGCGGGCGAGGTGGGCAGCGGCTGCAGCTCTCCCGTGGAGGTCGAGTCCTCGCCTCGGCGTCTCTGCGAGGGAGGGGACCTGGCATCCTCACTTCGAGCTGGTGACATACAGAGCAGAAAGAGAAGGCGGCCATCAGTCCTCACGGCGGGTCTGATTCCCAGCACAGCCAAGCAGAAAGCGGGGAGTGAGGACGGGCATGTTCAACCAGCGGACATCAGAAAGACCCTGGAAGGGTGGGCAAGGGGCGCCCAGCGTTGTCTGCCTCGCGAGAGTCTGCCCACTGGGACGACGGACAAGGCGGCAGGGAAGGGCCAAGGCGGAGAGGGGGAGGCGGCGGGAAGGCGCCGGGGGCCGAGAGGGGGAGGCGGGCAGAGGGTCGCGCGGCTGACCCCACTCGCGGGGGAGACTTACGCGTCTGCGCGGGCGTGGCCCTGCGGCGGCTGCCGCGGCGGCTGGGGGTCGACGCCGGGGACGACATGGCGCTCGCAGTCCCTGCGCGACAAACTCGGGGTCACGGTGCCGCGCCCGCTTCTGGCCGCTCTGCCGCCACACACACCCCTCGCGGCACTCGGCGGGGTTACCGGGAGGAGAGCTCCGCTCCCGACGCACGAGGGTCCCGGGCTGCACCCGGCGGGCTGCACTCCGAGGGCCGCGCTACGGCACCGCGAGAGCCTGGCACCCGGTTTCCCGCCGGCCGCGCAGTCGTCACCGCTCCCGGCGGCGCTTCAGCCAATCACAGCGGTGCTTCCGCACGGCTCCGCCTCCGAGAGGCGCCACTGCGCACCCACGGGGGGGGGGGACTGAGCTCCGCCCGCGGCGCGGCGCAGGAGGCGGACGCTGCCTCGCGCGGGGCCTCCCCTCCTCTCAGATGGTCTGACCCAGAGCCGGGCGGCAGTTTCGCGGGAAATCGGGAGGTCCCCCAGACCTAGTTCACTCTGGCGCCACGGAAAATTTCCTTTCTCTCTCAAACTTCTCATTGCCGAAGACACTCCAAACGCATGTCCGCTCTTTGTCAGGGGACAAACTGTAGATCTCGGTCAAAGAGACCCAGCTTTGGGCGCGCCATGGGGTTCCTGCTTCTCCCTAAGTTTCAATGAACGCTCTGAGGGTGCCGCGTACCACGCACTCCTCTGCCTGTCAGAACCCCTAAGCAGTTGACGGCGCTAAGCCGGCCATGGCTCCCCTCCCGCTTTGCGAGCCCCGCCCCCACCCAGTGAACTCCGCCCCCGCCCTGCTAGCCCCGCCCCACCCCGTGAACTCCGCCCCTGCCCTACTAACCTCGCCCCGCTTTGTGAGTCCCGCCCCCGCCCCGCGAACCCTACCCCCGTCCTGCTCCACTAGCCCCGCTTCGCTCTGGAAACTCCGCCCCCTCCACCGCGAGGCCCGCCCCCACCTCGTGAGCCCCGCCCTAGCCCCGCGAGCCCCACCCACCTCGGAAATCCCACCCCCCGTCTCGCTAGCCCGCCCCCGACTCGCTAGCCCCGCCCCCGCCCCTGGAAGTTCCGCCCCCGCCTCGTTAGCCCCGCCCCCGCCGCTGGAAACTCCGCCCGCGCCGCGCGAGCCCGCCCTCCTGCGCCGCTACATTTCCGGCGGGTCTCGGGGAGCGCTCCTGGCGGGTCGAGGCTGCGGGTCATGGCGGACCCCGCGGGCGGCGTGCAGGGCTCCCTGCTGCAGCTGCAGGAGTCCTTGTCCGCCGCGGACCGTTGCGGCGCCGCGTTGGCCAGTCACCAGCTGATTCGGGGCCTGGGGCAGGAGTGCGTGCTGAGCGCCGGCCCCGCCGTGCTGGGTGGGTACCGGCGGCGCCAGGTGCCGGGCGGGGGGATGGCGGGCTTCTGGGGGGCGTTCCGCCCACGGGGTTGGGAAGTCCAGGGGTTTGGCTGTGGGTCATCACACTTCCTGGAGCTGTGTGTGAAAAGCGGTTAGCCACAGGCTTTTAACGCCAGAGCAAGCATTTTAAAAAGCTGGTGAAAATGCCCCAGATTTGCCCACCGTTGCTATTAAAGTGGGACAGACGAATGAGAGCAAAGTATTTTCTTGCACCATAATTTGGCCTACACCAGTTTCCAAACCTTTACATTTGTCGTTCCTACTTTTGAGAAGCATTACAGAAATAGAACTGAAAAGTCATGCTGTTCTTTTAACTTTTTAGTAATGCCTGGATGAGAACTTTTTTTTTTTTTGTAGTAGTAAAAATGCTTTTTTAAAGCACTTAAAAACATCATTGCTTGGAAACATCTGTGATAACCCTTTAAAAAAAAAAAAGCAGAACTCCATGGTGTGTCCTCTTAATGAAAAGAGTTGAGATTTTCTTCCTAAGGGGCCGTTGCTAAATGTAGTGGAGAAATAATGCAAACAGTACCTTAAGTGCTGCAATAGTATTTGTATATTGTCAAGGATATTTTAATGGGAAAATTTAACAACTATCAGAATTAGGTAAAAAAAAATCTTGCCAGTTTACTCTGAATATTCAATGCATATCTTTTCACTTAGAGATTATAGAGCAGTGTGTTAGTTTTCTATCGCTGTTAAATTGAGTGGTTTAAAGCAACACAGGTTTGATAATATTACCGTTCTGGAATCAGAAGCCCACACCCGTCTCACCAAGCTAAAAAGCAAAGGGATCAGGCAGAGCCACTTTACTTTTTAAAAATATATATATTTTTTGATTTTTTATAGAGAGGAAGAGAGAGGGATAGAGAGCTAGAAACATCGATGAGAATCATCGACCAGCTGCCTCTTGCACACCCACTACTGGGGATATGCCCGCAACCAAGGTACATGCCCTTGACTGGAATCGAACCCGGGACCCTTCAGTCCCCAAGCCAAAGCTCTATCTATTGAGCCAAACCGGTTTTGGCGCCACTTTACTTTTTGAAAGCTGTTGGGGAGAATTCGTTTTATTTTTCATTCAGGTTTTTATCTTTATTTTATTATTTTTTAATATATATATTTTATTGATTTTTTACAGAGAGGAAGAGAGAGGGGGAGAGAGTTAGAAACATTGATGAGGGAGAAACATAGATCAGCTGCTTCTTGTACACCCCTACTGGGTATGTGCCTGCAACCCATGTACATGCCCTTGACTGGAATCAAACCAGGGACCCTTCAAGTGCTCAGGCACAGGCTCTATCCACTGAGCCAAATGGGTGAGGGCTTATTCAGGATTTTAAGCAGAATTCAGGTCTTTGTCGGTGTAGTTCTGAGGTCCCCTTTTTCTTGACACTCCTTGCTTCTAGAAGCCGCCCACCTCTCTCTTGTCACTGGCCTCCTCCCTCCAGCTTGACAGCCAGTAATAGGAGGCCAGGTAACTCTCATGCTAGGAATCCCTCCTGCTCTGGGCTTCCCATGTCCATCTTCCTCCCTCCGTGGGGGAGGGCTCTCATGTGATTCCACTGGGCCCAGCAGGTAATCCAGGTTTATCTCCCAGTTTAAGGTCAGGTGAAATATGCCCTAAAGTCTATTTGCCACCGTGATTTCCTTTTCCCCTGTAAAGTTAGTAAGTTTACAGGTGTGACATATCCACCCATCCCGGTGAGATATCTAGAATTCTATTTTCCTTGCCTACACACATAGCCTTAGGTTAGTGTGCCCTGCCAGCACAGCCAAGGGTTCGGCGAGCCTGAGGGATGGCGGTGAAGGATGGAGAAATGATAGACAAAGAGAAAAAGCTGGGTCCAGGTGGGTCTTCTGTGCCTGGCTGAGGCCACAGAACAGATCCAGCCTGCAAAGCTGATGCTTTATGTATAGTCAGGGATAAACAAGGTAGTTTACAATGTTGTTGTAAGTTTCACTTGTTTTGACAGCACTTGCTGCACCTCCCACAGTCCACTAGCTACCCAGGGAAGATCTAGGGAGCAGTTACAAGACCAAGCTTAATTATGCTTGGAGGACTGTGCCCTCCAAGCTGGGATTTGTTTGTGACTTTGCCAGCAGGTCATCCCAAGGCTTAACCCTATAACCGCTTCCTACAGGTTAGCATCTATCACTTAAAAAGGTGAATTGAGAATGTGTAATCCCTTTATGGAGTGCTCCTTGGTCTCTCTCTTACCTCTTTTCTTTCTTTTTTTTTGTCCAGCATTACAGACTTCCTTAGTCTTTTCCAAAGATTTCGGATTGCTTGTATTTGTTCGGAAATCACTTAGCATTGACGAGGTAAGTTGAACATTTTCATTTTGCTTTTCTTGCATATCCCTTTATGTTGAACTGACTCATAATCCTACTCAGATTTACTCCAATGTGTATTTCTTTTCTTATAGTTTCGTGATTGTCGAGAAGAAGTCCTAAAATTTTTATGTATTTTCTTAGAAAAAATTGGCCAGAAGATCACACCTTATTCTCTTGATATTAAGGTATGCAAGAGAAAACATAGTTCATTATGTACCAGTATTCATTTTAATTTATGCTGTAAGTTCAACTTGCATTTTTATTTGATTTGTGTCTTTTTATTTCTGCTTGATTGTGTTTTTTAAATTTAATAAGCTAAGGCCATTGCCAAGAACTATTTTGATAATTTTTTTTTACACAGGATCAGTCAAAGTAAGTTGTATTTTTTAATTGTGGGGAGATCTCAGAATATTTTTAAAAAAATACATATTTTTAATGGATTTCAGAAAGGAAGGGAAAGGGAGAGAGGCACACATATCATCGGCTGCCTCCTGCATGCCCCCTACTGGGGACCCTGCCCACAACCCGGGCATGTGCCTTTGATCTGAATCGAACCTGGGACCCTTCAGTCTGCAGGCTGACACACACTCCACTGAGCCAAACCAGCGAGGGCTCTCAGAATACTTTAAAATACAATTTTAAAGATTTTTTTCCCCACGGGTATGATTCATATTTCCTATAGTTCATGTTCTCTTTGACAACAATCTGAAAAGTTTGCCTGTTTTATGCCTCCCCGTTCTCTTTCAACCTGCCTTCCCTAAGGTTTCCCCACAACCAACTAAGGGACTAGTAATCATAAATTAAGTTGTTCTTTATTAGACTTATTTAAGCTTTCAACAAGAACTATTTTGATAATCAACAAGTGCCACATCTTGAGGTAAGTTGTTTTTATTTGTCCCAATTTACTACTTGTTCTGGAATAGTCAGTGTTGATGAAGAAGAGTGTATTTAATTTATGGTAATTTATAGGAAGTTATCTTATCCTATAATAAAAGCTCAGCGACCAAACAGCAATAACGACCGGTTGACCAGTTGCTATGACACGCACTGACCACCAGACTTTCTTAGTCTGTTCCAAAGACTCAACGCAGGAGCTGCCCTCGGGCGGTCAGTGCACTCCCACAGGGGGAGCACTGCGTGGCTGACAGGGATGAGCGGCTCTCCCACAGTGAGCCCATCGCCGAAGGCCACGCCCCCCACCAGTGTTTGAATCCCATGCACTGGGCTTCTAGTAAATTTTAAGTAGCTCTGCTATAGAAAATGTTTTTAATGATTTATCAGTCTTTTTATAGCAGGTTTTGATTTTATTCTCTTTTGACTTCTAATCTTTCTGGATTGGAATCTTAATATTTAAAAACATTGTCTCAAGGGTAGGAGTAACATTTATAGAGTATTTTATAGTTTACAACATTCTTTAATGTAGTTTGCCACTTAATATTTACCAAATCTATGGTATACTTCATTTCTCTAATTTACCAGTTAAGAAACTCAGGCTAGTTCTTGGAGCTAGGTTGCCTCCTTCCAAAGCTCCTGTTTCTTTCATTGCACTGTACTGCAGAGTCCCAGCCCTTCTACTCTGAATTGCTTTAGTTATTTTTTTGTTCTTAATTCTTTATTTCTTGATATATAGCAACAAGTGTTGTGGGAAATACAGAAAGAGGAATAACATTACCTTTTTTATTTTTATCCTGCTGAGATTTCCATTGACTAAGTTATTTTGGTTATTAATATTATTCCCATTGCATATTGCATCAATGTTTTCAGTAATTCTAATTTTTATTTTTATATACGCTAATGTTATTTTTAACAGCTAAATAATAAATTGTGTTATGACACATATTGGTGTTACTCTTCTCAGAGATGTAGTTTTATATCTTAATGATTTTTTTGGTATATCTCCTTTTAAAACCTAGAACACTTGTACCAGTGTTTATACAAAGGATAAAGCTGCTAAGTGTAAGATTCCAGCCCTAGAACTTCTTATTAAGGTAATTTTATATTTCTAAGTACATGCATTCTATATTAAACATATAACTTAAGAAACTGAAAATTGGAATTTGGGGAGAGAGATATTGGAGGATAGGCTCAAATGACATTGCTATGTGGGTAAAATGCACATTTTCCAATCATCGCCCAATAGTACTTTCATATCTTTTTTTTTTCAGACTCTCTGGGTTGCAAAAGAAGTATTTGGGGTTTAGAGGAGAATGAAGGGGAAAAGTAACTAAGACATTTACTGCTCCTCCACTACGTCCATTACCCTTTCTCTTAAAATTACTAAGAATTCCAAAAATATATCTCATTGTATCTTTGAGTTTACTCCTAGAACCTTGCCACGAGAATGGGTCTGTGTATTGTATTTAAGTAGTCACTGGGACTCTCTCTCACTTGTTTCTCTCGCTTAGATGGCGCTCTCTTTTTGCATCTCTATTTGGCCCTTGTTGTCCTTACATGCCTCCAAGAGAATGTTCCTGGTTTCTGGGACAGTAAAATTAAGTTTACACTTTATTCCCCTTTGTAACTCCCCTCTGTTCTTATATCACCTTGTTAGCCCCTACCTAGCAAATAATCTGAGAGGCCAAGCACAAATCCCCTATAGACACATGATTCTGCAATTTTGCTGTATACATACTGACTTAGGTCGTTGATGCCTTTTCATTATTTTCCTCTTGAGCCAATACTTATTTGTATTTTTTTAGTTACTTCAGACTTTGAGAAGTTCTAGACTCATGGATGAATTTAGAGTTGGGGAATTATTTAGCAAATTCTATGGAGAACTTGCATTGAAAACAAAAATACCAGATACAGGTGAGATGCATTTAAATGTTATTTTAAAAAGTCAACATTAAGAATTATTAGTATAAAACTTAGGTTTGTTTCTGTCAGGGTATTTATATGTTTTATAGACGAATCCTTTCTTGCTGAAAATAAACCAAAATGAAAACATACAAAAGCAATGTGTAAAGACTTCTACTTATAAAAATTTTAATCTTTATAAAATGATTTCTTTAAATATAAATCTCACAACACATGTCAAATGTAATTTGTTGATGATACTAGGTTTGCATAAAAATTATCAGGAAATATTCTTGTACATAAAACTAGATTTTTGTATGTTTTGCTTTGAAGTAAACATCCTCTCATTTTCTTGTAATTTTTGTTATTTATCTAAATGTTATTTTAGACTTTTATTTACCTAAAATTTATTTTTCAGTTTTAGAAAAAATATATGAGCTCTTAGGAGTATTAGGGGAAGTTCATCCTACTGAGATGATAAATAATTCAGAGAAACTTTTCCGAGCTTTTCTGGGTGAGCTTAAGACCCAGGTATGTAAACTTTATGATATTCTGCTTCCATAGTTTCGGTTGTATTTTTCTTTTTTAGTGGTATCTTCTTAAAACTTTCCTTTTAGATGACATCAACAGTAAGAGAGCCCAAACTACCTGTTGTAGCAGGATGTTTGAAGGGATTGTCATCACTTATGTGCAACTTCACTAAATCCATGGAAGAAGGTATTGCTTGACTTCACTTGATTCTTTCTTTATTCAGAAATTGTAGATCTAAAATAAATTGCCCATTTATTTTTTGAACTTTTAAACCAATTTCAGATTCACATGCAGTTGTGAAAAATGATACAGAGAGATTATGTATGTTCTTCATCCAGTTTTGGCAAGTGATGCTATTTAATAAAAGAGTAATATGCAAATTGACTGTCAGTCCAAGACACAAGATGGCCACCCCATGTGGTCAAAGATGGTTACCCCCATGTGGACACAGATGGCCTGCAGGGGAGGGCAGTTGTAGACAGTTAGGGGTGGCTAGGCTGGCAGAGAAGGGCAGTTGGGGCAGACCAGGCCAGCAAGGAAGGGCAGTTTGGGAGGAAGGACCAGACCTGCAGGGGAGGACATTTGGGGCAGGGATCCAGGCCTACAGGGGAGGGCAGTTGTGGAGGGGTCAGGCCTGCAGGAGAGGGCAGTGGGGGCAACCAGGCCAGCTCAACAAGGGCAGCTTCAATTGAGGATGCTTGTAGAGGAAGCAGTCCATGAGAAAGGAGAGATGGGCACAGGTGAGTGGACAGGGGAAGCAAAGACTGGGAGAAGGCATGGGGCTGAGGGGCGTTCATTCCCACTACTGACAGCTCAGGCCCTTGAATCCCTGGGCTCCACTATGTTCACAAAGCTCACTCATTCTAGACCAGCGGTGCACTGACAAGTGCCTGCTGCCCTGTGTCTGCACACTTCTGTGTTCACTGTCACTTTCTATTTAATGACCTTTTCTCCAACTAGTATACCTATTCTTTTATGTCCAACCTAGGTGCTATTTTGCCTATAAAGCCTGTCTTGAATACTCACTGCTCACTGCCAGAAGAAATCTTTCCTTATTTTGTATGCCAAAGTACCTTTATTGTATGTCTTTCATGGCATCATCCTCCAAACATACCTCTTCTGACCCCTTCACCCTCTATCACATCTGGGCTGTGTTTTCAAATACATCAATCCTAGCAATCAAAGCACACAATTCTTGAACCTTTGCTGTTTGCAATTCATTGTTATAGGAGCAGAGAACTCAGTGATGAATAAAGCATGATTTCTGCACAGCTGCAGGGACTACTCTTGGGAGACAGTTATATAAATAACTGTGATGTCAATCAGGCCAGGGTTAGATCCTCGGAATATAATTGATTGCCTGTTTTATCTTCCTTTTTAGATAATATGTTTACTATTAAGGTCAAAGATCATATTTTCATTACTATAACTTACATAATTAGTTGGCTTATACTATGTGTAGAATAAGTGCTTGGGAATATTGGGAAAATAATGTGTTTGGCCTTCTTTAATTTTCCAAACATCTCTAAAAGAAAATAGATAGTGACCCTTTTTACAGATTAGAACACTGAAATGCAGAGATTACCTAACAGTTTGCAAGTAAGTTGAATTATAAACATATCTTTATTATTCCAGGTTTTCTTCTTTACTGAAATGATAGTTGTGCAGCAGTAATACTAACTTGCATCTCTCTAGCTGAATTTAATGATAGAATGTAAGAAGCGGTCATAGGGTTAAACTTTTGACTGACCTTCTGGCAGTGGCAAACCAGTCCCAGCTTGGAGGGCACAGTCCTCGAAGCATAATTGATCGGGTAACTGCTCCCTACACCTTCCCTGGGTAGCTAGAGGCTGTGGGAGAGGCAGCAAGTGCTGCCAAAACAAGTGAAACTGACAAGAACATTGTAAACTACCTTGTTTACCCTGACCATAAAATAAAGCATCAGCTATGCAGTCTGGATCTGTTCTGTGGCCTCAGCCAAGCACAGAAGATTTACCTAGACCCAGCTTTTTCTCTTTGTCTATCTTTTCTCCATCCTTGGTTGCCGCCCCCTCCCCCTGCCCCAGGCTCGCGCAACCCTTGGCTGTGCTGGCGGGGCACAATAGAGGTTGTTATTCCTGAATTCACAAGAGACTGCTGTGGTTAATATAGAGTCAGGCTCTCTGAAATAACGTTGTTAATTGTAAAGTCATTTGTGAAGTTTGTCAGATGATAATGTTATTTATAACAGCTGCTTTTCTTCCCGCAGATCCCCAGACTTCAAGGGAGATTTTTGATTTTGCATTAAAGGCAATTCATCCTCAGGTGAGATTAATATTATTTGAATTCTTTAACAGTTGAGACTTGTGGTTGTCAAACATTGATGGTAGTTTTTTCTTTTTTCTTTTTTTTAAATAGGTTGATCTGAAGAGATATGCAGTGCCCTTAGGTAAGATTCTATATTTAATGAAATAGAATAATTTGTTATTAAATTAATGTCGTTAGTAAACTTACTTAAACTACAAATGAAAGTAAATGTGGCTCTAGGGCTGATGCCTGAATGCCCTGAGCCTGAGGCTGACATGCCATAGCAGTTGGTCTAAGGTCTGGTTGGCAAACTGCGGCTCATGAGCCACCTGTGGTTCTTTGGCCCCTTGAGTGTGGCTCTTCCACAAAATACCACGGCCTGGGCGAGTCTATTTTGAAGAAGTGGCACTAGAAGAAGTATAAGTTTAAAAAGTTTGGCTCTCAAAAGAAATTTCAATCGTTGTACTATTGATGTTTGGCTCTGTTGACGAATGAGTTTGCTGACCACTGGTCTAAGGAAAAAGAGAGGAGAGAAGTGGGGAGGGCAGAGGAGAAGGTAGGAAACGAGAGGAAGGGGAGGTTTTGGGGGACATTGTGTTTACCACAAATTTTGGTTGAGATCGTCACACCTAGATTACATGACTTAAAAAAATTACTTTAGAGCATAATTTTGGGGATACAGATGGTTTGCTCCTACTTCTGAGCTTTGGGGGTAATTGGCAAAATCATGGACCTGTTGATTCAAGTGGAGGTTAGTGGCATTTGAACTCTGATCAGTACCTTAGGGCATTATAGTGTAATGATACGGGGTCTTCATGGATAGTTTCAATTTTGACATATACTGAAGTCTTCTTGGTTCTTTGTTGTGCATCCTGTGGTCTTATTTTAAATACAATGGTATTTCCATTTGCAGCTGGCTTATCCTTATTTACCCTGCACGCATCTCAATTTAGCACCTGCCTTCTGGACAACTACGTTTCTTTATTTGAAATAATGTCAAAATGGTGTAGCCACACAAACGTAGAATTGAAAAAAGCTGCACATTCAGCTCTGGACTCTTTTCTGAAACAGGTACTAAAATTTATCTCTCATTTAAACATATTTTTTTCTATGCAAAAAAAATTAAATTTCTGCCGAGACCGGTTTGGCTCAATGGATAGAGCGTCGGCTTGGGGACTGAAAGGTCCCGGGTTCGATTCCGGTCAAGGGCATGTACCTTGGTTGCGGGCATATCCCCTGTAGGGGGTGTGCAAGAGGCAGCTGATCGATGACTCTCTCTCGTCGATGTTTCTAACTCTCTATCTCTCTCCCTTCCTCTCTGTACAAAATCAATAAAATATATTAAAAAAAAAATTAAATTTCTATCTTGTGTATAACACATTTGAAAAATAAGTACAAGTTGCCAAAACCGGTTTGGCTCAGTGGTAGAGCGTCGGTCTGCGGACTGAAAGGTCCCAGGTTCGATTCTGGTCAAGGGCATGTACCTTGGTTGTGGGCACATCCCTGTAGGGGGTGTGCAAGAGGCGGCTGGTCGATGTTTCTCATAGATGTTTCTAGCTCTCTATCTCTCTCCCTCCTTCTCTGTAAAAAATCTATAAAATATATTAAAAAAAAAGAAAAGAAAAATAAGTACAAGTTGATTCATTAGCTTCTGTAGTATTTAAAGGAAAAAAAGTTTGGTTGTTAATCAGTCATCTAGATAGCAGCAGGATTGGAAGAAAGCTAGGAAGATACCAGATGTGATCAGGGCCTCAGAGTCAAGATTCTTAAGCAGTGGTGAAGAGGAGGAGAAGGAAAGAATGACTAGGATATCTGGCCTTCTTTAAGCCAGAGCGATCCAGGTGGGGATGAGGAAACGCCTCTCCCTAGAGGTGAGGGTCAGCTGTTAGATAAGGTGCTTGTGTTTGTGTTACTTCAAGAACAGAGTGAGCCCATTTGCCCTTGGGTGTTTCCCGCCTATTGATTTCAGAGAGAGGGAGAGAGAGAAACATCCACAGGGAGAAACATCGATCAGCTGCTCCTGAGCGCCTCCAATCAGGGATTGAACCCACAACCCGGGCATGTGCCCTGACTGGGAATTGAATCGGCAACCTCCTGGTTGGATTGATGTTCAACCACCGAGCCACACCAGCTAGGCTGGCGTTTTCTGTCTAGATAGAATGTGGTTGAGCCTGCAAGTTTAGAAATGTCTCAGTTGGCTCAAGAAAATGTGCTTGGGGCCAATACCGGTTTGGCTCAGCGATAGAGCGTCGGTCTGCGGACTGAAAGGTCCCAGGTTCGATTCTGGTCAAGGGCATGTTACCTTGGTTGCGGGCACATCCCCAGTAAGGTGTGTGCAAGAGGCAGCTGGTCGATGTTTCTCTCTCACCGATGTTTCTAGCTCTCTATCTCTTTCCCTTCCTCTCTGTAAAAAAATCAATAAAATATATATATATATATATTTTTTTGTTGTTGTTGTTGTTGTTTATAAATTTTATTTTTTTATTTTTTTTATTTTTTAAAAATCAATCTTTATTGTTCATATTATTACAAAGGTTCCTCATTTCTTCCCCCCTCCACCAGGTTCCCACCCCACCCTCCGACCCCTCCCCATCCCTCATTGTCCTCATCCATAGGTGCAGTTTATGTTCAGTCTCTTCTTCCCTCCCTTTCCCCAATAGTAAATCCCTTTTCAGATAGTAAATCAGTTACTTAGCATTTTCTCAAATCAACAATACCTCCACATGCCCAATGATACACTTCACACAAAAGACATTTCCCAATAGGTCCACCAGCCTCATCCAGGCCCCACCCAAGGCACTCAGAGATCAACACCCCAGCCCTATACTAACTCAACACATCCAGATCTAAGCCTTCATCACTTGATTCAGCAGACCCTCAAGTTCCCACGAAAGTTTCCAGCCATGTCTGAGAAGCAGCCGTGGCCTGAAGGACATATGCTAAGACCCTTGGAACTTTGTGTGGGATTGGAGCATGGAAATGAAAGGTGGATATCCCTTTTCTGCCTTTGATAGTTTTCTAGAACTTAAAAGTTTTCAAGTTTTCATTCTTGTCTTGGGAGCCTTTGTGCTGAAATTAGAATGCTTTTTTGAACATTTATGGTCTTGCATTTAGGCTATTGTCAGTTGGGTAGATAGTGATGTACTTGCTTCTCAAAGTACTTTTTCCCCTTACCTTACCTAACTTATTTAAGTCTTAGTTTGTGGCTTTGAAAAAAAAAAAGTATATAGATATTTTTGTTAATCATCACTCAAGGATATTTTTCTATTGAGTTTTAGGAAGAGTGGAAGAGAGAGGGAAAGACAGAGAGAAACACTGATATGAGAGAAAGATGTTGATTGGTTGCCTCCTGTGTAAGCCATGACCAAGGCTAGGCCAGGGAGGAGCCTGCAACCAAGGTACATGCCCTGGACCAGAATCTAACCTGGGAATCTTCAGCCCACAGGTCGACACTCTGTCCACTGAACCAAACCGGCTAAGGCAAAAAAATACATATTATTGATTTCAAGAGAGGAAGGGAGAGGGAGAGAGAGGTAGAAACATTAGTGATGAGAAGAATCATTACTACTAATCGGCTGCCTCCTGCACACCCCACACTTGGGATCGAGCCTGCAACCTGGGCATGTGCCCTAACTGGGAATTGAACCATGACCTCCTGGTTCATATGTCAATGCTCAAACAATGAGCTAAGCCAGTAGGCATAAAGACAATTTTTTCCATTGATTTTTAGAGAGATTGGAAGAAAGAGGGAAGACAGAAATATTGATGTGAGAGAAGCACATTGATTGGTTGCCTCTTGCACAAGCCCTAACCAGGGCCTCAGGCTGGGGAGGAGTCTGCAGCTGAGGTATATGCCCTTGACCGGAATCGAACCTGGGTCTCTTTGGGATGCAGGCTGATGCTCTATCCACTCAGCCAAACCAGCTAGGGCAGTTTTAGCTTTTTTTTTTTTTTGGTAAAATGAGATGCCTTGTCTTTCTGATTCTTAGTTCTGAACTTTATTTTGAGTTGCTGATTTCTGAACTTGCTGGCCATTGGGCATGTACAAATCTGTGTTGATTGTCCTGTGTTCCATAGATGAGCTCTAATCATGATTTCTGTCTCATTAGAAAGCCTTAATTCAAAACTTTTTTCTTTTGTGCATACATCTTCCAACATTTCTTTGGTCTCTTTCAGTTCCATTCTCTGGGAAATATACATTACATATAACAAAGCTTTGTTTTAGGGAGTGTCTTTTCTGAACTTGATGGAGATGAAGCAAAAAAATACATTACATATAACAAAGCTTTGTTTAAGGGAGTGTCTTTTCTGAACTTGATGGTGATGAAGCAAATTGATTCTTTATGAGTAAAAGGGGTTGTATGGGACTATAACACTAATTATTTCTACTTAACCAATTCTAGCCTTTCTCATTTGTATAGATTACTTTGTTTTGCCATTTTATATTTTTAAAAAGTAAATATTATACCATTGCAGGTTTCTTTCCTGGTGGCAAAAGATGCAGAAATGCATAAAAATAAGCTGCAGTACTTTATGGAACAATTCTATGGAATCATCAGGAACATGGATTCAAGCAGCAAGGATTTATCCATTGCGATTCGTGGATATGGACTTTTTGCAGGAGTATGGATCATTACTTTTCTCTTAACATTTTAGTTTTATTGGGAGTGTTTAAAGAAATATAATTTATTGCATTTTTAAAGTATGTCATATTTTAGATAATTTTGTTATTTGCTTTACTGTTAACTTTTTTTTATTGATTTTAGAAAGGGGTAGGGGAGAGAGAGAGAAATAGAAATATCAGCGATGAGAGAGAATCACACCACCTGCACAACTGACACTAGGTATTGAGCCCACAACCTGAGCATGAAACCATGATTGTCTGGTCCATAGGTCAATGCTTAACCACTGAGCTACACAGGCCAGGCACTATTATTTTTTCAGTGGCTACTATGTATGAAGATTCTGTATGTTATCTCACATCCTCATAACTCCCCTCCAAGCTTTTAGGAGTATTATTTCACTTTACAGGTGGGTAACTTACTGAAGGACATAGAGTTGATAAGTGACAAAACCAAGACATCAATTTTAGGTGTGAAAACTAGAAACAGCATGTGTTTTTCACTCTGCCTCTTATTTATGAAGTAAAATTGTAGTTGATGGTACTCAACATTACAAAAATAGAAATTCTAATGACGGAGTTATATCTTCACTAATAAAAGAGTAACATCAAAAGTTGATCATACCTTTGCTACACCCATCAGCCAATCAGGAGTATGTATGCAAATTATCCCAACAAAGATGGCGGTTTAATGTGCATATGCAGGTGCTGAACTGGGGCGGGACACTTGTGTTGTCGTTTTCTGCTCCGGCCCAGCCGCTCTGGGCCTCTGGGCAGCGTGGGAAGGCGGAAAGGCGGCTCTGCCTGGAGCAAAGGCAGTGCCGCAGCCAGGGGAAGGAAGGCCCGCTGCTGCACGAACCTTCACGCATCGGGCCTCTGGTGTAAGAATAATGACAGTGGCCATAGTTATGTCCCTCTTAGTGGATCTCTGTGACTTCTCTTTCATGGAGAAAGTCACTTGCTGCCTCTCTTTCTACAGCTTTATCCTTCAGTGTTTACTCTCCTGTTTCAGAGAACGAGAGGTCCTTTTTCAGCCTTCCAGCCTTACTATTCATTTCATCCTGATACTTCCTCATTTGCTTCCATTTGTCTCTGTTAGCTCCTTTAAAAATATTTAGGGCAGAAGAAGCTATATAAGAAGGCTCAGGTAAATGAGAGCATAGAATTTTGAACTGAACTTCCTGGTTTAATCAACTTCAACTTGTGCAATGTAGTTAGATATGTTCACAGTGTAACTAGAGCATGCTAGACAAGGAAGACAGGAGAGAGACTCTGAAAGAGAAACTACTGAGACCGTTCAGGAGGCTGGGCTAGATCTGAAGCCTAAAGAAGCCTTTGGAAAATCTAAAGCTGGGGAGTAGCATTATCAGACCTGTGAGTTGTAAAGATGGCGTACTGTGTTCAGTGTGGAGAGTTGTGTATTCCACTTTGATTGTAGCTGTCAGTCTCTTCTGGGTGACTAGCCTCCTGGGGACTGGGACTGCATCTTTTTTTCCTTTTTTTTCTTTGATACCTACTATTGAAACAGTGTCTAGAATATAGTTGAAAATCTGGATGCTTTGCGTATGAAAAATTATTTAGAATGTATTTACAGATCATTCAAAAACATTTTTGTAATATATACTGTATATCTCTATTCTAAAAAGCTGTTTAATATTTAGTTTATAATCATGATGCAGTAAGACATCTTAAATATCATTATTTTGATATTAATAAAATTGATAAAGATTTCTATTTACCTTTCCTAAAGCCTTGCAAGGTCATAAATGCAAAAGATGTTGACCTCATGTATGTAGAGCTCATTCAGCGCTGCAAGCAACTGTTCCTCACCCAGATGGATACTATTGAAGATCACATTTACCAAATGCCAAGCTTCCTCCAGTCTATTGCAAGTGTCTTGCTTTACCTGGACACAGTAAGTGGAATAATTAATTACAGTGAGCATAACTAATTTAATCTCAGTTCTTCAATCACGTGGTGGAATTGTGTGAACAGGCCCCATTATGATCAGGGTGACATTATTTAATTAGTATTTTGTGTCAGTGGAATTATAGTTATGAAACTTCAGTTTTTGTTACCCAGAGCAGGAAAAATTATTTGTTACTCTTTCTGCCTTTCTAAAAGGTTAATTAAGATGGAATTTCATCTTAAGTATAGATAGAATTCTTGGGATAGAATTTCATCTTAAGTATCATTCAGACAGTTTTTCTCTGATTTTTAAAAATGTAATTACGGTAGTGTTAAATTTATTGGTAGATGTAGATGACAAACGAGGGTTTTCATTGATCTAATAGTGTCTAATGGGTTGTAATTACTTTGAATATTTGTATTCCCATATTTATTCATTTCCTTCCCTAACTTTTAGTTTGCTCTGCATTTCTGATAGGTCCCTGAGGTGTATACTTCAGTTCTGGAACATCTCCTGGTGATTCAGATAGACAGTTTCCCACAGTATAGTCCAAAAATGCAGTTGCTATGTTGTAAAGCCATAGTGAAAGTTTTCCTAGCCTTAGCAGAAAAAGGACCAGTTCACTGGAATTGCATTAATACTGTGGGTAAGCTGGAATTCACTTTTGTTTTCATGATAATGAACACTTACCATGTTTTATGATCTAGATGAAGAACATCAGGTTCCCAAATTCTTTTGTATCTTTTGATGTCTCTTGGAGAACTCCATATATTTTGGTGGACCCAAATCTCCTTTTTCTATGCTTTTTTTGAATTTTTTTTTCTCTTCCTTGTGCTTCTAAATCTGAATAATACCCATTTTAAAATTAAAGATTTTAACAGACTTAGAGAAAAAAAATTGAGAAGTAAAGTTATGTTAAAAAAAAAGAATGACTATCATGCCGAGACCGGTTTGGCTCAACGGATAGAGAGTCGGCTTGGGGACTGAAAGGTCCTGGGTTCAATTCCGGTCAAGGGCATGTACCTTGGTTGTGGGCATATCCCCAATAGGGGGTGTGCAAGAGGCAGCTGATCGATGACTCTCTCTCATCGATGTTCTATAACTATCTCTCTCCCTTTCTCTCTGAACAAAATCAATAAAAAAAATATTAAAAAAATAAATAAAAGGAGAAATCTCTTTTATAAAAAAAATGACTTTCATTTTTGTTGTTTGGTTGTATTTTTCATAGTTTACTTCAGTTTTGTTTTCGTTTTATTTTTTTCAGTGCATCAGAGTTTAATCAGAATATGTTCTAAAGCAGTGATCTTTCAAAAGGTAAATTCTGAATCTAATGTTTTGAAAATTAGTCCTTCATCACTGAAAGTTAGAAATGTTTCTGGACTTTGTAGTCTGTAATACATAAAAGTGGCCCTTTTTGTTATTAGCCATGCTGTACAATTTGGAAAGTTAGGATCAATAGCTCTATATATTTTTTCAGGTGAATAAACTGAAGTTATGAAGTTCTTTAAACATATATTTACTGGTATACACAACTTTTTACAAAAAGGGAATTTTTTTTTTCTCTTGAAATTTTAGCACAAAATACTTAGGTGTTATTATGGAACACATCTTACTTGACTTGAAAGTTACAGGAAATAGGATGAGATGAGAGATAGGTCTGTATAAGAAAGTGAGGTAAATGTCTTGTAACACATCCCATGGATATTGTTTTCGAAATATTAGCACATCACTATTTTAGTCCCAATGAGAAGAATCCTATTTTCAGCTTGCCTTTTTGTTACGCTTTCATAATTTATTATCTTCTTCAATCCTACTATAGTAGGAGACTTATAGTCTGATTTAGCTTAGAAAATCCTGAAGATTAGGAAGTTCTGGCAGCAGTGCTTATTTTGTGACTTCATTGGTAAGTATCAGTGTGATGTCTTCCTCTCCAGGGTGCTGAGTCTGAATTGGAAGACCATCGTGCATCGGGAGAAGTTAGAACTGGCAAATGGAAAGTACCCACATACAAAGACTATTTGGATCTTTTTAGAAATCTTCTGAACTGTGACCAGATAATGGTAAAAATGACAACTTTAGTCAAAAATACCCTTGTTCCTCTTTATTATGTGCATAGTTTATACACTTAAGAATTATTTATTTCAGAATTCTATTTTTTTCTGACTTTTAGTCGTTTATTTAAAAAGTACTACAAGTAATAAAAAATTAAAACAGTGTAAGTTAGGATAAAATGAAACTAGAAAAAGGTAAAAGAAACAAAATTATTGGTGGTCAGTGCACTGGAAGAATATTTCAGGGGAAAAAAAAGTGATTAGAAGCTTTTAATCTGTCTGCAAATTAAAGGCCAAAGGAAGAGATGGAAGCTACCTAAGAGATGGAAGCTAGTAAGAGAGAGAGGAAATACCCAATGTGACTATCTCCCCCATAGTTTTTCTGGTGAGACAGAGCTCTCCTTTGGAGTTTTGGGTGCCTGGTTAGCCTCCACTGCCATTGCCACCACCACCACAGCAGGATTGCCTGGAAGCTGAAGGCAATAGAGAATAAAAACGGGCTTTCCTCCTCATAAAAAAAAAGGAGCTAAATTCTAGAGAACTCATTTAAAATTAATTACTGTTTTTGCTTTAAGTATTAGCGTAATATAGTTGATGCTGGTTTTTTTTTTTCTAATTCAACCAAAAATACAATGAGCTATTCTCTTCTTATTTATTAAATATGAAGATAAGTCCAATTGACCTAATAGGTATGGAGGTGATTGGTGCACAGCTATTGTTTATATCATCTATGATTAGAGTAATACCTTCTGCTTAATATATTTCTAACAGATGTTTTAAAGCCAGGTTCTGGCCACCATTTTAACAGACTGACAAAGCATTAACTGAAATAACCATTTTTGGCAGTAGATGATTTCTATCCTGTGACAGATCTCAGGAGTTTTTAGTTGTTTTCTAATTGAGGTAAAATAGCAGTGTTAGTAATTTTACCTAAAACATTTTTTTCTTATATGATGTTAGTCTTTTATTTTGAGGTTAAGTTCCATAGAATATTTGACTGAGTCTTTATAGAGTTGTTGGCCTATATTTTTGAAATGGAAGAATAGTTTCACTTTTAGAGAAATGATAGATGATGCTTTTAAATCCATTCTGAGGATAGATATATATTTATTTTTTTATTTTTAAATATATTTTATTGATTTTACATAGAGAGGAATTGAGAGGGACAGAGAGTTAGAAACATCGATGAGAGAGAATCGTCGATCAGCTGCCTCTTGCACAGCCCCCACTGGGGATGTGCCCACAACCAAGGTACATGCCCTTGACCGGAATCGAACCTGGGACCTTTCAGTCTGCAGGCCGACGCTCTATCCACTGAGCCAAACCGGTCCCGGCCGAGGATAGATATATATTTAGATACATGTATATGTTTATATACATATGTTATATGTATATTATACAAGTGTATACACACAAACACACAAATTAATTGGGGGAAATGCTTTGATAAGGATTGGCCTGAATCTTCTTATTTATTACTATGTACCTAGTATTTGCTACATGACTGTACAATAATATTATCTGATCAAAATGATATTATCCTAATAATTTAGGATACTATTTGAGCTTGTAAACTTCCAGATAAGTCTGTTATAATTTATACAGCATTTTCCATAATACCTAAAATGCATGTACGTCTGTATATATTTTAATGTATATTTAGTACTAATTTTGATGCTTTTATGGACAAAATTTTGTTTACAATCTTTTTAAAGGATTCTGTTTTAGCAGATGAAGCGTTTTTCTTTGTGAATTCCTCCCTTCAAAGACTGAATCGCTTGCTATATGATGAATTTGTAAAGTCTGTTTTGAAGATTATTGACAAATTGGATCTTACACTAAAAAAACAGAATGTTGGAGAACAAGAGGTTAGAATTTTTGTCACTAATAATTTCACTTCGTTTTTATACCAACTCTCTTTGTAGGTATAGCATATTTGTAGAGTATATAGGAAATTGGTTTCTGCCACATCTATATATGTAAAAGCCCAATATGCAAGTTGCCCCCTTGGAAGTTCTACCAGGAGTTCAATCACTCACTATGACTGCATTGACCACCAGGGGGTGGCACAGAGCAAAAGAAAGTCCAGGCCAGCAGGCAGCTGGCAGCCAGCAGCCAGCAATCGGCAGCCAGGGAAGGAAGGCCCCAGTCAGCAGCCAGAAGGCCCTTATCGGCCCTTATTGGCCCTGATCACTGGCCAGGTCTAGGGACCCCACCTATGCACGTATTTCTTGCACCAGGCCTCTAGTTAATATATATTGTTGGTACTTTTGTATTGCCTAATGTGTAGCAAATGTTATCACTATATTTTTCAAAAGTGAGTAATTTATGTGTTTAATATGTTAAAAGATTTTTTGTATGAAACGTTGGGTATTTGGCTTGTTTTATTATTTGTTCCTTAGCAATAGTAAAATGTCAAATCCTATTTTGTGCAGAGGTGACTTTGTAGTAGGATAAGGAAACCTGGTATTCCTCTTCCTTATAGCTAAGGAAACTCCAAATTCAGGTGCACAGTATTAAATGTGTTCTTAAGATAGTAGGATATAGACCATAGTCAGGAAAGGACTGTTGTCTGTACCCGGTTTTCATGGCTTTAGACTGTTAGCTGGAAGTTGCTCTGCTCTTATTTGAGGAGTTTTAGCAACAAAACACTATGGTGGGCCCAGTGATTTTTAAAAAAAATAAAATAGATTATGCTTGTTAGAGTTAGTGCCTAGGTGTGATGCTGCAAGTTATAAGATAATGCAGAGAATAATAAAACAGAAAAAGGCCATTTGTCACATTGGCTTAATAGTGCTGGTAATGTTCACATTTTTATGCTGGTTGATGGGAACACCAATGTGTGCTTTATTGCTTTTTTTTTTTTAAGTATATTTTATTGATTTTTTAAAGAGAGGAAGAGAGAGGGGTAGAGAGTTAGAGACATCAATGAGAGAGAATCATCCATCAGCTGCCTCTTGCACCCCCCCCCCTATGGGGGATGTTCCCACAACCAACGTATATGCCCTTGACCGGAATCGAACCCGGGGCCTTTCAGTCCCCAGACCGACGCTCTATCCACTGAGCCAAACCGGTTTTGGCTTTTATTGCTTTTTATGCTTTGTGTATGTCTGAAATTATTTCAGCCTGAATTTGATAACACAAATCCATTGTGTAACTTAATAGGAAGTTACTATTACTTAATATTGTTAATTATTCCTGTTTCTCAGTTTGAAACTTTCGAGTCCGTTATTATTGATGCTTTCTATAAACTTTAAGTTTGGAAATTCTACCTCTGTCATGGCATCATTGCTAGCTCCTATAACAAATGATACTCCTCCCTTTGTATTTTTGTATCCGTATCAATTTTTATCACTTTATTTTATCACTTCCCATATAACCTTTTAAAAGAAAAGATGTAGTGTTTTCTGTGAGTTTCATCATTTTTCTCAAATTATAAGCTTTGGGGACTCATCTGTACTTTTCTCACTTTTGCATTCCTTCCTTATACCATCAGACCTTGACAGTGAGGTCAATTGGTCAGTTATATGTTGAATGAATGTGTGATTGACTGGTATAATGTTTGTTTTGGTACAATTTTTAAGGATGAAAATGAATCCGCTGGTGTTTGGGTGATTCCGACTTCAGATCCAGCAGCTAATTTGTATCCTGCTAAACCTAAAGATTTTTCAGCTTTCATTAACCTGGTGGAATTTTGCAGGTATTTTTTTTTTTTTAAATTCTGATTATTTAAGAGAGAAAATTGTCAGTTATTGGCTATAATATAGGAAAAATTCTTATATAGCTATAAGAAATAAAATAGAAAAGACAATCTAAATTGCTTCTATAAATTGTTAAAATATTCTAAATGTACTATTATTTTTATATTTAAAAGACCTTCAAGTAGGAAACAAAAAGGATTGTAGATATACCTAAAAATATTCTATAATGGAATTGTAGACCTTATAATTATATGCCTTATAATTTCAAAGCAGAATAAAAATAGTAAGACAAAAATTTCTGCATTATAGTTTTAATTTGTTTTTACAGAGAGATTCTTCCTGAGAAACATGTAGAATTTTTTGAGCCCTGGCTATACTCATTTGCATATGAATTAATATGTCATTGTACACGGTCGCCACTCATTAGTGGTTTCTACAAGTTGCTTTCTATTGCTGTGAGTAATGCGAAGAAAATAAAGTATTTTGAGGTAAGTGTTTTTGCAGGACAGTGAATATGCCTGTATTTTTAAATTAGATTGCATGTGTCTATATAAATATTATAAAAATATGAGATTGTAGCATTTTGCACTTTAAAATCTTAATTTTTAAAAAATATTTTTTACTGATTTATTTTTTTTTACAGAGAGGAAGAGAGAGGGATAGAGAGTTAGAAACATCGATGAGAGAGAATCATCAATCAGCTGCCTCTAGCACACCCTCTACCGGGGATGTGCCCCTGCAACCAAGGTACATGCCCTTGACCGGAATCGAACCCGGGACCCTTCAGTCTGCAGGCTGACACGATCCACTGAGCCAAACTGGTTTCGGCTAAAATCTAATTATATTATCTGTATTTTTAGAAACTGATGTGAGTGGCAATTGGATGACACTTAAAAAAGTTAACTATCGATAATAGTATTTTCTGTTCTGATTTACAAGCACCTGGCTAATTGTGTTAGATTAACAGAGGTCCTTTTTATGAAGATTTTTAAATTTTATTTTAATGTTTTCTGTGTGTTTTTTTTGTTGTTGTTTGTTTGTTGTCGTCCCCCCCCCCCCCCCCCCCCCCCCACCGAGAGAGAAATGAAGAGAGAAAAATAAAACACATTGATGTGAGAGAGAAACATCAATTGGTTGTTTCCCGCACAACCCTTACTGGGGATTGAATCCACAACCTGGGCATGTGCCTAGGAATCAATCAGTGACCTTTTGGGAAGACGCTCAACCAATTGAGCCACATGGGTTAGAGCATAACAGGTTTTTTTTGTTTTGTTTTTTAAGTATATTTTTATAGATTTTAGAGAAAGGGAGAGGGAGAGAGAGAGAGAGAAAAACATCAATGATCAGAGAGAATCATTGATCAACTAGCTGCCCTCCTGCACACTTCCTACTGGGAATCGAGCCCAAAGTCCAGGCATGAGCCCTGATCTGGAATCAAATTGTGAGCTCCTGATTCATAGGTTGACGCTCAACCTCCGAGCCACACCAGCTGGACCATAACAGAGATTCTTAAAGTGTGGGCCTACGCCAGCAACCCAGTATTACTTGGGACATCTTATGCCCTCTCCAGGCTTACGGGAAACTCTCAGGACAGTGCTCAGCATTTTGTGCTAACAGACCACTCAGGTGGTCACTCAAGTGGTTAGTGAAGTTTGAGTATAATTGGATTAGTGCACCTAAGGCTTAAGTCATTCATGAGTACTGTGACTGGTTAATTATAGTATGAGCAGGTCTCATTGCTCATAAGTGTATGTGTTGGAAGATAGGGAAAGGGGAATGGACCTAGCCAAGCCTGTGGCTCTTGACCAGCCATCCACCTCCCACTCATGCCGTTTTTCACTGGCCTTTGCCTGTGCATCTGCATGAACCTTGGCAAAGTGAATATGAGTTCACCTCTCAGAAGAAGGGAGGGGAATTACTGGGCTCAGGACGTAGAAATATCTGCTTATTTTTTACTGTACTAATTTACTGTTTTATTCAACAGGGAGTTGGTCCTAAGAGTCAGAAACAGTCTCCTGAGAACCCAGAAAAGTATTCTTGCTTTGCTTTATTTTCAAAATTTGGTAAAGAGGTAATTTTAAAATGATTTACCCAGTGGGTTTTTTATTTATTTATTTATTTATTTATTTATTTTTTAAATATTTTATTGATTTTATACAGAGAGGAAGAGAGAGTTAGTCAGAAACATCGATGAGAGAGAATCATCGATCAGCTGCCTCTTGCACACCCCCTACCGGGGATGTGCCCGCAACTAAGGTACATGCCCTTGACCGGAATCGAACCCGGGACCTTTCAGTCCCCAAGCCGACGCTCTACCCACTGAGCCAAACCGGTCTCGGCTACCCAGTGGGTTTTTTAAAAATGGGTTTTTAAAAGACGAATGTATGTTTAAAAAAAGTTAGTGTTCATAAATGATCTAATTACTTAAAAATTGGTTTGTTTTATTCAGATCCAGATTAAAGGATTAAGAAACACTAACAGGGCAAACCATTGTGCTTCAAAAGTCCCTTGAGTTTTCTTAAAATAATTTGTGTGATGGAAACTCAAAATTAATAGATTCTTTAGCTTTTGCATGTAATGGTATTTAATTACTTCAAATAAACTTTTCCTAGAGATCAGTCTTTAGTTTGAAAATGAACATGGCCATGTCAAAGCCTGCATTATCATTTTTCATGTTTGAGAATAGGTAACTTTTTTAGTTGATTTCAAAGCGTAGGTTCTATTCGGGTGTACAGCATTGTCTTTCTCTTCTTTTTAAAAAATCTTTATTGTTGAAAGTATTACATAGGTTCTCCTTTTCCCCCCATTAACTTCATCCAACAGCACCCATCCCCCCACCCACCCCAGGCCCATATATGCATAGCCCCATTCTCTGTGTCCATGGGTTACGCATATATGATTACAAGTTAATTGGTGAATCCCTTCCCACCCAACCTCCTCTGCCTTCCCTCTGAGGTTTTTCTCTTCTTTCTTTTTAAGGTATCAGTTAAAATGAAGCAATACAAAGATGAACTTTTGGCCTCCTGTTTGACCTTCATTCTATCCCTGCCACATGACATCATCGAACTTGATGTTAGAGCCTACGTTCCCGCATTGCAGGTAGATCATTCATTATCTTGAGCAAATCAATTTCCTATACATAATGAATTCCTAGAAAACATGGAAATATCCAGGTCTTTTCATGGCAGTCACAGGAGATGCTTGCTAATAGACACCCCTGGTTTAAGTTCGACTTATGCTACTTAGTAGTTTTGGGACTTGGGACACTTGTCTCGTCCTCTCTGAGCTTCCCTTATAGGTCGATGTGTTGAAAGTCTGCAGCTTGTCACCAACCATATAGGCTAGTGGTGCCGGGTTTTCTAATAATGACCTGGGGTCTCACATTCTTTCCTCCTCTCACATTCTGACTTATTTATTAGAAACCATAATTAATTGGTGGTGTTTTTTTTTCTTTAAATCTTAAATTACTGCGTCTCAGTTTACCATGTTTGTATTAACATATAGATGGCTTTTAAACTGGGCCTGAGCTACCCCCCCCTGGCAGAAGCAGGCCTGCGTGCCCTAGAAGAATGGTCGGCTTACATCAGTAAACAAGTGATTCAGCCCTATTATAAGGACATTCTCCCTAGTCTGGATGGGTATTTGAAAACTTCAGCCTTACCAGGTAAGGTTTAAGAGAATTATGTGTATCAAATAAGAGGGCAATGTAATATTTCTAATAGGACTACATTTGTAGTTTTGCGATTTTTGAAATATGAACCTAACATATTCAAAATATATTAGATTGGTATTTTTGTAATATCTCCATTTTAGTAAATTCGGGACATGGGAAATATAACTGAGGCATTAGACTTATTTTTCATTTTATTCACTTATATTCTGCTAAGGGCAAGAACTTACCTTAAATATCTTGAACTCCTTATAGCGTTTGGTTCACTTCCTTATAAAAAGCTAGAGGCCTGATGCATGAAATTCATGCAAGGGACTTGGCCCTCACAGCTGCAGCATCTTGCCTTGGTCCTTGTAGCCATGGCTTCATCCTGAAGGTTGTTAAGAAGGAAGTCGGGAAGGTTGTTTGGCTGCCTGGTCTAATTAGCATATTATGCTTTTATTGTTATAGACTAGAGGCCCAGTGCATGAAATTTGTGCACAGGGGCTGGGCTGTCCCCTCAGCCCAGCCTGCACTCTCTCCAATCTGGGACCCCTTGGATATCGGGCTTAAACCAGCAATTGGACATCTCTCTCACAATCCTGGACCCCTGGCTCCTAATCACTCACCTGCCTGACTGCCTGGTCACCCTTAATTGCCCCCCATCAGCCTGGTTGCCCCTAACTGCCCACCCACTGCTGGCCAGGTCACCCACAACTGCCCCCTCCCTGCTGGCCTGGTCATTCCTAACTGCCCTCCTGCTCTGCTGGCCTGGTACCCCTTACCTCCCCCCATGCCAGCCTGATCTCCCCCAACTATCTGCCCTAGTCATCCACTGCCACCCCTGTCCGCCTAATCGTTCCCAACTGCCCCCTCTGCTGGCCTGGTTGCCTTCACATGCCCACCCCCAGCGGCCAGGTTGCCTCTTATTGCCCTCTCCTGCCAGCCTGGTCGCCTCTAACTGCCCCCTCCTGTTGGCCTGGTAGCCCCCAACTGTCCCCCCTTCTGCCGGCCTGGTCGCCCCTCACATCCCCCTCCCCCCTTGCCCGCCTGGTTGCCCCAAGCAGCCTACTGTTGAGTAGTTCTGTTGTCCTTCTCCAACCCCCTGCCAGCCTGGGGGATTAGTGAGGGATGACCAAACGACTGACAGGGAAAATACAAGCTTAACCTAGAAAATTATATTTTCTGAAATATCTAGAAAGCAAGGAATTGTTTGGAGAATGATGGGAATATGTCACAGATAAAATTTGGGCTAATTTGGGCATCAAAATAAATCATTTTATAAAGAGATTATATTCCATTGGCTCAAATAGAAAATATTCAATTCAACAAAAATTGAAAGTCTTTTAGTGTTTTTTTCTGTTGCTGTTTAATAACCACATATTTAGCAGTTTAAAACCACACCAATCAAGCCGGGACCGGTTTGGCTCAATGGATAGAGCGTCGGCTTGGAGACTGAAGGGTCCCGGGTTCGATTCCGGTCAAGGGCATGTACCTTGGTTGCGGGCATATCCCCAGTAGGGGGTGTGCAAGAGGCAGCTGATCGATGACTCTCTCTCATCGATGTTTCTAACTCTCTATCTCTCTCCCTTCCTCTCTGTAAAAAATCAATAAAATATATTTAAAAAAAAAAAAAATAAAAAAAAAATAAAACCACACCAATCAAAAAAAAAAAAAAAAAGTGAAAACCACCCATCTGTTATTTCAGAGTTCTGTAAGTCAGGAGTCCAGGTGGTCCTCTACTTAGTCTGATCATTTCAGTGAGGTATTGGCTATGCTGGGCTCTTAACTGGGAACTCTGGGGAAGGATTTTCTTTCAGTCTTATTCAGGTTGTTGACAGGATCTGAGATTCTTATTTCCTCGCTGGCTGATTGTCAGGGCTGATCAGGTCCTGGAGGCCTCTCTTTGGTCCTTGCTTATGGCCCCCGCCATTTTCACATCCAGCAAATCTTTCTGGCTTCCTCTTCTATTAGCTGGAGAAGACTGTGATTAAATTAGGCCTACCTTGTTAATCTTTTGTTATATAAAGGAACACAATTATGGGAGTGACAGCAGGGGAAGGTCATAGGCTATTTTACAATTCTGCCTATCACACATACTTTTAAAGTACCTAAAACCAGCCTGGCTGGCATGGCTCAGAGACTGAGCATTGACCTATGAACCAGGAGGTCATGGTTTGATTCCTGGTCAGGGCACATGCCAGGGTTGTGGGCTCATCCCCCAGTGTGGGGCATGCAGGAGGCAGTCGATCAATGATTCTCTTTTATCACTGATGTTTCTATCTCTCTCTCTCGACATCCTTCTGGACAAAGCCATGGTGGTGGGGGTGGGGCAGAGGCAGGCTGGCGGAGGGGCGGGGGGCAGTTGGGGGTGAGAATGCTGGCACGGGGGGCACTTGGGGGTGATCAAGCTGGCAGGGAAGGGCAGTTGGGGAAGATTAGGCCAGTGGGGGCAGTTGACAATAAGCAGGCCAGTGGGGGGGCAGTCGGGGCGATCAGGCCAGGAGGGGGGGGGCAGTTAGGGGTGATCAGGCCATAAGGGGGGGGGCGCAGTTGTGGGCAGTCAGGCTGGCAGGTAGAATGGTTAGGGGTGATCAGGCAGGCAGGTGAGCGGTTAGGAGCCAGCAGTCCCAGATTGTGAGGTCCCTGTGAGATCAGGCCTAAATCAGCAGTCGGACATCTCCAGATTGGAGAAGGTGCAGGCTGGGTTGAGGGACACCCTCCCTCTGTGCATGATTTTTGTGCACTAGGCCACTAGTCTCTCTATATAAAAGCCTAAGCTACCAGTCGACCGTTTGAGCGCTGTGCTGTGCACTGACCACCAGGGGGCAGATGCTGAATGCAGGAGCTGCCTCCTGGTAGTGTGCTCCCACAGTGGGAGTGCCACTCAGCTGATGGGGAGGAGTGGGACTGGGATGAGTGGGGCCGGGTGAGGGGGAGCAGCTCCTGCCTGGCCATCTGCCACTTCGTGCACTACTACATCCCTCGGGGGATATTGGATGCCGGTTTTAGCCTGATCCCTACAGGTCACGCCAAGGGACCCCACCTGTCCATAAATCTGTGCACTGAGCCTCTAGTATAATTAAAATTTATTACCAAACTTATGTCTTTCTTTGAGAAAACTTGGAGTGGATAATTGAGAATTGTCTGTCAGATAGATAGAGCTTATGAACACACCACCACTGACACATTCATTTACATGATCCCAAGCTCTAGCCTAATAGCCTATAAAAACGAGAAGCAGAAGCACACAAACTTAAAAGTGATGCTTAGTAATCAGTTATTATATTTTGCTTGTATATTACCTGAGTATTCAGTAATTATCCATTAATTAACTCATTTAGTCCAGTTTTCAAGTTACCTGCAAATCTTAGATATTATCTTCTAGCTTACATGCTATAAAACATAATTACTGGGGGGGAAAAAAATTTGTCCAAATAAAGATAGTTTATTTGAACATAAACTTGTATCACTTTTCATAAACTTAAAACTATGTAGGACTGTTCGTGATGATGAAAAATTCTGGAGATGGATAGTTGTGAGCCCAATATTGTAAATGTTGTTAAAGTCATTTCTTTTTTTAAACCCAGATTATTAAACTTGTATCATGTACCAAAGATGTGCCTGAATTATGTGAACATGGATTCCTATATGCCTCTGAGCTAGTTTCTGTAAGATTAAAAAAAACAACAATTATGGCTCATTTAAAACATGATAAGCACAGTGTCCTTATTTTCAGAAAAATTTAGGAATATTCACTTTATGTAAGTTTATTAATTTGTATAAATAAATCAGAACAGATTTTAAATTTAAGAGACTTTATAATCTAATGTATTAATACTCTCCAAATATAGGAGAACATTCTACTCATAAGGAATGAAGTAAAAGCCTTTCTCAAATTAGGCTAATAGACACACAAGCAAATGGGGAGCTTATAGCTTTAATTCTGCAATTTGAATCATAGCTCAAGAGACACAAGACACCAACAAAACACTGAGCAGTTCAGTTTTTCCCACTGTACGAAATTAACTAATTTTATTTATTTAATTATTTAAAAAAAATATTTTATTGATATTTTACAGAGAGGAAGGGGGAGAGAGAGAGCTAGAAACGTCGATGAGAGAGAAACATCGACCAGCTGCCTCTTGCACACCCCCTACTGGGGATGTGCCCGCAACCAATGTACATGCCCTTGACCGGAATCGAACCTGGGACCTTTCAGTCCGCAGACCAATGCTCTACCACTGAGCCAAACCGGTTTCGGCGAAATTAACTAATTTTAGCTACAAAAAAAGTAGTAACAAAAAAACACTGAAAAACAAAAGCTCTTTTTCATCTCTGGCCCAATTAGAAAAGAAATCTCTAGAATATACCTTGCCCACAGAAGTTTACCAAATGGTCAGTAGACCATAAACACAAATTCGCAGACATTACTTCCATCCACAGGGACCAGCTAATTGAGCATAAGCAAACCAAAAGCATGAAATCATGTAAAGGTAGAAACTACATTAGCAGAAAGCTGGGCAAGGTTCTATTGTCATTTGGGATTCATTTCTAGGAGCCAGGAAGATAGGGTGGGATACACACCGTGTGTATCCTTCAGCAATGTGGTTTACCTGGCTCTGTCAGCAAATCGTCTAGGCATCTCCAGAACCAATGAAAAGTAACTGTGTACCTATGCAATTATGAGTATGCTGATATAAATGAACACATATCAAAGATTTTATTTAACTCAATAATTAAAGGGATTAGGATGTTACAGCTGGTTTCTATAATCCAATTCTAGTCCTGAGAAAACATTAGACAAACTCCAATAGAGGGACATTGTACAAAATTACTGGCATATAATTTTAAAATATTTAAATCATGAAATGCAAGGAAAGACTGAAGATCTGTTTCAGTTTAAAAGGTACTAAAGAAGCAAACAATAAAACGTAATGTGGTTCTGAACATGGGATCAATGTTAGATCCTGAATGGGGTTAAGGATTAAATAATGGGCAATGTCTCAAGGGCCATGTCCTGAATTGGATAGTCATGTGGTCATATAGAGAAATATTTTTTAGTACTCATAAACTTACATAAAGTTAGGATGTATAGTGTAAAACTTTTCTTTCCTGAAGCTCCACTATCTCTCATTATTACTTTAGTGTGTTTCCTGCCCAATCTCTGGAATTAACACTTCATCAAGGAATCATATAATATTTCTTTGTGTAGACAATGATATTTAAAACTAAGACAACCACTATTAATATATTTTTGTTTTAGAAACTTAGTAATTTTTAATCGTAATTAAAATTAGGGTTTTAATGTCTTGATTGGTAATACAGTATGTTCACCCTAATATTAATCAAGTCAATGAATGAATGCTATTTAAAATTCAATTTTGTTTTCTGTTGATAGGTGAGAACAAGAATAACTGGGAAGTGTCAGCACTTTCTCGGGCTGCCCAGAAAGGATTTAATAAAGTTGTGTTGAAGCATCTGAAAAACACAAAGAACATCTTATCAGTAAGAAATCTCTTGCATTTTCTTTACCTTAAATAGTGCAAAAATCAGATTCTAATGCTTGTGAAAAGTAAAAGTCTTTATTTAAAATCTTAGTGTTATGTGTAAATTAGAATATGGTATGGAAATAATCTCAATATATTTTTAGCAATAAAGGTGTAGCTAAATTATTTAGTTTACTGTCTTCATCTTGTTTTCCTGTTTGTCTTCATCTTTAAGAATAGTTAGTGGATAATAAAAAGTAATTAGTTCAAAATCAGTAAACAGTGAGAATACTGATATTATGAATGATTGATTTATTTACTGATTGGATCTTAACACATTGCTGACCAGTAGTTTTATTGCAAGCTTTTCTCAGTGGCCAGATAAGTTTCTATTGAACGAATACAAAAAACATCTTATATAAATGTTAAAGGCATGCTTTAAAATTAAATATCCATTGCATTTTGAAGTTATTTATTGCATGTTCTTACAAGTTAATATATTTTGAAAGAATTTTTGTGATTGGCCACAAACCTTAGAATAGAAAACACAAGGATTCTCATGATCCGTCCGCAATGTATTAAGTACATAATGTTGTGAAGTTCAAGTCATGTCAGTATTTTTTTATCATGTTAATTTGTTGACAGTATTTTTCAGATATGGTATGTAATGTAATTGGAAAAGATGATCTAAATAGAGAAAATTGGGTTAGTATATAGGTATAAAGTAAAAATTAAAATTTGAAAATATTTTAAAATTAAATTTATTGTGATGACATGGGTTAATAAAATCATGATTCCTGTATAGAATCCTATAATACATCATCTGTATTTTGCATTGTGTGTTTACCACTCTTTTCATCACCATTTTTTGACACTTTTTATCCTTTGCTACCTTCCTTCCACCCCATTTCCCTCCAATAACCACTATTCTGTTGACCTGTTATTTATGAATTTTTCTTTGTCTATTGGTCTTATTTGTTCATTTATTGTTTTAAATTTTTTAAAATAAATCTTTATTGTTCATACTATTATAAAAGTTCCTCATTTTTCCCCCCTCCATTGCTCCCCTCCAGCAGGTTTCCACCCCACCCTCTGCCCTTTCCCCACCCCTCATTGTCCTCATCCATAGGTGCACAGTTTATGTTCAGTCTCTTCCTGCACCCCCACTCCTCTTTTCCCGGAGAATCGTCAGTCCACTCCCCTTCCATACCTCTGATTCTATTATATTCAACAGTTAATATTGTTCATCAGGTTTTTATAATTCCCTTGGTTTTTAGATTCACTTGTTGATAGTTACATGTTTGTTGTTCATAATTTTTATCTTTATTTTCTTCTTCTTCTGAAAGAACCCCCTTCGGCAATTTATGTAATTCTGGTTTGGCGGTGATGAACTCCTTTAGCTTTTTTATTATTTGTGAATCTCTTTATCTGGCCTTCAATTCTGAGTGATAGCTTTGTGGGTAGATTATTTTTGGCTGTAGGTTCTTGTTATTCATCACCTTGAATATTTCTTGCCATTCCCGTCTGACCTGCATGGTTTTTGTTGAGAAATCAGCTGACAATCGTATGGGTGCTCCTATATAGGTAACTACCTGCTTTTCTCTTGTTGCTTTTAATATTCTCTCTTTGTCTTTTGCTCTTGGAATTTTAATTATGATGTGTCTTGGTGTGGTCCTCTTTGGATTCCTTTTATTTGGGTTCTGTGTGCTTCCTGGATTTGTAAGTCTATTTCTTTCCCCAGGTGGGCGAAGTTTTCTGTCACTATTTCTTTCAGTATGTTTTTGGTATCTTGCTCTCTCTCATCTTCTGGGACCCCCATAATTCTGATGTTGGTTCGCTTGAAGTTGTCCCAGAGGTTTCTTACACTATCTTCAACTTTCTGGATTCTCTTGTCTTCTTGCTTCTGTGGAGGAGTGTCCTCTGGCTCTTTGTGTTTCAAATCTTTGAATTGATTCTTGCGATCTTCCATTCTGTTTTTAGGACTCTGTATAATTTTTTTTTTTTATTTCAGACAATGTATTCTTTATTTCTAGTTGATTCTTTTCATATCCTCATAGGTCTCATTTGTTTTATCTGCCTTTCCTAGGAAATTCTTGAACAACCTTATAACCGTGGTTTTGACCTCTATATCCAGTTGCTTTTTGTCCTCCATTTCTTTCATTTGTGATCTGTTTCCTTGTCTTGGCATTTTTGCTGCTTCCCTGAGTTGGTAGGGTGGCTTTGTGTGTTAAGGTGTCCTATATGGTTCAGTGGGTCAGCCTCCCAGTTATCTGAGGTGGACACTCTTGGTGCACCCCTTTGTGGAGTGTGTGTACAGCCTTTTGTAGTTAAGTCTTAATTGTTGTTGGTATCACTGGGAGGAACTGACCTCCAGGCCAATTGGCTGTGAGGATCAGCTGTGTCTATGCCGGGAGACAGCCGTATTCAAAAGCCTCTGTGCTCAGCTTGGATGGGGCCGAGTTTCAGGGTGGAGCCTACAGCCTTGGCTTCTTGTCAGCCCTGCCCTATGAGGCTCCTGAGTCTCCTTTGGTACTCGCTGCTTTGGTACTCACTGCAAGCACCTCTGAGAGAAAGGTGCCCTCAAGTTTCACCCACTACCAGTCAGTCTAGTCTCTCCCCCAGTGAGCCCGGAACTGGGGTTCAGTGCAGTTGGAAGTGAGGTTCAGTGCAGTCCAGAGCTTTTGTCTCCTTCTCGCTAGAGCATTCCAGCAGCACAGTCAACAGTCAGTCCTCTGTACACAATGTGCGCAACTCCCGGGCTCTGCCTTTCGCCACTCCCCTGAGTTTCTGCCTTACAGCCTAGAATCCCCAGTCTGTATGAGCCTGGGACCCCAGGGTTTCGCCCAGAACTGGGGTTCAGTGCTGTCGGAACTGGAGTTCAGCACAGTCCGGAACTTTTATCTCCTTCCCGCTAGGGAACGCCAACTAGGCACTCAGCCGCCCCTCCTCTCCGGCTCCATCCTCTCCCCACGTGCGTACCGTGTCTCTGTACCTTAGGCTTTCACAGCTACTCTCATTTTCCTTCTGATTTTCTCTTTCCTTCAAGTTGTAGAATTTCCGGTCAGTCAACTTTCCTGTAGTTCTGGATAATGTCCACTTTATATTTTAGTTGTATTTTTTGAAATTGTTGTGTGAGGCTGCAGTTAGGCGTTTACCTATGCCGCCATCTTGGTTTTTTTCTATTGTTTTAAATTTTATTATCCTTCATATGAGTGAAATCATATGGTTCTTGACTTCTGTCTGACTTATTTCACTTAGCAAGATATTCTCAAGGTCCATCCATATTGCAAATGGCAGTATTTCATGTTTTCTATGGCTGAATAATATTTTATTGTCTGTGCGTACCACATCTTTATTCAGTCATTTATTGAAGGACATTTTGGTTGTTTCCACATCTTGGCCACCGTGAATAATGCTGCAATGAATACAGGGTTGCATGTATCTTTATGAATGAATGTTTTCAAGTTTTTCAGGTACACACCCAGTCATATGATAACTCTATTTTTTTATTATTTATTTATTTTAATATATATTTTATTGACATTTTTACAGAGAGGTGGAAGGGAGAGAGATAGAGAGCTAGAAACGTCGATGAGAGAGTAACATCGACCAGCTGCCTCCTGCAAACCCCCTACCAGGAATGTGCCCGCAACCAATGTACATGCCCTTGACTGGAATCGAACCTGGGACCCCTTAGTCCGCAGACCGACGCTCTACCACTGAGCCAAACCGGTTTCGGCAATAACTCTATTTTTTTGAGGAACCTCTCTACCAGCAGACACCAACTTTTTGGACCTCACACACCACCGATTGGCAACTGCTGCTCTATACTGTTTTCTATAGTGGCTATATCAGTTTATTAGTATATCCTCATCATCAATGTAGGGATTCCTTGTTCTCCACAATCTCTCCAACACTTGTTATTACTTGTTTTGTTGATGAAAGCCATTGTATCAGGTGTGAGGTAGTATCTCATGGTAGTAATTTTTTAAAATGTGTTTTTATTAATTTGAAAGAGAGAGAAAGGGGGAGAGATGGAGCGATAGAAACATTGATGAGAAACATTGATTGACTGCCTCCTGCAACACCTTCTACTAGGAATTGAGCCCACAGCCCGGGCATGTGCCCTAACGGATACAGACAAGCTACCTCTTGGTTCATTGGTTGATGCTCAACCACTGAGCAAAACTGGCCGGGCTATCATATTAGTTTTGATTTGCATTTCCCTAATAGCTAGTGAAGTTGAGGATCTTTCCATATATCTATTGGCCATTGTATGTCTTGGTAGAAGTGACTGTTCTCTGCCCGTTTTTTAATTGGATGTTTTGTTTTTTATTGTTGAGTTGTATGAGTTCTTTATATATTTTGGATATTAATCCCTTACCAGATGTTTTGTTTATAAATATCCTCTCCCATTTGGTTGGTTTTCTTTTTATTTTGTTGATGGTTTTTCTGTTTTTTAGTTTGATGTAGTCCCATTCATTTACTTTTGCCTTTATTTTCCCAGCCTTTGATGGCAAGTTCATAAAACCCTCTTTAAGACCAAGGTCCATAAGTTTATCTGTGTTTTCTTCTGTTGTTTATTGTTTCAGGTCTTATAATTAGATCTTTGATACATTTTGTGTTAATTTTTGTGTATGGTCTAGTTTTATTCTTTTTCACGTGACTTTTCCATTTTTCCAGCACCATTTATTGAAGTCTTTCTTTTCTTCATTGCATGTTTTGGCTCCTTTCCCCAAAATTATTTGTCCAGGCTCTGGCAGGATACCTCAGTTGGTTAGAATGTCATCCCTATACACCATAGTTGTGGGTTTGATGCTCTGTCAGGTCTTGTATAAGAGTTAGCCAATGAATGCATAAATAAATATCTCTCCTCCCTCTCCTACCATTTCTTACTAATTTATTTATTTGAAAAACAATTATTTGCCCATATACATGTGATTTATTTCTGGGCTCTCAGTTCTTTTCCATTGGTCTGTGTATCTGTTTTTCTGTCAGTATAATGGTGTTTTGATTATTGTTGCTTTGTAGTATAAAATTTTGGAAAAATATTACTGTCTAGAATTGATAAAGCATACTCCAGGGTAAACTCTTTCCACATTATTATTATTTTTATTGATTTTTTTACAGAGAGGAAGGGAGAGGGAGAGAGAGCTAGAAACATCAATGAGAGAGAAACATCGATCAGATGCCTCCTGCACTCCCCTCTCTTCCCACTGGGGATGTGCCCACAACCAAGGTACATGCCCTTGATGGGAATCAAACCTGGAACCTTTCAGTCTGTAGGCCGACGCTCTATCCACTGGGCCAAACCAGTCAGGCCCACCTTATTATTTTTGATAGCTTTTGATTGAGAGACTTGAATGATCTTAGAAGTGGTTGTCTTAATTTTTAAAAATTATTTGATCACATATTGATAAAACAGGATAAAAGTATTTGAGCTTATCTTCAGTTTTGCAAATAAAATCTCTTTGTAGATACACAATCTCTGCTCCCTAGAACCCCAGGTAATTTCAGTCCTAGGCCATACTACTTTTACTTATTGATGTTTTCACTGTGGTGTAATGATGGGTAACACTTTTGGTTCCTTAGCACTTTATTAAGTTTTGACCCTTGAGTACACATTTTTTAAATATTCTGTGTGATGAAGCAGGGAGTCTGCCTAAGCAATCTGCTGCGAGGTGAAGTGTGACAGGTGACTTAAGGAAAAGCCCTTGTGTGATGCTTTCTTTGAGCTTTGAATTAATGTAGCCACTTTTTTTCAAGAACACCATATTTTTTTTATTTTTATTTTTTATAGATTTTATTGATTTTTTACAGAGAGGAAGGGAGAGGGAATAGAGAGCCAGAAACATCGATGGGAGAGAAACATCGACCAGCCGCCTCCTGCATACCCCCCACTGGGGATGTGTCCGCAACCAATGTACATGCCCCTGACCTGAATCGAACCCGGGACCCCTCTGTCCGCAGACTGGCACTCCACCACTGAGCCAAACCAGTTTCGGCAAGAACACCATATTTATTTGAAAGATCGAATGACAGACATACCAGTCGGTGTGGCTCAATGGTTGAGTGTCGACCTATGAACCAGGAGGTCATGGTTCAATTCCTGGTCAGGGCATATGCCCGGGTTGCTGTATCAATCCCCAATGTGGGGCATGCAGGAGGCAGCCAGTCAATGATTCTCTCTCATCATTGGTGTTTCTGTTTCGTTCTCCCTCTCCCTCCCTCTCCAAAATCAAGAAAAATATATTAAAAAAAAAAAGAATAAGAGGAAAGTTAAAATTTTGGAAGACTTGTAACCATCACATGAACTTGATAGCCCTTCAATACTTAAAATATTTTTCTTAATTCAATTAAATAATGGGTAAAGGACCTGAATAGGCATTTCTCCAAAGAGAATATACACATGACCAAAAGACATATGCAAAAATGCTCAATGTCACTAATCATCAGATAGGCAAATTGAATAGCTACCATCAATACAACAACAGACAGTAAGTGCTGACAAGGATAGGAGAACAGGGAAGCCTAATGAACTGCTAGTTCAGCCACTGTGGAAAACAGTATGGATTTTCCTCAAAAAATTAAAAATTGGAACTACTGTTTGACCCAGCGATCCCACTTCTGAGAATATATCTTAAGAATCCCAAGACACCAATCAGGATATATGCACCCTTATGTTCATGGCAGCGTTATTTACAATAGCTAATATTTGAAAACAGCCCAAGTGCCCATGAGTAAATGAGTAGATAAAAAACTGTGCTACATGCTGAAACCGGTTTGGCTCAGTGGATAGAGTGTTGGCCTGCAGACTGAAAGGTCCCGGGTTTGATTCCGGTCAAGGGCATTACCTTGGTTGCAGGACATCCCCAGTAGGGGGCATGCAAGAGGCAGCTGATCGATGACTCACTCTCATAGATGTTTCTAACTCTACTCTGTATCTTCCTTCCTCTCTGTAAAAAATCAATAAAATATATTTAAAACAACAACAACACACACAAAAAAACCCTGCTATATTTATACAATGGAATGTGACAGCATGATTTGACCTTGAGACTATTATGCTAAGTGAAATAAGACAGAGAAAGACAAACCTCACAAGATCTTGCTTATATGTAGAATCGAATGAACAAAATAAACTGATGAACGAAATAGTTCCAGAGGCATGGATGTATGGGATAGAATAACAGACCTCAATGGGGAGGGTGATGCAGGGGACAGGAAGAGATTAACCAAAGGACATTTATGCATATACACATAACCCACAGACTCAGACAATAGCGTGGGAAGGCCTGGGGAGGGGATTGGAGGGGCTTGAGGAAGGGCAAAATTGGGGGACATCTGTAATACTGGCAACGCCAACTATAACAAAAGGAAGCACCCCTGGCACTGTTCTAATGACATTTGTGGTAATATTAACAAGTGATTTTTTGCATATATAATCAAATGTGTCAATATTTGGTAGATACCAATAACCCAGTTAACCAGTAACTTCAGATGAACAATATATTATGTTACCAAATCATGCAAGGGTAAAAAATCCACTCAAAGTGCAAGATAAACCAATGAATTTTACTGTAATAGAGTGTATAAAATTTATTGATAAAAGTTTCTGATTCCTCATTTTAACTACTCTTTAAGAAACTAGCACTTGCCAAAACCCGTTTGGCTCAGTGAATAGAGTGTCGTTCTGTGGACTGAAAGGTCCCAGGTTCGATTCTGGTCAAGGGCATGTTCATTGGTTGCGGGCACATACCCAATAGGGGGTGTGCAGGAGGCAGCTGGTTGATGTTTCTCTCTCATCGACATTTCTAGTTTCTCTATCCCTCTCCCTTCCTCTCTGTGGAAAGTCAACAAAATATATTTAGAAAAAAAAAAGAAACTAGCACTTGTTAGTGTAGGTGTACTATCAAAGAATAATCATAGCAGTCTAAAAGGAATAACAAAATATGACTCCCTCCTTCTGTAGCTTCCAACTGTAGCTCTTAACAACATGTCATAAGAGCTGTCTTCAATCAAGCCAAAAAAAAATTTACACATATGTGAAACAATGCCAATTTCTAAGGTTTTTGTTTATTTGGAAAATATAGTGGGGCAAAAGTAGGTTTATAGTTGTTCATATGGAAAATAATATAATAAATAATAATACAAGAATAAACTGTGTTGCATACTCACAGCTGTACACCTATTTTGCCCATCCTGTATACTTACTTTTCCTAAAGATATGTCATTTGTTAACGTGATGGGTTTAGTTTTTTTTAAATAAAACAATTATTTAAATAATTTCTAAGTTTTAACTTCTGATGTGATAAATATTTATAAATACGACCAACATTATAGCTCTTTGTGGAATCCTTAGTAACTTTTAAGGGTGTGACAGTTCTGCTGAAATTTTGGAATTGCTGGGCTACCACCTTGGTCGGCAAACTGCGGCTTGCGAGCTGCATGTGGCTCTTTGGCCTGTTGAGTGTGGCTCTTCCACAAAATACCATGGCCTGGGCGAGTCTATTTTGAAGAAGTGGCGCTAGAAAAAGTTTAAGTTTAAAAAATTTGGCTCTCAAAAGAAATTTTAATCGCTGTACTATTGATATTTGGCTCCGTTGACTAATGAGTTTGCCGACCACTGGCCTAGAAAATGGACATGTAACTGCAATATTGAAAGAGATGTTTCTTCTTTTCATGACTTTGCAATAAAATTAACAGTAGTTCTATGGACCACTGGGAAGCATTAACAATAAAGAGAGTCGTAAAATGGTTTTTCTTTCCTCTCATAAATCTCTTTAATTTTTAACTCAGTTATCACATGTAATGCAATTGTTCCATTGCAGAATGAAGCACTGTCCTTAGAAGAAATAAGGATCAGAGTAGTACAGATGCTTGGCACTCTAGGAGGACAAGTAAGCAAAAATCTTGTAACAGGTAAATGAACTTTTATTAAAATAACCACATAGAGGTATTTGTCCTTTAATTTAGAAGTATACAGATCGTGGTATATTCTCATATTTATTATATATGTAATTAACATTTTCAAATAAGATTACAAAGAATAATTGCCTAATGAAATACTTAGATTGTACCATGCCATCTGAATAATGCTTTACAGGTATGGAAAATGTTCTAGTTTGGTTATTAAACTTTTTTTTTTCATTTTGAAACAATCGAACATTCTTTTTTTTTTATATTAAATGTTGTTTTAAGAATTCAGTATTTTTTTAAACATGATATTCTTAATTGGATATCTTTAGAGTGTTTTTAGTGAGATTTAGCATTTCGTTTAGCAAAAATTCATCTATTTTTACATTTGAAATTTCCTATTCAATGCACTAGTGATTTGGTTATTTAGGAAGTTACAGCCAATATTGGGAAAATAAGTGCTTTAAAGAGACTTTTAATAAGAATATTATTTACTTATAATTTTTCCACAGATTACCGTGTTTGCTGAAAGTGAAAATTCAGTGCCCCAGATTATTAGACTTATTTAAAAATAATATTTAAATTAAATTCATAATTAGTATATTAGTGATTTGTAATGTATTTACATGTGTGAAGTAACAAAAAGAAGAATAAAGAATAAAGTGCTTAACTTAAAAGTATAACAAAATACTCTGGTTTCACTAATGAATTGTAGAGCAGTTAGTATAAGAATGCTTTGAATGAAAAAAAGAAATACTCTTCTTAATATTTTTTAACAGCTGCATCCTCAGATGAAATGATGAAGAAATATGTAGCATGGGATAGAGAAAAAAGACTCAGTTTTCCAGTACCATTTATGGATATGAAGCCTGTCATTTACCTGGATATATTTTTGCCTCGGGTCACGGAACTAGCTGTTTCAGCCAGTGACAGACAAACTAAAGTACTTTTATTTTTCATTTCACTATTATTTAGAGTCTATTGATTTTAAGACATATATTTTTTAGGGAATAGATAATATATTTCAGCCATTTCAATATTATTAATTTTATATTTTCTGTAATATAATAATTAGAAAACGACTTAATTATCATGTCATTAATAAATGACAACGAAACATAAATCATCTTAATAGATAATAACCTGGCAAAACATTAATATACTAAACACTTTATATTAGAAAGTATAGTACAAAGGGCATTTAACAGCGATTTTTCATGTGCTCTATTACCTTCTCAAGGTAGGAGATTAGAAACATATAATCCCAAGTTTCTCTGGTAACTTGTACATTTTCAGAATGCTTCAAATATTCACTGTTGTGGTGATAATTGAAAATGTGCTCTCCTTATTGGTTTGGCTCAGTGGATAGAGCATTGGCCTGCGGACTGAAGGGTCCCATGTTTGATTCTGGGCAAGGGCTGCAGGCACATCCCCAGTAGGGGGCGTGCAGGAGGCAGCTGATGGATGTTTCTAACTCTATCCTTCTTCCTCTCTGTAAAATATCAATTTAAAAAAAAAAAAATAATATATATATATAAGAAAATGTGCTAACAAATGGAGCAAAGTTCTGCAATATGGCCGCATTTAAGTGTATTTCTATGAATGTATTAGTCCCATTGCCTAAAATTTTAAAATTTCAATTTTTTTTATTAATATATATATATATTTTTTTTTTTTAATTGATTTTTTTACAGAGAAGAAGGGAGAGGGATAGAGAGTCAGAAACATTGATGAGAGAGACACATCGATCAGCTGCCTCCAGCACATGCCCTACTGGGGATGTGCCCGCAACCAAGGTACATGCCCTTGATCGGAATCGAACCCAGAACCTTTGAGTCTGCAGACCAACGCTCTATCTACTGAGCCAAACCGGTCTTGGCTAAAATTTCAATTCTTAACTCTTGGTTAAAGATCAAAGTAAACAGCCGAAACTGGTTTGGCTCAGTGGTAGAGCGTCGATCTGTGACCCTTCGATTCCTGGGTCAGGGGCATGTACGTTGGTTGTGGGCACATCCCTGGTAGGGGGTGTGCAAGAGGCAGCTGGTCGGCGTTTCTCTCTCATCAAGGTTTCTAGCTCTCATCCTTCCTCTCTGTAAAAAATCAATAAAATAAAATAAAAAAAGATCAAAGTAAACAGAAAAGCATTAATTTTATACAATATTCTCTTGTTAACATGAACTTTTTGAACTCCTGGCCTATTTTAGGTTGCAGCTTGTGAACTTTTACATAGCATGGTTATGTTTATGTTGGGCAAAGCCACTCAAATACCTGAAGGTGGTCAGGGTTTCCCACCTCTGTACCAACTCTATAAGCGAACTTTCCCTGTGCTTCTTCGACTTGCATGTGATGTAGATCAGGTAAGTTTTGCTGCCTGTATATTTGGATTGGGTAGTCTTTTTTCATTGATTAAATATATTAGTTAATACAGGAACATATGAAACTGAAAGTAAAACTCCATTTTGTATTTCCCACTCTTATTCCCCAGGAAAAGCACTTTATCTTAGCAAAAAAAAAAAGTCCAGATCTTTGTAAAAAAACATGCCTAAATATTTCGTTTTATTTGTAAAATGTAGGATGATAGCATTAAAAAATGTTTTCTTTTGTTTATAAAATTTGATTTGGATGGATTTGGTTATCTCATTAAAGGTGTCCAAAAAATTGTCTTTTCATAAAGGTTGTATAGGAAGGGAAATTTTCCTATAAGATATTAAAGACAGAAATGTGTTAATGTAGTGATAATTTGACTTTACAAATGTTTAAAACTGCTGAATGACACAAAAACCACAATTTTAATATATATATATATATATATATATATATATATATAAAAAGTGGGAATATTTTTGCTACTTTATACTGAATATGTAAGATCTAAAAATAGGCAAATGGATAAAGAACAAAAATAGACAGCTCAAACAAAGAAGTATTTGTGGCCAGTGAACTATTTACAAATATTAATGTTTTTAGTAAAGAAAAGGAAGTTCAAATTTAAATGTTATTTTAAAAGTTGACAATGGTGATATTGCCAAGCACGTAGGGAAAGGGCCCTGCAACTTCTGTCTGCTGAGAGTGTGGATTTGCACAGGCTCTTTGCAGGCAGAGCAAAAGGCTGGGTGACCCGCAGCCCTAGTCCAGCAGTTTCATCACTGCCGATATACTGAGAGCAGTGTGCGTGGGACTTTTCATTGCGACTTCTTGTTAGTCACACGTTAGATATACCTGCAAGTCTAATAACAGGATTTGGGTTACTGGATCATGGTATATCCATATGTGAGGTCTGGGCAGCTAATAAACATATTGACATAGCTTATGTATTTATATGGAAAATACTCAAAATTAAGAGGAAAAGTGCTTATAAAAAGTATATTTAATATATTTAAGTGTGTGTAAATAAAATATTTTGAAAATTAACAGCAATTTTAAACGTTAACAGCAATTTTAAATGTTAACGGAGATAGGATTATAGTGGATGGTTTTCTATAATTTTTATAAGTGGTGTATGTGTATATGTGTGCATGCATGTTTTATGTGTGTAGACATACACATATATACCTGATATACTAAGAATAAAACAGTGTAATTCTTTTGAAGAAGAAAGTGATGCTTTAAGACCAGTTCAAACTGTAAGGTATGACCTTTATTTTGATTAGTCCTAAAAATTGCTTCAAAGGAAAGATAAATTTTATAGAAAAAATATCAGGTGCAAGAGGTCTCTGTGTTGTTTGTTCTGCACCCCAAGGCAGACGGTTTTTACAGGGTTTTTGAGTGGTGGTGTTCATATCAAGGTGCTTATTTCTTGAACTCAGTGTCAGTTGGGGGGAAAAACCTCCTGGATTTGTCAGTGCTGCAGTAGGCGCCCTAGCCTTGTGAGGCACAGAAATGTGTAAGGTGCAAAGATAGGGAATGTGTCCCTTCACTTTGCTATAAACATTTTACTCCTCATGTAATGAGAATTGGTTTGTAACCATTTGTCTAGGTAAGTGCTCTGATCCAATAGGATAATTAAACTTCTCTTACCTCTCCAAGATGATCACATGGGCACACTGAGGCTACTCGGTTAAGCTCCCAAGGTTTCAGGAAGGTGGGCACTGTTTCCCTGGGTATTTCCTTTTAGAGAGAGGAATCCAGGCCTGGAAGACACCCTGGGTTGTAAAAGCCAGAGACCCATAGACCCCTGCAGAGACTTTACTTACATTCTGGAAGTTAGAGTGAGAACTCAGGATCCTGAACATCTCCAAGGAGTCGAGATTTTTCTTCTTTCATTTGGCAGCAATGGAGAGGCAGCTGTGTTCTCCAGTGATACAAGCTTTAAGTCCGGTTTTCTCTTCGTCATTATTTACTTGTTAACTGAATAATGATAATGTATCTGATCCACAATACCTCAAGTGCACATTCAGAATATCTAAAGATGAATACTATAAAACTAATAATATTTTATCCTAACTTGCCCTCTTGATTAGGAGAATAATGAGTTTTAGTGTGTATATTAGGGAGAACTTGTTTGTTATAGAATTTAACTATCAAAGGAAACTAACAAAACCATGACAGTATTATCACTTAATTTTGCCTCTGTCATTTAAATGGACTCTTCTCTAATATCAAGTTACTTCATCATGAAGAAAATAAACTTTCTTGGTATTTTCTCTTCAGGTGACAAGGCAACTGTATGAGCCACTAGTTATGCAACTGATTCACTGGTTCACTAACAATAAGAAATTTGAAAGCCAGGATACTGTTGCCTTATTAGAAACAATATTGGTGAGTAAGGATTGACACTTTTTCTGCTGTTCCTATTTTTCTATTTATATTTTCTACTTATATTTCTACTTGACAGGTAAGAAATGTTACCTGTCAAGATATCACAATATAGCATTTAGCTAGATTATATTGTCTTTTTTCTTTTGTTTTAGAGAATTGGTAACATGCCATTTTAATAATCAGGTTGCAATATTTATTTGTTTAAGTGATACTTTTAAATATTTGCAAGTAAATATTCATATTTTAATTAGTTTTCTAGTTTTGGGGAGAATGGTCATAAATTTGACAAACTTGATCTATAGTAAGACTATGATGTGGAGTATAGGGTGGAAGACGGGAATAAAATTGTTCTTTGATCAGAACCCTTTTAGTAGTACCTATTTTTAAAAGTATCCCTAGTGCAATAATTAAGTATTATTTTTAACTTACCCAGTTTTCTTTTACATTCATATTCAACAACTAAAGGACCCTAGAATAATAGCTTAGTATTTACATAACATTATCCTGACCTTAGAGGTAGAATCATTAAGATTTGGTCACAGGTTCACTAAAGGCAGAGAAAATGAGTTCAGCTAAAGCCTTAGTGTGCTTTTGACAATTGTTTTATTATAATTTTCTGAACTTGTACAAATAACTTTACATTTGATCCATTGAATGTTATTTGATTTTACCCATTATTTACCTATAATTTTGTTTTGCCATTTACTGACTTTGGAATCAAAAGTCCCAATTAAACATATAGCAAGTTTGTCCAAACAAAGTTCTGTCATTGCATCTTTTGCAAATTGATTTAGATTTGAATCTGTGTGTTGCTTCTGTTTGAAATAAGCCAGAGGAAATAGTTGACTAGGACAACCAGATGGAGATAAAGCGTTTAGGTGCTTGGTGTGTTTGTGGAGAATTAGCTCTGTTTTGAGTTTTGCTTGCATCGAAGCATTGTGCTGAGAAGGTGGAGCTAGGAAGGTGTGTTATTCAGAATAGCAGAACATTGTAGATAGGTTGACCATACATTCTGGTTTTCCTATGCCTGTTGTGTATGTAACTATTAAGAGCACTTCTTTCACTCTCAGAGTGACCCTAGTTAGATAGATGCCATGTTGTGGGGAGCAGAGAGTTACTGAATGTTCTTTTAAAAAAAAAAAATACATATATATAGAGTGGGAATGCAGACTGGTGCAATCACTGTGGAGAACAGTGTGGAGTTTTCCTCAAAAAACTGAAAATGGAACTCCCATTTGACCCAGTAATCCCACTCCTAGGAATATATCCCAAGAAACTAGAAACACTAATCAGAAAGGATATATGCACCCCTGTGTTCATAGCAGCACAATCTACAATAGCTAGAATTTGGAAATAGCCTAGGTGCCCATCAGCAGATTATTGGATCAAAAAACTATGGTACATCTTCACAATGGAATACTATACTGCCATAAAAAAGAAGGAATTTTTATCATTTGCAGCAACCTGGATGGAATTGGAGAACACATGCTGAGTGAAATAAGCCAGTCAATGAAAGAGAAACACCACATGACCTCACTCATTTATGGATAATAAAGAACATTATAAACTGATGAACCAAAAGATAGATATAGAGACAGTAAAGCAACAAGTAAACTGTCAAATTACAGCAGGTAGGGTAGGGAGATCTGGGGGAGATAATAGATCAACCGAAGGACTTGTATACATGCATATAAGTACAACCAATGGACACAAAACTCTGGGGAGGGAGGGAATGTATGGGAGGGGGAGGGCAATGTTAAAATATGTACACAGATAATTTAATTTAAAAATGTAAAATATATATATATATATCTACGCTTCATTTCTCTGCACTATAATAAACACATTAAATTATTTTAAAAAGTTTGACGCAGCTTTATTCATAATCAGCCCAGAACTGGAAATAACAGGGTAATGGATGCATAAACTGTGTTATATTCATATTTTACTGCAATATTGAAAAAATGAACTAGTGACAACATGTAATACCAGGATTAGTCTCAAAAACATTAAGTTGATTAAAGAAGCCAGACACAAAAGAGTAGGTACAGCCGGGACCGGTTTGGCTCAATGGATAGAGCGTCGGCTTGGGGACTGAAGGGTCCCGGGTTCGATTCCGGTCAAGGGCATGTACCCTGGTTGCGGGCATATCCCCAGTAGGGGGTGCGCAGGAGGCAGCTGATCGATGACACTCTCTCTCATCGATGTTTCTAACTCTCTATCTCTCTCCCTTCCTCTCTGTATAAAATCAATAAAATATATATATATAAAAAAAAGAGTAGGTACAGAATGATTCCATTTATATGAAGTTCAATATAGACTATTTCGACCTAGAGATTATCACTCTGACTTTCGTCATCATAGATTAGCTTTGTCTATATTGAACTTCATATAAGTACATTAAATTAAATTTCTGGTTTGTTTGCACTCAGGTCAACTTAATTCTAATGTTTTTATTCTGAAGTTTTTATCTTAGCTATTTCTTTTTCCCTTTTGAACCTTGAAATCAGCTTGAATAAGAGCTTCAGAAAGCATTCAGGTCAGAATATGAAAACGTAGAAGAGAGAGTTGAAGAAAGAAAAGGTAAAGGAGGAGATGTGAAGATGGTAGTACAGCACTCAAGTGAGGGACCTGTCAGTCTTCTAATAAGAATTGCTCTTTTTCTTATGTGAACACAGACACTGTATACCTCTGCTCTGGAAGTGGTTAATGACCTTTTCCATTTCCAGAGATTACTACCTTCTTAAATTTTCATTAACACTGTAATCTAAGGTTTCACAAATAGCAAAAAAATCCAAAAACAAATGGGGGATGTTAGGCAGAAGTACTCCCTTATTTCAGTGGTCAGTGTATTTTTTCAAGTTAAACTTTTTCTATATTGATCTGAGAGGAAATAATGCCTAGAGGGAGACAAAAACATTCAAATTTTTTAGCCATTTTTTTTTTTTTTAGATATTCAGAGATTATGCCTTTATGGAGACTACTCTTATAGAAAGTTATATTTCTAGACCCACATCTCCATGTGATTTTTGTTTATGTAGCAGTACAATTTCTCTGGAACTCTTAAGGGTCTTATTCTCTTTAACCTCAATACAAAAGCATCTCAGTTCTGTTTTAGGGTCAGGTCAGCAACAAAAATTCCTAGCACGTGGCCATTGTGTTTCTACAGGGAAAGACTGCTTTGTTGTTACTGGTTAAAGCATTCCTTTTTTAAATGGATTTTTCAGTTTCTGGATTTATTTAAAGTATTGTTATTATGTCAGTTGGAATTTATTAGAGTCCAGATTCTAGATATTGATATGTTTTTTTTTCTTGTATAGTGTTGTAAATAAATTTTTATAACATGCTCTGGTTATGCTCAGAGGAAGATAAAGTATTCAATTGTCATGATATGCTTTGTTTTTAGGATGGAATCGTGGACCCCATTGACAGTACTTTGAGAGACTTTTGTGGTCGGTGTATTCGAGAATTCCTCAGATGGTCCATTAAACAGACAACACCACAGCAGCAAGAGAAAAGTTCAGTAAATACCAAATCACTTTTCAAGCGACTGTACAGCTTTGCACTTCACCCCAGTGCTTTCAAGAGGCTAGGAGCATCACTTGCTTTTAATAATATCTACAAGGAATTCAGGTTAGTAAACCACATGACCGGCGAGAGTGTAAAACAAGTTTTTTAAATTATCTGTAGTGATTTGGAAAAGAGACGTAGTGTTTATGTGTCCATGTATTCATATATCAGGTATTTAATAAGTGTGTGCTGGGTGCTGTTCTAGTTTCTAGGAATTAAAAACCTGAATTAAAATGCAGTTTGTAGTCAAGAAGCTCAGGACTTGCTGAGAAATGCATACACACACAATACTATAGCTGTCTTGCTGAAACGGGTTTGGCTCAGTGGATAGAGCGTTGGCCTGCAGACTGAAGGGTCCCAGCTTCGATTCCGGTCAAGGGCATGTACCTTGGTTGTGGGCACATCCCCAGTAGGGGGTGTGCAAGAGGCAGCTGATTGATGATTCTCTCTCATCGATGTTTCTAACTATCTGTCCCTCTCTCTTCCTCTCTGTAAAAAAATCAATAAAATACATTAAAAAAAAATACTACAGCGGTCTTATAAGTGCAGCAGACGGCACTGCAGGGTCTTTTGGAGCATCAGAAGGCAGGTGTCTAAGCCAGCTTGAGTAGGTTAGGAAAGGCTTCCCCTCACATTTATACTTGAAATGCAACTTAAAGGATGAATGGAGATGAGCTAAAGCCACATGCAGTTTGCTACTCTGTTGACTAATGTTCTAACCCAGTGGTTGGCAAATCCATTGGTCAGCAGAGTGGCAAACTCGCATGTGGCTTGCGAGCTGCAGTTTGCTGACCACTGAGCTAGTGCAATTCAGATATGAAATAGGATGGTATACAAGGGATAAAGATATTTTATATTTGTATTGATTGTGGAGTTTGAAGCTTAGAAGAGAGTGTTGTGAGGCCAGCCAGGAGCCTTTGTGTCCAGTTAAGAAACATAGGTCAACTCTGTTGAGTCGCTGGAGTAGTGGGAACATGGAGCATCACGGTTAGATTTCCTCCTAAAATGTACCTGCCAATAGCTTATAGAGTGTGAATCTGAGTGGTACTGACAGCCAATGAAAGGGCTCTTGGAAAAGTCTAAGAAAAGATAATTAGCCGAAACCGGTTTGGCTCAATGGATAGAGCGTTAGCTTGGGGACTGAAAGGTCCCAGGTTCGATTCCGGTCAAGGGCATGTACCTTGGTTGCGAGCATATACCTTGGTTTCGGGCCATGTCCCCAGTAGGGGGTGTGCAAGAGGCAGCTGATTGATGACTCTCTCTCATTGATGTTTCTAACTATCTCTCTCCCTTCCTCTCTGTACAAAATCAATAAAATATATTTTTAAAAAAAAAGAAAAGTTAATTAGTCCTTGACAAAAAGTGATTGTTCATTCATTTAGCATTATTTATTAAAAATATTATGTGTCATATATGATAAGCCCTCAGCTAATATTGTACTCAGTAGCAAAAAAATGGAAAGCTTTTCTCCAATATCAGGAACAGAAAAGGATGCCCGCTCTCAGCACTGTTATTCAACATAGTTCTGGAAGTCCTATCCAGAGCAGTCAGGCAAGAGAGACAAAAACTGGAATTCAAATTGGGAGTGAAGTAAAATTGACATTTTTGCAGGTGACATGATACTCTATAAAGAAAACCTTGAAGGCCACAAAAAAACTCCAAGAACACACACACACACACACACACACACACACAAAACCTAGTAGAAACATTAAGTAAATACAGTAAAATTGAAGGATACAAAATCAATGCAATGTACAGATGATGTATTATAGAATTATACACTTGACACTTATATTGTAGAATTAACCAGTGTCACTGCAATGAATTTGATTTAAAAATTCAAAAAAACTTTATGTGCCAGACATTGTGCCAAATACCAGTGACATAAAGATGTAGCCCTTCATGAAGTTTGCATTTAAGAGAGAGAGAGAATAATTAATCACAGAGGTAAATATAAAATATATACTTGAAATTAGTGTTTTTAAGTAGTGGTACACGATTACTAAGTAATTGTATAATGAGGAACCTGACCTCATTTGTCAGCATTAGCTTCTCAGAGGCAGTTGGGATAGAGATGAGGGGAGATATTATAAAATAAATAGATGATTAGGTAGATAGATAATAGATGGATAGATTGATAGAAATCTATCCTGTGCAAAATGACTAGAGTTCAAAAAAACCACTTCATTATTTTTTAAATCTTTTAAAATTGTAACATATAGGTACAGAAGAATATTTGCAACATATATGTAAAGCTGTCACTATTTGCAGATAAATACTATGCTATGTATAGAAAATCCTAATGACTCCCCCAAAAAACTGTTGTACCTATTAGCCAAATTTAATAAAGTTGCAGGATAAAAAGTATGCAACTATTTGTTGTATTTCTTATACATTAATAACGAAATATCAGAAAGAAAAATTAAGAAAACAATCTCATTTGCAGCAAAAAGAATAAAATACCTAGGAATAAATTTAACAAAGAAGTTGAAAGACCTATACAGTGAAAACTATAAGACATTAATAAAAGATATTGAAGAATACAAAAATGAATGGAAAGATACTCCATGGTCATGGATTGGAAAAATTAATATTGTGAAATGTCCACACCCCACAAAGCTTTCTACAAAAAAAAAAAAAAAAATATATATATATATATATGAACTAATTAATGAAATCAGTAAAGTAGCAAGAAATAAATTTAATATTCAGAAATTAATTACATTTTTAAACACCAACTAGAGGCCCAGCGCGTGACTGAAATTGCGAAAGGAGGCGCATGGCCGCCCACCGTGGGAGGAGGCGCCCTGTGGGGGCTGGACCCATGCCTGACCACATAGTGCCAGCCCCCCATGTGTCACTGGGGTGGGGACAGGTGCTCCTGGGTGCTGTGTCTCCATCCTGGCCCTCCCCTAGCCCCAGCCTCCCCATGGCCGCTGAGGCTGGGGGCAGCACTCAGCCCCCTCCTGCCCACCTGCACAGCAGCAAATCCTGAGCAGTCCTAATGCCTGGCTAATTAGCATATTCCCTGTTTTTATATATATATATATATATATAAGTATAAGAGATAATAAGACAATCCAATTACAACAAAAATAATGAAATACCTAAGAATACATATAACCAGAGGTAAAAGATCTGTAGTCAAAAAAATTTAGGACATTGAAGGGAAAAAAATAGATACAAATAAATGGAATATCATGGTACATAATGTGTTTATGGATTGGAATTAACATAATTAAATTTTCCATATTATCCAAAGCAATCTATAGATTTAAAGCAGTCCATGTCAAAATACTACTGGTTACTTTCCACAGAAATAGAATAAATAATACTACTTCTGTGCTGGAGACTCTCTTATGAGATAAGACTTGCAAAAGCCTTATCTCATAAGAGAGTGCTCAGCTTGGATGGAGCGGAGTAGACAGCAGCAATTGCTTCCCGTCAGCCCTGCCCTAAGAGACCCCTGGGTCTCAGTGTCCTGCGGTGATGGCTGCAAGCACCTCTGAGAGAAAGCCACCCTCAAGTTTTACCTGTTGACAGACAGTCCAGTTTCTCTCTGAATGAGTCTGGGTCCCCAGAGTCTCGCCTGGAACTGGTCGGGAACTTTTGACTCCCTCCCTATTGAGAAAGCCTGCCATGTACTCGGTTGCCAGCCCTCTTGCTCGCGTGCCTCAGTACCTCTGCCTTCCGCAGTTTCTCTGAGGCTCAGTGTGCTTTTCTCTTTCCTGACAGTCCAGTTTCTCCCCGAATGAGTCTGGTTCCCCTGAGTCTTGCCTGGAATTGGAGTTTAGAGCTATAGGGAGCTTTTGTCTCCCTCCCGGTTGAGAGAGCCAGCCATGTACTCAGGGGCCAGCCTTCTCTGTGCGTGCGCGCCTCAGTACTTCTGCCTTCTACAGCTCCTTTGAGTCTCAGTGTGCTTTTCTCTTTCCTTCTAGTTGTAGAATTTCCACTCAGCCAGCCTTCCTGTGGTTCTGGATGATGTCCGTTTTGTCTTCTAGTTGTAGTTTTGAAATTGTGTGAGGTAGCAGTTTAGGTGTTTACCTATGCTTCCATCTTTGTTTCTATCAACAGATTGTTTTATATTGTAAAACATGAGCCAATTTTAAGAATAAATTTAATTAATGTATGTATTGTTTAGTAACATTACTTTTGACCTCATTTCTGCTTTATTGTTTCTTTATGTGAGGATTGTATTCTTTATTTTACAGGGAAGAAGAGTCTCTGGTAGAGCAGTTCGTGTTTGAATCTTTGGTTACATATATGGAAAGTCTGGCCTTAGCACATGCAGATGAAAAATCCTTAGGTAGGTCTTATCCGAGCTTCTCTGTGCATGCCAATTCTGTTTGCCTTACAACTCTTTAAGAGCCTTTTCACTCAGGGATTAAGCCTCAGCTGCTTCTGTCACAAGGTGGTATGCCTTTCTCATGTCTCCCATTTAGGATGATACATGTGAAGGGGATATATACCCCTCCATTGCCTCAATTCCAATTTGTAAAAGCGTTTGCCATGCCCTCCATTTCTAAGACTCACCATGTACCCCTGGTGGACACTGAGGTTGACCCTTGATTGGTCAGAGATCCTGCAGGGCAGGTGGGACAGTTTTAATGTGAGTTCAATGAAGCTAACCAGTTGCTATGATGACACAAAATGTGAAAGTATACTGATTGTACAATGTAAAGAAAGCTGGATGTGAAAACCACTGAGATGTGGTCAATGTTCTTGAGCTCACTAATGATAATTTATATAGTAGAACATAATTCTCACTACAAGATTGTGATAAAGCTCTTTTGACTGTAATTAAGAAATAAAAAAGGCCAAAACTGGTTTGGCTCAGTGGATAGAGTGTCGGCCTTCGGACTGAAAGGTCCCATGTTCGATTCCGGTCAAGGGCATGTACCTTGGTTGAAGAAATAAAAAAAGTCAGGAATAGGCTAAAGTAGCTAAGAAAATAATAAATGATAGCCTTTACAGTTAAATTCTGGACAGAAGCTGTTAGGAACAGCATGGAATGTTTGAGCTGGAAGCCTTGGTAGAGATTGCCCCATTTGTTTCCACATTAGTCAGGGCTCAGGTGCCCAGAGAATGTAAGCAGCTGATCTAGGTCCCATAGCTGCATGGTGGCAGAATTTCTCATTCATCTATCCAGATTTTGGTTTCTGTTTATTTTTTTAAGACAGGTTGAGCTCTATTAACCTTCATGTTGATAGCCTGCTATGGGCAAAAATGCTTAAAATTTAGTGTACTATTGCTTTATCTTTATATCTTAAGTTGTTTTTTTCATCAAGTGAAACTTTACATTTTTAAAATTACTGCCATATTTAGCCGAAGCTGGTTTGGCTCAGTGGTAGAGCGTCGGTCTGCGGACTGAAAGGTCCCGGGTTCGATTCCAGTCAAGGGCATGTATGTTGGCTGCGGGCACATCCCCGGTGGAGGATGTGCAGGAGGTGGCTGGTCGATGTTTCTCTCTCATCGACATTTCTGGCTCTCTATCTCCCTCCCTTCCTCTCTGTGAAAAATCAATAAAATATATATTTAAAAATAAATAAATAAAATTACTGTCATATTTAAAAAGTTCAGAAAGGAAACGTTATTTTGGTCACAGGTTAAAAGAAGTTCTGTAAGGCTCTTTTCCTAAATAACCATTTTACTATTTTAGTTCTGTTCTTCTATAGTGGTCATATTATTAAACTATAATATATTAAATAGTTTAACGTACATAAGAAGAAGGAGAGGTCAAATCATGCCCTTTAAATAAAAGCCTTAAATTGCAATGCATGGGCTCTTGTGTGGTATGTGGGTTTGTAATACATCCAAAGTCTCTTCTATCTCAAATCCATTGACGTGGCTGTGCTTTGTTTGGCCGAAGGAGTGGGGGGGGAGTTTCTCAGTAGGTGTGGTATTGCTGTATGTGTGAGTGTGCTCCATAATTATCTTGCATTATTCTTTTTTCTTTTTTTATCCTCACCCGAGGATATTTTTCCATTGATTTAGTAGTGAGAGAAGGAAAGACAGAGAAATATTGATGTGAGAGAAACACATTGATTGGTTGCCTCCTGCACATGCTCTGACCAGGGCCCTGGCTGGGGAGGATCCTGCAACTGAGATACATGTCCTTTTTGGAATTGAACCTGGGACTCTTTGGTCTGCAGGTCGACACTCTATCCACTGAGCCAGACAGACTAGGGCTGTCATCTTGCATTCTTAAATATGGGGTTTGGTTTTGGACGTACATCTTTTATTGGATGTAAATCTTTTATTTAAAGTTTAAATTCTGGATGAAAAGATACTAAATCTATTGTAAATTTATCTCTAATTACAATAAATCTATAATGCTAATTTATTAATAACCAGCATATATCTTCTTTGGAAATATGTCTTTGTACTTGAGAACAGGTACAATTCAACAGTGTCATGATGCCATTGATCACCTATGTCGTATCATTGAAAAGAAGTACGTTTCCTTAAACGAAGCAAAAAAACGACGTTGCCCACGGTAGGTGATATTCCTTCAGTTTTTCATTTCCCCCTCCCCCCACCATAAAATTAACTCTCAGTTAATGAAAGAGGGGTTGGGAGGAATGTGTGAAATATGCAGAATTAGTATTTTTAAAAAAATGTTTTTATTGGTTTCAGAGAGGGAGAGAGAGAGAAACATCAATGATGAGAGAGAAACATTGATTGGCTGTCTCCTGCATCCCCACACTGGGGATCAAGCCCATAACCCAAGCATATGCCCTAACCAGTATTTGAACCGTGACCTCCTGGTTTATAGGTTGCAAACTCAACCACTGAGCCACACCACCAGGCCAGAATTAGTTTTCTAAACAAGGAATGTGTGGAAGTATGAAGAGTCACTTTTCCAAAGACATTAAAAAGTTTATGTTTGAAATTGCTTGGCTTAAGGTATTAATTTGATCTTGGTTGGAACAGTGGATATAATTTGAAAATTTGTTTTGTAACAATTTATTTTACCTGCACTAATTTAAATACCAATTTGATGTGGAATTATTTGCCTAGACTATGCATGAACTATTTTACAGTAAATTTGAAATATTAAGAACTGAAATATTGAAATAGGATTTGACAGACATGGAATTATAGACTTATGAGATGAAGCTGCTCACAGCCAAGGCTGGGTTATTTAGTGGTTTCTAGTCTTTGCTCTCATTTCCATCCCAGCAAGCCACATCTCAGACAGGATGGGCTGCCATGCATTAGCCCTTATGCGGGGAACTCTGGTGTCTGCTGCTGGCTGCTGCTGGTATTGGCCCATGTAGACTGGGTTACTAATATTATACGTCCTCTGTTTTAAAATTTATTCTTCCACATTCTACCATTAACATACCTCTTTAAACCATGGGTTCTCAAGCTTGAGCATGCATCAGGATTAGTTGGAGGTTTAGTTAAAACACAGGTCACTGGACCCTCCCTCAGAATCTGTTCCACAGGTCTGAAGTTGGGCCAAGAATTTGCATTTCTACCACATTTACAGGTAATATTGAGGCAGCTTGGTCCAGGGACCACAATTTGAGGAGCACTGCTTTAGATCTTAAATGCTCTTTTGTTTTCAAGTGCAGTGTACAGGAGACATAAAAATTCTTGGTGCTGTTTTTTTAGTAAAAGGCGAAAGATTTATGCGGTCTGAAGAGAAACCAGAGCATGGTGGTGCTGTTTTTTTAAAGAAATGTTTTATAATTTCTCCCGGCGGGGGGGGGGGTGTATAGGGGAAGGGGAGGTAAGCCGCATTTAGGGACTATTGAATGTGTCATTTTTTTACTGTATTCTAATGATAATACATTAAAAATAAACTGAATGCGTTTTAATGAGGTTTCTACATGTATCAGTGTGGGAAATTTGAGTTTTTGATGCCTAGACTCTTGGGTCATCTAAATACTAGGTTAAATATTATGTACCTTGTGTTATCTCCATATAGAGGATTTCCACCTGCGGCATCATTGTGTTTACTGGATGTGGTCCACTGGCTTTTAGCCAATTGCGGGAGGCCCCAGACAGAATGTCGACACAAAGCCATAGAACTGTTTTATGACTTTGTTCCTCTATTGCCAGGTATGGTGATCTTTAGGCCCTATAAATGTTGGGTTTTGCTTTACCAGTAGTTTAGAGATGTATACTTATTTAAAATGTATTCTTTTCATTTTTCAGATGAATATAACAAAAAATGTTTCTAATAAATACAACAATAAGTATGTTTAGTAATCATTACAGGTCAATTGTATGACAAATGATAAATTATGTGTGTACATTTCTCAATGTTTTAGAGAAGGGAAGAAAAAATGCTATTTTGATGTTAGTCAAACGGTACAGAGGAAGTACATTTAGAATCCTCCAGCATCTTTTTTATTCCACTACATTTTTGCTTTTCTATCCCATTTAAAAGAAATAGAGTTGGATTACCATTGCAGCTGTTAACATGATATCAGTTTAGATTTAAAAATCATATTAATGTTAATGAAATAATGTAATTGTCTTATTTAAGTATGTAATTAGTAAGAAACTGATAGTCTCCTAAGTCTGAATGATCTCAAATCATTGTGATACTAAAGGAAAAAATTGAACCTATGCTTTTCAATAATGAATGTACTAAGCCAGTAAAGTGTACTTACACACGTAAGATAATTAATGACGGTGCACTACCAATCATAATAGAGAAGCAGTTGTCTTTAGAAAGTGGATGGAGTACTATTTTGAGGTTTTTTCTTCATGGGTGAAGAGGTAAAAATTCATGTAATTCTGAAGCTTAGAAGGATTCTATATTTTTTTATATTATGAAGTATAGTATAATGTTATATACTATATTTTATATTCTGTATGTTATAATTGTATTCATGCAATATATTATATGTGGCATACATATAATATACATACTATAATTTTATTTATATTTAGAAGTGTATATATTTTTTAATTTAGAGAATGTTTATTATCCTATCTAATAAAAGTAATATGCAAATTGACTATCACTCCAAGACACAGATGGCTGCCCCCATGTGGACACAAGATGGCTACCACAATATGGCTGGCGGGGGGCGGGGGAGGGCAGTTGTGGGCACATTCCCAGTGGGTGCAGTCCTGTAGGGGAGGGCAGTTGAGGGGTGACCAGGCCCACAGGGGAGGGCAGTTGGGGGGGCCAGACCTGCAGTGGAGGGAAGTTGAGGGGGGACAGGCTTGCAGGTGAGGGCAGTTGGGGTCAACCAAGCCTGCAAGGGAGGGCAGTTAAGGGTAACCAGGCCAGCAGGGGAGGACAGTTGGGGGTGACCAGGCCTGCAGGGGAGGACAGTTAGGGGCAATTGGGCTGGCTAGGAGTAGATAGACATTGATCAGGCTGACAGGGGAGTGGTTAGGGGGTGATTAGCTTGGCAGGCAGAAGCAGTTAGTGGCAATCAGGCAGAGTCAGGCAAATGATTGGGAACCAGCAGTCCTGGATTGTGAGAGGGGTGTCCAAGTGCCTGTTTAGGTCTGATCCCAGTGGGCCTAAATTCTAATTAGGAACAGTGATTAGATGAAATAATTTAAATTAAGTGGTAGTTATTTATATGTGCGTTTAATTTTGTTTCTTTTTTAAGGCACCCCATCTCCTTCTTTATGGCTGAAAGACATTATCAAGAAAAAAGATGCTTCCTTTCTCATAAACACATTTGAGGGGGGAGGAGGCTGCGGTCAGCAGTCAGGCATCCTCGCACAGCCAACCCTCTTCCATGTGCAAGGGCCTTTCAGCCTCAGAGCGGCCCTGCAGTGGATGGACATGCTGCTGGCGGCGCTGGAGTGCTACAACACCTTCATTGAAGAGAGGACCTTGGAGGCATCTGAGGTCCTGGGTAGGTGGGACTTGCCCCTAAGTTAGTGTTGTTCAGTTCTGCCGGGAGTCTCTGGGAAAGGGTCAGTGGACTTTTTGATTAGACAGTTTGCTGCTATCACAGAATAATAACACTGGTGATCATATACCACTTACTTAGTACTGTGAAAGCTTTACTCGTATTCTTACTTAAACTCACAGTGAGGGTGTGAGTATAGATGCCACCACCGAGGCTACAAAAATCTGTTCAGCCTGTTCTTTTTGTTCTGTCCGTAGGTTCTTGACCCTTTTATAAAATCACCTTTTGAGGTTTTTGTTTTCAGATTGTGCGTTTAAAGGTTTCTTACTGATTTGAGACCTTAAGATCTTGTTCATGCTTCTGTATGATGTGTCTTTGCTTTGCTTATTTATATTCTGCAAGCGTTTTTTGTTTACAGAGAGGCAGAAGAAGGTGGGCAGGCTCCTCATTTTGTGACTTAATAGGACCTGTCAGGGCAGGAGCTGGCTGTGGAGCGGTAAAGGACAGAGCATTTGGAGCTGACTATTGGCTTGAAGGCTTGTTCCCTGCTTCCTGGTTCTCTGAGCAGCATATGTTAATCTTCTGAGATTTCACTTAAGTCCTCTCAAGAGAACCTCAGACTTGACACTCAGAACATGTTCTATTATTTATTTATCTATTTATTTAATTTATTTAAATAATTTTTAATTTAGGTGAAAAATTACTCTAGTGATGGTGGCTAACTAAGGGAACTACCATTCTCTCTTTAATTTTGTCAGAGGTAAAGTTCATATTTGGGAATTTAAGGGAGAGGAACCAGGTTATTTTCCTTCTGAGGATGGTAGAACCAGGCAGAGGGGGGAGTGTTTAATGTATGTGAATGCATACATGCGAGGGTTCAAGGAAACAGATCTTATACCATTCTGGGGAAGTCTGATTCTTTAGCATGAGATTTTGTGTGATTCTAGCATGAGATTCTCAAAGTGATAGGTCAAAAAGTTGTGAAACTTTGAAAATAGCAATAGTAGCTGTGCAGATGTCAGTAGTACCTTACATATATTGTTTTAAGAGCTCTCATATATCCTCATTTTGAAAGTTTGAGCAAGGAAATAAGGCATAAAAATATGCAAAACCTCTTTCCTAATCACATTTCCTAATGATAAAAATTTTAACAGTTTAGTGTTTACTCTTCTAAACTTTTAATATATATTTTTAAAGTTTTCATTTTTTAGTTAATGGATGATTATATGTGCTTTACTGTAATTTGTGTGTTGTTTTTTTTTTTAAAGAAATTTTAACAGTGTACTTAATGGAACTAGGCGTTTTATAGACCACATCATCAGCTTTAAAATATAGTTTCTTTACTGAAAATTTTGCAGAATCCCTGTATTGTTACTATTTCATTCTTCTTACATTTTTTTTAAACCTTAAAGTATTATACTTTTATTCTTATATTTTCATGTAGAATTCTACCTATGTCTTTGAAACAAAGGGTGTGTTTATATAAAGGTTTCTTCTGTGTTGAGTTATCATTATTAGTACATTTGTTACTAGGGCACTTTATACTCATTACCTCCACAACGTAAACATAAACATTTTTACGTTGTAACATTTAACATGTAACAGTAAACATTTTTATAATTATTATATATAAAAAGCAAGATTATATATAAAAAGCAAGATTATTTTTTCTTTAGATTGTAATACTAAATCATCTTGTTCACAATAAATGGGTCCCATATTTGAATAATTCTAAAATAGACTTTGTTCCTATATTTAAGATATTTGTGCTCATAGTCAAGAATAGTTGATATTTGAGAATGAAATTCTTAATGTATTTCTCACTTATTTGAATACATAGTGACCTGTCATCAAAATTATTTTTTTAATGATTCACTATAATTTATTTTCCTTAAATTTTATGAAAACAAGAATTGGAAACCATTATACTTAGAAAGAATTGGTCACTCGGTCATTACGGTTACTTACTCTTTCAACACATGTATCACTATTTTATTACTGTTAAGCTACGGGTGCACGAATCCATGCACCAGTAGCTTAACAGTAGCTTGCTGCTACCCTCCGGTAGCTCTCTGCCCACTGCCCATCCTCCTGTAGCTTACCTTCTCTCATCCCCTCATAGCTTGCTGCCCTGCCTCCTGTAGCTCTCTGCCTGCTACCCCGCCCTCCTGTAACTCCCTCTACCTCCCCCCCTCATCGCTTGCTGCCCTGCCCCCTCCTGTAGCTCTCTGCTTGTAGCTTGCTGCCCACCCTCCTGCTGATCTGTGATCCAGTCATTATGTGGTTGGTTGTTACGCTTCATGGCATAATGACCATTTTCATATTACATCTTTATTATATAGGACTAGTGGCCCAGTGCACGAAATTCATGCACAGGGGGAGAGTATTCCTTAGCCCGGCCTGCACCCTCTCCAATTGGGGGCTCCTCAGGGATTGGGCCTAAACCGGCAGTCAGACATCTCTCTCACAATCTGACACTGCTGGCTCCTAACTGCTCACCTGCCTGCCTGCTGATCGCCCCTAACCACTCTGTCTGCTGGCCTGCTTGCCCCCAACTGTCCCCTCCCTCCCCCGCTTCCCCACCAGCCTGATCACCCCCTACTGCCCTCCCTTTCTGGCTTGATCACCCCTAACTACCTCTGCCTCATCCCTGCCACCATATCTTTGTCCAGAAGGAGGTTCGGAAGGTCTCCTGGAAGGTCTCCCAGTCCAATTAGCATATTACACTTTTATTAGTATAGGTTGTTTCTTCGGGGCTCCAAAGGTCTATAGTAATTTGAGGAGAGGAGAAAAGTGTATCTTCCTTCCTTCCATCGTCCGTCCCTCCCTCCCTCCCTCCCTCCCTCCCTCCCTCCCTCCCTCCCTCCCTCCCTCCCTTCCTCCTTCCCTTCCTTTTTTCCTTCCTTTTTCTTCTTCTTTTTTTTTTTTCATCCTTACCCAAGGATATTTTTTTCATTGATTTTTAGAGAGAGTGACAGGGAGAGAGACAGAGAGAGAAACATTGATGTGAAAGCGACATTGGTTGCCTCCTGCATGTGCCCTGAGTAGCGCTGGGGATCAAGCCTGCAACCAAGTACATGCCTTTCACTGAAATCAAACCTGAGACTCTTTGGTCCACAGGCCAACACTCTAACCACTGAGCTACCAGCTAGGACTGTTTCTTTTGTTAAGTAGGAGAAGGGCAGTTATTAAAGGGGTGGAGATGAGTAAGGAGCACAAACACAGTCATTTTCAGATAGATGAATTTTATGAAAAAGTTCTTTTGGTTGATCTGAATTTGATTCTATAGTATACCTGTTTGAAGATGATTGCCATAGCTCTTCTGGTCCCTGGCGCTTTGGCAGCCGCGGCCTTCTGTGCAGAGATGGCTAAGTCCAAGAACCATACCACGCACAACCAGTCCCGGAAATGGCACAGAAGTAGCATCAAGAAACCCCGGTCACAAAGATACAAATCTCTTAAGAGGGTAGACCCCAAGTTCCTAAGGAACATGCGCTTTGCCAAGAAGCACAACAAGAAGGGCCTGAAAAAGATGCAGGTGAACAACGCCAAGGCCATGAGCGCCCACGCTGAGGCCATCAAGGCCCTGGTCAAGTCCAAGGAGCCCAGGCCCAATATCCCAAAGGGCTGCAGCCGCAAACTCAGTTGACTTGCTTACATCGCTCACCCCAAGCTCGGGAAGCGGAAGCGCGCTCGTGCCCGCATTGCCAAGGGGCTCAGGATCTGCTCGCCAAAGGTCAAGGCCAAGGTCGAAACCAAGCCCCAGGCTGCAGATGCAGCTGCAGCTCAGGCTCCCAAAGGTGCCCAGGCCCCTGCTCCCAAAGCGGCTCAGGCCCCCACGAAGGCTCCACAGTAGGACGGAAGGATTGGTGGACCCCTGGGCTGCCATCTGCGTGGCGCTGGTGCCGTCCTGTGCTGTTTGTACAAATAAACCTGCGGCAGGGAAAAAAAAAGAAAAAGAAGATGATTGCCATAACTGGCCTCTTTGTCAGCCCTTTGAAGGACATTTAGGTTGTTTTTATTTTCTGTTATTAAGAACAGTGCTAAAATGAACATCCCTATAAACATATCTTGCAACTCTTTCACTAGAATAAATGTCAGTGCTGGATCAAATCATATGAGTCTCAACATTTAACAGAAGTTGGCATGCACATTTTTTTAAAGCTTTTGATATGATTTTCCTTCAAAAAGATCATATTAATTTATATTTCCATAACTAATGTTTGAAAAACAAGACCTAATCTTCAGTAGATGTGTTCTTACTCAACTCAAATTTACTGTAGATCTTGGAGTTAGAGAAAATAAATGTTGATATTTCAATGCAATTTTTTTCTAGGTACTGAAACACAGTCTTCGCTTTGGAAAGCAGTAGCTTTCTTTTTAGAAAGCATTGCTATGCATGATGCTATGGCAGCTATGAAGTGCTTTGGCCCTGGGATAACAGAAAACAGACTCAGCCCACAAGAGGAAGAACGATATAATTACAGCAAGTGCACAATTGTCGTTCGGATTATGGAATTTACTACAACACTGCTCAGAATCTACCCAGGAGGCTGGAAGGTAGGATCAGTCCTGCTGCTCTATTTGAGGACAACACTTGGCACTGGAAAAATACGTAAAAAGTGCCTATTAGAAGTGGTGTGGGCTGTCTTAGAACTTTTCATTGCTGTAGGAGTTACCTCTTTCTGAAAATAATAAAACTGCATGTACTTCAGATGCTCATTGTGTGACTAAAATACAAATTTTTTTCTAAATTTTTATTAGATACTAGAGGCCAGATGCACAAAATTCATGCACAGGTAGGGTCCCAAGGCCTGGCCGGTGATCAGGGCCGTTTGGGGCCTTCCTTCCCCCTGCTGCCGGCTGCTGGCTGGGGTCTTTCTTTGTTCCACTCTGCCCCCTAGTAATCAGCACACATCATAGCGAGCTGTCAAGGGGACAAATTGCATATTAGCCTTTTATTATATAGGATTGCATTTTCATACTACAATCAAATATCTACCTTAGGAAACTTTAATTAGCAAATATATATAAATGTATCTGTTAGGCTTATTATATAAACAAATCCCAGTCAGTCCATCTAATTAATATATACTAAGTGCCTACTGTATGCCAGGTTCTGTCCTGTGGATATAGCATTGACCTGACTCAATGGCTGGGAAACTGTGGGCTCTAGGTCAGATACCACCTACTACTTGCTCTTGTAAAGAAGGCTTTAACCCTGGCCAGGTAGCTCAGTTGGTTAGAACGTTGTTCAATATGCCAAGGTTGCGAGTTCAGTCCCTGGTCAGGGCACATACAGGAAGCTCCAAAGAAAGCAAACAACAAATTGATTTCTCTCTTTCTCTCTCTCATCTCTAATGTCAATAAATAAAATTTTTTACAAAGAAGGTTTTATTGGAACACATCCAGGTTTATTCACATATTGTTCATGGTGACTTTCACACTATAATGGTTTTTAAGTAGCTGCAGCAGAGACTGCATGGCGCATAAAGTTAAACACATTTATTGTCAAACCCTTTACAGAGAATGTTTGCCAACCTTGCCCTATCCAGGCAAAATTTCCCAACTTCATGGACCTTACACTTCAGTGAAAATCTAATTCTGACTAATAGATGTGTTCTTACTCAAATTTGTCTTTTACAGCTTCTTGAAAAGTATTTATGTAACACAAACCTTATGAAACTCTTGGTGAAAACCTTATGTGAGCCCTCAAGCATAGGTTTCAATATCAGTGATGTCCACATTATGAATCACCTTCCTGATGTTTGTGTGAACCTGATGAAAGCACTCAAGAACTCTCCATACAAAGACATTCTAGAGAGGAGCCTCAAGGAAAAAATAACAGCACAGAGGTGGGCATTTGGGTCATGCTCAGGGTCAGGGTTGTGGAGGACTTAAAGATTGCACCATGCTCCGGAGCTGTGTGCCGGTCAGCTCTAGCTCCATTTCTCCAAGTGAAGGATCTCATCAATGGGGTGTTGGGTGCAGAGGATCTCATCAGTTGTTTTAAAATCATCTATTTAGCAAATGCCTTCTCTGCCTCTTGTACACAAGCCTTGCAAGATGTGGCTTAGCCTTTGTTGATTTCCGTGGCTAGTTTAGAGCACAGGCCCCTTGGTTTGTGTTACCATGTTTATTTTCCAGGGCTGTGTAAGGTATTTGAGTGCTGAGTATTTCGTTAGTAAACACATTTATAACAGAATGCGCACGTTTTCCAGTATATCTTAATAATTTAATAGATCGGCTCTCACGTGGTTTTCTTTTGGCTTTTCTCATTTGGCTAGCTTTGAGGAGCTCTGTGGCATTGACCTGTATGGCCCCGATGCTTACGTGGACAGGGCCAAGTTGTCCTCTTTCGTGTCAACTTGTAAACATCTTTATCGAGCTGGGGTTTTGCATGATGTCTTGCCATCTCAGGTAACCACATCTTGTTTTTACATATATCTTAGCTTCAATGAGCTGACTAGTTGATTTATTGTCATTCTATTTTGAACTTCCTTTATGGGTGCTGAAATGGGAATTATAGAATTTTTAATTAACAAAAGGTGTGAAATTGTGTGTTTTTGATATTTTGTTGTTGGTTTTATTTTAGTCTGTAGATCAGCATCATTATATTGGCACAAAGCTTCTTTCCCTGGTTTATAAAAGCATCGCTCCTGGACACGAACGACAGTGCCTCCCTTCACTTGACCCCAGTTGTAAGCGACTGGCCAGTAGACTTCTGGAGTTGGCCTTTGCTTTTGGAGGATTGGTAGGAGAAACCGCTACATGCTATGCTTTCCTAATAATGTGAATATGTTACTATTATGCATTGTGTCTTTAAAAACTGGAATTTATTGGATAAGTTCTTAACTGCAGAAGTACTTTAATCAGTTTACATGAGCTGACTTTCTAGAAGGTTTTCTGGTGTGTTTTTTTTTTATAATATATATTTTATTTTATTTTATTTTATTATTTTTTTTTTTTACAGAGAGGAAGGGAAAGGGATAGACAGTTAGAAACATCAATGAGAGAGAAACATCTATCAGCTGCCTCCTGCACACATCCCACTGGGGATGTGCCCACAACCAAGGTACATGTCCTTGACCAGAATCGAACCTGGGACCCTTCAGTCCGCAGACTGATGCTCCATCCACTGAGCCAAACTGGTTTCAGCTCCGGTGTGTTTTGTTTAGTTTTAATGAAAGAAGTAGAACAGCATTTTTTTAAGTTAAAGTTTTGTCCCTCTTTGTTCCCAAAAGGACTTTAGGCAGAGAACAGTTTTGTGACAGTTTAGCACAGAGAACTGTGCTGGCACAATGACTCCCCTTCCCCTCTCCTTGGTAATTCATTAGATGGCTGACTTGGGAGAGCCCCCGAATAACTTAGAATCACCACATACAAATGTCTTCATTCTGTTAGAACTACAGGGCTGGCCTCAGCGTCTGCTGCAGAGGAGACCTGCAGCCAGTACTGGGCATCCACTCATTGTGCCTGTCTTTCTCCTGCAGTGGAAGCCTCTGCTCCTTGGTCTACTTCATGTAAACAGATTACATGCTTTGCCGAAAAATACTCCTTTACTAGACTCTCTCCTCAAAGCAACAGGAAGATGTCTAGAAAGTTGGGAGAAACGTGAGTCAGGGAAGATCTCTTTCCCAAATTGAAACTTAGAAAGTAGAGACTCACTGAAATGTGTCTAATTCAAATTTGAACCCTGGCCTTCAAATACCAGGCTCTTGTGCGATTTTCCACTTTCAAAGTTAATAGCTACCCAAGGAGTCTTTCTGTAACATTTAAGATGTGTATTGCTGTCATCTCCCTTCCCGTGTCTTCTCAGTGTGAGTGCCTGGTGAGGCTTCTCCTGGACACAGCAGAGCTGTCCATGCCAGCCTCAGGAGGGTCCCAGAGGAACATCGTCAGCTTCTACCACGGAGAGTATTTCTACAGCTTGTTCTCAGACACAGTCAACACTGAATTGTTGAAAAATCTAGATGTTGCTGTACTGGAGCTTATGAAATCATCTGTGGATAATCCCAAAATGGTAATGAAATTTTACTTTATGTAAAGTATATTTTCTTATATACTGTTTGTATTCCTGAAATATATTGTTAAAAACAAGATTTCTTCCTGGAAGGTTTAAAGCTCTTGCCAATGCTTAACAACAAAACCAAAGGGAAAAAACCCAACCTTAATGAATAGTTAATAATGGTTGAAACGTTGATTCTCTCCCCCACCCCCAAATTCTCTCTAGGACTAATTTTATAAGGCATAGCTATGTAGGATAATGACTTTTTGTCAGGATTTGGCATTGGAGCTCATAAGTCTATCCTGAGGCCAAGCCTGCCTTAGTTTCTCCTCCAGCCCCTCGCTGGTCCTGTTCACTCAGGATCATTTCCTGCACGTTCCTGCTGTAGCCCACTTTGTCCCCTCGTGTTGAACCTTTGGAGACTAGTACTTCATATTCAGTTGGCTCTGGTTTGCTAAAGTTACAAAATTTTGAAATTTAACCTGGTCTGCAGACAATCAGGAACTGTTCACTGTTAGAGTGACCATTTTAAGGGAAAAGTGTATAATTCCCTACTGAGTTAAGCTTTTATTCCATGCAGTGCTTATTATCTATTTGAGGGGAATATTTTGTGATAGATTGCCATGGGGATTTGTATTTTTTAAAGTTAGAAAAAAATTATAGTAGACTCGCAACACTCAGAAAATATAACAATTTGAGCTTTTAAGCTATTCAGACTTCTGTTGATGATGATAGATAAAAATCATATGCCTTTACCTCCACCTCAGATACCTGTAAAATGACAGAAACAGGGTTAAAAAAAAAAAAAAGTTCAATGTTAAAGGACACAGGAAAAAGGGCAAGAGTGACAACACTTTGGAAGCCGGAAGGCAAAAGCACACGTTGTTGTCAACAGACTTAGGAGTCCAAGAAAGCCGCAGTGTGACCGACCACAGCAGGGCAGAGACGGGCAGCCGGTTGTGCTGCAGAGGTCAGGAAGGGGTCCGGTTCTGATCTTCAGGGCTGAGGTGTTCCCTCCCAGTTTGCCTTCTAGAATAGTCTTCTAGGACTATGCTCTCAGGCAGGATATCAGAATATTTTAGCAAGACTAGAGAAAACAAAGGTCCTACCTATATATAATCACTGCCCAGCCAGACCAATTTCCAGTGACCTTCATGGCCAGTGAGCCCTGCCCACTGACTGGATAGTGTTTCTGATCAATTCCTTTATATGTACCAACAGCAAAATAATACCAAGTACCCGAGGAAGGGGATTCTAAAAGGGATAGGCAAGGAACAAGACACTTGAAGCAGTCTATTCAGTGAGATGGAAATGTAAAAAGAAAAATAATCTTCAGAAAGATGAGAGAAGATAGTGTATCCATGGAACAAGACTTGCTACTGAAAAGAAACATCAGAGAACAAACAGAATTGGGGAGAATTAAGCATAAGCATCAGAAATTAAAAATAAAATGGGGTTGGAAGATAAAATCCAGGAACTCTCACAAAGAGTAGAGGAATAGAGATAAGACAGAAAACAGGAGAGAAAGATGAGGAAACTTGGGATCAATGTACAAGGTCTAGTAGCAGGGCTCTGACTCGGGGGAAGAAGACTTTCACAGCTGAGGAGAAATGAAGACCTTGAGTTTCAGATGGAAGAAGGCCATTGAGTGTCCAGCACAGTGTGTGAAAGTTCAGCACCTGGGGGTTTCACTGTCAGGAAAAATCCTGACACGTGACTCTGGGAGAAAGTCTGATTACATTAAAGGGATCAAGAAATTGGGTTGCTTTTATCTTTGTAGCGGCAAAGTGGACTCTGAAAGACTGTTTGCCCAATTTCCCTCGCAATTCAGGAAAGATTTCCAACATGGAGCTCTGAATCCGCCAGATTTTCAGTTATGTGAAAGCCAAGTGCACATCTCAGGTATGCCGTTCCTCCAAGGAATGCGTCTTCTGTGTGCTTCTCTCCAAGGCGCTGCTGGAGGAAGTACTTCACCAAGCAAGGCATCAGCCGAGAAAGAGGAGGATGTTGGATCTGGGAAGTTGGCCTGGACACAGAGCACTCACGGACCTCCCAGAGGGCCTCGGAGTGAGACTCGGAGGGCAGTGGGCACCAGCATTTCCGGAGTGAGGCTGGCACCTAGAGATGACCTGATGGGCTTCCTGATACGCTTAACTGTCCTGTGGAGATTGAATTGAGAAAACTTGATGACGAATAATGGTGGGCACATGGAAAACAGCAAAGAAAGTAAACAAGTATTAACTTCAGTGACATCAAAATGTGCAAGAAAGGAAAAGTAGACTTGGATCATCTGTGAAAATGTTCACATTGTCATAATGATAGAAATATTGAATATTTTCTCAGCCAAATAGGAAACACTGTTGAAAAGGTGATGGAAAGGAAATGTATGCATACAATTCTGTGTGCATGTGTACTCATGTGCAGGTGTGAGGATGGTAGTGTGCATGTGCACATGTGGTAGTGATGGTGACAGAAGAAAGCTACTCCTCTGCCCATCAAGAATGCCCCTAAGAAATAGGAAATAGCCGTGTGAACATGATTTCGTAAATGAGACTCCTTATACTTTAATGGGAAAATTATATGTTAAAGCCCAGTTCTCAAATGAATAGCTATTATAAAATTAACATCATTATTTTCCAAGAATAGCTTTGAAGTGAAAGTAAATTTTGTTATATATGTCGGTCTTAATGTTAAGAATTTGTCTTCAATCACCACACAATTGTTTTAGGTGAGCACTGTTTTGAATGGAATGTTAGATCGGAGCTTCAGGGAACGGGCCAGTCGGAAAGACCAAGCATTGAAACTTGTGACTGTTATTCTGCAAAACTGGAAGAAGTGTGATTTGTGGTGGGCCAAGGATTCTGCTCCTGACAGTAAAATGGCCGTGCTGACCTTACTGGCAAAAATCCTGCAGGTATTTTGAGAGACCTTAAAAATACAATTGTGTTTGTTGTTTTGGACTCCAATTTGTATTTTAAAAAATTTGATAGAGGTTTGATAAAAATGTTTTAACTGGACAATTGGTGAATATCTTACACGTTTTACTTCTATTATCTTACTTCATTGTGATTTCTTATACTTTGTTTTTGTTGTACCTTTCCATGCATTGTCTTAAAGTATTTTAAGTTTTAAAGTATTTTAGAACAAGAATTGCTGACATATTATTGGAGCCCAGTAACACATTTATGGGTCATTTCTAAAAACAAAATATTTAAAAACTGTGTTAAGGAAATTACAGACATGATATAGTAATGTATCATGTTTTTATTTCCTCCCCTTTAGATTGATTCATCTATGTCTTTTAATATAAGTCACAGCGTGTTCCCTGAAGTCTTTACAACATATACTAGTATACTTGCTGATTCAAAGTTGGGTCTACATTTAAAGGTAAGTAGTAAAGGGGGGAAAAAGGGGACATATGTAATACTTTCAATGATAACAAATTTAAAAAGTAAGTAGTAAAAAGTTGTTTTTTCAGACTACCTTCTTCATTATTATTTATTTTTTTAATGTAATCTAGAAGGCATTCTGAAGTCTTTTTTTTTGGAATCTATATAAAATTTTATTTTCAAACTCTTTAGAAGCAGTAATTTTATTTATGTCGTAAAATCTGTAAGCCACAACTAGTGTAATTTCATATCTGCATTGCTCTGCAGGGTCAAGCTATAATTCTTCTTCCATTCTTCACCAATCTGACTGGAGGCAGTCTTGAGGACCTTAAGCATGTTCTTGAAAAGATCATCATTTCTAATTTCCCTATGAAGTCTGAAGAATTTGCCCCAGGAACTCTGCAGTACAATAATTATGTGGACTTCATGAAAAAGGTTAGTTTTTATTAGCACCAAGTAAAATGAAAACATTAATTTTTATTATTATTTTTTCATTTTGTGATGAAGAAAAGTAAGTGAAATATTCAGCATTAGGAAAGTGTTCTAACTTTAAGAATCCAATTTAATTCATTTTGAAAGCTGGGTAACTATGGAGGCAGATGCATATCTAAATCCTTTGGAATTAACTTTTTTCCCCTAATTTTAAATTGTGAAATATTTTATGTGGCTTTTCCATTGAAAGACAAAGTCTGACTTTCCTCCCATTGTGGATGGGTTGGCCTTAAAAACTCAACAAGAGAATGCAGTGGAAGTAATGCTGCATGACTTCCAACACTACTTCCTGGGACCCTTCTTTGTGGGACCCAGTCTCCATTGTGTAAGGGAGCCAGGCATCCTCAGGGAAAGACCGGTGTACAAATACCACCATCCACACAGAGTCACTCTTCCCCATTTTTTTTATACCTTTTTTCCCAAATGTACAGAAAAATTGAAAGAATAGTGAAGCATTTATATTACCATCTTCTATACTGAATAGTTAGCAATCTGTCATATTTGCTTTGTTTTGTTGTGAGTGTGTATGTGTGTTTTGGCTGAAACATTTGCAAGTTAGTTACAGACATCATGATACTTCATTCCTAGTTACTTCAGCATGCTAGTCCATTTTTCAGGACATTGAATTTTTGGAAGAAAGCAGAGTACTACTCTTAGATGTTGGCCCATTTTTGTTTTATTGTTTTCTTGGGATGTTCTTTTTTTTTTTTTTTTTAATTTTATTGATTTTTTACAGAGAGTAAAAGAGAGGGATAGAGAGTTAGAAATATCAGTGAGAGAGAAACATCGATCAGCTGCCTCCTACACACCCCCTACTGGGGATGTGTCCGGAACTAAGATACATGCCCATGACTGGAACTGAACCTGGGACCCTTCAGTCCGCAGGGTGACATTCTACCCAGTGAGCCAAACCAGTTAGGGCCTTGTTCTTTAACTTGTCTCTAATCCTCTGCATTTCCTCTAAACTGGAGTTAGGCTTAAAGATTGGTCCTGAGATTCAGGCTAATCGTTTAGTAAACAGTACACATCAAGAGGCCAATCATGTCACTGCTCCATTGTTAGTTGCCTCAAGTGTGGTGGCCTGGTGAGGTGGTGACTGCCTCAGTTCTCTATTGAGCAGAAGATAAAATTGAGTAGATCTCTTAGAAAGAGGAACAAGTAGACATTGAGATGGAAATTGGGAGAATAAAGAGCAGAATGTTATATAAGCAGTCTAGACATCTGTAAACTTAAGATGGTTTTGAAAAACACACATCTCCAGAATAAAAGACTCCACACCACAGAGTACCTAGAGTGATGAAGGGAAATAACCTCAGTGAAGGCCCATAATTATGGAATTTCAGAACCTGAGGATAAAGATAAAATTCTAAAAGTTGTTAGAGGGAAAAATGCCTGCAAAACCCCAAAATCAAAACGCAAACATTTAACAAATTTACTTTATGTCTAACATTTTATCTGCAAAAATGACTAAAATATTAGTGTTTCTTTTTAAAAAATATTTTTTTATTTATTTCAGGGGGGGGGGGGAGAGAAAGAGAGAGAGAGAGAGAGAGAGAGAGAGAGAGAGAGCGCGTGTGAGAGGAGAAAGAGAAATAAGCAATGAGATTGGCTGCCTCCTGCACACTACACATTGGAGATTGAGCCTGCAATCCGGGCATGTGTCCTAACTGGGAATCGAACCTTGACCTCCTGATGTGGGTCAACTTTCACTATAGAGCCATGTTGGCCAACAAGTATTTCTAAATTCTCTGTGAAATTCTGTTATAATCTCTCTATATTTTATTAGAACTGTTAAATACAAAACAGAAATTCAACAGAATTATCATCAGTATTGTTATGTATTTTGATATATATGTATATATATTTTTTGTAGTTTTTAGATGCATTGGAATTATCTCAAAGTCCTACATTGTTGCAGTTGATGACAGAAATTCTTTGTCGAGAACAACGGCACATTATGGAAGACTTATTTCAATCCACTTTCAAAAAGATTGCGAGAAAGTAAGTCATTCTAGTCTGGAATGCCAGAAGCTATATACATTATGTTTCTGAGGAAAATTTATCTTCTCTGTTTCAAAAAAAAGTTGAGTGACAATTACACTCAATTCTTAAAACTAAATTTTATTTTGTTTTTTCGTAAGAAATAAAAAGATTTTTATCTTGAAAGTTTCAGACATACTCAAAGTTGAAAGTAAAAGTATAAATGAATCTTCAGATTAAAGAAGCGTCAGCATTTCTCAGCTTCATCACCTTTTATGCCTGGGCTTCTTAATTCAGTATGTTTTTGAGATTCATCCGTGATGTAGCATGAATTAGTAACTTATTTCTTTTTATTGGCTTTTTAAAAAAATTAAATGGCATTTCTAAGTAACGTATAAAAAAATAAGGGAAATCAAATAATATTTTGATCTGAATAAATAAAGCATATCCAAATGTCTGTGATGCAGTGAAATCAGGGCTTAAAGGAGAACTTATGTCTTTTAATACCTATATGGGAAAATAAAGATCCTGAATTCATAAACTAAACTTTCACATTAAAATCTAAAAATAAAACTTAGAATGAAGGCAAGCTGAAGGAAAGGAACAATAAAGATCAGAGTGAAATTTAATGAAATTGAAATCAAAGAAAATGGTGATGAAAAATAATGAAACCAATAATTGGTTCTTTGAAATGGAACAGTCATCACTGAGAACCACCTGAAGACTAAACAATTTCTGTTACTAAGGATATAAAGAAGAAGTCATGTTGAGACTGGTCCATGGGAGGGAAATACGAAATGGGCAGGTCCCACACCCGTGGTGTGGTGGTTAAGACAGGAGGCGCATCTCTGCTGTGGAGGTCCCCCTGAGGAGTGAGGGGTTCCAGCCCCACACTCAGTTCTCCAACCCAGGGTGTCATTGCTGAGGAGTCCCCATGATATTTGGCTATGAAAACCAATAGGATTGCATCTAAGAAAGACTAAGGACTTCTGGGAGACTAAGATCTCTAGGAGAGCATGCAGAGTGGTGGGAGTATTTCGGGAGGTACTACATTAACTAACTTCAGGGTGAGGGCTGGAGGGGTAGGGGTAAGAGCAGTTCCCTCTGGGACAAAAGCATTGGCACCATTGTTTCTTTGGAGAGCTACCCTCCCACCCAACTGTGCTGGTACAGGCAGGCACTAAATCTCAGCTCTCCATTAACCTTGCTAACACTGTTCACCCTTCCCTGGTCATTTACTAACACCCTGCCCAACCCATATTTTCGCTTGGCCTGAGCCCTTTCCAACATCTCCTTTATACAAGTGGCCTGCCTTAGCTCTGCACACTTTCCCTAAATCTCACGGTTACTGGCACTGTAACTTGCTAAGCAGCCAAAGCCCAGCACAAGGAGCAGCCGCCCTCAGTTTGCATTGTAACTCCCATCAGGTGGCCCCAACCCTGGTACAAGCAATAGCCAGTCTGGGCCAGGAACGAAACTTCAGCAAAGCAGCCACAAGCCTGGCACAGGTGGCAGCTGGCCTCAGCTCACATCATGGTGCACACCAAAAGGGCCCAAACCCAGCACAAGTGGCAGTGATCAGGATTGCCTGGGTAGCCTCTCACAGGCACTTCCAAGACAAGGAAGAGCAGCAACCAACTGCAGATGATTCTGTAGCTCCTACCAAGAAGCTCTAGCCCAGATCAAGCAGTGGGTGACCTGGGCCTGCACTGAAGCACCTCCCAAGAGGCTTTAGATTAGAATGAGCACATGCAGTGGCCCACTTCAGACCACACCAGGGCACCACCCAACCAGCTTTACCAATGACACACCCAAAAAGCAGACTTGAGCACGGCTAAAGCCATTCCTATTCTGTCGGGCCAGTCTCCAAACAACTGCCCAGCTGCTCTAGATACAACCAGCCCTGAACGTGGTCACCCTGAGGTTCAGTCTAACCTACTGATATGCCAACAGCACTTGAGGCTCAACTACAACAGGAGGAAACAGCCCCACATAGTAGACACCCCTTGAGCACCTGGCAGGCAACCAGGAAGAATGCACCACTTGGCCTCACAAGACATCTTCTGCATAAGGCCACTTTGTCAAGACTGGGGGAGACAGCAGACTACCAAAAAATAGAAATAATCATGGACACAGCTCAAAATGAAGATATAGAAATTTGTATCTAATGAAAGAATAGGACAAATCTTCAGAAACAGAACTGAATTACTAGATTCAGGAGTTAAAATAATGGTAATAAGAATACCATAAACAACTGGGACCCCATCAAACTAAAAAGTTTTTGCACAGCAAAGGAAACCAACAAAACAAAATGACAACCTACTGAATAGCAGAAGAAAATCACCAATGCTGCATCTCATAAGAAGTTAATATCTAGCCCTGACCGGTTTGGCTCTGTTGATAGAGCGTCAGCCTGTGGACTGAAGGGTCGTGGGTTCGGTTCCAGTCAAGGGCATGTACCTTGGTTGCAGGCACATCCCCAGTGTGGGGTGTGCAGGAGTCAGCTGATTGGTGTTTCTCTCTCATCATGGCTTCTAACTCTCCCTCTCCCTTCCTCTCTAAAAATCAATTAAAAAAAAAAAGCAGTTATAGTGGACATTTATGTCCTAGGCTGGTATCATCACTGACAAGGTCAATCTTTACCTTAACTGAGCCTATCTGTCTTAAAAAAAAAAAAAAAAAAAAAAAAAAGTTAATATCTAAATTTTATAAAAAATGCAATCAACTGAACTAAAAACAAAAAACAACAACACAAAACCCCAAAACAGTCCAATTTAAAAGTGGGCAGAGGAGATAAATACACATTTCTCCAAAGAGGGCATAGATGGCTAATAGACATGAAAACATGCTAAATCTCACTAATCATCAAAAAATGCAAATTCTAAATCTCACTAATCATCAAAAAATGCAAATTCAGCCCACAAATTTCACTTTACACCTGTCAGAATTGCTATAATCAATAAATCAACAAACAAGTATTAGTGAGTATGTGGAGAAAAGCAAACCCTCATGCATTTTCGGTAAGAATGCAAATTTGTGTGGCCACTATGGACAACAGTGTGGAAGTTCGTCAAAATTTAAAAATGGAACTGCCTTATAACCCAGCGATTCCACTTTGGGGTATATATCTGAAGAAATAAAAAATATTAATTTGAAAGAATATATATGTTCATAGCATATATACACCCCTATGTTCATAGTAGCATTATTCACATTAGCCATAATATAGACACAACCCAAGTGCATATCAATAGAATATCAATGAAATATGATTAAGCCATAAAAAATGAAAATTATTTGCAACAACATGGATGGACCTGGAAGGTATTATAGTAAGTGAAATAAGTTAGATATAAGACCAATACCATGATTTCACTTATATGTGGAATCTAAAGAGCAAAATAAGCTTTAAAAAATGGAAACGGACTTACAGATAAATGAAACAGACTGATCTTTGCCAGAGTGTTGGGGTTTGGAGCACTGCATGAAGAGGTATAGGGACTAAGAACTACAAGTAGGTAGTCACATAATTGTCCCAGGATGTAAAGTGCACATAGGAATATACTCAATATTGTAATAACTATGTACAAGGAATATACTCAATATTGTAATAACTATGTACAATGTCCTGTGGGTACTTGAAATATTGATGGACCCTACTGTAAAGTATTTGATTGTTTAATGAGTTTCATGCTGTACATGTGAAACCAATAAAAACAATATTAAATGTAAACTAATAGAAAAAAATGTAAATGACACAGTGAATCACCCTGTGTCAATGTCATTTTGTATTTTGCCAATAATTTTTTCGAATAGATTCCTTAACATAGTCAGAAGTTAAATGCATCTGTAATTTTGCTAGACATTATCACATCCCTTCTTTTGGGGCTATATTTGTATTCTCTACAACAATGTATGAGAATGCTTATTTTATCACAGTTTTGACAATAGAGTATATTATCAAATACTTAGATTTTTTCCAATTTTTTATTTTAGAAAAACTCAGTGTTGCTCTAATTCGAGTTATTTTTCTTAAATGTGAGTAGAGCATATATTTATATATTTAATGTTTCTTTGCATTTATATTTCAGTAAATAATCTGAAATATTAGCCCCTTTCTTAAATCAAATTTTTTGTCTGTATGATTTGGGTGTTTTAGGGCTGTGCATCTCTACTGTGCTCAATATAGGAAGAGCCATAAGAGAATTTAAGTCTAAGACAGTGACCATATGAGTATAACAGAATCCCATTTTGCAACTAGTAATGTCCTTAAACCTTAAAATTTTATGATTGGATTGCCTTCTGAATCTAATATTTTTGCTCTGATTCATATCTAACTTCTGGGCATTGGGATTTTAGGATTGGAAAGAATTGTAATATTTGTTTGCTCCTAACCTCTTAAAAAAAATCTTTATTATTCAGATGATTACAATTGTTCCTCTTCCCCTCCCCATCCAAGAGTTCCCCTACACCTGGTTCCCACCCCACCCTCTGTCCTTACCCTCTCCCCACTGTCCTCATCCATAGGTGTAAGATTTTTGTCTATTCTCTTCCTGCACCCCCCACACTGCTTTCTCCCCGAGAATTGTCAGTTCACTTCCTTTCTGTGCCTCTGATTCTATTATATTCACCAGTTTATTCTGTTCATCAGATTTTTAAATATATATATATATATATTATTGATTTTTTACAAAGAGGAAGGAAGAGTTAGAGAGTTAGAAACATCAATGAGAGAGAAACATCGATCAGCTGCCTACTGCACACCCCCCACTGGGGATGTGCCCACAACCAAGGTACATGCCCTTTACCGGAATCAAAACTGGGACCTTTCAGTCCGTAGGCCGACACTCTATTCACTGAGCCAAACCGGTTTTGGCAAGATTTTTTATTCTCTTGATTTTTAGATTCACTTGTTGATATATATGTATTTGTTGTTCATAATTTTTATCTTTGCCTTTTTCTTCTTCCTCTTCTTAAAGAATACCTTTCAGCATTTTATATAATATTGGTTTGGCAGTGATGAATTCCTTTAGCTTTTTCATGTCTGTGAAGCTCTTTATCTGACCTTCCATTCTGAATGATAGCTTTGCTGGATAGAGTACTCTTGGTTGTAGGTTCTTATTCTTCACTTTGAATATTTCTTGCCATTCCTGTTTGGCCCGCACAGTTTCTCTTGAGAAATCAGCTGACAATTGTTTGGGTGCTCCCTTATAGGTAACTGTTTTCCTCTTGCTGCTTTTAATATTCTCTCTTTGTCTTTTGCTCTTGGCATTTTAATTATGATGTGTCTTGGTGTGGTCCTCTTTGGATTCCTTTTGTTTGGGGTTCTATGTGCTTCCTGGACTTGTAAGTCTATTTCTTTCACCAGGTGGGGAAGTTTTTGGTCATTATTTCTTCAAATAGGTTTTCAGTATCTTGCTCTCTCTCTTTTTCTGGCACCCCCATAATTTAGATGTGGTTCGCTTGAAGTAGTCACAGAGGCTCCTTACACTATCTTAATATTTTTGGATTCTTTTTCCTTGTTGTTTTTCTGGTTGGGTGATTTTTACTTCTTTGTATTTCAAATCTTTGACTTGATTCTTGGGATCCTCTAGTCTGCTCTTGGATCTTGTATAATATTTTTTATTTCAGTCACAGTGTATGCTGTATGCTTAATTTCTAGATGGTCCTTTTTCATATCCTTGAGAGTCTCACTAAATTTATCAGCATTTTCTAGAAATTTTTTGAAAAATCTTATAAACGTGATTTTGAACTCTATATCCAGTCATTTGCTTTCCCCCATTTCTTTCATTTTTGACCTATTTCTTTGTCTCCACATTTTGGCTGTTTCTCTGAGTTGATAGAGTGGCTTTGTGTGCTAAGTGTTCTATAGGGCCCAGTGGGTCAGCTTCCCCAGTTAACCGAGGTAGACACTCTTGATGCACCCTTTTGTGGGCTGTGTGCACAGTCCTGTAGTTAAGCCTTGGTTGTTGTTGGTATCACTGGGAGGAATTGACCTCTAGGCCAATTGGGTGTGAGGATCAGCTATGTCTACACTGGGAGAACTTCTGTGCTGGAGACACTCTTATGAGACAAGACTTGCAAAAGCCTCTGTGCTCAGCTTGGATGGTGCAGGTCTTTGGGCAGAGCAGACAGTATTGGCTTCCCTTCAGCCCTGTCCTAAGAGATCCCTGTGTTTCAGTGTCCCAGGGTAATCACTGCAAGCACCTCTGAGAGAAAGGCACCCTCAAGTTTTGCCCGCTGCCAGACATTCCAGTTTCTCCCCAAATGAGTCTTGGTCCCCAGAGTCTCGCCCAGAACCATAGAATTCAGAGTCATTGGGAGCTTTTGTCTCCCTCCTAGCTGAGAAGCCAGCCACGTACTCAGTTGCCAGCCCTCTCAGGGCATGCCTCATATCTCTGCCTTCCTCAGTTCCTCTGAGTCTCAGTGTCTTTTCTCTTTCCTGACAGTCCCATTTCTCTCCAAATTAGTCTGGGGCCCCAGAGTCTCGCCCAAAACTGGAGTTCAGAGCTGTTGGGAGCTTTTGCCTCCCTCCCGGTGAGAAAGCCCAATTGAAAAGCCTGCCACATACTCAGTTGCCAGCCCTCTTTGGATGCATGTGCCTTGGTACCTCTACCTTCCACAGTTCCTCTGAGTCTCAGTGTTCTTTTCTCTTTCCTGCCAGGCTCATTTCTCCCCGAATGAGCCTGGGTCCCCAGAGTCTTGCCCAGAATTGGAGTTCAGAGTCGGTGCTTTTTTCTCCCTCCTAGTGGAGAAAGCCAGCCGTGTACGCAGTGGCCAGTCCTCTTTGTGTGCATGTCTCAGCACCTCTGCCTCCTGCAGCTCCCCTGAGTCTCAGTGTCCTTTTCTCTTTCCTTCTAGTTGTAGAATTTCCACTCAGCTTGCCTTCCTGTGGTTCTGGATGATGTCCATTTTGTCTTCTAGTTGTAGTTTTGAAATTATTGTGCAAGGCAGCAGTTTAGGTGTTTACCTATGCTGCCATCTTGTTTCTTCCTGCTGCTAACCTCATATTTTTATAGGTGAGGAAACTAATTCTGTAGTCTTAATTTTATAGATTTATAGATAAATCCTTATAGGAGATCATTCAAATATCTTATTTCCAACATTAGAAAACAAAAAGGCCAGCTAAATATATCTCTATATAGTAAATAGGAATGATATTGATATTTCATTATGAGGAAGAGACTAGAATTTTAAAATCATAATTCATGAGTTTTAGATTCTGTAAATGTGATCATCTTTAGGTCTAGACTTTCTCAGATTCTTTTAGATGTTCCCTAAAGAAGACCAGATTTGAGAGTAAATGAAAAAAAAAATCTTTTTCCTAATGCCCTAAATTTGTCATGAAGATTTCCAGGTATGAGTAAAATAATATGATTTATGTACAAATGCTCTTTTATTACTTAAAAAAATACAAATGATCTTAAAATATTTTCCTACTTTGTAATCATTGGCAATTACTTTGCTTATTGTGTAGTAGACACTCATTAAGTATTTGTTCAAAGCATAACTGTTTATATAATTTTCTTTTTTTCTTAGGAGTTCATTTGCCACACAATCCAGCCTTCTGGAAAGTGTATACCAAATGTTCAAGAAGGAGAACCTACTTTCAAGTAACACTCGCCAAGCATATGTAGACCGTTCTCTTCTCACTCTACTATGGCACTGTAGCCTGGATGCTTTGAGTGAATTTATTTGCAAAATTGTGGTGGAAGCCATTGATGTTTTGAAGTCCAGATTTATAAAGGTATCATACATCTATTATTAATGAAATGTTAAGAATTGACAGATCTCTTTGATCATTAAAAACTGCCATGTGGGGGCTTCTGATCAAGATAGTGATATGGATAAATGTGATCCTTGCATCCTCCCATAACTACATAAAAATTACAACTAACCTACAGAACAGCCACATTGAGAACTGCCTGAAATCTAGCTGAACAGAAGTCCTATAATTAAGGATATGCAGAATAGGTCTCCTCAAAGCTTATAGGAGGAATGGACATGGAACTGGCATGTGCTGGTTAAATATTAGGAGGGATATCTACATGTGCTGGTTAAATATTAGGAGGGATATCTCAGCTGTGGAGGTCTCTTCAGAGGAACGATGGGTCTCAGCTTCACACCAGGCTCCCCAGCTGAGAGTTCCATTGCCAGGAAGAGACGACTCCATAACTTCAGGAAGGATTGTGACAGAGTGAAACAAAGAATTCTGCATATTCTGCCGTAGTCCCAAGGCAGCAGCTTGAAAGGTGCCAGGGACATACGGGGGAGGCATAGTATCAGGGCAAGGGCTTTAGGGCAGCTTTCTCTCAGATAGAAATGCTGGCAGAGGCCATTGTTCCTTTGAGGACCCTTTTCCCCAAGAGCTGACTGGTGGGTGCCATATCAGAGAGACTATCAATCTGGCTCTCACTGTTTGCCCCACCTTGGTGATTTCCTGAGACCCTGTCCTACCCAACTTGTGTGACCATACAGCTGTTTCCAGTGGCTTTTCCATACAAATAACTTGTCTTGGCTAGGGCTTTGGATTTCCTAAAGTTTCTCAAAAAAGCAGCCTCTGTACTTGGCATGTCCCATACCTCTTGCTAAATAGCCTCCAGGCCAGCATTAGCTGCAGCTAGACTTTGTTTGCAGTTTGGCCTCTCTAGGGCAATTCCAAGCCCAGCACAATTTGCAGCCATCTGCAGATCACTTTGTATCTCTTGTTGGGTGGCCTCAGACAGGGCAAGGCACCAGCTGACCTTTGCTGCACCTCCCAGGAAGTCTAAGAGCCAGAACACCTGTTGGATAGCTTTAGACCATGCAGAAGCACCTCTGTAATTGACATAATCAAGGGCAATTCAGTGGACACCAGGACCCTGCTGAAGAGACTACTGCTCTGTGGGGTTGGCCCTGGCACAGGAAGCAGAGAATCCAATCAGCTATTTGGAAGATAAGAAAGCAGAAAATACCCAATCAGAACAGCAAAAAAGAAACGGAAAAGGAATTAAAAAAAAAAAAAAAAAAAAAAAAAAATATATATATATATATATATATATATATATATATATATATATATATATATATAGTGTAAGCAGTTTGGGGACAATTTAAGACATGTGAACATTTTCCAGTGATCTCAAGGAGAAGAAAGATAGCAAGTAATTGAAAACCTATTTTTTTTAAAAAGTGATGGAAACCTTCCTTAACCTGGTGAAGGAAATAAGACAATACAAATCCAGGAAGCATAGTGAGTCCCAAACAAGATGAACACAAAGAGGCCCACACTAAGACACATCATAAATAAAATCCTAATGGTTAAAGACAAAGAGAGAATCTTTTAAAAATATTTTTATTCATTTTAGAGAGTGAAAGGGAGAGAAACATAATGAGAGAAACATTGATCAGCTTCTTGCATGCCTGTTACCGGGGATTGAACCTGCAACCTAGGCATGTGCCCTGACTTAGAATAGGACCAGCGACCTTCAGGTGCCTGGGACAGTGCTGCACCAACTGAGCCTTACTGACAAGGGCCAAAAAGAGAATCTTAAAAGCAGGAAGAGAAAAAGTCAGCTTATTTCTCAACATAAATTTTGCAGGCCAGAGGAGATTGGCAAGAAATATTCAAAGTGATGAAAAGCAGGCACCTACAACGAAGACTGCTCCATCCAGCAAAGCTATCATTTAGAATCGAAGAGCAGATAAAAAGTTTTCCAGACAATAAAAATTTAAGAAGTGTATCAGCACTAACCAGTAATACATAAAATACTTTAAGAAGAAAAAAGAAGGAAAAAAGATTAAAAATATGAATAATAAAAGGTAACAAATACATATCTTATCAACAATTTTAAATTCAAATGGAGTCATTGTTTCCATCAAAAAACATATGGGGACTGACTGGATAATGAATTAAGACCCTTACATATACTATTTACAAGAGACTGACTTCAGATTGAAAGACACACACACACTGAAAATAAAGATATGGATAAAGATCCATGTATATAAAAGCCTAAGCAACTGAATGACCAAATGACCATTTGACCAGTCGTTATGATGCACACTGACCACCAGGGGGTAGACCCTCAATGCAGGACCTGCTCCCTGGTGGTCAGTGCACTCCCACAATGGGAGTGGTGCTCAGCTGAGTGACGGGTGCCAGAGGCTGGGCTCATGGCTGGCGAGTGCAGCTGCAGGGATGCAAGCCTCTCACCTCCACGGCAGCACGCTCCTGGTGGCAGGTGCAGTGGGGTGGGATGAGCAGCAGTGGTGGGGAGCCCGGCCTGGGCTTGGGCTCCTTTCTGGCCTCCCGCCGCTTCATACACTACTCCACCCATCAGGGGGATGTCACACTGCTGGTTTCTGGCCTCCGGGATTGGGCCAAAACTAGCAGTCTGACATCCCCCAAGGGGACCCAGATTGTGAGAGGGCTCAGGCCAGGCTGAGGGACTCCACTGGTGCATGAACCCATGAACTGGGCCTGTAGTATTGCATAAAAATGGAAACAAACCAAAAGCTGTTTTAGCAATACTTATACCAGGCAAAATATACTTTAAAATAAAGTTTATAATATAAGCCTAACCAGCGGTCATGGATAATGGAGGTGAGGATCTACATGGGAAGGGATTTGGGGTGAGAATGGGGGGATGGGGACAATTATGTGATACCATAATCAATAAAGAAATTTAAATAAAAATAAAAGGAAAAAAAAAGTTTATAATAAAAGACAAAAAAAGGATTGAGCAATTCCACAAATCTGAAGAAACCCAGAACACTAAATTGAAAAGACTAATGCAGCCCTATGTTCATTGAAGCATTATTTATGATAGTCAAGATATGGAAGCAACCTAAGTGTTCATCAATAAACAAATGGATAAAGGTGAATTGGTGCATATAAAGTGGAATATGACTTGGCCATAAAAAGAAAGAAAGAAATCTTGCTATATTTAACAACATGGATGGACCTAGAGGGTATTGTGTTGAGTGAAATAAGACCATATGATTTCACTCTTATGTGGAATAAAAAACAAACACCATAAACACAAACAAGCAGATCAGAAACAGACTCATAAATGTAGAGCACTTCTGATTGTTGCCAGATGGGAAAGGGGTTAGGCGACGGTTGAAAAGGAGATGGGATTAAGAAATACAAATTGGGCCAAAACCAGTTTGGCTCAGTAGATAGAGCGTTGGTCTGTGGACTGAAAGGTCCCAAGTTCGATTCCGGTCAAGGGCATGTACCTTGGTTTCGGGCATATCCCCAGTATGGGGTGTGCAAGAGGCAGCTCATCGATGTTTCTAACTCTTATCACTCTCTTCCTCTCTGTAAAAAATCAATAAAATGTATTAAAAAAAAAAATAGAAGAAGAAGAACAACAAATTGGGCCCTACCCGTTTTGGCTCAGTGGATAAAGCACGGCCTGCGGATTCAAGAGTCCCAGGTTTGATTCTGGTCAAGGGCATGTACTTTGGTTGCGGGTAGGGAGTGTGCAGAAGGCAGCTGATCAATGTTTCTCTCTCATCGATGTTTCTAACTCCCTATCCTCCTCCCTTCCTCTCCGTAAAAAAAAAAAAATCAATAAAATATACTTTTTAAAAAAAAGAAATACAAATTGGTAGGTAGAGACTAGTCAAGTATAGCCAAGGGAATATAGGCAATAATATTGTGATAACTATGTATGGTGTCAGATGGGTACTAGATTTATTGGAGTGATCACTTCATAAGTTACATAAATATCTAATTCACTGGCTTGTATACCTGTATCTAATATAATATTGCACATCAAGTATAATTGGAAAAGAAAATATTATTTAAAGTAACTGCCATGTGTTTAGTCAGAGGGTTTCTGTTGCATTTAGATAACAATCTGTGGTTAAATCAGATCTCTATTTGTTTCCTGTGGTAACAAATCACCACAAACGTGGCTTAGAACAACAGAATTTATTCTCTTAGTTTTGGAAGCCATAAACAAGAAATCAGTTTTATCGGGCTGAAATCAAGGTCTGGCCAGGGCTGTGCTTGCTTTAGAAAATCTAATCCTTCCCTTTTCCAGATTCCGGAGGCTTTGGCAATCTTCGGCTTGTGGTTGCATCACTCCTCTCTCTGCTTATGTGGTCACATTGCCTCTTTTGTCTAGACTCTCTCACCTCCATCTTACAAACATATCATTGCATTTAGGGCCCAACTCCTAATATCAGAGTCCTTTACTTAATTTCATCTGAATAACCCTTTTTTCTTCTGTAAAGTATCATTTACAGGTTCTGTGGATGGAACATGGAAAACTTTTAGGGGCTATTATTCACCCTAATACTATCCACCTGCCTAAATGTTTCCACTTGCCAAATAAGTTTATTCCATCCCAACATCCCCCTAAGTCTAAACTCATGACTGCATCAACTCTTAAGTGCAAAATCTCATTTAAATATTATCAGCTCAAAGTTCAAAACCTCATCATATAAGTCAGGTATGGATGGGATTCTGGGTATGATCCCCTGTGGGGCAAAATTCTGTCTGTGGATCTGTGAAACTAGACAACAGTTTGCTTCCATAATACAGTGGTGGGACCAGCATAGTATGGTAATTACAGATATTCATTTTTCAAGAACAGAAAATATACATAAGAAAAGAGTGTTTGAAAACAATCTCAAAAGTCAGCAAGCCAAATTCTATTTAAAACCAGAAATACTGCTCTGTGGCCTGTCCCTCTTCCCTTTGGACCAAAGGCTCCATCTTAGAACTATTGTTGTTATTTTTTTTTTTTTTTCATGAAGGGTAGCATATATTTGTAGCCGAGTAGTTTTATCAATGTGTTTTCTTGCCTGTAGTTTTTCTTTTTCTCACTTCATCTCGGTGTTTCCTCTGGTATACACTCAAAAACCTCGGGCTGCCTTAATATGTGTGGAGATATACTCTACAGATATTTGCAGGTTAATCTCATCTCTGTTCCTGGTCCATGAGTCACTTGCTTAAATAGGCAGAGAATTTCCCAAGTTATCAAGTTCTGGTTCTTTTTACTTAACAGTCCTTTTTTTTTTTTTTTTTTTTTTAAAATATATTTTGATTTTTTACAGAAAGGAAGGGAGATAGAGAGCTAGAGACGTCGATGAGAGAGAAACAACGATCAGCTGCCTCCTGCAACCCCCCCCACCCCCACCCCACTGGGGATGTGCACGCAACCAACGTACATGCCTCTGACCGGAATCGAACCTGGGACCCTTCAGTCCGCAGACCAACGCTCTACCACTGAGCCAAACTGGTTTCGGCTACTTTACAGTTCTTACCTCAATTTATGTCTTAAACCTCACATTTTATTAGAAGCATCAAAGAAGGAACCTGGCAGCACCTTCAGCAAATTTGTTTGTAAAGCTTCTCAGTTAACAGATTATGTACGGATCACAAGAATTCTCATGCTTTCTGTTCTAAGGCTTGTGGCCAATCACGATATTAAAAAAAAGATATTAGCTTGCAAGAACATGTAATAAATAACTTCAAACTGCAATGGATATTTAATCTTAAAGCTTGCCTTTAACATTTATGTAAAATATTTTTTGTACTTGTTCAATAGAAACTTATTAGGCTACTGGGTAAAGCTAGCAATAAAACTACTGGTCAGCAATGTGTTAAATACTCAGTTGCATAGCTTGTAAGTTCTGCTTTCTGCACAACTATAGACTAGTATTCGACTAAGTTTTCTGCCACTACATAACCAGGATCTCATTTCCTTCAGTTAGCAAAAATATGTTCCTTATTTCCTTTTGAGACCTCACTAGCAACTACTTAATGTTCTTATTTCTACCAAAAATAGTTTATCATGACTGAGACATTCTCTAAGACAACATTAGCTTTCTTTCCCATCTCTTCACTTCCTTTTAAGCCCTTACCACTAATGCTTTTACCCACCCTCCCATTCCAATACCCCATTCATATTTTGGGCATTTGTTACAGCAGATGCCAACTGCTTCATACCAAACTTGTGTTTTATTATTTTAAAATATATATATTTTATTGATTTTTTTAGAGAGAGGAAGGGGGAGAGATAGAGAGCTAGAAATATCAATGGGAGAGAAACATTGATCAGCTGCCTCCTGCACACCTTGTACTGGGGATGTGCCCGCAACCAAGGTGCATGCCCTTGACCAGAATCGAACCTGGGGCCTTTCAGTTCACAGGCTGATGCTTTATCCACTGAACCAAACTGGTTAGGGCCCAAAAAATGTTTTAGTTTTGTCAGTTTAGTTTTATAAGAGTTAAATCTGCTGTAGCAAATTACCATAAACTTGGAGCCTGAGAAAAATAGGAATTTATTCTCTCACAGTTTTGGAGCCCAAAAGTCCAAAATCAGTTTCACCGAATCAAAATCAAGGTGTGGCAAGGGCCACACTTGCCCCAGCAGCTCTGAGAGTTTCTTCCTTGCCTCTTCCAGCTTGACTTGTGACTGTACTACTCTAGTCTCTGCCTCTGTTGTCCCTTTGCTTTTCCTGTGTGTCTTACCTCCTTCTAGACCCCTCTTACTACATGTGGTTTTATTTGGGGTCCACATGAAAAGTACAGAATCATATCCCCATCCTAAAATCCTTAACTTAATCACATTTGCAAACTCCTTTTTTTGCCTTAAGAGTCAATCACAGACTTCAGGGATTGGAGTGTGGATAACGTTTGGGAGTGGGAGACATTTAGTTTACAGAATACTGTTGGGAATGTTGTAAATACCCAAATGGAAAGTTGTTAATATACAGAGTTGAAAATTTTGTTTTCTAATAATTGAATTTTCTGCTGCTATTATTATACCTTCATTAGAATTTTATGCAAAAGTTGTATAGTCATACCCTAAGCTCACTATTAGGACATTGTGCGTTATTTTGTGCTGCACTGAATATAACACATCAATATTTATATCCATGTTTTAGATCTTGGGCTGACTCTTATTGAAGTGATTTAACATCTTTGCTGGAACTACTTTCTATATAAAGGGCATTAAATATTAAATTTGATATAAAGTGTTTTTCATGTTTGATAAGATCAAAGATAATTATTTGTTTCCTTTCCTTAGCTAAATGAATCTGCCTTTGATACTCAAATCACCAAGAAGATGTGCTATTATAAAATATTTGAGGTGATGTATTCTCGTCTTCCAAAAGATGATGTTCACTCTAAGGAATCCAAAATTAATGAAGTTTTTTATGGCTTTCATAATACAGAAGGGAATGAACTTACAAAGACACTGCTTAAGTAAGGTTTTAGCTACTTTTATGTTGTATTTGACATATTTTTTATATATTTTTATTCATGTACATAATATGAATAAGTGTTTTAAGTTTGTTTAAATACTGAATTTTATAGTTTTCTTATTTTTTCTTATGTGCAACCTACTTCAATTGTCTTTCGTTTGTTGTTGCATAACATACTTATCTTTTATAAAGAACAAAAATCTTTTTTTAACTTTTTTTCTTCCAGTTTTACATCTCAGTAGCGTTATATACAGAAAGAAGGAATTTGGTATATTTTATTATTTTCTATTACTTGAAATTAAAGGAGTGTTAAATTATTTTTTAAGCATTTTATAGAACACAAAGTAATCAAATACATTTTCTTTAAAAACAAACAGCCTTCTAATGAAGTTACTTCTTAGTAAATATGGAACATTGATTTACATGTCCAATTTTGCATATTCAGAGCAAACACAGCATCCTTTCTGTATCTTCTCAGTTTATGACAGGGCCATCCCAAGTCTCATTTGCAAAAACAAGACGTGGGAATGGTAGTATATTCTTCCTTCATCTTCATCTCTGCAACTTCCAGGCACATCCTATCAGTCATCAGTGGATTTTTATCTCCTCAGTATTCCCAGAACCACTGCCTTTATTTCCTTCCCTTTGAGCAGCCTTGTTGGGTCTGCTGTTCCTTGGTGAACCCTCTAGTCTTTGTAATTATTCTCTCTGCTCCTAGGATGGTCTCTCTCAGATCTGATTATTGAACTTCCCTGCCTAAAACCCTCTTAAGGAACGTAATCTTCAGTAGCAGGGTTGACAAACTTTTTTGCAAAGTGCCTGATAGTAACTTTTTTGCTTAGCGGACCATCAGTTGCAACTACTACCCCAAATCAACCGTAAATAGTATGTAAACTAATTTATGGCACTGAGTTCTTCTGGGATGCACCTTCCATTTGCTACTAGCCACTGGGTACATTCTGTTCTTTGAACACCATGCAGTTTATCTCTTGTTATAGGTGACACTTCTCTCTGCTCCTAATGCCTGTGTATGTTTTCCTTTGGCTAATTTATAATTTGAAACTCATCTATTTTCTCTTTAAACCTTCTTGGCTTCTTTTGCTGGACTGCTTTCTGTCCTCCTTACTTCCATTTCTTACCTTACTGTGCTTGTTGCTCTCTGTGCTTAATGTAGTGTAGTGAAATCCGGGATAGTGACCGGCTAGTTAGTTTTCTGGTCCCAGGGCCTAGTACTCTGTTGGGCAAAAACAACTGAATTGAAGTCCCGTTGTCTGGGATTATTGGCCTTGAGCAATGATTTCCCTGTGACATGCATTAATTTTTAACCTGGCTCTCCTCTACAGATTGTGCTATGATGCATTTGTAGAGAACATGGCTGGTGAGACTCAGTTGCTGGAGAGGAGAAGACTGTACCATTGTGCTGCCTACAACTGTGCCATTTCTCTTATCTGCTGTATCTTTAAGGAATTAAAATTTTATCAAGGTTTTCTGTTTAGTGAAAAACCAGAAAAGGTAAGCCTTTCCAGATGTATTTAACACTGCTCTCATTATAGGATTTCAAAAGTTAGATTATATCAATTAAAGTTATATCATAATCTGTACCTTCTTATAATACTATAGATGTAATTCTTTTAGTTCCTCATATATATAGAGCTGAAATGCTTCTCCAAGAGTTTCTAATTTTGTAGTAACATCAGTAGAAAGAATGTTGACCATTCAGATATTTTTCTATGATCCTTTGAATTCACAGAACTTGCTTATCTTTGAAAATCTGATAGACCTGAACCGCAGCTATACATTTCCCGTGGAAGTGGAGGTGAGTGCAGTTTTTCTCCTCCCCCCCCCTTTTTTTTTTATTGATGATGGTATCACATAATTGTCCTCATCCCCCCAATCCCATCCCAAACCCCTCTCTATATATGTCCCCCCTCCCCCCTTTGTCCATGGCCACAGGCCAGGCCCATATGCATGCAAACAAGTCCTTTGGTTGATCTCTTCCCCTCACCCCCACCCTCCCCTACTTCCCCTCTGAGGTTTGAGAGTCTGATTGCTGCTTCTCTTTCTCTGGGTCTGTTTTTGTTCATCAGTCTATGTTGTTCATCATTTCCTCTAGATGTGTGAGATCTTGTAATCTAAGAAATACCCTTGTAAGAACCTAAACTGAGAAAAGCCATAATGGTTATGCAGAGAGGCAAATGAATCAGTCTGTAGTGAGTTCCTTTCCGGACCAACAGTTCTTTTGAGTCCCAATTTCAATGTCAAATAATTCCTTATGTATACATGTCAGCCATGCTATTTCAGATCTGCTTGGTGGCCAAACGGTGGTGATGCAGGTCCAACCATCTCCGGTTTGGTCCTGGGCATCCTTCAGCAACACGCAGCAGCTGTCTGCTGGTATGGCGAGGTGTCGTCAGCATCTTCCATCTCTGAATTGTTTCTCTTCTGTCTTCATGGCTGGAGCACTTCTGTCTATTTCTCTCTGTTACAGGATTCCAGATGGTCTCGGAGTTGTTTTCTGAAAATATACAAATATATTCTCGACCAAAAGTTAATAAAGGGATATTTTCTATAAATTTGACTTGGGATCTTTTTTCTTTTTTTCTTTTTTTCCCCCCAAATGATTTTCCTCTGGCTTGTTTTGACATCATGTGTGTATTTTCATGGGTATCTTTCTGTTAGCGTTTCGAATGAAGGTTAATTTTCTAAAGTACAAATTTTTTAGATGTAAATTATTCGCAGGATATTTTTTCTTACATGATATTCTTCCACTGTCACCCCCTTTTTAAATTTAAGTAATAAGAGATTTTTGGAAATTTTATAATGTAGTCTTGATAGCTTTTACATTTTAATTATTTGTGCTAAACTATTACTGCTTTAGGTTCATAACATGTTGGCAATTTTACCATGAGACGCTCTGCCAATAAGAATTTTTGCTAACACTTTAGGAACAGCTTTTTGTACAGTACAATGTTTTTCTAGAATATTCATTTATTTCCATTAGCCACACTAATTTCTTCTGAGAAATTGGCTACTATTCAACTGTCAAACTCAACACTCTAGCAACAATCTTATTTACCATGTGTGTATTAGTGGGATTGATTACGTATTTGCCTTCTTGAGAAGAGCCTGAGCATTCCTGGTACTAGGCTGGATTTAGATATTAAAAACCCTCTTTTCCACACCATGGGTACCAGACCTCTCGAGCAAGTCTTGTTGCAGTGAGAGGGCAGCTGCTGTGAGCCAAGTCTCTGTCTGTTACCTGGTCCCAATTTGAGCTGTGCATGGGAAACTAAGCAGCTATGGGGGCAGGAGACCTCCCTCAGAATGGGAGAAGGTTCAGGCACCTGCCACATTGCAGGGGGGCGTGGTAAGGGTCTGTGCCCCACCTCTGTTGACCTCCAAGTTCTCTCCTAATGGCCCCTCTGTGACTGTGCCTGTCTTAGGTTGTTCCTTCCCTGAGGAATCTTACCTGTCTCTGGCTAACCAGCCATCCTCCGGGGCCAAGCAGGGTGATATGAGTTTTGGTCTGTCTCCTTGGTAGCTTATGCCCCCATGGGCTCCATGCCCAGCACCTGCCTTGGGAACCCCTCATCTGTTGGTGAGGCCCGGGGGCTGATATCATATTTTTGGGAACCCATGTTTCTTCTCCAGAGAGGTTCCAGCTCACCCCACTGGGCAGGAGAGAGATTCATGGTACCAGAAACCATGGTGCTTCAGCCTTGGCATGAGCTGAAAGGTCAGGTAATAGTTGTGGTTACCTGGATCACGAAAAGAGGGTCATTTTTGGCCAAAAGGGCAAGACTTGCCAATATAGAATGCTCAGGTGCCTTCCAAGGAGGCCCTCTGCTGAATGCAGTTTTTCAATGGTGATTCCAAGTTAAAGAACTTACCAAATGCTTATTCAGGAAAAGATGAATTATGCTGAACATATTAAATTGCCATTAGTCAGATCCCCTTGGAACTACAAAAACTGGCATTTTCAAGTAGTTCAACCTGAGGTACAGTCTCAGGCAACTACAACAAAATTCATCAAACTTATCTTTCCCTTTCTCATCTTGTAAAAGAAAGAAAATGCCAATAAAAGCTCTTAGGACATATCCTAGAGGCTGTTTCCTGAGTAAATTCCTCTGGTCAATGAAATTGAAATCCATCTGGATATAGAATTATGATCCCCTGGCCCTGCTTGTGTTTATTTGGTAATATAACGAGGGTGCCATGAGAAGTCATGGGGATAATTGCACCATTTGCTCTGGTCAACACGATCAGCTTAGTTTGGATGCGCTGAGTTTGATGCACCCCCTTAAGCACTGATGGAAGGCAGTGGCTGTAGTCTTTCCCAGCCCTGAGGAAATGTGAAGTTGGACACGGAACCCAAGCTCATACACTGCACGCTAGAGAACAGAGCTGTGCCAGGAGCTGTCATCGCTTCTCTTCACAGCTGCTGACTGCAACCATGTCTTAGGGATCACGAGTTCACATAAATAGTTGCTTCCTGCCTTGTGCCCTTTTGGAATAAGACTGGAAACTTTTTTCTAGAAATATGTTCCAAGAGCTAAAACAAAAAAATAATGGCACTAGTTTATTAAGCAGATTCTGGTGCATATGACTTGTGAACTTGACAACCACTGTAAGGTGATATGACATATCGGAACCGTTGAGGAGACAGGCTCACAAGTCAATTACAGGCTATTGGCAATCAGGCCTGTGGCTCTAAGAACTGAGCAAACACTGTCCCAGAGCCCGAAAGGATGTGCTTCTCTGGGGCTCTGTGGGAATCTGTAGGAAAAGCTTTCCTTAAGGGGTACTTACCCATCTTACTTTGTGGATATTGTTTAATACTTTTAAATTTGATAAAAGTTTTGTTTAAAAATTACTTTTTTGCTAGATTGCTACTAACATAGAAAACAAGTGGCCATGTTTCTAAAAAAACAAGTGGCCATGTTTCTTAAATTGTGTATTTGATTTGCCTAACAGGTTCCCATGGAAAGAAAGAAAAAGTACATTGAAATTAGGAAAGAAGCCAGGGAAGCAGACAACGGGGATTCAGGTAGGATGTTTTCAAAATAAGGAGAAAGATTCTAATGGTTGATATTTGTTACATAATAGAAAAATACTTTAAGTACCCCAAAACATTGACATTCGGTTTGAAAAAATTTTAAGTGGTGAGTGAATTGTATCTTGAAATAGATGCAATTAAACTAAACTTTAACTCAGTAGATCTCTAATGGCCTCAGGAAGTTCAGATATGGTACACTTTAGTGCAGGATTGACTTGATATTTGTTTGAATATGGATTATATTATTTAGCTATATTTATAAATCTCTGTTCTGTGTAAAATACAAGTTCCATCCTGCCACACCTCACGTTAGCTCCGGCCGCCCTCAGGACAGAGCTGCCCAAGGCCCCCTGGCTTCCCTGCCACTCTACTTTCTGCTCATTCCACTCGAGCAGCCTGACCCCTGCCTATGGGCACTCGGCTCACTTTTGCCTCAGGGCATTTGCTTGTATGTTCCCTCAGCCTGAAATAACCTTGGCCCGGGACATCTACCTGGATTATGACCTTTTTTTTTTTTTTTTTTTTTTTTTTTTTTTTTTTTTTTTTATACATTTTATTGACTTTTTACAGAGAGGAAGGGAGAGAGATAGAGTCAGAAACATCGATGAGAGAGAAACATCGATCAGCTGCCTCTTGCACAGCCCCTACTGGGGAATTGCCCGCAACCAAGGTACATGCCCTTGACCAGAATCGAACCTGGGACCTTTCAGTCCGCAGACCGATGCTCTATCCACTGAGCCAAACCAGTTTTGGCAATTATTACCTTTTTTTAAATGCCAACTCCTGAAGGGAGTTCTCCCTGGCCTCCCTATTTAAGATGAACCCTCGCTCCCTCCACATAAACTTTGTTTCAATTTTCTGCTTAATGAACCTGCACAACTTTGTTTTTTTGACTTAAGGATAAAATTTGGATCAGTTTCCCAAATTCCTTACATATTTAGGATTAGTTATTTTTCACTAGTATCTTTTCCCACATTTATACTACCTTTCATGGGCAAATGTACATTAAAATTTTAAATGCAAATAAGCTTAATATAGCTAAACATTGGATCTAGTTTAACTTAATTTCTTTGTCCATGACAGAAGGTAACTAGTCAATAATGAGAAGCAAAAGGAATCTTTGTCCCATTTCCTTTTTGCTTTGTTAATCTGGATAATGAGTTGAGAATCATAGGGGTGATGAAAGCTTTAGTTAACAGTATCACTTAATATTAACTGAGCTTCAAAAGATGCATTTCTTGCTAAAATGAATAAATGTGATTTTACTTATTTTCAGGTGGTCCTCAGTACATATCTTCCTTGTCATATTTGGCGAACAGTACTCTGAGTGAGGAAATGAGTCAATTTGACTTCTCAACTGGAGTTCAGAGCTACACATACAGCTCCCAAGACCCTAAATCTACCATTGGTCATTTTCGAAGACAGGTGACCACATTTTATGTATTAAACAACATTGATAGCATTTGTAAAGGAAGAGAGGCTTTGTTGTTAACATAGGAAGCTGCTCTTCATCAGTAGCCCTCAGAGAATAGTATTAGTTTGGAGAATTTTCTAAGATCTAAAGCCCAGCCTGTCTTCCTGCATACAGCAATTTGATTTCATCACCACAGCAAGGAAGGCTCTCTCTCCCAGGCTGACTCACCTTAGCCAGTCTCTGCGGTCAATGTTTTAAATTGAACCGAATTTAAGGATGTCCAGTAAGAGAGCTAGCTAACTGCCATAGAGACTCAAATGTTCATGTTGATATGACTATTGCCATCTCTCTCTGGGGAGACTGAAGAAGCTCTTCCAATATTTAATGTCACCGAACAAACTGATGCATTGATACAAATGGTAGCTTAATTCTTTTTTAAAAAAATATATTTTATTCGGCTGTAGCTTAATTCTTAGAGTAAACTCTTTTTTTCTTGTTTCATGTAACTCCAATTGTGTGTAAAATTTTCTATTACAATGTTGTTTACTCCTGTTTCTGAAATAAAATACTACTCCCTATCACTTCTAAAACCTCAATTTATAGAAAATAGCCATTGTCTTTGGGAAGAAGTAGACAGTGGACTCAATGGTTGTAAGGGGAGCACATTTCCAAATACTCTCCATCTTGGAGAGTGATATTTTGGGATAGTTTCTGCCACCAGGACAGACAGCATTACATTTGTCTAGGGCCATTTTTATTTCTCTTTCCACTCAATCTCTGTAAGCACTTAGTAGCCCCAAGCTGACTTCTAACTGTTCAGAATGTCCTCTCAGGATTTCTTAAGTGTTTTTTTTCCTAGAAGTGATCTGTGCTGGAAAATATCCAGACAGATTGTTTCCCCTCAGCATGCGTGTGTGAATGAAATTTACTGAATCTGGATGCCAAACTTCAATTCATCATTATATGTAAAAAATGATTATCACTGCTGTATTTTCTCAGATTTTATGATCAATAATGGCTTAAGCCCCAGTTTGGGGGCTTGGTTGATTGGAGCATCGTCCCATACACCAAAAGTTTGCTGGTTCTCTTCCTGGTTAGGGCACATAACTAGATTACAGGTTTGATCCCTGGTTGGTGCATGTATGGAAGGCAAATGATCAATGTTTCTCTCTCTTTCTCTCTAAAGTCAATAAAAAATATATCCTAGGGTGAGGATTAAAAGAAAAAAGAATGGTTTAAAAGTTTTCTTCTACTGATTACAGTTTCAAGGTGAATTGAGAAAAAAGATTTTCAGAGAAAAACTATTTTTCAGATTATTGAAAAAAAAATAGGTAAACATTATCTTAATGATACTTTAATATTTAATAGCTTCACTTTCTCCCTAAAGTGAGACTATTTATCATGAGACTATTGCTCTCAAGGTGGTGAGGATTCTGGGGCCTCCAATACACACAGATTTGTAAAAATCTTGGTGTTTCTACAAAGCAGCACATGTCTGTATACACACTGTGACCTGTGACTCTAAGGGAGAGACCACATAGACAAGGGATAGAAGGGAAATAGAATGTAAGGAAGACATGAGGTTCTGTTTATTTTTTAGTTGTTTAATCAGAAAACATACCAAGTGTATTTGATATTATTACCAAATTATCATTGTTACCCTAAGTGTGTATTTCATGGTATTACCCCAAAAATCAGAATGTCTTGTATACTGAAATTTTCGCAGTATTCTTCATAATCAGATTCTTACCTTTTTGTAGGAGCATAAAGACCCCACGATCCAAGATGATATCCTGGAGTTAGAGATGGATGAACTCAATCAGCACGAATGCATGGCAGCCATGACAGCCATGATTAAGCACATGCAGAAAAATCAGATCCTACCTAAAGTAGAAGAGGTCTGTCTTCAGTAATCTTATATTGTCTCGCTTAATTATATTCATTAATATCATATTAAGAATGGACATTTAGCCCTGGCCAGTGTGGCATAGTTGGTTGGAGTGTTGTCCTTTCATGGGTTTGATTCCCAGTCAGGGTGCATATTAAGTTGTGGGTTTGATTCCTGGTTGGGGTGTGCAAGAGAGGCAACCAGTTGAAATTTCTCTTTTACAGCGATGTTTCTCTCTCTTTCTCCCTCTCCTCCTTTCCTCTCTAAAATCAGTAAAAGCATGTCCTCAGGTGAAAATTTAAGAAAAAAGAAAAGAAAATTTAATATCATAGACTAAAACCAAATTCCATATCAAATAAACATGATTTTTGCTGTTCATCTATTATTTTGTAATTGTTGTCTCATAATATCAAAATATAAAGTTATTTTAGTCTACTTTGGAAGATAATTGTGAATGTATCATTTCAGGGTTCAGTGCCAACACTTCTTCCTTGGATGAAATTTCTTCATGACAAACTAGGAAATCCATCGTTATCATTGAATATTCGTCTCTTCTTAGCTAAGCTTATTATTAATTCAGAAGAAGTAAGTCATTTATTATTTCTTTAAATATTCTTTGCAATTATATGCATCTTATTTAAAAAGCCCACAACAGCCCAGCTGGCATCGCTTAGTGGTTGAGATTTAACCTATGAACTGGGAGATTGTGGTTTGATTCTGCTCAGGGCATATGCCCAGGTTGTAGGGTTGATCCCCAGTGGGGGGTTAACAGGAGGCAGCCAATCAATGATTCATATATACATATATACATACATATATACATATATATATACATATACATATATATATATATATAATAAGCCCATAACAGCCCAGCCAGTGTGGCTCCATGTTTGAGCATTGACCCATGTACCAACAGGGTCTGGTTTAAATCCCAGTTAGAGCACATACCCAGGTTCCAGACTCCACCCCTGGTCTCAGTATGGGATATTCAGGAGCCTGCCAATGTATGTTTCTCCCATTGATGTTTTCTATTTCTTCCTTTCCCTTCCTCTCTCTCTAAAAACCAATAAAAAACATATTAAAAAAAAAAAACATTTTAAAAAGCCCTCAACAAAGAAAGATGTTCTCTGAATAAATTAACCATATTTCTTTATTGCTCAATATTATTCTTTCATGATTTTCTTTTTAAACGTGTAAGTTAACTTCCAAAAGATAGAAGTGATCTTTTTATAAGTACATGTGTGGACAACTTTCTTATGGCTGCCAGCCTTTGTTTGTAAGAGCAAAGAAGGTGGTAAAATTATTCCTGTTAATAACTCTTATGTGAACAACAACTGAGGCCGAAACCGATTTGGCTCAGTGGATAGAGCGTTGGCCTGCGGACTGAAAGGTCCCGGGTTTGATTCCGGTCAAGGGCATGTACGTTGGTTGCGGGCACATCCCTGGTAGGGGGTGTGCAAGAGGCAGCTGGTCGATGTTTCTCTCTCATCGACGTTTCTAGCTCTCCCTCTCTCCTCCTCTCTGTAAAAAATCAATAAAATATATTAAAAAAAAAAAAAAAAAAGAACAACTGAGACTCTTAGATAGTTGTTCAATTTGACATTTGATCTGCAAGTAGCACTGTGTTAGGGAGGAGCGTCTTCTACCAGTGGGAGTTAGGTGAGATTTTTAAGAGAACCCTTGAGTTAAGTGTTGTAAAGTAGCACTGGGAGTTTACATTCTGCTTAAAAGCAGCAGTATGAGCAGAGATAGCCCCTGAGAAAGCCAAGCAAGTCTGCCTAACGCACAGACTTGGGGCACACGGGACATATGAGTGGCATGGTTCCAGATCTGAGCGGCAGGCAAGCCCTCGGGTCCCTGCAAGGACCTCGCTCATTTGTTGAGTGGTAGGGAGCCACTGAAGGGTGCTAAGTAGCTGACTTGGTCCATTTGGTCCCACAGAAAGTCCTTCTAGCAGCACTGCAGCTGTGAGGGCCGTGGGGCTGTGGGGAGGTGGCAGAGAAGGCTGACCTGGTCCTCAGGGTCGTGCTTAATTTTAAGCTCCTGGGGCTGCCATAACAGGAGCCACAAAACAATGGCTTAAACAGCAGAAACCGAAAGCCGGAGTTCATGATCAGAGTGTTGGTAAGGTTGATTCCTTTTTTCTTTTTAAAAAAATATATTTTATTGATTTTTCACAGAGAGGAAGGGAGAGGGATAGAGAGCTAGAAACATCAATGAGAGAGAGACATCCACCAGCTGCCTCCTGCACCCCCCCCACCGGGGATGTGCCCGCAACCAATGTACATGCTCTTGACCGGAACTGAACCTGGAACCTTTCAGTCTGCAGACCGACGCTCTATCCACTGAGCCAAACCAGTTTCAGCCTTTTTTCTTTTTTTTTTTTAATAATAAAATATTTCATGTTCTAGTGCCAGCTTCATTTTAACTGAAATCATATTTTTTAAAGGACAGATACAGTAAATAATAGGAAACAGGCTTAAAATGTACTCCATGTTTAATGTAGAAGTTTCCCTTAAGAGTATACTTTTCCATTCAACTAGAAATTATAGACTAATTTCTGTGTAGCTATTATAGTCATTTCAATCTATGAAAATTGTATATTAAGTGGACATTTTCAAAGTTAAGATTCATGTTGTAAAATGCATCTGGTCATCTAAGTTAGGGAAAATAGTTCTTTTGTTTTGTGAGCTAGCTACATTTATACTATCCTCAGCCCAGTCTCTTCCAGACTTTATCAGGATTATAAATGTAAGGAGTACCAACTATTGGTGCTCTGATCTGACCTCCCCAGTTCAAAGGACTAAAGGTACTAGGTAATTTCCAGGTAAGGCCAGAAGTTTGGATTGGTAGCTGTTTTTGGAACAGATGCATCAGCTCATGGTCTTTGGGGTCAGAGATTAGGTCAGTAGATATTTTCCTTTCTATATTTTCTTTCATGCTGTCCTAAAAATTTTTGTGAGAAAAAAATCTATTAGGATTTTCTTCTGATCTCAAATACAAATACAAAATCAATAACTTAGCCACAGATTCATTACCTGCTACCTTCTAATTTGCATAATCTCATCTTCCACATACCCAATGCATTGGCATAAGGTAAAATTATAATTCTCCAGAGCTGAATATTATTCAGATAGGACAAGGTTGATACAGAATACGTTCATTTTGATTTCTCTGAGCATAGTTAAAAGATATTAATAGCAAATTGACTTCATTGCATTATGGTTTCAGGGGGCAATGAGAAGAGAATTCAGCAGAGAATCTGATCTATTTATCAGGGTAATTGTTGGAATTCATATCTATTTTGGGTTTAAGTCAAGTCATAATATAAAATTTTAACTGATGGATTATATGTTTCTGGATTAATATTTTGATTATTAAAAACAATCCTTTGATATATGACTTTTAAATTTTCTTTTAGGTCTTTCGCCCGTATGCGAAGTACTGGCTTAGCCCCTTGATGCAGCTGGTTGTTTCTGAAAATAATGGAGGAGAAGGAATTCACTATATGGTGGTTGAAATAGTGGTTACAGTTCTTTCATGGACAGGAATAGCTACTCCTATAGTAAGAATGGATACATCCTTATAGTAATATATCAGTTCTTTGTTGATATCTTAAATAGAACATGTAGTAAGTAATTCAGGCTCCCCTTAATGACTTAGTCATAATTTTTAGCGTTAATTGTTGTACTGCTATACTAAATGGCCTCACCCTGTTTTTGTTCTATTTTTTTTTTTTGTCTACTTTTGATATTCCTCTGATTTTTTTTTTTTTATAAATATATTTTATTGATTTTGTACAGAGGAAGGGAGAGAGACAGAGTCAGAAACATCGATGAGAGAAAGTCATCGATCAGCTGCCTCCTGCACACCCCCCACCGGGGATATGCCTGCAACCAAGGCACACGCCCTTGACCGGAATCGAACCCGGGACCCTTCAGTCCCCAAACCGACGCTCTATCCATTGAGCCAAACAGGTCTCGGCATGATCTTTTTAATTTTTTAATTTTTTATTTTTCACAGAGAGGAAGAGAGAGTGATAGAGAGTTAGAAACATCAAGGAGAGAGAATCATCGATCAGCTGCCTCTTGCACACCCCCTACTGGGGATGTGCCCGCAACCAAGATACATGCCCTTGACCGGAATCGAACCCGGGACTCTTCAGTCCCCAAGCCGACGCTCTATCCACTGAGCCAAACCGATTCCGGCATTCCTCTGATCTTTTACTTTGAAGCTATCAGATGTTTGTTTTGTTTGTTGCTTTTATCTGCGTTTGGAAACTAGATAATTGGTTTATTAAAAATATGAGAAGTAAATGTCAGTAGACTTATTCTGTGGTGAAAGTACCTGAATCTTTTGGCACTTGTTTTGCCAGTCTATCTGTTTCCAGAGTGTTGACTGTGACTTATAATGGCTGAGATGGCTCAACAAGTGACTGCAAGATGAATGGCAGTTTTATACTGCAGCCTGTGGCATTCACCAGATTTGTGGGTGCTGGAGCTCTGCACCCACATTTGAAAACTGCCCATTCATTTGAAAACATTGACACTAAAATGTGTAAGAGTTTTCATGTAAGGCTATCCTGGAAACAGCACTTATATTAAATACTAGAGGTCTGGTGCACAAAATTCATGCATAGGAGTGTGTGTCCCTCAGCCCAGACTACACCCTCTCCAATCTGGGACATCCCTCTTACAATCCAGGATTGCTGACTCCCAACCGCTCACCTGCCTGCCTGCCTGATTGCCCCTAACCACTTCTGCCTACCAGCCTGATCATTTCCTAACCACTCCCCTGCTAGCCTGATCAACATCTAACTGCTCCCCTGCCGCCTGGTTACCCCTAACTGCCCTTTCCTGCTAGCCTGGTAACCCCCAACTGTCCTCTTCTGCCAGCCTGGTCGCCCCCCCAACTGTCCTCCCCTGCTGGCCCGGTCACTCCTAACTGCCCTCCCTTGGCAGCCTGATCGCCCTCAACTTCCCTCCCCTGCTAACCTGGTAACCCCTAACTACTCTCCCTTATCAGCTTAGTTGCCCCAACTGCAGGCCTGGTCCTCCCAAATGCCGTCCCCTGCAGGCCCAGTCACCCCTAACTACCCTCCCCTGCAGGCCTGGTCCCCCCCAACTGCTCTCCCTTGCTAGCCTTCCTCCCCTTCCCAACTGCCCTCTCCTGCAGGCCTGGTCCCTCCCAACTGCCGTCTTCTGCTGGCCTGATCGCCCACAACTGCCCTCCCCTGCTGGCCATCTTGTGGCAGCCATCTTGGGTTCACAAGGGGGCAGCCAAATTGTGTGTTGGAGTGATGGTCAATTTGCATATTATTCTTTTATTAGATAGGATAGTAATGTATATAGAGTTTATACATGTGTCTAAATGTGCCTCTCTCATTTCAAAGTAAACTAAATTTTAGATTTCTTATCTTTAATATGATGAAATAACTTGTAGTCTGCTTACTATTAATAATATGAAAAAATTAAGAAATTATTTGTTTTAACTTAAACCATTGAGAAAGATTGATTTAACTGTTAGGAGCTCAGCTAATCTTTAAAGACCTGAATTACATAGGTGTCAGAATACTGATAAAAGAAACAGAGAGCCAAATTGAAAGTTAAGTGAAGCCCTTTATTTAAAAAAAAAACAAAAAACAAAAAAAAAACTTCATTGCAATAGTATATGCAAAAAGCTAAAACTAGAGGAAGCCCTGACACTCTTGTTCCATTTTACCTCCTGCAGCCAGCACATTGGTCAAGGGTCAGGTGGCTCAGTAGTGATCTGGAGGTCATTTCCCTTTTGAGGTGCCGCTAATTAAAGACCTCATCACTTTTGTAGGGCTCTGGAGTTGGAAGGAATGTGAGGGAGAAGGCCTAGGAGTTGGCAAGCACAGAGTACTGAGTCAGAGTGTCTTCAAGTTTTCCCTCCCTCCCTCCAGAAGGAGGTTCCAGCTGAGGCGTTACAGAAGAGGGAGACTAGGAGAGAGGGTGCCTGGGCCAGGAATGCGCATAGTGAAAGAGCATGACCAGACTTAGGCCGCAGGGTCTGACTGCAGCTGCCCTTTGAGACTCCGGTTTACCTGCGGTGCTACCAGCCTGGGGCAGAGCGGGCAGCTTTCCCCTGGAGGCTATCTGCACACCCCTTACCCGGGATCAATTTGTAATTGCTGTGGTTGGACCTGAAAAATCACACTTAGGTTTTTAGGAGCTGGTAGAATGTCACATTTCTTTTATAAATGGACTTTTGGATTTAAAAAATGCTTTTTCAGAATGGAATGCTACATATTAACATATAATTTTTATACCATTTCAGGGGGTTCCCAGAGATGAAGTGTTAGCCAATCGGTTGCTTAATTTCCTAATGACACATGTTTTTCATCAAAAACGAGCCGTGTTTAGTCACAACCTTGAAATTATAAAAACTCTTGTTGAATGCTGGAAGGATTGTTTATCCATTCCTTACAGGTATTGATTTATTAGAATTTGCAATGTTGTTTAGAATTTTTAGAAATGTAGTATGTTTCAAATAGTGAGTACAATGAAATTTAATTACTTGAAGGAGTACTGTAATTTGAATTACAATCCATGTATATGAATATGATGTTGTTACTCATAAAACCACAACTTCCAAAGTTGATACTAGAACAATCTGCTCAGCCTAGGTTAGAATGTAGGACTTTGCTTTGATTCCTTTTAGCACTGCCTGGGGTAAGCTAACAGTTTCAAAAGGGCAAGTAATTATAGGGAGATATAAAACTGCTTGTATTCCAAAGCTGAATAACCTGGATGTGAACAAAGAGGGTATTAGCAAGAAGGGTATTAGTTGTGGGTGGGTGGGTGGGGGAGAGTATTCCTTACCTTGAATATTCTCCTTAGAAAATTTTATGTTGTCTTCTTTCTTCTTATTTATATGATAATCTATATTTTTATACTTCTGTTTCAGGTTAATATTTGAAAAGTTTTCCAGGAAAGATCCTAATTCTAAAGACAATTCAGTAGGAATTCAATTATTAGGCATTGTAATGGCCAATAACTTCCCTCCCTATGACCCAAAATGTGGCATAGAGAGTACAAAGTAAGTATCATAGTTTTGCTTTCCTTTTTTGTTTAGGTTAAAGTATTCCTGAATTGGAAATGGACTGGTTTAATTTTGATAAATTTAAGGGCGAGAACACATGTTAAATATTTATCCCTTAATTTAAATAGTTGGCTTTAGAGGCCATTTGAGGTGTTAATGAAGTAAATGAGGAAGGTAAGTTTTTAAAAAGTAGTGTTATTTTTCATGTACATTTTGTTAAATAAGAGGTATTAAGTTTTTTTCCTTATTTTCTAAAGTGACATTTTTAGCATTTATCCCTTAGAGCAACATGAGCTGTGATCCATTTAACATAAGATGTGGCCATGACGGGGTGCGGCTGACTTCGAGTGGCCTGCCCTGTCTGTGTGCTGTTGGCATAGTTGTAGCCACACTGCTCCCCTCCCATCGGGACCCTTCATGGTGAGGATGGACATCACCCAACATATGCAGTGGAGGGGCTTAAAGTCATGATTACATCATAGGTCTCAGCGTGTCCCTTCCAGGGTTTTTTTTTTTTAATTTGCCTTTATTGATTCTAGAGAGAGTAAGGGAGAGGGATAGAGAAATAGAAACATTGATGAGAGAGGAACATTGATCCGATGCCTCCTGCACACTCTTTACCTGGGATCGAACCTGCAACGTGGTCATGTGCCTTGACAGGGAATGGAACCAGTGACCTCTTGGTTCATGGGTTCACTCAACTACTGAACCACATCAGCTGGGCTCCCTTTCGTGCTTTTGCCATTTCTTCGGTAGTATCTCACTCAGTCTTGTTGGTCCTCTAAAATACGTTGCTAGCACAGATTCAACAGGAAATAGCTTACTTTTAGACAAGTTGTTTTTTGTGGGATTTTTTGAGCTATGGTTTTCTCCAGTGACAACTTTACAGAGCCAATGTTGGGCTGAAAATTAAAAGCCCCTTTGCCTGTGAAGTCTGGGGCAATGTATTCACGCTCACTCTTTTTCTCATTATTTTATTGATCTTCTCCGTCATAGTAGATGGCTTTAACAGGCTGTCAGTAAACCACAGTCTTAAATAATAGCTTTTTTATTCACAATAGTTTTATGGGATTTTGGGGGGGAGGGGTTCCCCAAGAAGCCAGCACATTTATTGATGTTTGTTCTGGTCCCTGATTTTACAGGCTTCTTAGTCTTGGAAGCCCAGGCTGTAGACGGTGCCTCCCAGACATAGCGCCAGAGGTCATTGTCTGCCTGGAAGTTTCTATTTCTCAGCCACTGGGTTCCTGCATTTGAGCAAAAGGAGTGACTCGCCTGCTCCTCTCCAGCTGGAGTCAGCTCCCCTCTCCAGCATCGTTTACTTTAACTGTAGCAGGTTCAGTGTAATGGAACCAGCGTGAATGTGCCTCCCTGAGGTGATGATGTCAGCACCTTAAAGACATCTTCACACCTTCTTCACATCTGTCTTCACATCAGTAATTTGGATCATGTTTTAGGCTTCATGGTTTCTCAATGTGTGCTATTAATATGGTACAACAAAGAGTAAAATCATTACAATTTTATGTCAACAGAATGGATTATTTTATGCATATTTATCTTCTATATTTGTTACAGATACTTCCAAGCTTTGGTCAATAATATGTCCTTTGTAAAATATAAAGAGGTGTATGCAGCTGCAGCAGAAGTTCTGGGACTTGTTCTCCAATATATTACTGAGAGAAAAGATGTGAGTGTGTTATGCAATTTTAAACAAATGCTTTTTCAATTTTGATTTGTCATTACACTTGATACTTATATCCTCTGTACTGTAAGAAACCAAGTGGGCATTTTGCAGATACCTGCTAATGTTAGGCTGATAAGCTATTAAAATCCTCGCCTGCCCTAGCTGGTTTGCCTCAGTGGATAGAGTATCGGCTTGCGGATGAAGGGCCCCAGGTTCGATTCCGGCCAAGGGTACCTGCCGGGTTGTAGGCTTGATCCCCAGTAGGGGGTGTACAGGAGCCAGCCAAGCAATGATTCTCTCTCATCATTGATGTTTCTATCTCTCTTCCTCTCCCTTTCTCTCTGAAATCAATAAAGAAATATATTTTTAAAATAAAATAAAATTCTGCCAAAGCTGGTTTGGTTCAGTGGATAGAGTGTTGGCCTGCGGACTGGAGGGTCTCAGGTTCGATTCCGGTCAAGGGCATGTGCCTTGGTTGCGGGCACATCCCCAGTAGGGGGTGTGCAGGAGGCAGCTTATTGATGGTTCTCTCTCATCAATGTTTCTAACTCTCTAGCCCTCTCTCTTTTTCTCTGTAGAAAATCAATAAAATATATTTAAAAATAAAATAAAATTCTCACCTACAGTTTTTGACATAATACCACCATTACACAGGAAAAAGCACTTTCTTGGGAGCCTTTTCCAGTCTTATGTGCCCTTCCCATTTGACTGTATTGTAAAAAGAGCCTTGTTGAATTTTTACACATAGCATACATTCAGACTACTATAATCTCCAATAATTATAATTATTAAAGATACATAGGTATAACTGCATGGAAATTACATGCTATAACTTACTTGAAAAGAGTGTAGCAGGTGATGCTTACTGCTACATTGCTCTCCTCCCACGTGCTAGTAGAGTGCAGTGCTACATGTCTTTGGAGCCTTGTCACTTGTGCTCAGCTGCTCGTACCAGGTCTCTCTGTTTCAGCCTGTCCACAGCAGCACAGTTTGTCCTCCTTGAGTTCCCTTTGTCACTGGTTCTGGGACACTCTTGTCTGTCTCTCTACTTCCTTGGCAGCTTCTCCCTTTTTTAACTGCGTGTTTCCTGGGCCACCTCCACAGCTCTGATTTTGGCCTTCTGTTTTACTGCTTCCCTGCTGGTTTATATGGCCTTGTGACTTTAAAAACTGTCTCTATGTTCATGATTCCCAAATTCGTATCTCCAGTCCATTCCCTCTCCTGAAATAAAGGTAGGGTGGAGTCTGGGCTACATGCGTTGTCAGCCAGGATGAGAAGAAGCTTTGGGAAAGTCAGGAGGTCCTCAAGATGCCCAGGTTACCCACAAAGAGCAGATTGGGCCCCCTGCCCATTTACCAATTAGGCATTTATTTGGATTTAAAATAAATTATCAAACTGGCCGGTTAGCTCAGTTGGTTAGAGCATGGTGCTAATAAAATAAAATATCATTAAGCTAAAAGCAAATAGACCCCTTTGGGAAGATCGGACTTGTTTATTTAAGGATACCCAGTTATTTTAGTAAAAGAAACAATTATAAAAATTCAGAATAACTTGTTAAGACATGATTCTAATGTCACTAAATGTTTGGTAGCAGTTTATATAAAATGCTTAATATTGGATAGCAATATTGGATGAAGCAAATGATAACATATCCCAGGTTCAATCTCTCTTGATTTAAATTTCAATAGGAATGAGAAACACTTTTGTTTTACATAGTTTTTTTCCTGAGTATAAAATGACATTGATTTTTGTGTAGAATTAGTATAATATAATATAAAAAAGTAAGAAAAGAAGAAAAAGAAATAAGTAGTCACTCATATTCTAACCACTAACTTACTCTTGGCACCTGAGATGTAGACTCCAGTCTTGTCTTCTGTTTTCCCCATATTGTTAGGTTCACATTGTTTTATAACTTTGGCACTTATATGTTGGTTACTTACATATAGGAGTGGGCAAAAGTAGGTTTATAGTTGTAATACAAATAAATAATATAAACATTAATAAGTAATAATGCAAGAATAAACTGAATTTTGCATAATCAGAACTGAAAACCTACTTTTGCCCACCTCTGTATATTAGGTACTTACTGGTTGGCTCTAGGCTCTTTTATGTCCCACCCTCAGGGAGCTGGCATGCGGTGAGGGGAGACAGATAATTCACAAACGAGTCTATCACAGTAGGTTGTAGTATGTGACCATGAGAAAGCAAAGTATAGGGAAATAGACAGTGATAGTTGAGATAGAGTTGCTTGAAAATTGTGGTTTGTGAGAATATTTAATGACAGACATGAGCACTGACACCATAAAATGTGTCTTAAACATATTTAATCACAAGTTTTAGTTCCGCTTCTAAAATGACTTATTGGCCTGTTTCATTGTCAGAAGAAGCACTAATCGTTTTTGTTTTTTTAATCTTTTCAATTATTTTGCCCATTTCTCTTTTTTTTTGACATTTTTTAAATTTATTGATATTAGAGAGGTAGGGAGAGGGTGAGAGAGATAGAAACATCAGTGATGCGAGAGAATCATTGATTAGCTGTCTCCTGCACGCCCCCTACTGGGATCAAGCCTGCAACCTGGGCATGTGTTTTGATCGGAATCGACCCGGGATCCTTCAGTCTGCAGGTTGACGCTCTTATCCAGTGAGCTAAACTGACTAGGGCAGCACTCATTTTTTTTTTTTTTAATATATTTTTTTATTTTTTACAGAGAGGAAGGGAAAGAGATAGTTAGAAACATCGATGAGAAAGAAACATTGATCAGCTGCCTTCTGCACGCCCCCCACTGGGAATGTGCCTACAACCAAGATATATGCCCTTGACCGGAATCTAACCTGGGATCCTTGACTCTGCAGGTCGATGCTCTATCCACTGAGCCAAACTGGTCGGGGCAGCACTAATTTTTTATTGATCTGACATACGACATGAGCTGATGAGCTGACACTGCCAAGTGCTCGCAGCACAAGCTGGATGTAGCCTGGTTCACTCAAACTTACGCCTCTCCTGGTTCTCAGTGGTCAGGGTAAGCCCACAAGTGCTCCTGGCTTCACCTGGTGAGCACTGGAGATGATAGCACTGGACTCTCAGCTATTCAGATAAACCTGTCTTCAGAAATGTAGCCTAAGTTTCCACTTGTTTGTATTGGAAAAGAAACTTGATTTTTCAGATACTGGAGGAGTCTGTGTGTGAATTGATTGTAAAGCAGCTGAAGCAGCATCAGAATACAATGGAGGACAAATTTATTGTGTGCTTGAACAAAGCTGTGAAAAACTTCCCTCCACTGGCCGATAGGTAAGATGCTGAGGTGGTGAATGTCCTGTGGCGGGGATGGTTGAGTCTGCCCTGCCACTCACTGGCCATGTCCACTGTTAGGTTCATGAGCACCGTGTTCTTCTTGCTGCCAAAATTTCATGGAGTGATGAAGACTCTCTGTCTGGAAGTGGTGCTCTGTCGCTCAGAGGCAATAACAGATCTGTACTTACAGCTGAAGAGCAAGGATTTCATTCAAGTCATGAGACACAGGTGAGTGGGAAACCAGCTTCATGTTGCTGGTGCAGCAGGCTCATAAAATGTTGATTTATCCAGCTATTTCCTTCAGCTCAGAAAGAGCTTGTAGTTTCCATGAAATACGTACTGTTACACTTGAATCTGAGAAGAAAGGTTGGTGGGGCCTGGTCATCGGCCTCCTCTCACCTGGCACCTGGTGGATACTCCACTGGCACTGTCCAAGGCTCTTTTCCGATGTGAAATGCATGGTGTTGAGTTTTTGTACCTATCTTGCCAGGTAAGAGTTGTTTTTATTTTTATTAGTTTGTTAAAATTGCTTCTTTATTTTCAAAATTGCAATCTCTCTATAAATGTTAAAAGAGAATGCTGTTGATGACTTAAAATATTCTTATTTCCCTGTACTCTTTTCCCTGTCTTGTATGTAATGCTATCTTTGCATGGTGATAAATTACTGGTAAATGTGTGCTGTGCCAGCAAGAAGGAATGTATTATCGTGAATGTATTTACGAAAATGTAATATTTATGTAAATATTAAGTATTTAATATTTATGTAAATATTAAACATGCTGAGTACCTATTGCATGTAAAGCATTTTAAGGAAGAAATAATACACTGTATCTGGGACCCAGATGTACTGTATCTGGGACCCAGCCTACACTTAATCCATGGCAGGTGGTCTTACTTGAAATCAAGTTTTCAAATCATGAAATTGTTTTATACTTAGCTTATTTTGCTTGACTTTTTTTGTGTGTGTATGTTTTTTAAATGAACTCTTAATTTTGGAATAATCTTATATTTACAGAAAAGTTAAAAGATAGTTCACATAGCTCCCATATAACCTTTATTCAATTTTTTTCATCTTACCTAATTGTGATACATTTGTGAAAACTAAGAAATGAATATTAGTTCATTACTAGTAACTAAGCTAGACTTTATTTGGGTTCCACTAATTTTTCTATTCCAGGATCAGTCCAAGATTCCACATTGAATTAATTTATTTTTAATAATCTAGTTCATGATAATTATTTTTAAGAATGCAATTTTTAGAATATTTGAATGCTAACAAGAGAGATGAAGCACTGTTTTGGGGAAAATCTTATGGAGAGAGAAGGTTGATTGATTAATGAAGGCTTTCCAGATAGGAAAGACACTTAGAGCCATGGCTTTGGAACAGGTAACATCTAACGGAACTGGTTTAAATCCTAATACCGGAGTGTGGCAGGAAATTCCTCATGGAAATACTGATGCCACACCAGTAACTCATGAAGCTGAAAGCTCTTGGCATGAAATAGCAGCCACATCAGAGTCTCATCCTGAGGGTAATACAGAGCTTTCAGATGATATGTGTAAGGAATATGAAGATCTGAGTGACCAGATATATGACGTTTCCAGACAAAAAGCGATTCAGCAATTTCTATAGAAGACCTATAAGAATGCCTGAAGAAACAATTAGAATTCTGTTTCTCACAAGAAAATTTGAGAAAGGATCTTTACCCGATATCTCAAATGGACAGTGATCAATTCATTCCAATTTGGACCGTTACCAACATGGAAGAAATAAAAAAACTAACCACAGACCCTGATCTAATTCTTGAAGTATTGAGATCTTCTCCCATGGTACAAATTGATGAGAAGGGTGAGGAAGTGAGACCAAGTCATAAGCATTGTAATGTGATTCTTAGAGAGATTCCTGGAACAATACCAATACAGGAAGTGAAAGCTTTGTTCCAGAATGAAAACTGCCCCAGGGTGATGAGCTGTGAGTTCGCACTCGATGCCAGTTGGTATATCGCTTTCCAGTGAGACACAGGCGCACAACAGGTTTTAAATATTTGAGAGAAAAAGTTAAAAACATTTTAGGACAAGCCAATCATGGCAAGGATAAACACCATCAATACATTATTTGCTAAGAATGCTTATCGATTAATGGATTCTAGTATGTATAGTCAGCCCATTCAAACTCAAGCACAGTATGTATCATCAGCTTTATGTAGCCTGCATATAGTCCTCAACAACAGTACATCTAAGTATTCTGCCTCAGACTGTTCTCCAAATTCTGTGTCTTACTTTGAAACCCCTTTGAAAACTCACTGGCTCCCTTTCCAAACATAGTTTTGTAAATGGCTTTAATTCTCCAGTATTTTATAAAATAACAGCTGCTGCTATGAATATGGGTCGACCATTAAAAACAAAACAAACTGCATGAAGCCTCATTTTAAGTCATCAAGAGGTTCAGAACCCTCAACAGATGTATCTGTATCATTGGGGGAGGGACCAGTAAACTGATCTGGTTCAAGGAACTTTCCAACTGAACAGCATAACCCTATGGCATCAGGAGCAAAGCTACCTTCCAAAAGAGACTCCAACTTCACAGATGGAACATTATAGGGATTAAAGTAGGGGGAGGAGAATGCTCTTTAGAGGTTGAAGATGACAGAATCCCAAGACCCCAACCTTGCCACCTGAAGCAAAGGCCCCAATACCAAAGTTTCACTTATTAGCCTCAAATTTTCCTCCTTTCCCTGGAAGAACACCAGGTGAGCTTGTTTTGGAGAGCAGGATGTCAGATGTTGTTAGAGGTGTCTACAAAGAAAAGGATAGTGAAGAGTTAAGATAAGGGGATAGTTGCCCAATGCTGCAGAGAATGAACAGACTGACTGCACTGCTGCCCCGCTACTCAATATTACCTGTCCTTCACGCACAGCTGAGCCCCCTGCATTGAGCACAACTCAGAAAAAGATCTGGTGAGGATTCCACTGTTCAGAAGGATGTTCTCAACCTGACAACTATTATATATCAGTTTCTCCCCCAAAACCCGGATAGCCATCAAGGACAAATACTGCCTCACTATGTGATGATAACATAAATGTAGCTGTAACTGTGGCCCTACAGGAACACTGAAAGCCAAGTTATGCTGAAGTGTGCCAACAGCCCCCTAAAGAGCCACGTCCAATTCCTGTGCAGTCGCTATGAGAACTTTGCTCCAATGTAGTGTTTCCCACCAAAAATGAAGAGAATGGAGCTCCTGAGAAGCCCATTGAGAAACCACATGAGAAGCCAGAAGCAAGGACTAGTAAGGATTATTCTGGCCTCCAAGGCAATACCATTCCTAAGAGAGGAGCAGCTGGAAAAATCAGAACAGAGATGCCAATTTGGCCACAGGAAGTGACTCGACTTAATGGCAAAGAGCACATTGTGCACAATGTGCCACCCAGATCACCAAAGTAAAATAAACAAACACACAAAAGCTACTCAAAAACTTCTCCCCCTTCCCATTTAACTTGAGCCGAGGCTATGTTGAACTGTTTGGAGAGGAAGAGAGTGAACAGGAAAAAATGAGGAAGTATATCCTTAAATCATTATAGATTTTGGAGTTGTGAGCATAGAATCCCAAAATTCATCTCTAAAGTGATTTTAAAATGCTGGAGGATTACAATCATATAAATACTAGGGGCCCGGTGCAGCATGACATTTGTGTCCTGGGGGAAGGAGGGAGGGGGAGAGGGGAAGAATGGTCCCTCAGCCCAGCCTGTGTCCTTTTGCAGTCTGGGAACCCTCAGGGGATGTTTAGGGAGTGGGCCTAAGCCATATCCTTAGTGTGCTTTGCTTGCCAGCCATCAGCCAGCTGCTGGCTGAGCAATGCTCCCCCTGTGGGAGCGCACTTACCACCAGGGGGCAGCTCCTGTGTTGAATGTCTGCCCCTGGTGGTCAGTGTGTATCATAGCGACTGGTTATTCACTTCGGTCGATTTGCATATTACCCTTTTATTATATAGGATGTGTACATATATAAAAATATTCTATTTTTATTTTTTATTTTAATTTGTAGAGATCTGCCTGGAATCAATTTTGAGGGTTCAGATTTAGCTTGGGAAAAAACATATTACACATCCTTCAGTATAGGAGGTGTGGGAGTGAGAGAAAATATTTTTTGAAGAAGCATTTTTGTAAAATTAGGAATTGCTTCTTTTAATCTATTTGGCTTAAAGAATTCCATCTCTGCCTTTATGGCCTGTGTTGCAAAGCAGATCAGTGGCTGGGCTGCTTTTTTTGTGTGTGTGTGTGTTCAAATCTGTTGTATTGTTAGTAAATGATTTGAAAACTGAATGTAATATGTACTTTAGTAGATTACTTTTCCAGTTTGATAGGTAGTCTCCTTTTGACCTTACGAATATTTCATTCAACAAACTTTTGATTGTACGTGGAGATGTGACTACCAGTCAGTTTGATACTCACGGAAAGAATGGGGTTATTCAGATATTGAAAGATCTGTCTTAGATCTGAGGCAGTAGGTCAAAAGGCCTTCAGAGGTTTAATCTGGCCTGTAAATTCCTCTTTCCCCCCAAATAGGAAATAATTTTGTGTGTGACTTCATTTGCTGCTCTCTGTTCTTTGACTACTACACTCTGGAAGCAAATTAACCAACTACCTACATAATTATATGTTTCTAACCACCTTGACCAGTCTAGTCAAATCATATAACTGTCCTAAACTTCTGCATTGGACAGTGAAGTATTTTACTGTTCTGCTCATGTGTTTAGATGTTTAGATCCCAGAATGGTAGAGCAGACTGTAATTTATTTGTGTTAGTGTTAAAGATGAAACATTGTAATTGACTCTCAAAGTGTTAAATAGTGTAGAAGTAAAAAAAATTTAAAGGCCTAATTTGGGTGCATTTTTTTTCTGTTTACAGTGTATTTATCATAACCTGCCTTCTTCCCTTTCTCTAAAAAATTAAAATAAAATAAATCAGTTTGAAATTCACAGAAACAGAGCCAGCAAGTCAGGAGATTTTTGAGTTAAGGTGAGAAAGATAGTTGAAGAAAATTATTACATAATATCTCAGTGAATCAAGTTGTACCTCTCATATTAAATAGGCAAGTTTACATGCTGGTGTTTAGAAGATGGCTAAAATATTAAAAATCATGTTGAATTAATATGTTTTAAGTCATACAATTTTCAGAGTTCTATGTCAGGTGGGGTTTTGTGTTTTTAGGGATAGTTTGTAGAAGTAATAACTGTCCCTTATGTTAGCGAATGACTTGTATAATTTGAAACTGTAAATTGTGAACAGTGGAAAGCACCATTATGATATAGAGTAACATCTTAGTAATATATTAACATGAATGTAAATGGAGGTTAAAACTACATTACTGTAAAACTCATCTTCCAACTTTAGGTAAGTGTGAAGATTTGTATTGGTAGGCAACTGTTCAGAGCTTTGAAAACACTGCACACTTCTGTACAAGCAAGATTTACTATTTCTTTATAATTATTCAGCTTGGCAAATGCTTTTGATTTTGATTTGATGGATTGATAACATAATACATTTAAGTAAAAAAAATTAATTTCTACACACTGTCTTTTAAAATCATCTAGAACTGAAATAATTAAAACTACCTGTCTATGATAAAGTGCTTATTTTGGTTTGCTTAGATAATGCTGCAGTTGGTGGAAATGATAAACATTTAAAGTGTTAACGCTCTGTGAATGCATTGGATTTAAGAGAATAAACATTTTATTTAAAAAAGAGTAATTTTTATATATGTAGTATTGTCTATTATAACAAATTTTGAAATACAGAATAGCACAAAAAGTTAACCTATTATATCTGAAAATACAATATTAAAAACTATTAAAATTGTGTTTTTATAAATTTCTCTTTTTATAGAGATGACGAAAGGCAAAAAGTGTGTTTAGACATAATTTATAAGATGATGGCAAAATTGAAGCCAGTTGAACTTCAAGAACTTCTGAATCCTGTTGTAGAATTCATTTCTCATCCTTCTCCGGTGTGTAGGGAACAAATGTATAATATTCTCATGTGGATTCATGATAATTATCGGTAAGTTCTAATTGACATTTTGTATTACATTTCTTAAGGGAGAATTTGGGTGCCTTTAGTAATCTGGAAAAGATTATCATAAATATAAAAAACATTTTAAACATGATTAATAAAACAAGTTTATTTTTGTATACTGAAATGTATTCTTATTTTAACTCATATTATGTATTTGTGGGAAATATTTGCATGAAATTGTTGGTGAGATAAAAAGAGTAATTTGTTTTCATTTTTTATAATTTTTTCCCCATCACCATTTATCTTCCATATACCCTCTCTTACCTGTGCCCCCTCACGCCCTCCCCACCCAGTCACCACACTGTCGTCCATGTCCTTGAGCACTTTCTCTATTTTAGGGGCGGGGAGGAGTAAAAGTGTAATTTGGTTTCATAGTTATCCCTTTAAGATCTGACAAGATAAAGGAAATGAACTTGACAGATGTCTTCATTCTTCAAGAGTCCCACACATCCCTCCCCAGGGGATTTCGCATCCCAGGACCCTCCGAAGCCCTCTCCTGCCACCAGCCCCTCCTCTCCTGCACTTGAGAGAGAGGAGCCGCTGGAAGGCCTCGCAGAGGCACCGAAGGAGGGAGTTGGGGCACATTGGCATGGGATAGGGTCTGCGTTACTTTGGAACTTAAGTTCCATGGAAAAAGCCAGATCTCTTTTTTTCTTCTTCTTCTTTTTCTTCTTTTTTTTACTTCTAGACAATGTTACTGGGTTTGAACAAAAGTGATACAAGAGAATATTAATATTTTATCATTTTATTATTTTTCTCAGAGATCCAGAAAGCCAAGCAGATGATGACTCCCGGGAAATATTTAAGTTGGCAAAAGATGTATTGATTCAGGGATTAATCGATGAGAACCTCGGGCTTCAGTATGTGCTCCTCCTAATAATTGGGCCAGGACAAAAAAATTTAGGGGTGTTTTTTCCTAGACTACCATAGTATAGTTTTCAGCATTTTTTGTTCGCAGTATTAGCATTTTCTCTGCCTTTTGCATTCATAATGTTAAATAAAAATGTATTTTAAATCACATGAGACTTAAAAATCCCGACAAGTTATTTTAACATAAATCTCTTGAAAAAGTGGTGTGGTAAAGCTGTGTCTGCTGTGCAGTGAATTAAAGCATTTCAAAATGAAAGGGAAATCTAGTGACAGCTACGTTTTCCATTTAACTCCCATCAGTGCAATCATACACTGCATATTAATATCTAATGAAATATTTGAGACCTTAGAGATAAGAGGAAACTATAATATTAATTATACATGGAAATATGAGTGAAGATTATTCTTTAAAATGCTTACCTAAGTCAGTTATTCTGAGTGTTTTATCAAGTACTAGTTATATAAAAAGGAGCATAAATTTTTTTTGTGATTCTATATATCAGGTAATTTTCTATTCTGATGCAATTTTAAGTTCATTGAGCCTTTAAAAATTGTATTTGTATTTTGTAAGCGTTTATAAATTATAAAGCCTAAACTTGTGTTTAACTAGTTTAAATTTTGAATATTTTAGGGCACTAATTTTTAAAACATATATTTTTATTGATTTCAGAGAGGAAGGGAAAGGGAGAGAGATAGAAACATCAATGATGAAAGAGAATCATTGTCTGCCTCCCGCACGCCCCTATTGGGGATCAAGCCGAAACACAGGCATGTGCCTTTGATAGGAATCGAACCTAGGACTCTTCAGTCGCAGGCTGACGCTCTATCCACTGAGCCAAGCCAGCTAGGGCATTTTGACACTAATTTTTAGAGCCAATTGTTTTAGCAAGGCAGTAAAAAATTATATATAATTTCTTAAGATGTTTTCTCAGTTTCAAAATAGTTAATATTATAATACTTATCATTGAAATCTTCTCAGGTAATAGAGATGAGAATAATATCACCCAGTTTCTTTTGTTAAATATGCTAAGGTTTTAGAATATTTTCTTCCTTTAATGCATATTATTTTTCTTAACTCAGATTATACTGTTTATACAATTTTGAATGTGGTTTCCCTCTATGTTAAGCTTTATTTAAATGAAAAACTGTGCCTTCTCCAGTTTCATTGCCAATTTGAGCAATATGTCTTTTTTTTTTTTTTTTTTTTCTCTGCTTTTCAGATTAATTATTCGAAATTTCTGGAGCCATGAAACTAGGTTACCTTCAAATACCTTGGACCGGTTGTTGGCATTAAATTCTTTATATACTCCTAAGATAGAGACACACTTTTTAAGTTTAGCAACAGATTTTCTCCTTGAAATGACCAGCATGAGCCCAGACTACCTAAACCCTATGTTTGAGCATCCTCTGTCGGAATGCAAATTTCAGGTGAAGTGCTCGTCTCTGTAATAATAAATATTATAAGCTTTCCTTGTCTGTTAGTCAACAAATGTTTCTAATAGTGTGAACTTGGCTTTCTTTTTAATGGAGATACTAGGGGCCCAGTTCATGAATTCATGCACCTTGAAAGGAACTGTGGGCTGCAGGTCTCGGCCCATCCTCCATGCCCCTGCCTGGCCCCTCCCGCTGAGGCTCCTAGTTCCCTCTCTGCCGGCAGCAGGTGCAAGCAGTGGCTGCCAGGCCTGATTACCCCTCAGGAGCAGGGGGAGGTGGAGAAGCCCTAAGGGGACATTGTGACTGGGAGCTGCCACTTGTACCTGCTGATGGCAGAGCAATTGGGGCTGGCGTCGACAGCAGGTGCAAGCGCCAGGTGGGACCATGGCACACAGGAGCAAAGAAATTTCAGTAACTACCAGAGGCTTGCCCTGATGACAGCGACTAGTGCCCTGCCGTGGTCACCTGCTCCACCATCCAGCCACAGCCAACACCCGTCATGTTTTGCACGCATCCCCTGGAGGTTAACACACATCACAGCAACCACTTGTTCTGTTGTTCTGCTGTTTGGTCTATTTGCATATTAGGACTATATATATATATATATATATATATATATATAATTGGCATGTAACATTAGTTTCAGGTATACAACATAATGATTTGATATTTGTATATAGCAAAATGATCATATTAAGTCTAGTTAAGATCCATCACACTACAAATTTTCTTTCTTGAGACCTTTTAAGATCTACTCTCTTAGCAACTCTCAACTTTATACAGTATGTAAAACTGCTAGAGGCCTGGTGCATGAATTTGTGCACCTAGGCTTGGCCAGTGATCAGAGCCGATTGGGGCTGTCTCAGCCAGTTTTGATTGGGACCTGCCGGCAGGCAGGTACACAAAGGAAAACCTGTGGAAGGTTGGCCGGCTTGAGCGGGGGGGAGACTAGGGGAGGTTGACCGTGGGAGTGCACATCATAGTGACCAGTCAACCAATCATTCAGTCGTAATGGTCGCTTAGTCTTTTATATATTTTGATGGTCACAATGTTGTACATTACTTTTCATGGCTTATTTATTTATAACTGGAATTTGTGCCTTTTGACCCCCTTGATCCATTTTGCTCATCCCTGACCCCCACCTGGTTTTGTGTGTTGTTTTGTTTTTTGTTTGTTTGTTTAGATTCCACATGTAAGTGATTATATGTGTCTTCTTCTGTCTGACTTACTACATTTAGCATAATGTTCTTAAGGTTCATTCATGTTGTTGCAAATGGCAAGATTTTCTTTTTATGGATGAATAATATTCCATTGTACATATATACACCACATGTGCTTTATCAGTGGACACTTAGGTTGCTTCTTCCATGTCTTGGCTATCTATATATATAAATGCCCAAACGATCAAATGACCAAATAACCAGTCAACTGGTTGCTATGATGCGTATTGATCACCAGAGAGTAGACACTCAGTGCAGGAGCTGCCTCCTGGTGGTCAGTACACTCCCACAGCCAACCTCCCACTGTCAGCCTCTGGCAGGCTTGCCAGCCAACCTCACATGGCCCCCCTCTCATCATCAGCCAGCCCTGACCGCCCTGATTGGGACTGGGTTAGATGGCCCTGATTGGCTCTTATCGCTGGCCAGTCTGACAGACCCCACCTATGCACAAATTTGGGCACTGGGCCTCTAGTTGTAAATAATGCTACAATGACTATGGGGATGCAATATTTTTTTAATTTAGTGTTTTTGTTTCCTTCAGAAAAATACCCAGAAGTGGGATTACTTGGTAATATGGTAGATCTATTTCTAATTTTTTGAGGAATTGCCTCACTGTTTTCCATAAGGGCTGCACCAGTTCACATTCCTACCAACAGTGCACAAGGGTTCCCTTTTCTCCACAGTCATGCCAACACTTGTTATGTGTCTTCCTGATACTAGCCATTATAACAATTGGGATATCTTGTGGTTTTGATTTGCATTTCCCTGATGATTAGTGATGTTGGCTTTTTTATTTTTTATTTTTTATTCTTGGAATACTCACACGTTCTTTTCTGAAACACAGTTATTCTACCCACCTCTGCCTACACTCCCTGCACACAGCTCACACTTCTCATTTCAACCTCCACTTAAATTTTCCTTTCTCCTTAGTAGCTTCTCTCCCTTTCATCACTCCTCCTATCCACCCTGTACATGTGGAGTTTATGCTGTCTCCTGGCAGCCTTAACAACTGTGATTTATAAACAAAAGAGTTCACTTTATCTCTCTCTAGCTCCTGGGCAGCAGAGCCTGATCTGTGCTACTCGCACTTGTATTCCTAATATCGTGCCCAGTGCTGGGCACGTGGTGAGTATTTAGGAAGGAGTTGAGTCATTTAACTTGTTGCAGCTGTGTTGTGATATTATTGAGTATGGCATTGAATATTAAAGAGTAGGAAAATGGTTTTTCTCCCCCAGTACCAATTAGTTTTTCTAGTGGTTATTTAGTTAAAAGTTTTAGATTAGAACAGATTCTTCTGCTGCTTCCCACAGAGATATGAAGTTAGAGTACATACTTGCTAATAGTACCATTGGATTTTAAATCAGAATATTTCCAAGTTGCTAAAGAAGGACCGTCCCTGATTTGACGTTCTCTCACATGCAGGAATACACCATTGATTCTGACTGGCGTTTTCGAAGTACTGTCCTCACGCCTATGTTCATCGAGACTCAGACTTCTCAGAGTGCTCTCCAGACGCAGGAAGGATCCCTCTCTGGTCAAGGGGCTGTGGCCCGGCAGATACGGGCCACGCAACAGCAGTCTGATTTCACACCAACACAGAGCACAGGTAACCTTCCATCTGAATGCCTGCCTCTTGTACACCCAGCACTGTTACCTTGGAAACAGCCTCTACTGTAAGAACATTGACCATTTGTGAGCAGTGAAAAGATAATGGGAAAAAGTTATGAGAACTGTTGAAACCAGTTTGGCTCAGTGGATAGAGCATTGGTCTGCAGACTGAAAGGTCCCAGGTTGGATTCCAGGCAAGGGCATGTACCTGGGTTGCGGGCACATCCCCGGTGGGGGGTGTGCAGGAGGCAGCTGGTCGATGTCTCTCTCTCTCTCCATCGATGTTTCTAGCTCTCTATTTCTCTCTTCTCCCTTCCTCTCTGTAAAAAATCAATAAATATATTTTTTAAAAAGTGATGAGAACCACAAAAGAAGATATGTCCACCAAAGGAGAAAAGGACTGAAGTCCCTAGAGTAGTCAAGTTCTCAGAGACAGAGAGTAGAAGGGTGGTTTCCAGGGCTTGGGAAGGGGACTGCAGGGAGTTAGTGTTTGTTTAATGGATGTGGCACTTCAGTTTGAAACAATGAACAAGTTCTGGAAACAGTGGTGTGATGGTTACCCAACCAGGTAAATGTACTTGGTGTCAAGTGCCTGGTTTAGACTTAAACGTGATTAAAATAGTTGATTTGATATTATAAATAATATAACCAATATTTTTGAAAAGGGGGAAAAGGATTATTTCTGACTAAAAAGAAGGAAAAGTTTTAGTACATTATATTTTGTTTTTCCCCCAGAAAAATCTGTTTAGTGCATCAAATTTAAAACCTTATATCTCAGAAGCAAAGTAGAGGCAAACCATCTTTATTTACTATGTGTATAGTATATTAGGCTTTTTTTTCTTAAATGGTTTAACTTTTTGTGATCATCAAAGTGCAAGTTTAGAGTAAAATCTCTAAACTATTTCATAGAAACACCACAATATTTTTCCTTTATATGAATTTTTTTCACATTCTATTGGTTCTAGAAATAGGACTGATTTGAATAATGGAAATTTTATGACACTAATAATAGAAATCAAGGATCTTAGTAATTTATAGTAGTTACAAAACCTTTCTGGAATGGTCACAGCAGCTTGAAAGAACAGGTTATATGTTCAGTACTCAGTGAGGACACTGAGGCCCAGCCACCTGAGCTGCCTCGGGTTGTCCACGCCTGACCTCCCACGCCATGTCTCCTGCTCTGACACGACTGTCCCTGGAGAGGCTGTTCCCAGTCACTGTCGCAGGTGAGCACGCGGAGGCCCCAGCTGCCACCAGGACATCCCCGCTGTCTCACCGGTGTGCTGTGGCGGTTGGAGCTGCCCGGTGCAATGGGGTGGGGTGGGCCTGCAGGGTGTGCCATTCTGAGCTGCTGAGAAATGCACTGGTTGTGCCTTTTGCAGATGGAAGAAGCTCCTTTAACTGGCTGACTGGAAGCAGTATTGACCCGCTGATGGATTATACAGTTTCTTCATCATCTGATTCCTTGTCTTCCTCCTTACTGTTTGCTCACAAGAGGAGTGAGAAATTAAAGACCGCACCCTCAAAGTCAGTGGGACCTGATTTTGGGAAAAAAAGGCTGGCCCTCCCAGGGGACATGGTGGATAACAAAGCAAAAGGTAAAGTAAGATTATTGATGTGTTTAAAATGACCTGCCTTCGCCCTAACCGGTTTGGCTCAGCGGATAGAGCGTCAGCCTGTAGACTCAAGGGTCCCACGTTTGATTTCAGTTAAGGGCATGTACCTTGGTTGTGGGCACATCCCCAGTAGGGGGTGTGCAGGAGGCAACTGACTGATGTTTCTCTCTCATTGATGTTTCTAACTCACTCTTCCTCTCCCTTCCTCTCTATAAAAATTCAATAAAAATACAGTTTTTAAAAAAAAAGGGAATAACCACATTTAAAAAAAAAATGACCTGCCCTCTAAATCAATGCAGAGGCTTAGATAAAGAAAGGACATTTTTGATTGTATTCAGATATTCTTATAACCTGTAATAAATACCATTAAAATTTAATTCAGTAAATTTGTCTGGATATTTACCATGTTGAAATTGTAGTTTTATGTGTTCCAGAAAAGCTGTTGGATAAATTGAACTCAATCCATTTACTTAGTGACTTTCCAGAGCAATAGGGTTGGGTAGGCAATCAAGAGTTGAGGCAGGCTCAGTAAGCTAAGTCCAGGAAGAAAGTGGAGGGAGCCTCAGGAAAGGCTGTGGAGGAGGTAGCCTTTGAGACCAGCCTGGGGGATGGAGATATTGGGAGGGAAAGGATGGGGCTGGAGAGGGAGAAGTAGGGAATGTGTTGGGTAGTGGAAGGGACTCCGATCAGCTCAGTGAACACTGAGTGAGAGCCCACTCTAGCGTACACTGTAGCAGCCCAGTTAAGCAGCTGCTTCCGCACACTGGGAGGGAAGTAAAGAATGCTGAGAAAGCAGGCTTGAGAGTGGGGGGTGTGGCTTTAGGAATGAGCCACACAGCTTTAGGGAGTCAGCCAAGCAGAGACAGACAAAGGGTCTCCGAATGACCTCTTGGGGTGGTTTGTGGAACAGCAGGTGGAGTGCCTGAGGGATATTGGGAGGTGGAGGTCAAAGGCAGCCACGCCTTGACCTGGATTAGTAAGCTAAGTCTCCAATTCAGTAAGGAAGAGGGTGGGGTTGGAGAGACAGGGCGAGCCCATGGGTGATGCTAAAACAGCAGAGTGGAAAATGCTGGCAAGGCTCACAGGCCCAGTGCTGAGAGGGCTGAGATAGAGATCAGTAAGGTTAACTCCTTATGAGAACTGTAGCGCTGGGACTGAGTGAAAACCCAAAGGAAGAAAATATGAAGAGAGAAAAGATCCCAAGACAGAATCCTGGGAAAATGCTAACTTATGGATTTAGAGACATAGAAGTAAAATTAGCAAAGTTAAATTTACTTAATTGTAGGAACATAAAAATACACAAAATACTTCCCTTATTCCCAACAACTCTTTTTTTACACTTTCATGTAGCAAACCTGTGGCAATGGACCATTCTCTAAATTTAATATATAATAGAAAGGTAAATCTATCTAGTCTTCTTTTAGTTCTTAACTGTGCATTTGACAGAGGGCCAATGAACCATTCCTGTCTTTTCCTTCACACTTGACCATTTCCAGCCAGTCTTTTCCGTTTTTCCATCAAACCAGTATAAGATCCAGCAAGAGTGCATGGCTCTCTGTCCTTCCTGTAACTTTGATTGTGAAAAGCCCCAAAGTTAAAATGAACTATCAAAGTGACTATCACCTTCCGATTGCTTATAAGTTATCTCTCTGGCCCTTTATGATTGCTTATCTTAAACATGTGGGCATGTGCAGCTTTCTGTAGAATTGTGAAAAGTTGGTGTGCATTTGCGGCAGTCTGCAGTTCCATTTGTGTGTGGTGACTGCTGGTGACCAACTGGACTGGTTTCTTCATAGAATAGGCATGAGGCTCAGAAACAAATGCAATTGCTAAGATGATAGTAGTTACTGTCCACGATTCAAAGTGTTGCACAGTTTTTCCCTTTCTACATTTTTAGACTGAAAATAAGTCATGGATGATATAGGTAGAATTAGGGAACCATGTATATAAAATAATAAAGGTAAGAGGTGAAATCTAATTTTTAAACTTTCCCATAGACATTTTATATATGGGTTTGAAAAAACTCAGCCATAGAACTGAGTAGGTAAATAAATGCTTATAGTATTTTAATTAATATACTTGAATCTCCCCATGTACTTTGATCGATTTCAAATATTTCATATTTTGTCGTCTTGGCGGTATATGTATTTTTTTGCCTGAAGAGGAACATTTGGAGATTCATAATATATAGTGAGTTAGTACTTACTATGTTACTGTTTATTATCATTAAAAGGGAATGTAGTTTAAAAACTTAGAGTCGTAATTTAATTAAAATATTACTTTCCTTATTTTATTTTTTATTTTAGTTTCCTTCAGTTATTTGTATCAGAGTAATACATGCACATAGTTTAAAGAGTCAAATACTTTTCCACAGCTTATTAGAAGTGATAGATGCAACCACTTATATTCTTTTAGTCAAGTTCTTGCACTTCGCTTCCATCTCTCCAAACAGTCTTTTTTATATTGCCACCTTTCTTTTTTCAGTATTAGTCATGGTTTTGACTTCATGTTATAGGCGTTAGAATTTGTCTCCCTCTTATGACCTCTCCCCCATCTATCACAAACACACAATGAATTCTTCCTGTGCCTTCATCTTCTGATATAATTATGTTGAAGCATAGTAATAATCCCTTCTTTGGGAAAACTACTGTTTGAAACTGCTTCTTTGAAGTTCTCTGCTATTTCTTGCTAGTCCCTTGTTCCATAAGTGAACTTTGTTATTTTTAGACTGTCTCTTATTCTGTAGAAATAACTTTGTTTTTTAACTTAAATAATAGAGAAGATAAACTTAACTGACCTTGCAAGCTCGCCATCTAAAGGGGCTGATACTGATAATAATACCCATAGTCTCATGCCAAGTGTTTGTTCATTACGTATCAAAGGTTACTGGTGTCTGTATAGGTATGATATGTACTCAAGGCTATAAGTTATCTGTATAGATATGACAGATGTTTGTTAAATGTGATATGTACTCAAGATTACAAGCTGTCTACAAAAATAATTTACACAAAGACCTAGAAGGATAAAAAGAAAATACAAAAAATGTGTTTGTTCAGATTTTGACAGAGATATTCTGTTCTGAACCAGCACACAATTAATGGCTCATAATTAATTGGCTTGTTAAGGTGTCTTGTATTTAGCTTGCTGATTGACAGTACAGCAATCTTTGTTTCATCGATATTCGATTTCCTTTTATCTTGACTACATAAATAGTATTTGTGACTGAACCATGAGTGATACTATCATTACTTTAACTTTTCACACAATTTTTCATGGGCATTAATCATTACTTTGAGATGCTCAGATTTCTACATATTTATCACCAAATTACCTCTGAGTTGTATAGTTTTATTGTATCCCAACATATCGTATAAATGTCTCAGATTCTTAAATCTCTCCAGGAGCCTCTGAGCTGCCTGGGTGGGGTTTCTGCTTAGCTGTTGTCTAGAGACCACCTCCACAGCCTGAAGGTCTGTCCGCCTTCCTGATCCTCCTTCCTTCTTTTGGTCTAACACTTCGTCAAGCAGCCTCCTGAGAAAGGGGTCAGAAGCAGATGCTGCTTGTTGATACTTTGATGCCATACATTGCTTTTGGTAGCACTCACACCTCATGGGTGACTTAGCTATAGAATTCTGAGTGTGAGCTCGTCAAAGTTTCCTGTCCCACGGGGCTGTGGTTGAGAAACCTGATGTCATCTCTTTGTTGATCCTTTCTAAGAACTTGGTCTTTTCTCTGTGGACACTCTTAGGATCTTCCTCTTTTAAACCAGTTTTAGGAAATTTCACACAAGTGTTCTTTGGTCTATTTTAGTCCATTTTTCTAGGCCCCTGTCAGGCTGCTAACTCATATATTCTAGTTCTGGAATATTCTTGGGTGATTTTGTTGATAATTTCCTCATCTCACTTTTCTCTTTTTTGAAATCTGTTGCTTGCATGTCAGATGTTATCGATTATCCTTCTAATTTTCTTCTTGTTGTTTTGTCCTTTTTGCTCTATATTTTGAGAAATTTCTTCTATATTCTAACCCTCACTTTTATGTTATGATATCATATTTCTAATTTCCATAGCTATTTTGTTCCCTGAACATCCCTTAAGTTCTTGATCCATGGATGCACTATCTATTCCTAACCTTGATGATAAATGATAATTTTTGAAAAATTTTTCCTGAATGATCTGATTTTAGCAACTGCTCATCCCTATTTATTTTGGTTTCTGTCTTTTATATTTGAAGCTTTCCTCAAAATACTCGAGGATGTTTTACTTTTTTAATGTGTTCCCAAGTAGGGCACTAAAAAGGCATTTGGAATAGCTTACGAAAGGGCGTGCATGCTGACTGTGAGCCATTGAAACATGTGTTATCTCTGTCTGCTCTTCTGTGCTGGTTGGTTATCCAGGGGCAAAATCTCGAATGTCTTATCTTCAGGCTATTCCTGTGTCTTCCTGGTCACTGTTTCTTCTGTTGCCAGCCAAGCTGGCCCTTTTTACTTAGAGACCCTGCGTCCATTACCCCGGCCCCACACCAACACCAGGAGGCTGCACTTTCACACCACACCTCCTGCTTCAGCCTCCCTCTCCCGCTTCCCTGGACGCCTGGTGCTGCAGGGGCCACATCTTCCAAGTCCTTTCCCCCATCACTGTTCTGCTACAGCACCAGGACCGAGTCACTTAAATTTCCTGTTCTATAGCTTCCAAAACTAGTTAATCATCTTTAAAAAAAGAGAGAGAAAGAAAGAAAAGGAAAACTAAATTAAAAAAAAAAAATTGGAGGTAAGCAAACAACCTCACGTTTATTTTAGGAGATTCTGGGGACGAGGCAAGTGTTGAAGTGGCCAATTATAACAACCTGCTTTTTATTCTTCAGGCACAGACAGTCGGGTAGATATATTAAGATTACGCAGACGATTCTTAAAGGACCAAGAAAAGATCAGTTTGATTTATGCGAAAAAAGGTATTGCTGAGCAAAAACGAAAGAAGGTTTGTATTTTTCTCAATTATTTGATTGGTTTGAAATACCTGTTTTATATATGCGTAGTAAGTAAAGAAGCTTCCTGCCAGATATTGGTTCTAATATTGGTCTATAAACCAAAATCAGAGAAGCAGCAGTGTCTGACTTGAAGTTGTTTGTGAACGGAAGTCTCCTCTGACTATGTGAATGGAAGGGCGGTCAGGCTCACTGAGGAGCTGTGGGATCTTGGAGTGAAACGTGTGGGTTTCCCCCAAACCTGTGGTGTGTCCTGGCTCATAGGCCTGGCAGGGCCCCATCGCTGCCCCTTCTTCCAGCCTCTCCTCAGCTTGGTTTGTTGTCTGAACAGATGGACCTTCTCTGTGTGGTGGAACCATGGCCACCAGTTACTCCTGAATCTTACACATTATGACTGTAGCTGCTGAGAAGGGATTGCCCCACTCTGTGCCTGAAGGCCAGAGTCTTGACCCACCTTAGGTCAGGGGCCATTTGGGTACCACTAATCTATGGTCAGGGGGTTGGAGGTTGAGGTCATGTTACAACCTGTTACTTCCTGGAGGTACATGGGTGGGAAGGGAAAGGTGGGCCCAGAGGAAGGGGTGGGCAGAACTGGGCAGACAGCTCAGAGCTATCTGCTGAAAGTAGTGATTTCAGGCATAAGTATGGCACGAGTTAATAATAAACATTTAAAAAAATGTGAAAATAATGAAATTGATTTTTTTAGCCATAACTTTAATCTTATAAATCAGTAATTATGATAAAATTTTTAAGATTATGAATTAAAAAATCCCAACTTTGTTCTAATTCAGTTAAAATCCTTAATCACTTAATTAACTTCCACATCTGAGTATGAAGTGGAAAGTAAATGTACTTTTCTTCTTCCTCTTATCTCTATAACTGTAACTATTCTTTTGAGGACTGGGGTCCAAAATCATTGTCTTAAGTTTATCTCCCTTTTGATCCTTCTCATTGCCCCCGTCACATCTGGAGGGCCTTTTATTTCGCCCACTCACAGAAGTGGCTGTGGGCTCCTAATGAAACCGGAAACCTCACCAGGCACGCCTGAAGGAAGTAACAATATCTAGACAGCAGAAGAAAGGGAGAAAACAGGATGGTTGGATAAATCGCAGGGAGAAAAGGCCTTTTTAGTAGTGAGGAAACAGGATGGCCTGCTGTGTGAGGCCACGCCTGCCCTCTGCTTAGGTGTCTCGTTAGGAACCGCATGGGAAGTCAGGCATGGAGAGCCATGCACTGTGGTCATTTGTTTGTTGGAGCGTGTGCTCAGTATCTGGCTCTACTAATTAATGCCAGGGGCACAGAGGTGAGTGTAACTTGCGTGATGCCGCAAGTTAACCAAGAAACAAGCATGTTGGAGAGGAGTATTGAGGAAAGCCTTTTTGAAAGCTGATATCTGAGATGACAGCCAAGGGATGAGTGAAAAGCTACAGAAAGACATTCTAGACAAAGAGACGAGCAGGGACCCACGACCCTGCGTGGGGGACAGTTGGGCTTGGGGTGATTAAGGATTAATTGAACGGCCCAAACTGGCCTTTGTGGGTGAGCAGCCTAGAGGACCTGGGCGATCACAGGAGGGGCTGTCGTGATCACCTGGGCCTTCGGCCAAGGTTTATTCTCAGGGGAATTAAGGAAATACAGCTCTCTGATTTACGGCTGTAAGATGTTTTCAGTCAGATTCTCTGATTTTACAATTATTCAGATTACGTGTAGTAAATATTTAAATAATCTTCACCATAGTGATTTTTCTTTTGGATTTATCATCTATCATCAACTGGTACAAAATAGTGACTAAACCATTTTGGATACAGATTGTCACTGATTCACCTTTATGTTAATGATGGGTCCTCTCAGTTTCATAACTCATGTACTACTGATTTTCTTAATTACAATTCAAATTTCAAATCTTCTTTGGTTCTAATGATTATAGGAGATCAAGAGTGAGTTCAAAATGAAGCACGATGCCCAGGTCGTTTTGTACAGAAGTTACCGTCAAGGAGACCTTCCCGACATCCAGATTAAACACAGCAGCCTGATCACCCCCTTGCAGGCTGTGGCCCAGGTTGGTCCTTGAGAACTGCATTTTCTGTGGAAGTGTGAAAACCGGTATAACTATCCCAGGGGTCTACTTGTACAAGAGATACAGTTGAGGCCACACTGTATCATAAATGAAGTGTTGACTTGTCTGAAACAATGGACTTGATTAAAAGATCTTGGTCCAAGTGTTGGCTATGCCATTACCTAAGGCAAAACTTCTCTTCACGTGGTTAGACTCTGACTTGTCATCTGGAAGGAATCCCTGCAGTTGGAGTCCTTGTCAAGACACTGAGTGCTCTGAGCAGTCATGTTTTCATCCATGACATCAGAGAATGATATCTAATTTTCTTACTAACTATGTTAGCCTGCAGTAATGTGTCCTGTTATCCCCATTTTAATTAAGGAATCTGAAGGCCCAGACTCACACAGAAGTTAAGATATGTGGTTCCAGCTTTTAAATTCATATCTCTGGGTCCAAAATCTGCGCTGTCATGTCTTTCCTAAGGCACATATCTGTGGTTAAATTCCAAATTCTTCTCTTGCCAATGTCTAAAAGTTTCTAAATAGAAATGAAATCTTCAGTCGATAGGTTTGCAACAGTTTGTATTTTCAAATAAAGCTTTGATAGTTGGTAAATTAAGGAATTTTTACTTCAGTTTCTAATTTCTTTTCCTTGTGCACATTTCACAGAGAGACCCAATAATTGCAAAGCAACTTTTTGGTAGCTTGTTTTCTGCGATTATAAAAGAAATGGATAAATACAAGACCACATCTGAGAAAAACAACATTACCCAAAAGTTGCTCCAGGACTTCAATCATTTTCTCACCACCACGTACTCTTTCTTTCCACCTTTCGTCGCCTGTATCCAGGTAAAAGTCTACACACACTTCATAGGATACATTCTCTACTTTGCATGACTATGCCTTAAGACTTCTTTTGCTGGGGGAAGAATGGGGGACATCTGCAAGAATGTCAACAATAAAAAATTTAAATTAGAAAAACAAACTTCATTTGTTTCCCAGGTTCAAACTCAAGACATTTAACAGAGGAAATGTACTCCGGTTTGGTTGGGAAGAGGATGGGGAGGAGCTGTTCATATTGTTCTCTATATTGATTTGGGGTTTATTTCTCATGATTTTAGTGAACATAGGACTCTCAAATTGAGAGTTAGGAAGTAAAGGTCGATATAGTAATTCATGAGTGAAAAGGATGGTGTGGAAAAAGTTTTGAATATTGATAGAATATTGGAGCTGAGTGTACCTATTTTTTGGTGATCAGATATCAAATCTGTTTCAGCTGATTTTTTTCTTTTAATTTTTAAGCCTCACCTGAGGATATGTTTGTTTGTTTGTTTGTTATTGATTCTTAGAGAAATTGAAAGAGAGAGAAAGACATAGATTTGAGAAAAACATTAAACAGTTGCCTCCCATGGGCACCGACTAGGGATAGAACTCAAGACTTACGTATGTGCCCTGACAAGGAATCAAACCCACAACCTTTTGGTGTACAGTATGATACTCCAACCAACTGAGCCACCTGGCCAGCAGTTAGCTGCTTTTCTCATCAATTCAGCCTAAATATTCCTGGCAACTGCAATTGTTATTTGTCTCTATAGAATATACTTATATATCTTCAGTTTTTCTAGTGGGTGTTATTTCCACTTTATATTAAAAAATAAATGTAAAAATAAAAAGGTCATTTCCTCCTTTGAGCAAACTGGATGTTGAGGAAAATTTAATAGAATTACACACAGAAACTTTTAGTTACATCACTACTTTCATCAAAACTTTTTTTAATGTCTACTAGAATGAATTATTCACTTGTGAAGGCATGGTCAACGTACTGCAAGCTAAACAGCTCTATATGTTTGTGGTCTCACAGGAAATCAGTTGCCAACACACGGACTTGCTGAGCCTTGACCCAGCTTCTGTCGGTGCTGGCTGCCTGGCCAGCCTTCAGCAGCCTGTGGGCATCCGCCTGCTGGAAGAGGCCTTGCTCCACTTGGCACCTGAAGAGCCAGCACCGAAGCGGGTCCGAGGGAGGCCCCGCCTCCCCCCTGATGTTCTCCGATGGATGGAACTTGCTAAGTAAGCTCTGGGATCCAGACACTGTTGAGAGAACAGTGCATTTCAGTTTGGCAGAAAATGAACAAGAAAAGTTGTTAGTATACACTGTTATATGAGTACCATTCCGTGAGATGACAAGGAATATCTTGCCCAAGGAAATAGGTTAATTAAACCTGATAATTTATTTCATTATACAATCTTTTTGGACTCAGGATATTTATGCACTAAGTTTTATTTCCTATAAGTGTGGCTGTAACTTAACAGTTCCCAGTATTTTGAATGTGTTTGCTGCTTTGCTATACTGAATAGAGGGTGATTTGTTATTTTCAGCAGGATTCACATTTTTAGGAACAATTTATCCCAATTATTTTATTTGTGTGTGTGTGTGGGGGGATTTTGTTGTGTCCTTATTCTGTTTTGTATTATATCTGTTTCATTAATTTTGGTTTCATCATAAGAGAGTCAGCGGTTCTGAGACATCTCTTGGTTTAGGTTGAATTTTAATTTGAACTTCTGTTTCATAGCACTGATATTTAGATCTCCAAGTTCTTGGGTAAAAGAAAGTAAAAGTAAGGGCTCAGACTCCTTACCTTTTCACTATTTCATAGTCATTCTTTTTCATTTAGGACTCTGATTAAATAAGTCATTTTCAGGTGCTGAGAAGAATTAAAATAGGGATTAGACATTTCTCACAGGCTCACAAAACTAGCCGTGTGTGTGTGTGTGTGTGTGTGTATATATACACACACGCACACGCACACGCACGCACACACGACAAACCATAATATGAAGCAGGAGGAAACCAGCAGGCGGATCGGGGGACGGCCCCACCCCCCATCGCCCCACCGCCACCACCAGTGGCCTCCTCTGCAGCAGGTGACCAGAGGGCAGATCTGGGGATGACACCAGCCGGCAAGCTGCTGGTCCCAATTCCCATTGCCCCACCACTGCTAGTGGCCTCTCTCTTTGGGGAAGGTGCTGCCCCGCCACTGCAGGTTGCTGCCGCCCCCCTGATCACTGTCCTCTCCCTCTGCCCGCTGGCACCCTCCTTGGCTGGCCTGGCGTTTCCCGCTCATTGCCCCCCTTCTCCCTCTCAACCGGTCATTCTGCTGTTCAGTGAATTTGCATATTAGGCTTTTATTATATAGGATTATTGTATTATTTTCCATACAAACTGTAAACCTACTTTTGCCTCACCCTGTATAGGAACAATAATTAACACTTTGTGCATTTAGTATTTCCAGGGAGTGAGAACTCATCTAATGTGCATATACTGGATAAATGAAGCACTTTTAAACACTTTTTGTAATTTTATTTAATACTTTCTCATACTGTTATATGTAATAATTTTGCATTTCTTTCAAACACTTTCAAGAATACAATTTAGCCTTTTCTTGATATGTCGCAGCCCTGGTTTTGCCCATGTTGTAGTGTACATAATCTAGAGATTTTGGGGCCAGTGTAGGGTAGCCTCTTTTATGAGTTCCTGAAAAATGTTTGTAGCTTCATCTCCTTTTGTGTTCTTGGGCCATGAGCTATTAAAGTTTAAAGTTTACCTTTACTTTTTTTGTACCTTTAACCATTTTTTGGATGTGGAAATAAGAGAGCCAGCATATGTGTAAAGTTTTCATCTAAATTTGTAACAGTGGGCTTTGAGACAGCTCATGGGCTCTTTTGATGTACATGATGAGATATCATACCTGTGAAGGGACTGTACTGGAGGAAAACCAAGGAGAAAGCCATCCTTGCCTGCCTGGTCAGGTGACTGCTAATTCAGGAGGAGTGACATTTGTGTTGAGACTTAAAAGATGGGGGGTGGGGAGGAATTACAGGGAGAAGGGAACAAGCTTACTAAACATGTACCTTAGAATATCTTAAAAGGGGAAGCTTGGTTGGTGGGATCAAGAAGATTTGTGCTAATGTGTTGAAAAGATAAAGAATGCTCAAGCAAATATTAAAGCTATAAGAAATTACTTATCAATAACATTGAGATTGTCCATAGAACTCAGATTAAAGCATGGCACCAGTAAAACCTGGGTTAATTTTTTACTCACTCTGGGTTCTTGACTACCTTCTGAATTTTAGACCAAGACAAGGATTCTAAATAGGTCACCTACAGATATGTGCAATGTTACTGTAATGGTACCATTAACATAGAAGAAGTTTATTTAATGACATAATTAACATATTGTTAACCTACATTTTCATATTTTCAAATGCACCTTAGAATAATTTCTGTCTTCTCTATGATTAAAGCAGCAAAACTTAATGGCAACTTCAAAATTTTAAAGATTTTATAAAACAAAAGTAAGCTTTTAGTTATTATAACATATGACATCTTGATTTAATATCATTTTATTATAATAAATACTTTAAAACATTGGGGCATTTATTAATTTGAACATTTCCCCCTTTGGTTTGCTTTACAGACTGTATAGATCAATTGGAGAATATGATGTCCTTCGTGGCATTTTTAGCAGTGAGATCGGAACAAAGCAAATCACGCAGAATGCATTATTAGAAGAAGCCAGAAGTGATTATTCTGCAGCTGCTAAGCAGTATAATGAGGTAAAATTGATCTTTAGCAAATGTCAGTTGATTAAACACTTCCATCCAGTTCTCTGGATGGAAAACTGTTAGTTTTAAATTTTAGAGCTTCATAATGTTTCAGCTTTATGCCTTATTAGTATATTTTTACACAAATTGCAGAGAATGGTTTCATAATAACCAAAAATATTGCTGTTTCTCTTACTCTTTTTAAGAAAACATCATTGAATAACAGATAAAGCATTTCATAAATTAACAAGTACTCTTAAGTTATTTCAATATCTGCTAGAATATTTAATTTCTGTAATACATAGTAGATAGCTTTGACAATAAAAATGTATGAATATGTAAGTGAGATTGGTTTTGGGAAAATGACTTTAGTTTTATTTTATATATTTCCTGTTGGAGTTGCCAGTGGCTGTCCCAAGTGTAGATGCCCAGCAAATATTTGAAATTCAGGGTCTGTGACCTCTGAGACTCTTGAATAATCAATTCAGGTTGTAAAATTCTCTGCAATTTATGTAAATGTCTTATTGTAATTTTCATTCCAAGAACTTTATAACTAGTAAAGTACCCACAGTATCAACTAAAATCTAGTTATGGGTCACTTAAAGTCTTCATTTTATTAATTGGATTCATTAGTAAATTACTCAGAAAAATGGCTTTCTCTTGGTCAGGGTTTTTATATTAATTTGTTACTATAACATTCCTTTTGTGTGTTTTATTTTCCCATTCAGTGTTACTTTCTTTTCCCTTTTCTTTACCTCTGTCATAAATCTGAAAATGAATGTTATACTACCTACATTATTTCATTTGTCTGCTTTTGAACGTTGTAACATAATCTTGGGAACTTTTCTTTGCCAGGCTCTCAATAAACAAGAGTGGGAGGATGGTGAGCCCACAGAAGCTGAGAAGGATTTTTGGGAACTTGCATCCCTTGATTGTTATAACCAACTTGCTGAGTGGAAATCATTGGCATATTGTTCTATAGTCAGTGTTGACAGTGAGAGCCCTCCAGATCTAAATAAAATGTGGAGTGACCCATTTTATCAGGTGGGTAGAATAATTTTAGAAGTTGCTGAAATAAATATTTTAGATGGTCAGGTGTTCTCTAAGTAATTAAATTGCTTAAAACTTCTCAAAAATGCTTGTGAAGCATTAAGATATTTATATTTCCCCACAAACTCCATAGTATTGTTAAATCATTTGTCACTTTTAGTTAACTCCTTCAGAAGAAATGGCATGTGTTTAAAAAATAAATATCGCCTTAGCTGGTTTGCTCAGTGAATAGAGCGCAGGCCTGTGTACTAAAGGGTCTGAACAAGAGCACATGCTCTGGTTGCGGACTTGATCCCCAGTAGGGGGCGTGCAGGAGGCAGCCAATCAATGATTACCTCTCATCGATGTTTCTAGGTATCTCTCCCTCTCCCTTCCTCTCTGAAATCAATAAAAAATATATTAAAAACTAATAATAAAAGTAAATATTGATGCCAGCCTTACAAAGGGTTCAGCATTCTGGAGAAAGGGGTTGCTTGTATATGATGAAGAAGGAGTCCAAAGATGAAAGATAATTTTGAAAGGCATTCAGGGTTAGTGGATCTTCAGCTAAAGGAGCTAAAGACTCAACTTTGTCTAAGGAGCTGTGGTATTTATTTAACACAATCAGTCCTAAGGCAAGGTGGAAATATATACTTCAGAGGGTAGAGTTTCAAAGGGTAGAATACAGAAGCATTATCAGTTTGGCCAACAGGAGGCAATAAAATGCCTGAGCTGTCTGGCAGCTAGCAATAATCCTATTCAGGTTTGGGGGAAGTGCCGTTTAACCTTTCCAATGGGTAAACTACATATGTGGCTCACCCTTGTTGAGCCTCCTAAGTCCCGTCAACCTTTTGACGGAACTCTTGAAATTATTATAAGCTGGAATTGGTTCCCGGCATATTAATAATATAACATCCCTGTTATGATGAGATGGAAGAATATTTTCTGTTCTCTTTGCACTGGGTCACAGGCAACAAATGGCCATGCCTCAATTTCCAGAGCAAGATGGCTCACCTCACAGGATCACCCCAATTCTTGAACAAGGCTGCTCTCCTGGCCCCTCTCACAATGCTGTTGTCCTGGCTATGCTTAAAGATTCCTCACTTTGTATGTAACATCTGCTGAATTTCAGCTAACAGTGCGCAGTTCCTACTTTCTATAGGACATGTTCCTATATATTTTGTGGTTACATAATGAGCAAGTTTACATGAGCATGTCTTAAAAATTATAGTTTTTAGGTTTGAAGTATCGAGCATAATCACTTTGTCTCTAAATCTTGAACTGTAAAAATTATAAATTTATACTATAGTAATAAAATGATTAAGCATAACTCACATTGTCTTCCTGATCTTTTGTAGGAGACCTATCTACCTTACATGATCCGCAGCAAGCTGAAGTTACTGCTTCAAGGAGAGAATGACCAGTCTCTGCTGACATTTATCGATGAGGCTGTAAATAAGGAGCTCCAAAAGTCCATTATAGAGCTTAATTATAGTCAGGAATTGAGTCTTCTTTATATCTTACAAAATGATATTGACAGAGCCAAGTATTATATTGAAAAATGCATTCAAATTTTTATACAGGTAACACAGATACACTAATCTGAAATGTACCATTACTGTGACTTATTTATTTATTTTTGTTCATTCTGACCTGAGGACTGATTTTTTGAGAGTGGAAGGTGGGGGAGGAGGGGAGAGACAGAGAGCAACATCAATATGAAAGAGACATATTAATTCATTGCCTCCTGCACATGCCCTAGCCCAGGTGGAGATGGAGCCTGCAACAAGGTACATGCCTTGACTGGAATTGAACCTGGGACTCTTCAGTCTCAGGGCTGATGCTCTAACCACTGAGAAAAATAGGCTAGAGCTTTGATATTTTTAAAGTCAGTAATCTAGTGAATAAAAAAATAAAAAATTTTTATGTACTATTTAATACCACCCATTTTCTTTTTTATACTATTTTCTTCTGATAGCTCTCTTTACTCTTTTTTTTGTCTTAATGCTTTTAAAAAGTTTTTTCCTGTTATAGAAGTTCTATTTTTTTGTTTACCTTAAGTTTTTATTTTTCTCACACTGCTAATAAAAAAAGGAACATTTGAGAGTCGACTTTTATAGTTGGAGTAGGTGAATAGAAGTTTGGTTGCTGGGTGGGGAAGAATATGAATCTTCCCTGTTTATTTTCTGCCATTTTGCCTTTTTGCTTGTCGGAGAATCTTCCTCTAATGTTTATTTATTTTTAAAGTCAGTGCCTTGTATAGAGTCTATTAACAACATTTATCATTGGCACACAGTGATCATTAGAAGCAAAGTCATTTATTGTCTTTTATTATTTTCTGAGTTTTAAAAAATATTTTAAATTGGTTTCTTAGAGTGAGGAAGGGAAAGAGGGAGAGAGAGAAGCATTGATGTGAGAGTGAAACACCAATTGGCTGCCTCCTGCACACCCACTACTAGGGATCAAGCCTACAACCTTTCAGTGCATGACATGACACCCAGCCAACTGAGCCATACTGACCAGAGCAATTGTCTTTTATTTTTAAACTTTAAAAGTTGATTAATACACTCAGGAAATTTTATTGAAGAAAGAATTGGCTTCTGTACTTAGCAATTTATATTAGAGGATTTTGTGATTTTTAGAAATACGTTTTTATTGATTTCTGAGACGAAGGAAGAGGGAGTGATAGAAACATCAATGAGAGACTATCATTAATCGGTTGCTTCCTGAAGGCCCCCTATGGGGATTTAGCCTAAAACCCAGGCATATGCCCTGACCGGGAATTGATCTGTGACTTCCTGGTTTATAGGTCGATGCTCAACCACTGAGCTATGCTGCCTGGGTGGATGTTGTGATTTTTTGTTGTTAATCCTCACCTCCATTGATCTCTAGAGAGAGTGGAAGGGAGGAGGAAGGGAAGGGGGAGGGAGAAACATTAATGTGAGAGACACATCAATTGACTGCCTCTTATGCTATACATGCCCTGAACAGGGCCAGGGATCTATCCTACAGCCCAGACACCTGCCCTTGACTGGGAATCAAACTCTTGACCCTTCAGTGTGCAGGCCAACACTCTGACCAGTGAGCAGGACAAGCTGTTGTGATTTTTAAAAAGTGTTGTCAAGTAGAGGCAATGATAGATCATTTATATTGATTTTATTGATTTCAATGAACCAAAAGAGGTTTTCAACCTAAATTATTTTCAAAAATTATATTACCTGCTAATTTCTTGTATGACTTCATTATTAACCACTCTGAGCCACATTGTGGGATGTATTTATATGGCAGTTGCTATATTTTACATTTTATAGAACTGTATTAAAGTTTAAAGTCTTAAATTGATTTGTAAACAATGTTAAATGCCTTTTTTTCTAGAGCTATTCTAGTATTGATGTGCTTTTACACAGAAGTAGACTTACCAAATTGCAGTCTGTACAAACTTTAATTGAAATTCAGGAATTCATCAACTTTATAAGCAAACAAGGTAATTTTTTAAATCTGTCATTTTTTATACTTATGGAAGAATTTTATTATCGGATTTAAAAATTATTTTTGCTTACTGGAAGTATATATTTTTTAATATATGGGTTAGAAACTACTTTAAGTTCATTCTACAAATATGTATTTTGATATTGAAATGAATATTAAGATGGTCAAACACTATTCTAGACATTGGGGATATAGAGCCAAATGAAACAGACTGCCCAGCTTGAAGAAGCATTTACAGTAGTGGAGTAATTTCAATATGCTGAGGTGGAGGTGGGCATAGGAAACTAGATGACAGAATCTGCCCTGGACTGAGGTTTAAATCTGCCACTTTAGCTTTTTCTTACTATAATATCTTGCCATACCTTGAAGCCAGATAGTTTCAGATATTATTATTATGTAATCTTCTGCACACACTAGAGCCAGGGGCAGTATTCCATAATTAAATACAATCATGCATATATACCGTAAGTGGTGAATATTCACATGAATGGCATAAGCAAAGACCTATAAGTAGCCATATACCAATTCTGGTCTGATTTTGCCAAGACAATTAATTGGCTGCAACTTCGTGAAAACCTTTTTAACTTTCAGTACTTTTTTGATTTTGGAATTGTGAATGAAGTAGATGTTTACTAAATGGTATGTTTATTTCCCCACATTATTCTATATTCTTAAGAGGTTGAGTTTTAATGTCAGAATATATTAGATTTAATATGGTAACTTTGTGTTCCTGTTGTGAAAGAAGAGACAAACTTTTTTAATTGGGACAATAAAAATTGGGACAGTAAGTTTTTTACCAACATTGTAAGTTTGTCTTGTCATTGAGCTGTAGATATAATCAGCCTATAATATTATTTTTAGGTAATTTGTCATCTCCAGTTCCCCTTAAGAGACTTCTGAAAACCTGGACAAACAGATACCCAGATGCTAAGATGGACCCAATGAACATCTGGGATGACATCATCACAAATCGGTAATATATGATCCTTTTGAGTTGAATATGGATTATTTTCTGAAATTGCCAGAATTATTTTTCTCCAAACTGTGGTTTAGAAAAATGTGGGGTTTGAGTCTAGTGTAGATATCTGTCATCATTCAGTTTTCCACTTAAGTTGTTCTAACAAAGCTCTCCATGTTAGCAATATGTCCTTTGCCTTCATTTGTCCCCTGTGGAATTGCTGCCGCTCACTTTGAATTCATCTTGTGCTAGGGGGCTGGTTATAAGCATCAACTCTGTCAATGAGAGAAGGCCAGGAAGCAGCAGGGGAGTAGTCCATGTGCTTCTATATTAGGGCTAAGTATTAGGTAGTGATGTGGCAACAAGAGAATGCTGCTTAATGATTTTTTATTATTCTATTTTCAAAACTTTTTTGCCTCCTGCTACCAACTCTATTATATAATTTTATATATTAGTATTTGTACTAGAGGCCCATACACAACATTTGTGCTTTGCGGCGGGGGGAGGGGGAGTCCCTTAACCTGGCCTGAACCCTTTAGTAGTCCGGCAGCCCTTGGGGGATGTCTGTCTGCAGCTTAGACCCACTGTGCTGCGCGCACCACCCCCCCACCCCCCCGCATCCCCGGGAGTGGGCCTAAGCTGCAGTCAGACTTCCTTAATGCTGCTGTGGAGTAGAAGAGGCTCCCACCACTGCCCCTGAGCTCACCAGCCATCAGCCCAGCTTGTGGTGAGCGGAGCTCCCGCTGTGGGAGTGCATTGACAACCAGGGCACAACTCCTGCATTGAGCTCTTTCATAGCGACCAGTTGATTTGCATATTACCCTTTTATTATATAGGATAGGGTGTGTGTGTGTGTGTCTGTGTGTATCATCTTACCAGGCCTGAGATCATTTTCTTTTCCTCAACCTGTAACAACTTTGGGTAATCCCAGAAGGCAGTTATTAATCATATATTTAAGAGAGGAGTTAATAGATTCAGAGAGGTTGTAAATTATTTTACGCAAATATATACAATAAGTATGATTCAAGACTCTGAACCCTCATGTGATAGTCTTGCCATTATATTTTAATTTACTTTTTATACTTTTGATTTTGTATACTTCTCTTACTTTTTTAAAATTTAATAAATCTTTATTGCTCATACTATTGCGGTGGTTCCTCTTTTTTCCCTCCATAGCTCCCTTCCACATGGTTCTCATCCAACCCTCTTCCCTTATCTCTCCCTTACTGTCCTCATCCATAAGTATACAATTTTTGTCCAGTCTCTTTCCAAACCCCCCACACCTTTCCCCCCTGAGAGTTGTAAGTCTACTTCACTTTCTATGCCCCTGATTCTATTATATTCACCAGTTTATTCTGTATATTAGATTTTTTATTGATTTTTAGTTTCACTTGTTGATAGATATGTTATTTGTTCATAATTTTTATCTTTACCTTTTTCTTCTTCTTCCTCTTCTTAAAGAATACCTTTTAGCGTTTCATATAATACTGGTTTGGTGTTGATGAATTCCTTTAGCTTTTTCTTATCTGTGAAGTTCTTTACCTTCCATTCTAAGTGTGAGCTTGACTGGGTAGAGTACTCTTGGCTGTAGGTTCTTGCTATTCATCACTTTGAATATTTCTTGCCACTCCTGTCTGGCTGCATAGTTTCTGTTGAGAAATCAGCTGACAATCATATGGGTGTTCCCTTGCAGGTAATTAACTATTTTTCTCTTGCTGCTTTTAATATTCTCTCTTTGTCTTTTGCTCTTGGCATTTTAGTTATGATGTGTCTTGGTGTGGTCCTCTTTGGATTCCTTTTGTTTGGGATTCTGTGTACTTCCTGGACTTGTAAGTCTATTTCCTTCACCAGGTGGGGGAAGTTTTCTGTCATTATTTCTTCAAATAGGTTTTCAGTATTTTGCTCTCTCTCTTCTTCTAGCACCCCCATAATTCTGATGTAGGTAAGCTTAAAGCTGTCCCAGAGGCTTCTTACACTATCTTCAACTTTTTGGATTCTTTTTTCTTTTTGCTTTTTCAGTTGAGTGATTTTTGCTTCTTTGTATTTCAAATCTTTGACTTGATTCTTGTGTTCCTCTAGTTTGCTGTTGGGTGTCTGTATAATATATATTTTTTAAATATATTTTATTGATTTTTTACAGAGAGGAAGGGAGAGAGATAGAGAGCTAGAAACGTCGATGAGAAAGAAACATTGACCAGTTGCCTCTTGCACACCCCCTACCAGGGATGTGCCTGCAACCAAGGTACATGCCCTTGACCGGAATTGAACCCAGGACCTTTCAGTCCACAGACCGACGCTCTACCACTGAGCCAAACCGGTTTCGGCTGTATAATATTTTTTATTTCAATCAGTGTATGTTTAATTCCTAGTTGGTCCTTTTTTATATCCTCGAGGGTCTCGATAAATTTATCAGCCTTTTCTAGGAAATTCTTGAAAAAGCCTTATAACTGTGGTTTTGAACTCCTATCTCCAGTCATTTGTTTTCCTCCATTTCTTTCATTTGTGATCTGTTTCTTTGTCTCCACATTTTTGCTGCTTCCCTGAGTCTGTAGGGTAGCTTTATGTGCAGGGTGTCCTATATGGGCCAGTGGCTCGGCCTCCCAGTTACCTGAGGTGCTGGGAGACTGTGGACTATATGTACAGCCTTTTTGTAGTTAAGTCTTGATTGTTGTTGGTATCAGTGGGAAGAGTTGACCTCCAGGCCAATTGGCTGTGAGGATCAGCTGTGTCTACGCCGGGAGACAGCCTTATTTGACTAGACTTAGAAAATTGTAAAAGCCTCTGTGCTCAGTTTAGATGGGGCAGAATATCAGGGTGGAACCTACAGCCTTGGCTTCCCGTCAGCTCCGTCCTATAAGGTTCCTGGGTCTCAGTGTCCCTCAGTGTCCCTCGGTATATTCTGCAAGCACCTATTTGAGAAAGGTACCCTTGAGTTTCGCCCACTGCCAGACAGCCTAGTCTCTCCCCCAATGAATCTGGATTCTCGCCCGGAACTGGGGTTCAGTGCAGTCAGAACTGGGCTCAGCACAGTCCGGAGCCTTTGTCTCCTTCCCGCTAGAGCAATCCAGCGGCACAGTCAACAGTCCTTCCTCTGTGTACATTCATGTGCATGCCTCCAGAGCTCTGCCTTTCGCTGCTCCCCTAAGTTTCCGCCTTACAGTAAGGTGACCAGACGTCCTGCTTTTGGCGGGACAGTCCTGATTTTTAACAATTTGTCCCGCGTCCTGCGGCATTTTAAAAAAGTCCTGATTTTGCCGGGACCTGTTTGGCTCAGTGGATAAAACGTCGGCCTGCGGACTGAAAGGTCCCGGGTTCAATTCCGGGCAAGGGCATGTACCTTGGTTGCGGGCACATCCCCAGTGAGGTGTGTGCAAGAGGCAGCTGATCGATGATTCTCTCTCATTGATGTTTCTAACTCTCTATCACTCTCTCTTCCTCTCTGTAAAAAATCAATAAAATATATATTTTTTAAAAATAATAAAATAAATAAATAAAAAATAAAAAAGTCCCGATTTTTTAAAAGAATCTGGTTTCCGCTAGAGAACGCCAGCCAGGCATTCAGTTGCCCCATCCTCTTGGGCTCCATCCTCTCCTCACGTGCGCACCCTTGTCTCCGTACCTCAGGCTTTTACAGCTCCTCTGATTTTCCTTGTGGATTTCTCTTTCCTTCTAGTTGTAGAATTTCCAGCCAGTCAGCTTTCCTGTGATTCTGGATGATGTCCATTTTGTCTTTTAGTTGTATTTTTGAAATTGTTGTGTGAGGCTGCAGTTTAGGTGTTTACTGTATGCCACCACCTTGGTTTCTCCTTCTCTTTTTATTTTGGGATAAGTCCTTATCAATAGAATAGTTGCAAGAAAAATAGTACTCTTCTGTGTACCTTTTACTTATATTCACTGTTTTTTAACATGTTGCCACATTAGCTTTTTAATTCTCTCTATATGTACACATTTATCTTCTGAACCATTTGAAGATAAGTTTTATACATAAGAACCCTTACCTCTTTACTTACCAGTGTACATTTCCTATGAAATGTATTCTTTCAAAGAGTAATAGTGCAAGAATAACTTTACAGTTTTTAATCTTCAGCCACAGTTTCAGTTTTGTCAATTGTCACTTTTAAAGCATTTTCTCTCTTCTAAGATAGAATCCAGTCCAGAGTTATATACTGCATTTAGTTGGTATATCTTTTAGTCTCCTTTAATTTGAAACAGTTCCTCAGACTTTTTTTTTTTTATGACATTGACACTTTGCAGAAGGTTCCTCAGTTTATTTGTCTACCAGTGTGTATCCTTTAGTTAGCTGCATTCGGATGATGCATCCTTAGCCACAATACCACTGACGTGAAGTATTATTCTCAGGCTATCACATCTGGAAGCACAGAGTATCCATCTGCCTTTTACTGATAATAGCAATGTTGATTCCCTAGTTAAAATATTGTCTGGTCTCTCCAGTGTAAATGCCTATTTATTTCCTTTGAAGCTTATAAGCAATGTGGGAGAACTTTGAGACTTGCATATATCCTGCTTCTCATAAGACTTAACCCTCTACTTTCATACCTGGGCATTGCTCTTAGCTCAAGCCAGTCTTGACAATATTAGTTGCAAGGTGATCATTTTCCCACTAGTTGTTCCATGTTTATCGGTCTACTTCCTGTTATAACGAAGAGCCTCCCTTCTCCCTTATCAGTTCGTTTATTTGTTTACTTAAATTTTAATTATTAATATAGAATCATGGACTCCACTTTTATTTATTTATTTATTTATTTATTTTAATTTTTTGAAAATTGATTTCATAGAGGAAGAGAGGGAGAGAGATAGAAACATCAATGATGAGAGAGTATCATTGATCGGCTGCCTCCTGCCTACCCCCTACTGGGGATTAAGCCTGCAACTTGGGCATGTGCCCTAGACCAGAATTGAACCTGAGACCCATCAGTCCACAGGCTGACACACTATCCACTGAGCCAGACCAGTTAGGGCTCCAGTTTTATTTAATGGAGTGTAATCCATTATTGTCCTTATTTTTTCATGTTCAAATTGTGTCACATTTGACTAGCAAGGGCCCCTTCAAGCTGATAACCCAGACTCATTGTGCAAAATTATTCCCCTATGTCTTTTTTTCTTCTAGAAATGTTATAGTTTAGGTAGTTCTTACATTTAGATCTGTGAACCAGTGAAAGAGAATTTTTGTAATGGTGTTATTGGATTACACCAGTGGGATTCCTCTATTACTTTTACTTGCTTACTCTAATTAAAAATTTGAAACTTAGAAAAACAGTAGCAGCTCTTAGGAGGGAGGGAATACCCTTGTATTGGGTGGGAGCCAAAGAGCTCAGAAGCAGAGAGATTATTGGAGAGGCTTGTGTCTTTGGAATAACCTAAGAGACAAAAGAAAGGTATTTATGAGACATACTACTTTATCTGGTCACAGTTTTTCTAAGAAAATTGAACTTAATTTCTGGATGAAGAGGAAATAAGTTGATATTTGAGCAGTGGTGAATTTTGTATGTTTGCCAATATTGCTAATAATGAAAATAAAATCACTAGAACAAAGTCAAATATGTAAACTGTGGTACAAATAAAAATAATTTTATAGCAATACAGTGTTATCTTTTAATATTTTAAGTGACTATAACATTTTTCACCTTTGAGAGTAGAACTTTATATTGGGAGATATAAGGAGAAAAATGACTTTTGGCTCAACACAGGGTGTATTGTCCTTTAAGAGAGAAGATTGTGAGTTTAAATGCTTTATTTTTGTAGAGGTGGATACAATGAATGATACCTGGAAAATTCTGTGAAATATCCTTGGAGGTGTTTAAAGAATTAATTAAGATGGAGATTAAATCCAGTACTTAGAGTGTACAAATACAGTCCAGAAAATGAGCAAAAATGTGATATAAAATTTTAGTCTGTGAATGCTATCCAATAGTGTCCTACCGGGTTTCCCCAAACATAAGACATCCTCCGAAAATAAGACCTACTGTAGCTCATGGAAAGATAAGACATCCCCTGAAAATAAGACCTAGCGCAACTTAGAGAGAAAAAATTAATATAAGACACTGTCTTATTTTCGGGGAAACGGGGTATATGTCAAAGATTTCTTTCATGAGGTGTATATTCTCATTTTCCTTTGTTTTGTGTAGATGTTTCTTTCTCAGCAAAATAGAGGAGAAACTTACTCTTCCAGATGATCACAGTATGGACGTGGATGGGGATGCTGATTCCAGTGACAGGATGGAGGGTCGGGAGCAGGAAGAAGACATTTGCTCTCTGGTTAGGAGCTGTAAGTTTTCTATGAAAATGAAGATGATAGAGAGTGCAAGAAAGCAGGTAGGTACTCAGATTTATGTCCTCTATCGTATCACAGAATTTCCTTAAGTTAGCTGCTTTTTCCAGAAATTTCCAGAAAGCCTCAATTTTATATACTTGTTAACCATTTCAACATAATTATTTTCACTGTAGCTGGTGTGGCTCAGTGGATAGTACGTTGGCCTACAGAGTGAGGGGTCCCAGGTTCGATTCTGGTCAAGGGCCCGTACCTCCAGTTGCAGGCTCCTCCTCGGCCCTGGTCGGGGTGCGTGCATGAGGCAACCAATTGATGTGTTTCTCTCATATCGATATTTCCCTCTATCTTTTGCTCTCTCTTCCACTCTCTAAATGGAAAAATATCCTCGGGTGAGGATTAAAAAACAACCAAAATAATTATTTTCTCTTATTGAACAAAGAAATAAGCATAATATCAGGTTTGAGCTTTAGCAAAGCAAATGCTTGGCAGTTACAAATTATATTTACATTTAGTTTGTAGAATTCTATCATTTGATAATTCCACCCTTTTTAAATATATAATTATGCTTTACTTAAAAGTTGCATATAAACTATTTTTTTAAATGTAATTTTATTTATTTCAGAGAGGAAGGGAGAGGAGAGAGATACAGAAACGTTAATGTTGAGAGAGAATTATTGATTGAACACCTTCTGCTGCCCCACTCTGGGGATCGAGCCCACAACCCAGGCATGTGCCCTTGACTGGGACCCTTCAGTCTGCGGGTGGATGCTCTATCCACTGAGCCAAACCAGCTAGGGCCATATAAAACGATTTAAGTGTATCAAATCATATTTGAACAGACTGGGAGAGCTTGTTTTTTTTTTAATAACTCTAAGTTGATTGCTACTATAAAACAAAGAATGTTGCTTTCTACTTCTAGTAGAAATAATAAATATTTCTGTTTTGTAAGTTTGTGTTCACGTATAGATGATGAGAAAAAAGAAGGAAAGAAAAGAAGGAAAGAAATGGATCATAAATATATTAGTTGGAAATATGTGAAAATCACCAAAATACCCAAATATCTTTCATGTGGCACGTTGGCTTTTCAGAATTTTTCTACAGTATTCACACACAAAAATGGGATAGAGTTAGTTAACAATACCAGTAATGTTGGAGATGGAGAGAAAAGGAATAATTTTAGTCATCAGATGATATAAAACCTTCAGTTTATTTCAATTTACCTTCCCATACTCTTCAAAATGTCAAAAGTAGCCGAAGTGAAACGAGTTTTTCCTTTTTTTTTAATTTTTTATTATCAAGCACTTCATAAGGTGCTAGAGATACTATGTTGAACAAAATATAGACAAATGGAAAAACAATTATAATACATAATATTAAAAACCACACGGGAAGGCACCTGACAGCCTTATGGAACAAAGGAAGCTTGGGGTGGAAGGTGATGTCTAAGTTGGGAACTCACGGATGAAACAGGGTGGCAGGAATAACATTTAACACCCAGAAATGATGCTGAGCATTTGGTTTCCTGAGTGGAGCAGAGGTTAAATTTCAGCCCCTACTAAATGGCTATGCAACTTTGTGTAAGAAAGCTCTGCGATCAGGGTGACCAGATGTGCAATTTTAAAGTGCATTTTGGATGTATTGAGTAGAAATGATCTAAGAAAGGGCAAAGGATTAACAAGCTTTTATATGAATCCATATGAGAGATGATGGTGGCCATATCTAGGTTAGAGGTCATGGAAATGGAGGTGAATGTTTAAGAAAATTGAGAGGATCTGCTCAAATGAGACATGATGACTAGTAATTGTGTTTGTGAGGAGGAGGAATGATGTCCAGGTTTTTAACCTGAGAAGCTGGGTGGATGGGAATATAAAAAGCAGATGATATCTTCAGTTTGAGACATGTTGAATTTGCAAGGCCTTGAAGACAAACAAGTTGTAATTTCCCTTAACTACGTTGTACATAAGAAATTTGAAGCTCTGGAAAAAAAAGAGTTATGCTAGTGATAGAAGTCTCAATGTGATTAGCGTGTGGATAGTCATTGAAACCATGGAAAGATAACTAGGATCAGTCCCCAAAACAGACCAACAGTTATGGGATGAACACAAGAGGAGACTACAAAGTAACTGTGAGACCACAGGGAAAGAACCAGAAGTTATCAGTGTCAGTTACCAAGAGAGGGAAGGTTTTCAAGATTGAAAAGTGCCCTTGCATTTAAAACAAGGAGGTTGCTGTTGAGTTTAGTGAGAGTTATTGCACTGGAGTAACAGAAATCAGATTATAGTGGATGGTGGACTGGGTAAAAGTTGGAGGAAAGAATATAGGGACAGTGAGCACAGGCTGCTCCTAAAGAAGCCATGACAAGGAGAAGCAAGGGAGGATAAAAGAGAATGGAAGGAACAAATCAGGAGAGATTTAATGGAGGGCAAGAAGGAAGAATTAGCTTCCATCTGATGGGGTCAGATAGTTCTCATAGAGTTTGTTCTTTTCTCCTCTTTTTCTCTCAAGTGTCTCTCTTCCACCTGCATCATTACTAGATTTCTGTCTTTGCTATCATTGATTCTTTCCTCCATTGGTTCAGCTGTTTCCTAAGCTCACTAGTTCATTCTTTATATCTCTTTTTTTAATATATTTTATTGATTTTTTTACAGAGAGGAAGGGAGAGGGATAGAGAGGAAGAAACATTGATGTGAGAGAAACATCGATCAGCTGCCTCCTGCACACTCCCTACTGGGAATGTGTCTGCAACCAAGGTACATGCCCTTGACCGGAATCGAACCCGGGATCCTTCAGTCTGCAGGCCAACACTCTATCCACTGAGCCAAACTGGTTATGGCCATTCTTTTTTTTCTTTTTTTAACCATTTATTTATTTTTACATATTTTATTGATTTTTTTTTTTGCCCCCCTCCCTCCCTCGCACACATCCCCTCCCTCCCCAGAGTTTTAGGTCCATTGGTCGTACTTATATGCATGTATACAAGTCCTTCGGTTGATCTATTATCTCTCCCAGATCCTCCTCCCCTCCCCACTATAATTTGACAATCTGCTTGTTGCTTTACTGTCTCTATATCTATCTTTTGGTTCATCAGTTTATAATGATCTTTATTATCCACAAATGAGTGGGGTCATGTGGTGTTTCTCTTTCATTGATTGGCTTATTTCACTCAGCATGATGTTCTCCAATTCCATCCAGGTTGCTGCAAATGATGAGAATTCCTTCTTTTTTATGGCAGCATAGTATTCCATTGTGTAGATGTACCATAGTTTTTGGATCCAATCATCTGCTGACGGGCACCTAGGCTGTTTCCAAATTCTGGCTATTGTAGATTGTGCTGCTATGAACATAGGGGTGCATATATCCTTTCTGATTGGTGTTTCTAGTTTCTTGGGATATATTTCTAGCAGTGGGATTACTGGGTCAAATAGGAGTTCCATTTTCAGTTTTGTGAGGAAACTCCACACTGTTCTCCACAGTGGTTGCACCAGTCTGCATTCCCACCAGCAGTGCACGAGGGTTCCTTTTTCTCCGCAACCTCGCCAACACTTGTCGTTTGTTGATTTGTTGATGTTGGCCATTCTGACAGGTTGGTTATGGCCATTCTTTATCTCTCTATTGTTCTTCATCTCCAGAATTTTTATTTGGTTCTTTTTAAAAGTTTTATTCTTTTTAGTAAAGTGCTTGTTTTGTGTGTTGATTTTGAGTCCATTAAAATTTTGGTCTGTGTTTTCTTATATTTCATCACATTTTTCCAGAACTTCAATCTTGAAATTTCTGTCTTTTAAATGACACATTTTCATGTCCTTAAGTTTATTTCTTGGAGATTCTTTATTTTCTTTCTGAGCTATCTCATCACCTTGGTTTTTCATATAATAGTATTTCATGGATCCTGACTGAGTGGCACTATTTAGTATAACAATTTTCAACCGGTGTGTCTAAAGAATTTCTTAAACATGCAATATTTGACTATTTAGTCAGGGGCACTCACCTCTTTTTCCTTAGGTTGTCAAATAAAAAAATGACAACAGCAATCACAACAATAATACTTAAGTATGAATGAATAAAATTCTACCTTTTTTTAATCACAGTGACAAAAAATATAGCATATTTTTTGGTGTGCCACAGAATTTTAGTAATTTAGTTGATGTGTGCCATGAGATAAAAAATGTTAAAAATCACTACTCCAGTAGATCGATGAGAAGTCTTTCCATTGTTTCCCAGAAGGCGGCACTGAAGCCACAGTTTTTATCCCTTTTGCGTGCCTGCGGCTTCTCAGGTCTTCGCGGGGCAGGAAGAGAAGCCCGTGCTCCCTGCGGAGTCAGCATCTGCTCTGTGACCAGGTTGCCTCAGTCTCAAGGCACCAACCTGTGCGGGAACGTGGGCAGTCTGATTTCAAATCCATGAAATGCCAGTGCTGCCCCCTACATCCCAACACTACCAGCAATGCAGCCACGATGGCTGTGCTAGGGTGAGCTGGCAGAGATTCCGGGGCCCTTTGTGGCTTTGTTTTTTCAGTAACGGTGGCTGATCTACAGCCTCCGCTCTGTATATCCATCCATCCCTGGTATTAGCCACAGAGTGCACCTGTCACTCAGGAGAAATGTCTCTGGTTCCCTTTCTCAGGTTTGTTGATAATGTGTTCTGTCCCAGCATTCACTGCTGCAGCTTCTGCCGTCCCCTGTTAGCTCTGAGAGCTTGGGGCGAGATGACCAGGCGTGGTGGCTTTGTTTTTCTGCCTGGTTGGCAGTTGCCAGACAGCTCTGTCCTTCCTCCCTGTCCAGGCCACTGGGTTCAGCTGCAGTGCATAGCAACCACTCCCACAGGAGTGCTCACTGTTTCCCTCTCCTGGTCCTGGCTGGAGGGAGTGCCAGTGGCAGCCTGATTATTCCCCTCCCGAGACCAGCAATGACCTCCAGGCTGCCTCCTGGCACCGTCTCAGCAGTTCTCCCTTCCCACTCACCTTACAGTGTTTCAACACACGGATCTCTCATATGGTTTCTGTGTTGAGCAGCATAGTCATTCTTAAACTGGTAACAGTTCAAATTGTTGTAACTTCAAGGGAGAGATCAAGGGGACCTCTCATGCCACGATTCCTCTGACATCAAACATTTCTTTTGGGGCTGATGAGAATGGTCTGAATTACACAGTGGTGGTGATTGCCCAACTTTTGAATATATTAAAAGACACTGAATTGCATACTGTGAATGTGAATTATATACACGTGATAGATAAAAAGACATTCAATGTAAGCTAAAGAGATGGATTAGCTGCTCTAAGGTGAATTGTGGCATACATAAAGGAAACCAGGCCAGTTAACGAAAAACTTCTTTTGTAAAATACTTTTATTTCTAAATTTACATTTATGTCATTCTACTCCTTTCTCTCTTCTATTATATAGAACAATTTCTCGCTTGCCTTGAAGCTATTGAAGGACCTGCATAAAGAATCAAAAACAAGAGATGAGTGGCTGGTGAGATGGGTGCATAGCTACTGTCGGCTCAGACACAGCCAGAGCCAGACCCAGAATCGTCCTGAGCAGATTCTTTCTGTGTTGAAAACAGTCTCTTTGTTGGGTATGAAACTGCTCTATCTATACAAGTTTAAGAATGCTATTTTATATTACATCTCTGTAGTCTCTAAAACTATTATTTATGTTGATTTTTCTGACATTGGGAATTAAGTATTTATAATTTTATTAAATATTTGGAGCCAAGGTACTTTGTAGTTTAGTATTGCGAGTGAATATGACATTTGGAGCTTTTATTTCTCAATAACATGGAATTGAAAAGAAAAGGCTTTTTCATATTTAGTTAAATTATGAGTCTTTATGTTTACATAAAATAATTACTTTGTAAATGAGGACATTAAAAAGCTTTTTTCTTCTTTAGGTCTTTTTTTCATAACAATATACCTGTTAAGACTCAGGGGAGAAAACCTTTCTCTTAATTATTGGACCTGGTATGCTAGCTCTGTTACCATATATCCAAAGGTACATAGGAGCACCATAATGGAACATGCTCCCAATTATATTTCCAAATTTGACTTTTTAGCAGGACAGGGTATAATATCAGAGTACCTGTCTCAGTAAATGTGCAGACAAGAAAAACAGTCTTTCTATATTGGTCCCAGGATCAGAAAATAATCCTTATGATGGTTTAAATGTTTAATGGTTTGTGTTTTGTTTTGTTTTTGAGGGGGAGGAGAGATAGGAGGAGTGTGCTGATATGAAGATAAAAATTGGTACTTATAAAAATAATTTTACTGTTTTTGTAGTTATAGTTTGGCTGACTTTGAATCATTGATGTTTCTATCTCTCTCTCCCTCTCCTTTCCTCTCTGGAATCAATAAAAAAAATATTTTTTTTAAAACAGAAAAACAGACAAAAAAAAAACAACAACTATGGGTTATTCATGGATATGCATAAATGTATTTCTTATTCTTTGTAACAGAATTAGGTGCTTTGACAAAATGCAGAATGATGATACTTGAATTAAAGTATTTTATTTGCTTAGCCTCTGTGTACTTAGATATGGTCACTGCTAACAGAAAACATTTTTCATTAATATTAGTTCAAGACTACCTAATCAGTGTTTGAAGTTAGTTTCTTATAACACCAAGATTTATTTTAGTTAATTTCTTAGTAAAAAACAACTTTTATATACTATAAACTTTTTTTAAACTTTATAATATTCATTTACTTCTGAAAGAAATCCTGTATGAGTTTGTGTGTGTATGTGTGTTTTTAATCCAATAGGTGAGAACACATCAAGCTACTTACGCAAAAATATTTTGGCTTTCCGTGACCATAATGTTCTCTTGGGTACAACTTACCGGATCATAGCTAATGCTCTCAGCAGTGAGCCTAGCTGCCTTGGTTATATTGAGGAAAGCAAGGCTAGAAGAATCTTGGAACTTTCTGGATCCACTTCAGAGAATATAGAAAAGGTAATGTTTATTACGAGGATGAACTTTTCGTGTTTGCATGTTGTATGTCTTTAATGTGAAGAAATAGTCGGTAGAGGGCAAAGTCAAGATGGTGGAGTAGGTCAACTGAACTTGACACCTCCTGAGATCACATCGTAATTACGACTCAGTGATAGAATGAACCACCTGAACCTTTGCTGAACAGAATGCCTACGACTAAAGATATAGGGAAAAAGCCATATCAGGTCAGGTAGGGGGGTAAAGATGTGGAGCAGGTAGATTTTACATGCACTGTGTGGCAATTAAGAAATGAGAAGAATAGGTTGTTTTTGGAGGCCCCTCTGAGGAGCAAGGGGGTCTCAGCCCCTCACCAGCCTCCCTAGGCCAGGGCACCTGAGCTGGAAAGAGGAGTCCCCATAACATCTGGCTTTGAAAGCCAGCAGAGATGATGTTGCTTGGCAGATGGCTCTGTGAGACTGAATTGCCTCTTCTAAAGGGCCCATGCAGAAATTCACTTGCTCTAAGCTCCAACTCAGGGGCAGCAGCTCAGAAAATGCCTGAGATACATGGAGAGGAACTAAATTGAATAACTTCAGGGAGAGGGCTGCAGGGTTAGGGAACTGGGTAATGGAAACACTATTAGGCAAGCCATTGTTCCTTCGTTGTATTCCCTTTTCCCAGCCAACTGGACCAGCACCTGGGGTACCACATCTGTGCTCTCCATGAACCTGGCAAACATTTGCCCTACCCCAGTATTCCCGAAAACCCAAGCCCTTGATCACTAGGCCCTCCCTGGCCTCTTTCATCTTGTCTCCATGAGCAGCCTGCCTTATACTGCAAACGCTCCAAAAATCCACACACCTCACAAGAGTGTTGTCTAACCTTGGCTCATGCATCAGACTCTCTCAGAAGTCCACAAGCTTCACACCAGCAGTAGCCAGCATCAGTGTGCATTGTAGCTCCTGCCAAGTGGCCCAGCACAATAGCCATCGGCTTTAGCTTACATTGTATTTCCCACTAGATGGCCCCAACTTTGCGTAAGTGTTGGTCAGTCTTAGATCCAATTGAGCAGCCACAAACCCAGCACAAGCAGCGGCCAGCCTCAGTTTACATCATAGTGCCCACCAAAGGGTGCCAAGCCCAGCACAAGCAATAGCTGGCTTGGTTCTTTCATGCACTTCCAAGCCCAGCACAAGCAGCTACCAACTGCAGATCAATTTGTAGCTCCTATCAAGTGACCACAAATGAGGCACAAGCTGTGCTGACCCTAACCCATACCAAACCCCTCTCAAGAGAATCCAGACACACAACACCCATTGGACAGTCTCAGCTGGCACCAGAGCCCCATAGACCAACTCCCACTTTGTGGTCAGCCCCTGCTCAACAGCTCATCCACTGAAGTCACAGATGGCTCTTACAGCCAGTCACTCTGAGTGCCAACCCCAACCACTGCCATTCCAGCAGCAATTGAGGCCCAACTTCATCAGGAGGGCACATAAAAGACACCACTAGCACCTGGTTCAGGAGATTAGGAAGACTGCCGCTGGATCCCACAGGACACCTCCTACGAAAGGCCACTCTTTCAAGAATGAGAGATGGAACAGATATATCTAATATATGGAAACAAACACAGAGAGTGAGCAAAAATGAGGAGACAAAACAGGCCCCAAACTATAAAACAACAAAACTTCAGGAAAAAAATATAAGTGAAACAGAGTCAAGCAATCTGCTAGGTAAAGAGTTCAAAGCACTGGTTATAATTATGCTCAGTGAGCATGGGAGAAGAATTCAAGGAGAACTTATAAAGAGATGGAAAAGATAATAAAGAACCAATCAGCGTTTAAAGCTACAATAACTGCAATGAAGAATATGCAGATTAAATGAAGCAGAGAATCAAATCAGCAATTTTTGGGAGACAAGGTAGCAGAAAACACCAGGACAGCTAAAAAGAAAAAATAATTTAAATAATGAGGATAGTTTAAGGGACCTTTGGGGACAATATTAATTGCACCAATATTTACAGTTTAGCAGTCCCAGACAGAGAAGAGAGAAAGATAGTGATTAAATACCATTTGAAGAAGAAATGACTGAAAATGTTCTCAGCTCTTGAAGGACATACACTTCCAGGCACAGGAAGTGTGGAGAGCCCAGATCAGATGAACACAAGAGCTCTGGCCTTCGTTGGTGTTTCTCAATGGTGAGAGCATTCGCCCACGCACTGAAGGGTTGCGGGTTCAATTCCTGCTCAAAAGTACATGCCTGGGTTTTGGTTCGCGCCCTTCTCCCAGTTGGTGAGCGAGCAGGACACAGCCAGTTGATGTGTCTCTCTCACATTGATGTTTTACTCTGTCTCTCCCCAACCCCCATCTCCCTTCCTCTCTTCCCCTCTCTCTGAAAAGCAATGAAGAACATATCCTTAGGTGAGGGGGAAAAACATGAACCCAAAGAGACAACTAAAATGCCTAAGATTAAAGACAAAGAGAATACAAAAAGTATCAAGCAAAAATCATTATCTTACATGCAAGGGATTTCCCATAAGACCATCAGTTGATTTTTCAACAGAAGCTTTGCAAGCCCAAAGGTCAATTATATATTAAAAGGACACAAGATAAAACCTATAACCAAGATTATTCTATCTAGCAAGGTTATCTTTTAGAATTGTAGGAAAGGTATTTTCTCAGACAAGCAAAAGATTAAGGAGTCCATCACTACCAAATTAGCAGACATGAAATCTTGACTGGACTTCTTTAAGTAGAAAAATCAAAAAGATAAAAATTAAAATGTAGAACAGAAAAAAAAAAAAAAATAACCACAGGCAAATACTTAGTAAGAACAGTAAATCAATAAAAAAGTCAAAAGTGTGAACTTATGTGTAAATATAACAGTAAGGAATACACATACACAAAGAGGTAAAATATAATGACAAAAACGTGGGGGAGAAGAGAGAGACAGAAAATCAACAAGGAAACTATGGCCTCAAATGACACATTATAGCAGTTGGGGACTTAATTGCTATTTTTAGACATTTCGTCCCAAAACAGAATATACATGGGCACATGGGACATTTTCCAGAATAGACCATATTTGAAGCCACAAAACAAGATTCAATAAATGTAAGGGGATGAAATCATATCATAGCATGTTCAGTGATCCCAATGATATGAAACTAGAAATGAAATTCAAGTAGAAAACTGGGAAACATACAAACATATGGAAGATAAACAACATGCTACTAATTAATGAATGGGTTAACTATGAGATCAAGGAGGAATCAAGATTTATTGAGACAAATGAAAATGAAAACAGTGAGCCAAAATATGAGAATAACCGAAGTATTTCTAAGCAGGAAATCTATAGTAATATAAGCCTACCTCAAGAAACAAGAAAAATGTCAAACAATCTAAAGTTTAATATCCAAAGGAACTAGAAAAAGAAGAGCAAACAAAGCCCAAAGTGAGTTGAAAGAAGGAAACAATGAAGATCACAGCAGAAATAAATGAGTCTTAAAAAAACAACAACCAGACAAGATCAATAAAAAATTAGAGCTGGCTCTTTGAAAAGACAAAATTGACAAATCTTTCATTAGACACAACAAGAAAAAAAGGACCCAAATAAATCACTAATGAAAGGGGAGAAGTGACAACCAACACCAAAGAAATACATAGGTTTATAAGAAAATTCTACAGTTATATGCCAACAAATTATATAAATCAAGAAGAAACAAAATTTGAACAGAATGATAACTAGTAATGAAATTGAATCAATTATCATAAAACACCCACTAAATTAAAAGTGTTTGACCAGATGGCTTCATAGGTGAATTCTACCAATATTCAAAGTAAAATTAATGCCTACTCTCTAATTATTCCAAAAAATTAAAGAAGAAAATGTTCCCAAACTCATTTTACAAAGCCAGCATTACCCTGATACCAAAACTAGACATTAAAAAATAAAATAAAAATAAAATTAGCAATTAATATCCATGATGAATAGACAGGCAAAAATCCTAACCAAACTATTAGTAATCCAAATTTAAGGATATATTAAAAGGATTATACTTTGACCAATTGGGTTTTATTCCAGAGGTGCAAGTTTGTTTAATATCTGCAAATTAAGGTGCTACTCCACAGCAACAGAAGGATAGTAACCCTCAGAAAACCGGGGATGGAGGGCTCATACTCAACATAATAAAGGCCATATATGACAAACCCACAGCTAATACCATATCTGTGGTGAAAAGCTAGAAGTTGTTTCCTTAATATCAGGAACAGGAAAAGGATGTCTCCTTTCATCACTTATTCAACACAGTATTGAAAGTCCTAACTACAGCAATCAGATAAGAAAAAGTAATTAAATGATAACGACTTGGAAAGGAAGAAGTAAACTCTCATTATTTTCACATGACCTGATACTATCTAGAGAACCCTATAGACTTTACTAAGAAAGCATTAAGACTAATTAATGAAATCCGTAAAGTAGGAAGATTTTAAATTAATATTTAGAAATAATTGCACTTTCATATACCAATAACATATTATCAGAGAAATTAAAGTCCCATTTACAATTGCATCAAAAAGAATAAAATATTGAGGGATAAAATTTTAACCAGGGATAGGGCCTAAACAGGTCGTCAGACATCCCTCTCACAATCCTGGACCGTTGGCTCCTAATCGCTCACCTGCTTGCCTGCCTGATTGCCTAAATTGCCCCCCCTGCCAGCCTGATCACCCTTAATTGCCTCCCCCTGCCAGCCTGGTCACCCATAACTACCCTTCCTGCTAGTCTAGTTGCCCCACAATGACCCCCCCTGCCAGCTTAATCGTATCCAGCTGCCCCCCACTGCTGGTCTGGTTGCCCCTAACTGCACACACACACACCCCGCCGGCCTGGTTGCCCACGCAGCCTGCTGTCCATTTGTTTAGTCACCCTCAGGTAACCCCCTGCAGGCCTGGTCATAGGCAGCCATCGTGTGAGGGTTAGTTTGCATATTACCTCTTTATTATATAGGATTCACTTTTTTCAACATTAAAAATAGGATTTTTTTAAAAATACATTTTTTATTGAGTTTTTACAGAGAGGAAGGGAGAGGGATAGAGAATTAGAAACGTCTATGAGAGAGAATCATTGACCAGCTGCCTCCTGCACACCCCATGCTGGGGATGTGCCCACAACCAATGTACATGCCCTTGACGGGAATCGAACCTGGGAGCCTTCAGTCTGCAGGCCAATGCTCTATCCACTGAGCCAAACCGGTTTCGGCTAAAAATAGGATATTTCTGTTAAAATGATTTGGATGGTTCTTCCGTGACTTTGTTAATGGAGTTTCATTACCTGTCCCCACTCAGGTTTCCTACTAGTTTGTGGGACAACCAGCCCCTTTCCCTTTTTTACTTAGTGCCTGCTTTTTAAAATCACTCTGTATTTTCATAGTTATCAGACTCTCCTCATCTCACCAGCAGCCACCTCGTTTTAGTTGTGTAGCCTTGCCGCCTTCTGCACAGTGTTACCAACATCTGTGCAGGACATTGGCTACACGGAGCCAACTCCCATCTCTTCAATTCCTGACGGGTTGTGTGATCCACATGGACTTCGAGTGCCCACTCCGTGTGACTAGGGGACAATCTGGCTCACACCTGGCTTATTCTTTTTTATTTGGTTGTATTTTATTCTTTTTTATTTATTCTTTTTTATTTGGTTGTATTTTAAATACTCGGGATCTTACTGGAATTGCTTCCTCTTTCACAGGGCAGACTCTCCCTTTTCCATTTAGCCAATTTTTTTATATTTGTTATTTTACTAGAGGCCTGGTGATGAATTCATACATTGGTGGGGTCCCTCGGCCTGGCCAGCAATCGGGGCCAATCGGGGCAGGCTGAAGGGAGGGACCACAGGGAGGTTGGCCAGCCAGAGGGTGGGACCATGAGAGGTTGGCCAGTAGGGTAGGCACCGCAGGATGTTAGCCGGCTGTGGGAGCATACTGATCACCAGGGGGCAGCTCCTGCATTGAGCATCTGCCTCCTGGTGGTCAGTGTGTGCCATAGCAACAAGCCTGTTGTCCGGTCATAGCAGTCATTTAGGTTTGTTTATATATACACACATACATACATACATACACTAGATGCCTGGTGCACGAATTTGTGCACCAGTGGGGTCCCTCAGCCTGGCCTGTGGGATTAGGCCAAAACAGTTACTCCGATATCCCTTGAGGGGTCCCAGATTGCGAGAGAGAGCAGGCCAGGCCGAGGGACCCCACCAGTGCATGAGAGGGGCTGGGGGAAAATGTGGGAGGTTGGCCAGCCAAGGAGGGGCTGCGGGAGGGCTCCAAGGCGTGTCAGGCCCGGATTGGCTGGACCCCAGCATCAAGCTAACCTACTGGTTGGAGCGTCTGCCCCCTGATGGTCAGTGCATATCATTGCAACTGATTGGTCGACTGACTGCTCCCTGGTGGTCAGTGCACGTCATAGTGAGCAGTTGAGTCACCTTAGCTTATCATTAACATATTATGCTTGATTTGTTGGATGGACAACTGGATGATCAGACACTTAACATATTATGCTTTTATATATAGGATAGATGACTAATAAATTACAAGTATCCTACCTTTATCATCACAAGTAGAAAGTAGAGTTTGTCCACAAAATTTGAGTCCCGCTGGCAGGTTTTCTGAGATCTCTGTGAATTCTAGGTGGTCACAGCGCTGCACCAGAGAGCGTTTCATCACCTTTCCGAGGCCACAAGGACAGCTGAGGAGGAAAACCCTTCCGGCCAGAGCCCGCAGCCCGCAGCTGGCGTCATAGATGCTTACATGGCGCTGGTGGATTTCTGTGACCAGCGGCTCCGGGAGGAGGAAGAGACTGCCTCAGGTGACTCTCAAAAGAAAAGAACATTGTGTCCCATTCGGTTACTGTAAAGTCTTAAGAACTTTGTACAGACTTTTGGTTTCCTATTTGTGTGTGGGGTTGTTTTTTTTTTTTAATGAGGAAAGTCTTGCCTATTTAAGAAGGAATGACATTTCCAAGCACCATGACCTGCTCATCTTCCATCCTGGGGTCAAGCTGCCTTTCAGCTCTCCATTTACTTCACTTCCACTGGCATGTTTGGCTTGTTTGGTGTTATTGGCCTTATGTGTTCCTGGACTTAATTCAGGGTCCAGCAGCTGCCCCTGATGTTTCCAGCCCGGGAAGCAGACCGTGCTTCATGCAGAATGGGAATGTCATAGGAAATTCAGCTTTGAGATGGAAACTTGTTTGTTTTTTTAAATATATTTTATTGATTTTGTACAGAGAGGAAGGGAGAGAGAAAGTTAGAAACATCGATGAGACAGAGTCATCGATCAGCTGCCTCCTGCACACCCCCTACTGGAGATATGCCCGCAACCAAGGTACATGCCCTTGACCGGAATCGAACCCGGGACCTTTCTGTTCCCAAGCTGACGCTCTATCCACTGAGCCAAACCGGTTTCGGCAAGATGGAAACTTGTATGTGTAGTCCAAAATTGCTTCCAGTCTTTTAAAGAAGTTAGGGAGGAAAAATGACATACTACAAAATATAAGACAAAAGGGAAACTAGAATCACATGTTACATTTGTAACCTATGTGTAAGTGGATATATTGACCAGGGCTGTTTTTATCCCTGTCCATGTTAGTTACTGAGTCCGCAGAACTGCAGACATATCCTGCCCTGGTGGTGGACAAAATGCTGAAAGCTTTAAAGTTACATTCCAACGAGGCCAGGCTGAAGTTCCCCAGGCTGCTGCAGATTGTCGAGCAGCACCCCGAGGAGACGCTGAGCCTGATGGCAAAAGAGGTGAGTGTCAGTCTGGACCTTCAAGACATATTCCTATTTCTTTTTTTTCTTTTTTTTTTTTTTTTTTAATATTTTATTGATTTTTTATAGAGAGGAAGGGAGAGAGAGAGAGAGAGCTAGAAACGTCGATGAGAGAGAAACATCGACCAGCTGCCTCCTGCACACCCCCTACTGGGGATGTGCCCGCAACCAAGGCACATGCCCTTAACCGGAATCGAACCTGGGACCTTTCAGTCCCCAGACCGACACTTTACCACTGAGCCAAACCGGTTTCAGCCATATTCCTATTTCTATCCAAGCACATTAATGTGTATAATGCATATATTTTACCTCTTCCTAACAAGCATCTAATTTTGCTACATTCCAAGAACATGGGTAATTCAAAACTGTATAAAGGAGTGTTCACATTTACCCATTTTCCTTAGTGGGTGGTGATAACTCTGAACAAGGACCCCAAGAAATAGAGGAGGAGGTATGGGACAGAGATGGGAGTGTTCTGGAGTACAGTTCACTGTCTGTAAAGAGAAAGCTGTGGTCTTATACCTGTTAGTGCCTGTGCTCGGTGCATTACTTAGTCCAAGGAGAAAGGACTCCATTTCAGCTGCATCCCACCCCCAGTGACTGTAGTGCCTGCAGCAGCACCGAGTCCAGAAGGACCCAGGGACATCCAATTCACCGAGTGCAGCTCACGTGTGTGGGCGCACAGAAGCAGCCTGCAATCCCACACATGTTCTCGCCACCAGCTTGTATGTCCCTGCTGTCCTCACCCCACACTGGGCTTCGTCATCCTGCTGCCTTCCTGTCTGTGAGGCACCTCTGTAAAAGGAGGGCTCCTTACTGACCTTTATAGACGTTTAACTGAAAATAGGGAATTTATGAGCTGATAACGTAACAGTAGTTCAGAAACACTGATACAATACTAGCCGTCTTAGTGGGGTTTTAACAGTGCAGGCCTCTGAGCTGAGACGCAGGCCGGTCAGGGCTTCCCCACTCCGGCCCCTGTGGATGGGGAGCTGTGGCTTGTGGGAGCGGTGGGCTTGTGTCAGTGGGTCTTAAACAGCGGATTAGCTTTAGAAATGCACTACAGGTGTGCTTTTCCTAAAGACAAGTGAAGGAATAAGTTGTAATTTCATTTTATTTATTTTTTTTTTTTTTATTTTTTTTTTTTTTAATTAATTAATTTATTTATTTTACATATTTTATTGATTTTTTTTTTGCCCCCCTCCTTCCCTCCCATGTATCCCCTCCCTCCCCAGAGTTTTATGTCCATTGGTTGTACTTATATGCAGGTATACAAGTCCTTGGGTTGATTTATTGTCTCCCCCAGACCCTCCTCCCCTCCCCGTTGTAATTTGACAATCTGCTTGTTGCTTTACTGTCTCTATATCTATCTTTTGGTTCATCAGTTTATAATGATCTTTATTATCCACAAATGAGTGGGGTCATGTGGTGTTTCTCTTTCATTGATTGGCTTATTTCACTCAGCATGATGTTCTCCAATTCCATCCAGGTTGCTGCAAATGATGAGAATTCCTTCTTTTTTATGGCAGCATAGTATTCCATTGTGTAGATGTACCAAAGTTTTTGGATCCAATCATCAGCTGACGGGCACCTCGGCTGTTTCCAGATTCTGGCTATTGTAGATTGTGCTGCTATGAACATAGGGGTGCATATATCCTTTCTGATTGGTGTTTCTAGTTTCTTGGGATATATTCCAAGAAGTGGGATTACTGGGTCAAATGGGAGTTCCATTCTCAGTTTTTTGAGGAAACTCCACACTGTTCTCCACAGTGGTTGCACCAGTCTGCATTCCCACCAGCAGTGCACGAGGGTTCCTTTTTCTCCGCAACCTCGCCAACACTTGTCGTTTGTTGATTTGTTGATGTTGGCCATTCTGACAGGTGTGAGATGGTACCGCATTGTTGTTTTGATTTGCATCTCTCGGATAATTAGTGACTTTGAGCATGTTTTCATGTGCCTTTTGGCCTTCTTTCTGTCTTCTTTTGTAAATATTCTATTTAGGTCCATTGCCCATTTTTTAATTGGATCATTCATCTTCCTTTTATTTAGTTGTATCAGCTGTCTGTAGATGTTGGAGATTAAACCTTTATCCGTGGTATTATTTGCAAATATATTCTCCCATACCGTGGGCTTTCTTGTTGTTTTGTTGATGGTTTCTTTTGCTGTAAAAAAACTTTTTATTTTGATGTAGTCCCATTTGTTTATTTTCTCTTTAGCTTCCATTGCCCTAGGGGCAGTATCAGTGAAGAAGTTCTTTTGGCATACGTCTGAGATTTTGCTGCCTGCGGATGCTTCTAGTATTTTTATGGTTTCCCGTCTGATGTTTAAGTCCTGTATCCATTTTGAGTTTATTTTTGTGTATGGTGTAAGTTGGTGATCTAGTTTCATTCTTTTGCATGTGTCTACCCAATTTTCCCAACACCATTTATTGAAGAAACTGTCTTGACTCCATTGTATATTCGTGCCTCCTTTGTCAAATATTAATTGAGCATAGTGATTTGGGTTGATATCTGGGTTCTCGATTCTATTCCATTGATCTATATGTCTGTTCTTGTGCCAGTACCAGGCTGTTTTGAGAACAGTGGCTTTGTAATACAGTTTGAAGTCTGGTATTGAGATCCCTCCTACTTTACCCTTCTTTCTCAGGATTGCTGTGGCTATTCGGGGTCTTTTATTGTTCCAAATGAACTTTTGGAGAGTTCTTGTAATTTCATTTTAAATTATTTTATTTATATATTTAATGAAGACAGCATTTTCACTTTTTGAGAAAATGAAGGATTACGCCAATGCTATGACACTGGAGAGACACGTGAGCTGTGCGCTCCCGGGGCTGTGTATTCTGACACGTTTTATGCTCACATACCCTACTCTTCTCTCACTTATGATAAGTTAGGAAGCTTGTCCACATTCACGCATGCCAATATGCCAAGTATGTCGGATTTTATCTTAAAATTAACACCTTAAAAAGCATTTTAATTTTGAATAAATTTTGAAAATGGTTTTGGTGTAAAGAAACAAAAACCAGAAGCCATGAAGAAAAATAATATGACACTTCTATGCAGGAAAAGAAAATATTCCATATCCAAAGTTTAAAAAAATGGGGGGAAATATTTTCAGTATGTATTAGAGACGGGGTTGAAGTGCACACTCGACATCATAAATAGACCAGTCGAGAGTGGTTACAGGAAATGCACACGTGATTATTGAGGCAACACATATAAACAGGCTGTTAAAGCTTTTTTGTTGTTATGAGCTGATTTGCCTTATCAGTAATGAAACATGAAAATTAAAATTAGATTTTTCCCTTCTCAGATTAATAATGAATTTTTTAAAAAATTGATTGTGTCCGAAGTTTTTTCCAGTGTAGTTTATATTCAATAATATTTTGTATTAGTTCCAGGTGGACAACATAGTGGTTAGACAATCAACCACTTTACAAAGTGTCCCCCTGATACTTTCAGTACCAGCTGGCCATAGTGATCAAAACAACATGGCATAATTCACGTTTAGAAGTGCAGATTTGAAAAGTCTTTTTGGAGAGAGAGCTAGCAATGTTTTTTACATTGTTAATGTTCACACAGTAATTTTACTTCTATGAATTTTATTCTATTGATATATAGTGCACATACAATGGGGATGTCCACTGTAGCATTATTTGTAATAGCAAAAACTAGAAAATACTCTAAAAATTCATTTTAGGGCAGTAGTTAAATGAAATGGAATACTAAGAATGAGGTAAATCTAAGAAAAACCAGCAACAGTATGCCTAGTCTGATTCTAGTCTTGTAAGGAAAGGATATGTGTGTCCACATACCTATAAATATCTGGGAGAATCGAATGGTTCTCAGTGGAACAGGAACTGAGAGAGCTGAGGGGAGAGGACTGTATTTTATATTTGTCTGTTTTGATGCTTCTGATTATAAGTATATATGTTTTTTGCATTGGACACATTGCTTTTATAATAAAGGGTTTAATTGTTATTCCTCATTAAGTTACAGCTCTCTGTGTTTTAGATTTCTTCCATTCCTTGCTGGCAGTTCATTGGCTGGATCAGCCACATGCTGGCCTTGCTGGACAAGGAGGAGGCCGTAGCCATCCAGCACACCGTGGAGGAGATCGCCGATCACTACCCCCAGGCCATCGTCTACCCGTTCATAATAAGCAGTGAAAGCTATTCCTTCAGAGACACTTCTACTGGCCATAGGAATAAGGAGTTTGTGGCAAGGTGACATTGCAGAGAAATTGGGTTGACATTAGAGGCCCAGTGCACAGGGGGTGCAAGGAGGGGGAGGTGTCCCTCAGCCCGGCCTGCAAAGACACCAGCATTACTCACCAGGCCTTTAGCCAGAGCCGCCTCCCCTCCCTCTGCGCAGTCTCTGGGAAGATGCTTGTGCTGGGTCTCCTCAGGGCCCCAGCCCATAACTCCTGGCAGCTCAGGTACTTGGGTGCTTGGGCTCCCAGATCCCGCTTCCCTGCCAGCGTGGAGTGCATCAGCTGCCAGGGGAGCTGCGCTTCAGGAGTCGCCCTTCCTCCCGCCGCCGCAGCACCTTGCCGCATCCACACTGCGGCAGGGGCTTCCAGTCTGTGACAGGCTACCAGGCTGCGACTGGGGCTGCAGGCAGAGGACCCCGGCACCCATAGGGTTCCCACAGTGTCTTCTAGGTCCTCCCCTCCCTCTGCGCAGCTGGGCAGGGATGCTGGGCTGCGTTACTGTGAGCCCAGCATCGCTCGCCCCAGCCTCAGTCCGGAGGTCCTTTCCTTCCCTCCCTCCACGCAGCGCAGCGGGGCAAGGACACTGGGCTCTGGACAGAGGACCCTCTCCTCCCTCCATGACCAAGGAGTGGACTCTGGGTTTGCGTTGCCGGGGCAACGTTGCCAGCGTCTGCCCTGGCTGCTATGGGTGCCGCCATTTTGTCACAGAGTGATGATGACTTTGCATGTTACTCTTTTATTAGGATGTGTATGGTGAAAGCAAACACATGGAAGCTTATATTTGTCTTCAAATTAATTAGAGCTTTCACAGAAGATAGAAAATCTTTGTGTTTGAGCTGAGGGGAGAGGACTGTATTTTATATTTGTCTGTTTTGATGCTTCTGATTATAAGTATATATGCTTCTTACATTGGACACATTGTAAGAAGTATTTTCTATTACAAAGATATTTAAATATCTTTGTAAAATGTACCTACCCTGGGTATGTTATTTGTTAGAATTTCTTTTTTAAAATACATTTCAATTTATTTTTTTAAAATATATTTTATTGATTTTTTTACAGAGAGGAAGGGAGAGAGATAGAGAGCTAGAAACATCAATGAGAGAGAAACATCAGCCAGCTGCCTCTTGCACACCCCCTACCAGGGATGTGCCCGCAACCAATGTACATGCCCTTGACTGGATCGAACCTGGGACCTTTCAGTCCCCAGACCGACGTTCTACCACTGAGCCAAACCGGTTTCGGCTCAATTTAGAATATTATTCATGGATCATTCTACCCTTATGCTATTAGGGTAGAATGAAATGCTTTTGAAATCAATTCTTGAAATTCTTCTTTAATTGAAAATATCCAGGAAGCCCCTCTTCTTAATTAAGACTCAGTAGGCTGTCTGCAGTGTCATTCCTTCCACTTCTTCGGTTGATTATAAGTGGAGATATAATTAGCAATGGTGTAATACTTTTGCAAGAATCCTGTATAATAAAGAGGTTAATATGCAGATTGACTGTCACGCCCTTGCACAAGATGGCTGCTCCCATGTGGTCACAAGATGGCCACCACAAGATGGCTGGCAGGGGAGGGCAGTTGTGGATGATCAGGCCAGCAGGGGCGAGTAGTTAGGGGTGACCAGGCCAACAGGGGAGGGCAGTTGGGGGCAATTGACTGGCAGGGGAGAGCAATTAAGGGAAAACAGGCCAGCAGCTGAGCAATTAGACATCAGTCAGGCTGGCAGGGGAGGGGTTAGGGGTGATCAGGCAGGCAGGCAGGCAGGCAGGCAGGCGAGCGGTTGGGAGCGGTTGTGAGAGGGATGTCCGACTGCTGGTGTAGGCCTGATTCCACTGACAGTCGGACATCCCCCGAGGGGTCCCAGATTGGATAGGTTGCAGGCGAGACTGAGACTGAGGGAACACACCCCCACCCCGCCCCAGTGCATGAATTTTGTGCATCAGCCTCTAGTATGTTATAAATGCATGGTGTCTTAGTGGACAGTCCCTATCAAAAGCTTTTTTGTTGTCAGGAGCTGATTTGCTGTATTATTTAGTGTTTTGTTTCCGAGAAGACAGAGTTAGGCACAGCTTTTATCATGGTTTGTCAATGGGTTGGCTCTGCACACACCGTCTACCACTGCTGGTGCCCCACCCCATGCCTCTCAGCAGAATCAGCTGCAACATGATTAACTAGTTTAAAAGAAAGAAAGGAAAACGTTTTAAAAATTTGTTGAGAAAGTGGCCTTTTCCCCCCTAACATAACTTCAGAACTGTATATATCAAATTGTATTCATCAAAATGTTGACATTATTTGCAAGACAATTTAATTTTATCTTATCTAAGAATCTCAACTCTTTATAGAATGCATTGGTCCTCCTTTATTCATGAGGGATATGTTCCAAGACCCTCAGTGGCTGCCTGAAATTGCAGTTATTCCAAACCCTATGTATACTTTGTTTTGTCCTATAGATACATAACTATGTAAAACTTAATTTATAAATTAGGTGCATTAAGAGATTGACAACAATAATGAAACAACAATTATAATAGCATACGGTAACAAATGTATGTGAATGTGGTCTCTCTCACAAATATGTTATTGTACTGTAGTCACCTTTTTGGTGATAATCTGAGATGATACAGTGCCTAAGTGATGAGATAAAGTGGGTGAATATGCTGGACAAAGAGATGATTCATGTTCCAGGTGGGATAGCACCAGATTTCATCACTACTAGAATGCCATGCGATGTAAAACGTATGATTTGTTTCTGCATTTTCCCACTTAATATTTTTGGACCACTGTTAACCCCGGAAAACTGATACCACAGAAATTGTGGATAAGAGGGGACTATAGTACATACTTTGTTCTTTATCTAATACTAGAGGCCTGGTGTACAAAAATTGTGCATAGGGAGCGGGGGCATCCCTCAGCCTGGCCTGCATCCTCTCGCAATCTGGGAACCCTCAAGGGAGGGACCACTGTCCCCTAACCACTCACCTGCCTGCCCATTATCCCCCGCTGCTCACCTCCCTACTTGATCGCCCCTAACTGCTTGCCTGATCACCCCTAATCACCTCTGGTTTGGCCCTATCGCCACAGCTTCATCTGGTAGGATCTCTGGAATGACATCATGAAGTCATTCAGCTGTTTGGTCTAATTAGCATATTACACTTTTATTATTATAGATTAGATAGAATGTGTAAATTGCTTGTTCCCTAGTTCTATTAAGTTTTATATGTAAGTAAAAATAATTATAAATTATAGACCTTGATCTATGGGAGATGTTTGGTTACCTAAACTTGGTAATTTTTTTATAGGATTAAAAGTAAGTTGGATCAAGGAGGAGTGATTCAAGATTTTATTAATGCACTAGAACAACTCTCTAATCCAGAAATGATCTTTAAGGTAATATTACATCTTCTAACCCATAAAACATAGAACTTACGTAGATAAAATCTACTTACAATCCAGCTTGATTTTTCTCTCTCTTTTTTTTTTCCCCTTGACAGGACTGGACTGATGATATCAAAGTGGAATTAACAAAAAGCCCCGTAAATAAAAAAAACATTGAAAAGATGTACGAAAGGATGTATGCGGCCTTGGGAGACTCAAAGGCTCCAGGCCTCGGCGCTTTCAGGAGGAAGTTTATTCAGGTATGGGCAGTGCAGCCCACCTTTATGACAGAATCATTGTGAAGATCAGTACTTACGTTTGCTGGTTTGTTAGCAATTCTGGTTTCAAAATGTCAGTTGAATTTGTAAACTGTCTTTAGAACTGATGCTTTCTCTGAAATATTAATGGCATATTTTTAGGTCATACAAAGCAAAGGGGGTCAATAGGTAAAGTCTTGGGGTTTTGATTACATTGTGTTCTTCATGCTCAGATTCTTAGATATGAAGGTTACATGTAGTTGAATATTTTTAAGTCTCAGAATGGTGTGAATATTGGGTCACTAAATATTTGTATTTTATATAGGTTAACCATTAGTGAGACTTACCTTTGTTCAAGGCACTCCATTGGGTGCTATAGGAGATACAAAGAGAAGATTGACCCCATTTTTCTCAACAATTCAAAGGGATTGTTGGCAGATACTGTAGGTAAAGAACTGTAGCCTAAGGATAGATGTGATATGTGAGACCTGTTTCTAAAGCTGTTTAGAGCTGAAAGAAAGAGAACCTTCTCACCTCAGTTTGGAGTAAATCAGAAAATTCCTCTTAGAACAAGTGGAGATGAAAGAGCCTTGCAATATCCAGGTTCCACACCACATGCCTTGTGCCTGTTGATCCCTCTGCATGAGCTTCTCACCTACCCATCCAGCTGGACAGCTCACCTTGAGAGATGTGTCTGCACCTTTTCTCCTTCAGAGCCTGTCTCTGAACCTCCTTCCTTTGCTGTCCCCAAGAGGTAGGTGTTCCTTCCTCTCTGCTGCCTGAACCACCCACATGCACATCTTTTAGCATTCATCCATGTTGTAGCATGTGTCAGTACTTCACTCCTTTTTAAATTTTATTCGTTTTCATTGATTTCAGAGAGGAAGGGAGTGGGAGAGAGAGAGAGATAGAAATATCAAAGATGAGAATCATTGATCGGCTGCCTCCTGCACACCCCTACTGGGGATCAAGCCTGCAACTGGGAATGTACCCTTGACAGAATCAAACCCGGGACCCTTCAGTCCACGGGCTGACACTCTGTCCACTGAGCCAAATGAGCTGGGCAGTACTTCACTCCTTTTTATTGCTGAATATTATTCCACTTTATGCCACGTTTTGTTTATCCTTTCATCAACTGATGGACATTTATTTTTTCCCCAGTTCTTAGTTCTTAGGAATAGTGCTACTGTGTACATCAGTACACAGGTTCTTTTGGCAAATTCCTTAGGAGTGGAAAACCATATTTATCTCTTAAAAATATATATATATTTTTTTATTTCAGAAAGTAGAGGGAGAGAGAGACAGAACCATCAGCCGAAACCGGTTTGGCTCAGTGGTAGAGCATCTGTCTGTGGACTGAAAGGTCCCAGGTTCGATTCCGGTCAAGGGCATGTACATTGGTTGTGAGCACATCTCCGGTAGAGCGTGTGCAAGAGACAGCTAGTCGATGTTTCTCTCTCATCGACGTTTCTAGCTCTCTATCTCTCTCCTTTCCTCTCTGTAAAAAATCAATAAAATATATTTAAACAATAGAGAGAGAGAGAGAGAGAGAGAGAGAGAGAGAGAGAGAGAAGCATCAGTTGGCTGCCTCCTGCACACCCCTCTACTAGGGATTGAGCCCAAAACCCAGGTATGTGTCCTTGATCAGAATTCAATTTGGGACCCTTCAGTGCACAGGCTCACACCCTATCCACTGAGACAAACTGGCTACAGCCATATTTATCTTTAATTCTTTATGTCTCTCAAATTAGACTTGTGGACAGAGATTTTCATCTTTTCACTTCCTATAGTACCGTTGTGTGTGTGAAATAAGCATCTTTAATTAGATGCAGGAATGGGATAGTTCTGGTAAGTAGAGGTAGATTTTGGTGGGTCATTCCTACTTTGGATAGTTTTAGTTAAAGTTATGAATGAATGTAGGAATCTACAGGACTGTCATTGCCTTAATGTGACCAGGGGGTTATCTCCTTAAAGTCAAGATAAAATCATGCATGTGCACTGAGCACAGGCTGCTCTGAGGACCCAAGAGGCAGGACGGACAGGTGGCACATACCGGCCATGGGTTTCTGTGTAAGTGCTGTATCCTCCCTTCCTCCCTCCCCTCCCTCGTCCCACGTGGTTCAGGGTTCGGGTGCTGGAGGAGGCCACACGCAAATGAAAGAGACTAGAAAATATTATTTTGGAAATATTGGGGGCCAGGCGGGAGCCCAGCTCAAGAGGAAGGACTCTGCTTAGCTCTGGCCTTGCCATCCTTTTATTCAAGTTTTGGGATACGAGTTATTCCAAGATGGCTGACAGGTAAACACCTAGCCACAGCCGCACACAACAATTTCAATAAAATACAACTAAAATATAAAATGGACATTACCCAGAACTACAGGAAAGTCGACTGACTGGAAATTCTACAACGAGAAGCAAGGAGAAAACCAGAAGGAAGCGCGGAGGAGCTGTAAAAGCCTAAGGTACGGAGTCGCGCTATGTGCGCGGAGATGACGGAGCCGGAGAAGAGGGGCGGCTGAGTGCCTGGCTGGCATTCCCTAACGGGAAGGAGATAAAAGCTCCGACTGTGTTGGGCCCCAGTTCTGACTGTTCTGAACCCCAGTTCAGGCCAGACCCCGGGGACTCAGGCTCAAACAGAGGGAGCTGGGCTGTAAGGCGGAACCCCGGGGGAGCGGTGAAAGGAGGTCCCGGAGGCGCGCACATTGCACGCAGAGAAGGGACGGTTGGCTGTGCCACAGGATTGCCCTGGCGGGAAGGAGACAGGGGCTCCAGACTGCTCTGAACGCACCTCCAACTCTACTTCCAACTGAACTGAACCCCGATACCGGGCTCATTGGGGAGAGCATAGACTGTTTGGCAGCAGGCAAAAATCGAGAGCACCTTTCTCTCAGAGGTGCTAGCAGTGAGTACTGAAGGACCCTGGGGATTACTGAGACCCAGGAACCGCATAGGGCGGGGCTGACGGTAGCCAAGGCTGTAGGCTCCACCCTGAAACCCTGCCCCATCCAAGCAGAACACAGAGACTTTTAAGGCTATCAACTCAGGAAAGCTGTGAAAATGCCGAGACAAAATAGATCACAAACGAAAGAAATGGAGGACAAAAAGCGACTCGATAAAGAGTTCAAATCTACGCTTGTAAGGTTTCTCAAGAATTTCCTAGAAAAGATGGATAAGACCTATGAGGATATGAAAAGGGATCAACTAGAATTAATAAGGAATCAGGAAATGATAAGGGATCAACAAGAAATAAAGAATACATTGTCTGAAATAAAAAATATTATACAGAGTCCTAAAAACAGAATGGAAGATCGCAAGAATCAAGTCAAAGAGTTGGAACATAAAGAGCCAGAAGACACTCCTCTGCAGAAGCTAGAAGGCAAGAGAATCCAGAAAATTGATAATGTAAGAAACCTCTGGGACAACTTCAAGCGAACCAACATCAGAATTATGGGGGTCCCGGAAGATGAGAGAGAGCAAGATATTGAAAACATACTGAAAGAAATAGTGACAGAAAACTTCCCCTACCTGGTGAAAGAATTAGACTTACAAGTCCAGGAAGCGCACAGAACTCCAAACAAAAGGAATCCAAAGAGGACCACACCAAGACACATCATAATTAAAATTCCAAGAGCAAAAGACAAAGAGAGAATATTAAAAGCAGCAAGAGCAAAGAAGGTTACCTTTAAAGGAACACCTATACGATTGTCAGCTGATTTCTCAACAGAAACTATGCAGGCCAGAAGGGAATGGCAAGAAATATTCAAGGTGATGAATAGTAAGAACCTACAGCCAAAGATAATCTATCCAGCAAAGCTATCACTCAGAATCGAAGGTCAGATAAAGAGCTTCACTAATAATAAAAAAAAAAAAAAGCTAAAGGAGTTCATCACCACCAAACCAGAATTATATGAATTGCTGAATGGGGTTCTTTCAGAAGAGAAAGTAAATAAAGATAAAAATTATGAACAACAAATACGTAACTATCAACAAGTGAATCTAAAAACCAAGGAAATTAAAAAAAATATGATGAACAATATTAACTGTTGAATATAATAGAATCAGGTATGGAAGGGAAGTGAACTGATGATTCTTGGGGAAAAGGGGAGAGGAGGATGTGGGAAGAGACTGAACATAAACTGTACACCTATGGATGAGGACAATGGGGAGTGGGGAAAGGGTAGAGGATGGGGTGGGAACCTGGTGGAGGAGAGCAATGGTGGGGGGGCGGGAGGAAGGAACATTTGTAATAATATGAACAATAAAAATTTATTTAAAAAAAAAAAGTTTTGGGATATACCAATAGCCCTTAGGCAGGCAATTCCAATAACAGCCAGTCAGCAAGAATTTACATAAAACTAAAAGGTGGAAGTTGCTTCAGCTACCATTGTCTCAGCCAAACAGTGGGTGCAGAGCTCTGACCTTTCAGAGCTCAAAGTCTCCAGCTTTCCTTGTCAGCACCTCTCTGCTCGTGAGGACAATGGCGGCTTCCAACATCCCTGCATTCCGACTCTGCTCAGCCTGCTTCCTACAAGCAGGTGAAAGCTGACAGAGGGTATGCTGGGGAACAGTTCCCATACGTGGAGTTCACTGGGCAGACAGCATCCCCTGCCCCTCGTGCCCAGGGACAGGCTACATCCAACAGAGCAAGTAAATGAGCTGGCGGCTTTGACCCCACAGGGACCAGAGAGTGTGCGCTCCAAGGACCAAGCAGTATGTCCTCATGTCCGTCCTGCTCTGTCTTCTGGCATTTGGGTTAGTGATTTCCTTCCCATTTCCAAATTCAGTCCTTATGGACGACGACGACAGCATCCAAGTGATGAAAGTCCCATTTAATAAGCAGAACTCCCTTGTAATTCTTACCGTCTAGGCCACCCTGAAATCAGGGACTCCCACTTCTACTCTGTGGCAGTGGCCAGCCTGTCCAGCCAGGTTCAGTGTGTGAGCACGGTGGTTGGGTCATATGCGACAGCTAACGTCTCCCTCACTCGACCTTGGAGCGAGCAGCTGGGGAGTGTGACTGCAGACAGAGGGGGACGGCCGTTTTCCTGTTGTATTCGGCACATCGCCCAGTGTCCAGGGGCACCATAGCGATCTTCATGAGAACTTCAGCTAACATCTCTCATATTGGCCACATGTCTCCTTGAAGACCAATCACTGTGTGGATTGTGGAACAGATTCCAGCGTTTAGAAAATGCTTTTGGCAGTCCTTGTCAGAAGAGACACGTCTTCTGTTCTCAGGGCCCGGGTTCCATACCTGCCTCAGGTGGTAGGAGTAGAGGAGAAACTGGTTCTCTTTATCCCCACACACCCTCCTGCCACTTGGAAGGAAAACTCCCCTCAATAGCACCATTCATGTATCTCCGATCCAGCAGAATCACTGCCCGGCGCATAGTAGGCACTATGCCCAGCAAATAGTAGGCACTCAAGGTTTGAAGAATTAAATTCAGATCTTTTCAGCTGTTCTTGGAACATTATAAATTGAAAGCATACCGTGCTAGGTTATAAAACAATAGAGTGACATGGAGGTAGGACAATTAGTGCAGTACTGTCAAACTAACTTAATGTCAGGATTTTGACAGTTATTTTTATTTTAAATTCTTGTCATATTTTCATCATTACTATGGATCAGTATACTTTATACAATGTCTAATTAGATTATAGTTTTCTTATATTCCTGATTATGACAAGTGTTCCGATTCCTGTCTAATAATAGTGATAATGTAATTTCTTCTAACCATCCCCATGCTTTGCTTCTGAATTCCTTTTCCTCAGAAGAGGTTATAACAGTTAGTGCAGTACTGTGAGACAGAGGAAGATTTGATATGGTGTGAAACCTAGTAATATAGGTCATATAATCAAATACAGAGATTTATAATCCTACCTTTTTTAAAAATCAGAAGCTGGGTATTTTTCTACCAAATTCCTAATCCCCATTCCGGGCAGTGGATGAAGGCTACATTGAGCCCCACATAGGCTCCTGGTGAAAACGGAGAGAACTTTCTGTGAGTTCCCAGGCACGTGGGAGCAGGTGAAAATGGTCACTATGGAATGGTCTGTGCTTTCTTTATGCGTCAGGTTCTCTCCCTGCCGTCTCTGTGCCGGTGCGGTCCTGATCTTAGCTGTGCAGGTGCACTAACTGTCCTATCTCCAACATTCAGATTTACCTTACAGTATATTGAAGAGAAGTTATTGTTACTTTCAGGCTTTTGGAAGAGAATTTGATAAGCACTTTGGGAGAGGAGGCTCTAAGCTCCCGGAAATGAAGCCTCATGACTTCAGTGACATCACCAACGCTCTGCTTTCAAAGATGCGCGACGACTCCAAGCCCCCTGGGAACCTGAAAGAGTGCTCACCCTGGATGAGTGACTTCAGAGCCGAGTTCCTCCGAAACGAGCTGGAGATTCCTGGTGAGCGGGCCTCCGGAAGTGGCACAGCTACTCCACCGAGAAGAACCTGTGACAGTTATTTTTATTTTAACTTCTTGTATTTTTATCATTACTATGGATCAGTATACTTTATTCAATGTCTAATTAGATTATAGTTTTCTTATATTCCTGGTTATGACAAGTGTTCAGATTCCTGTCTAATAATAGTGATAATGTAATTTCTTCTAACCATCCCCATGCTTTGCTTCTGAATTCCTTTTCCTCAGAAATAGGATATAGTTATAAATGCAGATCCATTCTTGGGATGTACATGCTGGACCCATTCAAAGTGGCAAGATAATGATAAATAACTTACCTTTGAGAAGAAGAATTGTGACATTGAGGATAAAGACGAGTTGGTCAGATGTGAACACAGCATTTTTCAAAGACAATTTTTGTACATTTCATGTTTTTTGTCCTGGAATTCACCAGACCAAAAAAAATGTTTTAATATGGTTATATTAAAACATTGAATATTAAAAAATTGAATATTAAAAAATTTGGAGAAATACTTTTCTTTGTTATTAACAGCTATGTATATTGAATATTAAAAAATTCAATATTGAATTTTGAATATTAAAAAATTTGGAGAATATTAAAAAACTTGGAGAAATACTTTTCTTTGTTATTAACAGCTATGTATTACATACAGGCAGTTTCAAGAAAATTATTTGAGACGAAAGCCTCTTAGTATGCGGCTTGATTCTCATGGAAATTATACAGTGCTCTATCGCAATGCATCGTTTTTCCTGTTTGAAGTTCTTCCCTTAGTCAAAATCAGAAATGCAGGGTTGGGCAAAAGTAGGTTTCTAGTGGTAATACAAATAAATAATAAAATAATAAGTAATAACACAAAATAAACTGCATGCTGCACAACTGTAAACCTACTTTTGTTTATCCCTATAATAGAGTTTTAAAATCCATTTTCTTTATTTAAAATATATATATATATTTTATTAATTTTTTACAGTGAGAAAGGGAGAGGGATAGAGATTTAGAAACATCCATGAGAGAAACATTGATCAGCTGCCTCCTGCACATTCCCTATTGGGGATGTGCCCTTGGCCAGAATCAAACCTAGGACCCTTGAGTCTGCAGGCCAGCGCTCTATCTACTGAGCCAAACTGATTTATTTTCTTTAAATAAAAAAATTTAGTAAAAAATTTTGATAACTTTCTACTTAGATTACAACTATTTTTTAAGTTGTTTTTATTTTTTTATTTTACTGATTTTTGTGCGGGGGGGGGGGGGGGAAGCAAGAGAGAAACACCCATGTGAGAGCAAGACAGAGATTGACTGTCTCCTGCACACCTCCTACCAGGAATCAACCCGCAACCTGGGCGTGTACCCTGACCAGGAATCAAACTGGCAACCTTTTAGTGCACAGGCCGATGCTCAGCTCCTGAGCCACCCTGGCCAGAGCAGCAGCTGTTTTAAAATACAGGGATCTGTAACAAGCTCCATCTAAATAAGGCTTTTTTGTTTTGTCCTAGGTCAGTATGATGGCAAAGGAAAGCCGATGCCGGAATACCACGCACGGATCGCAGGGTTTGATGAGCGGGTAGGTGCCAGTGTTTGTGACCAGAGTTAGGCTTGTTAGTGTGTGGCGATTAGTCCTTCAGATTAGAGAATATTTATGTGTACCAGAGAAAAGACAATTAATGTCCTATGTTGGTCTAAAATGTATGTATTTTTTCTGATCCTATCCTTTACTGAATTTCGTAAAGTGTCCAATGTTTTAATGCAATAATATTTAAGGACATAATAAACTTGAAGGGTAAGCTGTATATGTGTATCCACCATTTTAAAATATATGTGATTTAAGTAATTGTAGAAAGTTATGTCTTGCTTGTTACCAGGGACATTCTTTTAACCAGGAATATGAAATTATGTGGGTACAGTAGCATGGTGTGAACAGGTAACAGATATTTCACTGACCCTTGATTATCTCTTTTTATAGAGACCTCTCTGAGCAATGTGTGCCTACCAGCCTACCTTCCCCAGCCCCGTTCTTAAATATGTTTTTATTGATGTCAGAGAGGAAGGGAGAGGGGCAGAGAGATAGAAACATCAATGATGACAGAGACTCATTGATCGGCTGCCTCTTGCACGCCCCCTATTGCGGATCCAGCCCGCAGCCCAGGCATGCGCCCTGACCAGGAATTGAACCCTGACCTCCTGGCTCCTGGGGCGATACTCAGCCATGAGCCACACCAGCTGGCACTTTTCCCCTTTGATGATGATGTGATGTGCTGGTCCCTCAATGGTGAAGACTGCACCTAAAGTATTTTCTTCCTTTTTAAAGGTGAAAACAATGGCTTCTATCAGAAAACCAAAGCGCATCATCATCCGAGGCCACGACGAGCGGGACTACCCTTTCCTGGTGAAGGGCGGCGAGGACCTGCGGCAGGACCAGCGCGTCGAGCAGCTGTTTGAGGTCATGAACGTCATCCTCTCCCGAGACGCTGCCTGCAGCCAGAGGAACATGCAGCTGCAGACGTACCACGTCATACCCATGACCTCCAGGTAGGACCGCTGGGCGCCGTCACTCCAGAGGAGATTGTGAGCCTGGTGCTTGCTTCCATTGGCTGAGATGGCGTCACCTGTTTAGTGTTTTAGATTTCACATCGTCAGAAACGTAGCCAGAACTAGCAAACAGCTCTAAACCTATGATTTTTATCTTAATGTGGGGAAAGTAAGTGAAGAATTGATGTGAAAGAAAAATACACCTGTTTTGCTCTAATTCTATAGAACTCTTTTTCTAGTAAAGAACGCGCGGTTTGGTTTGTATTCATAAACCTTTTATTCTCCTTTACAGATTAGGATTGATTGAATGGATTGAAAATACTTTTACCTTAAAGGAACTTCTTTTGAGTAGCATGTCACCAGAGGAGAAAGCAGCTTATACAAGGTAACGAGGAATCTCAGTGTTTCCTAGCCCTGCCCTGGTGCCCCCAGCAAGCTGCTGCTCCCCAGACATAACCTGCTCCCTGATGACAAGCTATAGAATGAAGGAAGGAGAAACAGACCTGTTTTTCTTCATTGAACTCTCATTCCTTCCTGAAAGTGTATTGAGAGGAGCAATAGTCTCACCAGGCAGGAATAGTTCCTGTAAAATGAATCATTTTGATCAAACTCTTACTTGTGGGTAACAGTCGCTACACAGGACAGTGTTTACCAACTTTTAATTCCCATCCTTTGAGTCCTCTGTTGGGAATTGTCTGTCTAGAAGACAGGAAAGCTGATGAGCAGTACTTTCCAGAGTCAGAAAATCCAAAGCTGGCCCAGGTACTGACCGGCCGTGTTTCAGACTCACCTTTCCCTATTCCCACGCCTCCTTTGAGAGATGGGACAGTGATGTATGTGTGTAAGGGAAGCATCAACAGAGTTCAGAGTGCTTTTCAAATAGGAAATGGTGTAAACTCTTTTCCTCTCCCTTTTAAAACAAGCCTCGTCCACCGCCATTGCTAAAAACCATTGCTGTCTTTCCTTTACATGTGACAGGTTTTCCAAACTGAGGATTTTCACCCCAGCTGCAACTAGGTGAAAATGAAGTGTCCATTTAAGAAATTAACTTAGTAGCAATTCAGAAAAGATTCAACTTAAGTGATGGAACTATTAAGTAATACGTTGCAGAATTGTTCTATCCTTAGGTATTTTTTAGGAAAATTTGTTAAAACTTTTGACACAAACCCCCAAAGTGGCTAAACATACAAATATCCCATGGTTTCCAGCTGCCCGATGCTGCCTTTTGCCTAGGAAGCATTGAAGACAGCTTTTCACGTTCAATTCAGATCCATTGTCTTCTAAGAAAATACTTTATTGTTCTCGTGTGGGTTTGGGGATGGTGAAAGCGTAAGGCAGGTTTGAATAATGACAACAGGCTCTTCTGCCTTCACGTGTTTGTGGTTTTTGTTTGACATGTAACATGGCTGCCTGTGTTAATAAGTTGCATGCGGTTCCGTCCCCTGTTGTTACGGTGCTTTTCCAGGACAGGATTCTAGAACACATGCCAAGGTCATAGACACTTACCTTGAGGTCATCTTGTTTCGCTCTGGACGATGTGGAAAATTATTGTATTTGGTTTTTGTTAGTTAGTTTGTTTGTTTGTTTGTTTGTTTGTTTGTTTTTGGTGCCTAAACTTTTACACAGGAAATAGCTTGGGTTCTTTAGAAATTAAGGATGAATGATGACATTGACATTCTAGATCCACAGTAACATGGGTTGTGTTAATATTAAACATGATTAAAAATCATATTAATTTTCCCTGCCTCTTGTTTCTCGGTGGATTCATGGTAGTCTTTGCCTCTAAAAGCACATAATGCTGACTCTCTCCCCAACGCTGACCCCCTTTTCCTGTCTGCTAGTGACCCCCGAGGCCCGCCGTGCGAGTACAGGGACTGGCTGGCCAAGACGTCCGGGCGGCGGGGGCCGGGCGCGTACGTGCTCATGTACAAGTAAGCGTGGCTTTCCTTTCATAACTGGTTCGTGCTTCTCAAAGCTGCATGTATACCTTTGTTTCTTAGGAGGTTTTACCTCAGAGATATCATCAAAATCTGGTTACCTGATATCTGAGCTTCAATGTAAACCAAGAATATTAACTTTTCCATTACAAGAAGTTTGTTCTACTCACATGTTTTCTTTTGTTCAATCTTAGGAGAGCCAGTCATACTGAGACAGTCACATCTTTCAGAAAAAGAGAAAGTAAAGTGCCAGCTGATCTTTTGAAGTAAGTATCCTTCCGGCTGAATCCCCCACTGGCAGCACAGCGGGGACCCCCCCCCAGCTGTGTCCCCCTCCCAGGCCCTGGCAGCACAGCAGGGACCCCCCCCCAGCTGTGTCCCCCTCCCAGGCGCTGGCAGCATAGCGGGGACCCCCCCAGCTGTGTCCCCCTCCCAGGCGCTGGCAGCACAGCGGGGACCCCCCCCCAGCTGTGTCCCCCTCCCAGGCGCTGGCAGCACAGCGGGGACCCCCCCAGTTGTGTCCCCCTCCCAGGCCCTGGCAGCACAGCGGGGACCCCCCCAGCTGTGTCCCTGTCCCAGGCCCTGGCAGCACAGCGGGGACCCCCCCCCCAGCTGTGGCCCTCTCCCAGGCGCTGGCAGCACAGCGGGGACCCCCCCAGCTGTGTCCCCCTCCCAGGCGCTGGCAGCACAGCAGGGACCCTCCTCCCCCAGCTGTGTCCCCCTCCCAGGCGCTGGCAGCACAGCGGGGACCCCCCCAGCTGTGTCCCCCTCCCAGGCGCTGGCAGCACAGCGGGGACCCCCCCAGCTGTGTCCCCCTCCCAGGCCCTGGCAGCACAGCGGGGACCCCCCCAGCTGTGTCCCTGTCCCAGGCCCTGGCAGCACAGCGGGGACCCTCCCTAGCTGTGGCCCTCTCCCAGGCCCTGGCAGCACAGTGGGGACCCCAACTGTGTCCCTCTCCTAGGCGCGCCTTTCTGAAGATGAGCACCGGCCCGGAGGCCTTCCTGGCGCTCCGCTCCCACTTTGCCAGCTCTCACGCCCTGGTGTGCATCAGCCACTGGATTCTGGGCATTGGAGACAGACATCTGAACAATTTCATGGTGAACATGGAGACAGGCGGCATGGTCGGGATTGACTTTGGACATGCCTTTGGATCCGCTACGCAGGTGGGCTCCCCCAGCCATCCCTGCTCCTGGCTGGCCCCCCGTTGTCTTGGGCCTGGGACGCCTCTGGGAATGATGGTTTTCGCAGAAGCAGTGACAGCGCTGGGGCAGGGGTCAGCTTTGTCCTGAACATTACTCTCAGCTTCCTTGGAGAAAGGGATGTTCTCGGCCTGGTGCCGACAGGTTAGGCAAGGTGTGGCGACAAATTGTCATCAGAGCTAAGGATAAAATGTGCTCCTATAAAGAGGGAGGAGTCTGGGGGAGTTTTATGAAGCTGCAGAGTCGGCATGTCTTGTGCAAGACATGGCTGGCGTGAGCTCTGTTCTAATCCGCACTCCTAGGTCCCAGGCCGCGTGGACTGTGCCCGGAGGGGGTTGCATTGCAGGGATGACTGTTGGCTGCTCGTGGGCACGTACATCGTATCTGTGATCTGATTTTGAGAAAAGAGGATTCATACTCGCACTAAATGAGAATAGTAACCGTGGGAAGATGCTGGGTTTGTGCCTGTTACTTTTAGATTTCTAGCGAATATATTCTGTTTCCTGTGTGTATGTTTTCCACTTTAGTTTCTGCCAGTCCCTGAGCTGATGCCTTTTCGCCTGACTCGCCAGTTCACCAATCTGATGTTGCCCATGAGAGAAACAGGAGCCATGTACAGCGTCATGGTGCACGCCCTGAGAGCCTTCCGCGCGCACCCCGCCCTGCTCACCACCACCATGGACGTGTTTGTCAAGGAGCCTTCCTTCGACTGGAAGGTAGGGCTGCTTCCATGCGACTCCACTGTGTTGTAACGCGCTGGTGACTGAGGTGATGGAAATGCAGCAGAATGTGTTCTCTGAAATAAATATTCACATGATCTTGTAGAGCATTTCATGAAATCAACAGTTGGAAATCATTTGGCTTGAAAACAAGAAACATAACCTTTAATTGAACAGTTATTGTTTCAATTGAGTGCATTTCTAACTAAGAGAGGAAGGATGAACCCATTAATGGTGGGTTCAGTTTCTCTTGGAGACGACTTTCATGAGGCCTTCCTGGATGATAAAGACAAACAGTGCTTTCTTTCCTTTTTTTTTTTTTTTTTTTTAAATATGTTTTATTGATTTTTTACAGAGAGGAAGGGAGAGAGATAGAGAGTTAGAAATGTCAATGAGAGAGAAACATCGACTAGCTGCCTCCTGCACACTCCCCACCGGGGACATGCCCGCAACCAAGGTACATGCCCTTGACCAGAATCGAACCTGGGACCCTTCAGTCCGCAGACCAACGCTCTACCACTGAGCCAAACCGGTTTCAGCAAAACAGTGCTTTCTTAAATCTAAGGGTTTTTTACTACACAGTCCCAGAGGAATGAAGCTTAGCAATGGCACCCTTTACATATGGAGTGATGTTTCTTTTTTAAATATATTTTTATTGATTTTAGAGAGGAAGGAAGTGAGAGAGATAGAAACATCAATGATGAGAATCACTGATCAGCTGCCTCCTGCACAACCCCCACTGTGGGGGGGTCCCCACTGTGCTACCGTTTCAAAGCTGTCTGCTTGGGAATTCCTTTAGAAACCAGGAGCATGCCCTTGACCAGAATCAAACCCGGGGCCCTTCTATCCACTGAGCCACATGGGCTAGGACAGGAGTGATGTTTTAAGCCTCACCATGGTTCCTCAAGATCATTGTCACTATGTGTTACCACCATTGGAATCTGTATGGAGAGCCACAGAGCTCCTCCCAGGTACAGAGCTGTGTAGCTTAAGATCATTACTTGTTTTATCTGTTCGGTTGTGTTCAAATGTACTGCTATAGTAAGCAAAGAAAGTCATGCTCTTTTCCTTTAGAATTTTGAACAGAAAATGCTGAAAAAAAAAGGATCGTGGATTCAAGAAATAAATGTAACAGAAAAAAATTGGTATCCCCGGCAGAAAATAAATTATGCGAAGAGAAAGTTAACAGGTGCCAATCCAGCAGTTATTACTTGGTAAGATTATCATTTGTGGGGAAAAATACAAAAACAAAAACACCAGCTTGCTAGCATTTCCTGAAGAATTACTACATCCTGTACAAAGTGCTAAGAACTTGACAAGTAGCCTGTGGTGTGAGCCCCATTATCCTCATTTTACTGGTGAATCTTAGCGTCATTAGTCACCGGAGAAATGCAAAGGAGATGCCACTTCACTCCCAGGAAGGAAAACAATGCCACACAACTAGTGTTGGGAGGCTGTGGAGAAATCGGAGCCTCGGATGTATGTTGCTGGTAGGAAGGTGAAATGATGCAACTGCTGCAGAGAAGGGCAGCCTGGCAGCTCCTCGGGAATTTAAACGTGAAATTGCCATTTGACTCCTCAGTTTGTCGCTCAGTGTTCACCGAGAAATGAAAGCACATACCAGCACAGAGGCCTGTAGCCCACATTATTCAGGTTCTGTTTTTCTGCAAATTGGGTCTCTTGACTTCAAGGTTCTGAGCAACAGAAACATTCTCTAAGTGATGAGAGGGAAGGCTGACAGCCAGGCCCGCAGGCCACAAAGGGGAAACAGTGAGTGGTTAATGCTTCTGTATTTGTTTTCTGTTTTTCCCAGCGATGAGTTACGTCTGGGCCATGAGAAGGAACCGGCCTTTGATGACTTTGTGGCTGTCGCACGAGGAAACAAGGACCACAACGTTCGTGCCCGAGAACCAGAGAGTGGGCTTTCGGAAGAGGCGCAGGCGAAGTGCTTGATTGACCAGGCGACAGACCCCAACATCCTTGGCCGAACGTGGGAAGGCTGGGAGCCCTGGATGTGAGGTCTCGGGGAGCCAGCAGGCAGAAAACAGGAAAACACTTAACCTTCCATGAGCCCATTTTCCTGAAGCTCTAAAGAGAAGAAAAGATCGTGATGAATAAGTGAATATTGAAGAATGATTGGGTTAAGGTTATCACAGACATTTAATAGAAAAATGTATATCCAGGCTCATACACGTGTAAAGATTATAGCACGTTACAAGTGCTGTGCCTTAGACAAACCAGCTATGTTAATAAATGGTATAGTGTTCACTGACATCTGTGTCGCATTGGTCATTATGGCATATTGGAAATGACACCCAGAAGCCTCATCACTAAGCCTGAGCGTACAGCCCACAGCATGACTGATCCGGTACCTAGAGTAGCAGTACAGGAACAAACACAGGGAAAGCTGTGGCTTATTGTAGTTAGAAATGATTGTATTTGATGTTTCTCTCTCACCAATATTTCCATCTCTCAATCCCTCTTCTTCCTCTCTTTATAAAATCAATAAAAAATATTTCTAAAAACACTTGGTCTGCCGAAACCGGTTTGGCTTAGTGGATAGAGCATCAGCCTGTGGACTTAAGGGTCCCGGGTTCGATTCTGGTCAAGGGCATGTGCATTTGTTGCGGGCACATCCCCAGTGGGGAGGTGCAAGAGGAGCTGGTCGATGATTCTCATCAATGTTTCTGACTATCCCTCTCTCTCCTCTCTGTAAAAAAATCAATAAAATATATTAAAAACAACAACAACAACGAAAAACACTTGGTCTTAGCACTCACTTTTGCTCCCCTGCTCCCCAGTGGGAAGAAGGTAGACTCGGGGTGACTTCAGTGTCCAGGTGTGGTTACAGGGATAGCACTAGCATTGCAGTTCTAGGAAAATAAATCCCTATATGAAACGGATTCCTCATTAGGAGAGAAAACATGCATTTTAGAACAGCAAGATCAAATTATGAAATACAAAAATGGCTTTCCACTCAGTCTCGGCCGCCTCTAATACCTCCACACACCTGGGACTGTTTCAGATTGGCTTGAGCTTTTTATTACTGTTTTTTTTGAAACATTTAAAAACAGCCTAAGTGGCCATTAAGCAGATGAGTAGATTAAAAACGTGTGGTACATCCTAGCTGGTCTGGCTCAATGGATAAGAGCGTTGGCCTGTGGATTGAAGGGTCTCGGGTTCAATTCCAGCCACGGGCACATGCCTGGGTTATGAGCACAATCCCCAGTAGAGAGTGTGCAGGAGGCAGCCAATCAATGATTCTCATTGATATTTCTCTCTAAAATCAAAAATATATTTTAAAAAACATACCTGTGGTACATCTACACAATGGAATACTACGCTGCTATAAAAAAGAAGGAACTCACCATTCACAACAGCATGGATGGACCTGGAGAGCATTATGCTAAACGAAATACTGTAAGCTAGCCAGAAAACGATAAATATCACATGATCTCACCCATTTGTGGAATATAATGAACAACATAAACTGATGAACAAAAGTAGACCCAGAAACAGAGAAGCATTGAACAGACTGTCCATCCTATGAGGGGAGGTGGGGGTTGAAGGCATAAGAGATCAACCAAAGGACTTGTATAGATCCATATGAGCATAACCCATGGATACAGACAGTGCGGGGGGGGGGGGGGGGTGAAGGCAGGTGCTGGAGTGTGGGAATGGCCAGGGAGAGGCCCATAGGGGGAAGGGGGAGAGGAGACATGTAATACTTTAATAATTTAACTTTTTTTTAAAGTTCATTGTTACTAGATGATTGTGTGTATGAGTCTCATTTCAAAGCTGTCTGCTTGGGAATTCCTTTAGAAACCATGAGCATGCAATAAAAAAGAAATAGTGTAGTGTTCATAAGACACTTTCACAATTGTTCAGGATAGTAAATGTCCTCATTACACATTTAGGCTCATACCTGTGATCCAAATTTCAACCCTGTGATTCTTGCTGAGCAAAGAGTTGATTTGTCTCATAAACAACAGAAGGGTGGTTAGCAGAGGGGAAGAAGGTTGGAGGAGCAGTAGGAGGGTAAATGGAGTCAAATATATGGTGATCAAGGGAGACTAAGGCTTTGGGTGAAAATCACAAATGCAATATGTAGGTAATATATATAAAGAGCCAGGTTCTGTAACGACCAAGGCTCCACCAAACACCAGTGCTGGTGCATCGACCCAGCACTGACTGACCAGGGGGCTGCAGATCAGGCCCAGAGAGAGAAACGGTGTGATCCCCAGCCTCCGTGGCAGCTGTTGATCAGCTGTTGCCTCTCTCTTTCTCTCCCTTGTGTTTCTCTCCGGGCCTCCTTGGGGGCTGCTGATCAGCCCTGCCTCTTTGATCAGGCTCAGAGATAGGCCCAGAGACACTGACTGGCATAGAAACTGACCAATCAGAACCAAATCTGGGTGAAGTGAGAGGATCTAATGGCTGCCTAGGAGGCAGAGCTTTTGACACCTACTGGCACAGAATCTGACTAAATCTGGGCGAAGTGTGAGTTGCCAGTGGCTAGGAGGCAGAGCTTTTGATGCTGACTGGCATAAAAACCTACCAATCAGAACCTAGACGGGGTGAACTGTGAAGGCAGAACCTAAAGTGGGGGCTGAGGAGAGGTTTTAAGGGCAACAGCTGTTTGGTGTAAGGTGTGAGAAAGTGATTCAGTTTTTTAATGACCAGTTTGGCAGTATAGTGCATATGGCTGGCTATCAGTCCAGATATAGGGATTATGTGTTTTTGTCTGCCAAGAGCATCTTCTCCATCTGAAAAAGGCCTCTCTCCCCCATTTAAGCAATCCTATCCTATATAATTTATATTACTAAAAGGGTAATGTGCTGCCGAAACTGGTTTGGCTCAATGGATAGAACATCAGCCTGCGGACCCAAAGGTCCCAGGTTTGATCTGGTCAAGGGCATGTACCTTGGTTGCAGGCACATCCCCAGTAGGGGGTGTGCAAGAAACAGCTGATAGATGATTCTCTCTCATTGATGTTTCTAACTCTCTATTCCTCTCTCTTCCTCTGTAAAAAATCAATAAAATACATATTTTTTAAAAATATAAAAATAAAAGGGTAATATGCTAATTAGACCGGGTTGACCGGCCATCTTTCGGTTTTTAGAAGATTCTTGAGTAACCTTATAAATGTGATTCTGAACTCAGTGTTGTCTAGTAGTTACTTTCCTCCATCTCTCCCATTTTTGACATGCTTCTGTGTCTCCTCATTTTGGCTGCCTCCCTGTGTTGATGGAGTGGCTTTGTGTGGTCTGTGACCTATAGGGGCCAGTAGCTCAGCTTCCCCAATCATCTGAGGTGGTCCTTTTGGTATATCCCTTTGTGGGCTGAGTGCAAAGTCTTAGTGTATTTAAGGCTTGATTGCTGTTCGTACACTGGGAGGAATTGACCTCCAGCTGTGAGGACCTGCTGTGTCTATAAAGGAAGAACTGCTGTGCTGGAGACACGGTTTGTTTCAGTGGGGCTTGGTGCTCACTGAGTCCGTCTCCCCAATGTGTCACTTACAGGTGTGAGGCCTTAAAACTGAGCACTAGGAACACTGGCTTCTGGATCTCCAATGGGGTGCAGTTCCGCTGCTGTCGGAGGCCACCCTGCAGGAGCTACAGCGAGAACCACAGCCCTCCTCCTGGAGCTGTCTGCGAAAGGTTGCAAGTTTGCCAGATTAAACTGCAACAGAGGGCCATTCATATGCAAAAGCCGCTGCTTGGAGCTTGGATGTGTTTGTAGGTTTTGCAGGGCGGAGTCTCAGGGTGTCACTAGGTTGGGACATGGCCATCAGCGATGGCCGCCTCTCTGGTCTCTCTGACCACATCCCCGCGTCTCCCCATCTCCCTGCGTCTTGTGCCTTCCGCACAGCAAACAAATATTCTTGTGTGCAGCTCTGCAAGCAAGCGACCCTCACTTTCCGACCCGAAGGCAGACAGTCTAGCTTCTCCCCAGAAACTGGATTTCAGAGATCAGGCGCTTGTCTCTCCTCGGGTTGAAGAAAGCACCGTCCTCCGCCAGCCGGGATCCACCGCCAGCCTGTATGGCGTCCTCGCCCCCTGCCTGTTTTTGTTTTTTTTGTTTTTTTACTAAATTATTATCTGTGTACATATTTTAACATTGCCCCCCCATACATACCCTCTCTCCCCAGAGTTTTGTGTCCATTGGTTGTACTTATATGCATGTATACAAGTCCTTCGGTTGATCTCTTATCTCCCCCAGATCTCCCTACCCTCCCCGCTGTAATTTGACAGTCTGCTTGTTGCTTTACTGTCTTTATATCTGACTTTTGGTTGGTCAGTTTATAATGTTCTTTAATATCCATAAATGAGTGACTCTCCTCTTTCTCCTTCAGTCTAGTTGTAGGGCTTCCTTTCAGCCAGCTTTCCCTTGGGTTTGGGGTTTTGTTTTACGGTTGTATTTTTGAAATTCCTGTGCACAGCAGCCGTGTAGGTATGTTTACCTATGCCGCCATCTTTGTTCTTCCCCGATTTTTTTTTTTTAATCCACCTAGTTACTGATGGGCACTTGGGTGGTTTCCAGAGGTACACTGAAGTCTTTTATCTGGTTTGAGTTTGTCCTTGTGTGTGGTGTGATTTGGTGATCCAGTTTCATGTTTTTGCATGTACCTACGCAGTTTTCCTAACATCACTCACCGAAGAGACTGTCTCTGCCCCGGGGTGCGCTCCCGGCCGTGGTCAGACATTGATTAACCATATGGAGGTGGCTAATGGGGCTCTTGTTTCCGGCGCTGATCTGGAGGCTGTGTCTGCGGCTGCAGGCCGTTTGAGGACAATGGCCTGCAGGGGGGTTTATCTGTATGTGATGCTGCCAACTCCGTCCTGGTTTCTCCAGATCGCTGAGGTTATTCAGGGTCTTTTTGGTTCCATGTAAATTTTTAGAATGTTTAGATCTGTGAAATGTGCCATTGGCATTTTGCTAGGAGTTGCATTGAATCTATGAATTACTTTGGGTAATATGGACATTTTATTTATTTATTTATTTATTTTTTCAAGAGAAA